AAAAGATTGCATAGTACCGATCCTGCGGATCAGATCCTCCAACTCCCGTTCCAAAACTGCCTTTCCATCGCTGTCTTCACCAGGTAGTTTTATTTTCGCAACATCGCCGTTGGTACTGTTGTTGGACTTGTATCCGTTGAAGGGCAGCGATGCGGAGTCAGGGACATCCTTTGCCAGACCCTGCAGGATGCCCGCTACGGCGAGAAGGGTTTCGTCACCCCGAGTCATTGCGCCTACAGCGGTAGAAGGGGGTAAAATATACAAGGAAATTGTCAGCTAATCCAACTCGTCTAATTCCTTTTTTCTGAGAGAAAAAGGGTGCCAGTCAGCGGCACTAAGATGAGACGTAATTATCGCCATCAAAGCAGATGATTCAGTGATAGTGCACCGGCAGCATATGAATTTATTTATTTATCTTTTCCAAGAGTTGTTGGGGTTCACAAACCAGTGGTTGGAAAAACGACCAAAAGCGCTAAACCGACATGAGGAAGTTGGGAATTGGCAGAAGGAGCCGACAATATCGCTTGAAAAGAATAAGAGAGAAGGGCCGGTCGACTCTATCGTAAGGAGATGAGATGCGATGGAGCAGAAGATGTTGGCGGAGGGAGGAGGAGCGTGGCGAGGCTCTGAGAAAGCGTTTTGGGGGGGGGAGCGGCGCCAAGTTCCGTTGTCAAGCAAAAGCGGAGAGGGATGTGCTGAGACCGAAAAGTGCCCAAGCGAGAACAGTCTAGGGGGGGGCATGCACTAGGCCGGGCTAGTTGACTCTCGGGCGTGGTGAGATCTTGACGAGTCAACTGCTTCGACGGCGAGTCTAAGGATGAGGCCCAATAACAGCCGTGAGAATTGTTAATTGGCGGGTGATATGAAAACTACAACCTTGACGGAAAGGTGAAGGTGACGGGGTTGTTGAAAGTTAAAGCTAACGCAAAACGAAGAAATAATACCATAATCGATTGCCTTGACGATCCATAGTTTCTCAGTCCCATAACCTCCATTAGGGTTATGCCGTGAAATATCTCCAACATTTCAAAGCCCAAACAACAAGAGATAACTAGGCTGTCTCCGGTCTTGATGGCATTCTTATACCGGAGACCGCTGGCTGACAGCCCAACACTTCCAAGCCTGGACTGTGTATTTACCGTACAGAACGGCTGACTTCTCAAAAAAAAAAAAAAAAAAAGGAAAAAAAAAAACCAGTACGGTACTCATTACTGCGTACTTACAATTCTGGTGTTTGCTTCTCCTCTTGACCTTGTGACCCGGCTATACAAATGGCTGGCTGACGAAAAAAAAAATCTCCCCTCCTGGTATTGGTAAGTAATACGGCGTTGGCAAAACGCAATCAAAAAAATACCAACATCCGCAGTAGGCGCAATGAAGGACTTGTTCGGCCACTGGGGCAAAAGAGCTCAATCACCACCAGCGCCATGCCAGTGGTAGAGGGGACGAACCAATCCAAACCCCCAACAGGACTGGCCTCCAAATTCCTACACATGATCATCCACTGGCAAGGCATGCGTAGCTATCATACCTATCACACCTGTGGCCTGATATGTACTGATTCAGAATTCAATCCTTGGAAGAAATAGCCGCCTGCTTCCCGTCTTGTTCAACCCCAACGACAGGTTCCAGATCTCGATCCTCTGGCCGAAAACAAGAAGGCCGCACAGCCCAGCAACCTGGAACAAGAAGTCTTTATACTCTCTACCTATGTGCGCAGTAGGTAGCAACCCCCCGACCCCTCTAGAACCTCTCCCGGGAAATCTGACTGGACTGAAGGATTTGTTGTCCAGAAAGGAGCGGCGTTCGTTCAACCCAACAACCGCTTCCATGCCGTCCGTTGATTTTCTTCTCGTCTCCCCTTCCCTCGCCCCTTTATCCCCCAATCCAACAACCTCCCTTCTCATTTCCCCCTTAAAAAAGGTCTGATTTTGGAGAGAAACTGCAGGTGCGGGGTTGGATTCGGAAAGGGGCCACTGGCTATATACGCCGTTTGCTCAAGCGATGTAGAATCCCCAATAATTCCCACACCTCAACTATCCGTCAGGCTTGCAAGGGATAACCTAGCGAGGTGAAAATCAGATGTGGTGCCGTGAGATTGGCTACCATCAGTTCCATCCATCGCTGGGAAGGGTGCTCCCTGCGCTGCACGTAAAATATTTCTACGTCACGATATTTCCGTACATTTAGTTCTAACCATCATTCAGCCCTGTTGCCGATGTCTGGGGCAAAAAATGATAACTAATGATTGGTTTCATCCCCCATGCTGGGCGACAACTTTCGAGCCTGATGGACTCGGGCATTATTGTTTAGCCACTTGGTTGAACTATTGATGTTTAAAATGGTTATGGTTCGCCATCTGCCACAACACAGGAGTTTGTTGAGGTTGTCGAAAGAAGAGAGAAATTCAAACGAAGCCCTGTCCCCTTTTTTCAAGGGTTTTAAACCCTTCCAGGGCTTTTGCCAAACCTAACCGGAAGTTTGGGAGCTGGATCAGGCAAAGTCGCACAGGCCAATGCGTTGCCTCGGCCTTCCTGTAAATTTCCGTAAATTTTCTTGCTTTCCAAGGGAGTCAAGGCCCAACCACGGCCACGGAAAAATTTGAGTTATTTTCGCGTTTGATCGCCCTTTAGCGTTCCGGAATTTCTGCCATCAACTGTAATCGGTGTGTGCACGGAGGTAAGCAAACTGGCGGTCTGTACGGAGTACAGCCCGCAACAACCCGCAACAGACAAAGCTACACACAGCCTGTAGGTTTCCGGGAATCTATTGTTTTCTCACCTTCGCCACGAAGAAGGATGTCCCAATTCAAGGTCAGCAAGCTCACCTCCACGTGATGATGATATGTCATTTCAACTCCCTTGTCCAAGGCAAGGGATTTGATTATTTGGATGATGCTGTTCAGAACAGCCCTAGAGCCATAGACCAATCGCCGAGGGATGCCAGCCACCCAGCCGGGGAAGCAGGGCAAGTTGCAAAAAAAATAAAATAAAATAAAATAAAATAAAAAAATAAAATAAAATACGTCGTCAACCAACCACAACCAGTTCACGGTTAATGGCGAGCCGTGGCATGGCAACGATGTAAACGTCCTACCAGAACAAGCGTTGTTCTTCCTGGGATTTCTTTCTTATTTTTCCTCTGTTCCGCTAACTAAAGATTATTATTCCGGTATTGGAAACAGCAGATTTGCAGCACATGCTAAATGCCAATGCTTCTCATTGGTAAAGACGCTGGTTTATATGCTTCTTGAACGAGGCATGGAATATTCGACAGCTTGAAATACCCTCTCTTGATACAATGAAATATTACCATATTTTATAAAATACGTCGGCGGACGGATGCAAAATCGATATTTTCGAAAGGGGAATACAGCTAATGTACTGTATGTATGTACTGTAGTTATGTCCTCTCGCTGGCTTGTCGTTGTTGGCACCCGACTCTAACGTTATATAAGAAAGGCGGATACTCTTTGATCCATAGACAAATGGAAAAAATGAACGTGACAATGGCCCGGACCGGCAACGAAAAGATTAGGATAATCTGAACGAAGGAGGTTAGTTACACAGATCTGACACACGCAAGTTACAAAGGAAGCTTGTTTCATCCCTATACTTTGATTTCTCATTGATAATCTCTTGTTTCCCTATAGTACAGTACAGAATGACTGCTACTATGACTTAACCATCGTTGCTTACTAGGATAATGGGAAAGAAAATGCTAGCATATGAAAATAGGGAGGTGGGGGTTGGAGTGTGCACGCGGGGTTCCCTTGGCACTGGCTTCTTGCAGTGTCAACGAGCACACTGCGCTGGGGTATTAAGCTCGCTGGACCCTGGTGGATTTTTATCGTTCTCGTTGGCTATGGGGATATTGTTACTGGCTGACTATCAGAAGCAGCCGATGTTGTCATGCATCATGCATCCATGGATACTACTCTAGCAACAACGTGACTTATGATGTTGTCTCAGGAGCTCAGTTTGCAAGGGGCCAAGGGGATGGGAACGCGGGGATTCCAGGTGAACCAGTGATCATTGTTCCTGTGATAAAAGAGCGCAGGATTTAGAAAATGGGAAATAAGTAGTTGGATCTGATTGCCGTCAAGGATAAACAAAATCGGCTGGTATTATATCAATTCTCGTGGCACGTTGCACAGCACATACTTACTAGTACTCGGGAGGGTCTGAATCAATGGTTCTTTTCCAGCCCAGTTCGCCATATAACTAGAGAGTACCTACCGCAACAGAACAACCAACTCAACATACAAAATAATACAACAACTGCAAGAACAGTCTACATTCAAATCCAGGGATTCTGTTATCTCTCCAGGCGAACCACAAAGATGGAAGTCCAATTTTAACTCTTATAGATTTTCAACTGGTGCCAGTGCAGCGGTTTTTGATGAATGTAAGGCTTCAGCGCACGACCACCTCCCTCAACACCCATGCACCAACCACAGCGTGTGTGTGATCGCAGGAGATGATGCAACAGAGCAACATATTGCCAGCATACCTCTTGCAGCCATCTAAACAACTCTCTTCCATCTCTCTATAAATCACCCAGGTCACTGGCTATTGACAACAGCATTACTACATAAGCACAATCTTCCTTCTTCAGCTCCTCCAGATTGCTGCATTTTTTTCAACTATGCTATGCCACAGTCCAGTCATTGTAATCCATACCACCACACTTGCTGACCTTGTAGCATTCATGTTGAATGCCATGTGCCCGCCGCGTATGCAGGGACCTTTTCACGAGGCGCGTACGAAGGAGGCTGTGGTGGCTGTGATGATGAGGATGACTTCATCGTTCACATTGTAGACATAGATTCAGCCGAGCTGAGCTCGCACCGCGTTAGCAAGTTGAATTAGGTTGTCGTTTGCAATGTTGCTGTCAACACTGACACCGGCTGCTTGCTTTCAATCGAACACAACGCAGTTATTGGCGATCTTGACTTGACGTGCAGCAAACAGACCCAAAGAATTTGACTGAGGTTTCCACTATTTGTTTGTAATCTCAGATTGTAGTTTTGACTCAAGTATCATCTCAAATCGTTCTTTGCCGTACGCTTCATCACGCAGTGTTGCCATCATATCTGATCCTGGAGGGAAGTCAGACTCAAAGATAGGCTCGCCTGCGCCTCGCATATTGGCAAGCACAGACTGTCGGAAGTGCCATCGAAGCAGCTCATCTGAGACACGATTATTGGTGTTTGGATCACGGCAAACAGGGTCCAATATTCTTCCATCAATTCCCCAGCTGCCAGCGCCAAACTCAACAATCTTGTAACCATCCTTTGCTATGTTAGTATGACAAAACAAGCTTGGGCTTCAAAATACTTACATCTGGGTTTATGGAGAATAGATACTGGTCAAAGCGAGTGTGCAGGTTCCCCATCATCAGTAATCCATTCTGAACAGAATGAATTTTGGACTGTCCCTCAGCATCATCGATGTTTGTTATCCAGCGTCCATAGTTTAATGCAATCCAAAGACTCTCCTTTGCCACTGGGAACACATGTGCAGCCTCAAGCCCTGCCCAGTCATCCCACTGAGCCGAAGGGTTGACTTGTCCAGATATGACACATTTCCCATCTCTGGCACGGACTTCATACCGAAATTGATCTTCTCGACCAGAGATAGAGTGGCTGGTGAGTCGAGCAAACCACGGTTCATCGGTTACTTGAAAAGGTCCTAGATGGATTAGCTCAGGCTTGGTGCTGTGCTTTCAGAATTCAGAATCCTGACTCATACCTGTAGAGTAGATATCATAATTTCCAAGCACGACTGGGTTGCTTGAAGGTGTGATAGTTCGGCCTGAGGGCCTGTGCTGAATAGTCCAAGGGTGTTCACCGTCCGTGATCAAAAGCACCTCACTCAAAATCCAGATGAGATTTTCTTCAGTGATAGAGCCATTCTGGTAAAATCCCCCAACACAGGTGGCTGTTGACGCGTCATAAAAACGGACGTTTCGGTATGCAGCTCGATCTCGCGGCATGTTGTATTTATCCTGTAGATATAGGATAGGACTTGAGATGCAGAATTGACTATTGAGAAGTGAGTTGGTAACAACAGCTGCAGCAGGGGAAGTTGATACGACGAAGAGACGTTATCGGCCAGCACGCCAAACCAAAGCCTGAATGGGCAACATTAAAAATCACATGACGCGTTGTGGCAAGAAGCGGTCTTGGCGACGCAAGTTAGAGTTTTATATTGACATGACTGGAAGTCTTAATTGTATAGTTAATAGAAGAAATAGTAAACTCTAGTTATTCTCTCTCTACTTAAAGAGATAATTTGTCTCACTTAAAAGTTACACTATGTTGGAGTTCCATTTAGGTCGCCTCGGTGTTCCCCTTGTTGATAAAAATTGCCAGATAGTATCGATAGAGGTACTCTTCACCGACGGTTACGGCAAAAGCAACTACCAGCAAGAGCAGCTGCTGTCAATTTTTAAACAGGAAAAATGACGCAGGCGCTCTGAGCAAACAACCTGTATAAACACGCTTCTTTTCTTACTTTTCCTGAGACTTCAAAGGCAGACTCCTTGCTTTACCAAACGGCCTATACCGCGAGAATATTCCGTCGAAAATAGAACAGAGCCCACCTGAAACCTTGGTACCCCTAGCAAAGAGACGAACAAATAAAGACAATTATCTTGAATACTGGGTTGCCCATTGCCGGCGCTGTAAAATTTCAGCAGTCATAGTGGAAGAAGAAATGTGCACACACACATATAAGAAGATCACGGAGTTTGTCTTGATAATCTTGCACCGTAGAAAGATTAGTGCAGGCCAGAATTTAACTAGTGATATACCCATCTATCAAGTAGGAACAAGATCTTGTTGAGAATAATTGAGACTTGAGATGTGGAAATAAATACTTGAAATCATAGCAACACCAACAATATATAGAATACAGAGACTCAATAAAATTGACTAGCATAATCGTAATACTCCCATCCCCATCAGAGTCAACCTTGAGGATGCTAGAGAGAGAATGAATGTAAAATCAGCATTTCATATTTGAGATGGTCAGCTCTGTTAACAAAGGGAGACTTGTGAAAATGAGTCAGGTCTCGTAAGAAAGCTGCTCTTGCTTCAGAGAGCTTTCATCAGATAGCGTCATAGTGGGCACTAGTATGCGGAAAGCCCAGATGTTAACAGGTAATAACTGATTATTATATAACTATTCTGGCCACCGCATCCAAGATTGCCGGTTTCAATATTGAATTAAAGCAATTTTTTTTTTTCATAGGTCAATATTGCATTATCTTATAGGAATGCTGCTTGGTGTGGAGATTGTTCTCATTACTAGTTTAACAATGCCTTGTATGTAAATATTAGTCGATGATGTGGGAAAGGGGGGAAGTATGAGCAGCATGGAAACCAGAGTTGAACCGGTGCATGTATTATGTTTGTGACTTTAGGCGACCGACATGGTAGGGATTAAGACTAATAGCGAACTATAACGCGTAGTCATTACATTGTCACCATGATCCTTTATCAGAAGAAGCTGACATTTTTGGATAGTTAGACCAAGGTATTGGAATTCAAGGACCTTACCGTTTAGATAAACCGGAAATCGAGGAAATGGACAGGATGTTCCAGAAACACCATTTATCGAGACTCGGTTGTGATCTCTTGAAGACCAGGATGCCAAACGCCCACCGGAGATAGTATAACACCAATGTCATTTCCCGGTTTGCTGTGTTTGACGCTTATCCCAGCAACACACTCGACATTTGCGATGCCAGCATGTTCAAATGATATAGTACCTTCTTGAAGTCATGGAAAAGCAGGAATGTAGCAGCACTTGACAAGTGATCGTCGCATATAGCAAAGCGAACATCAGTGCAATGGGATTATCCTTACCATATCCCCTGCGTGCGAGGTCACCCGCAATGCTAAGAATGTAGCCGGAGTGCTGCAGAAGCTCAGTGACATAAATATGTGGGAAAAGGAACGCGGTGTGAGAATCACCAATAGTTTTATATCGAGTTGGATCCATTTCTTCAAGCTGTGGAAGTCATCAATGGCGGGTCTGTGATAAGGTCACTATCAGCCAACTCGTGAAAGATGTATTCTATGTGAGCATCTGAATGAAACGAGAACGAGAAACACAGTAATGACGTCATCGTCAATTCCGCCTCGAAACTTGTGCACGCTGACACGGGCCTCATAACCTGTTAGGCCATTGGGACAAAAGAGTCCGATCACCAGCGCCTTGCTGGTAGTAGAGGGGACGAACCAATCTAAACCTTCAACAGAAACCCAATGCTGGAAGGTTGGATCACGTGCGTTATCGGCAAATTTCTCATGCGGTCAGACTCGCCGACCGTATTATAATATCAACGCGGGACATCGAAAAAGAGTCATCATTCGCAACCAAAATATTTCCCTCTCTTCGTAACCCACCAAGGACTATTTTTGGACGGGACTTAACGTTAAAACAGCCATTCCGTCGCAATCATGGCGACCGACCTCCCTGCGCAAGTATTAGACCTCCTCTCCTCCACCGACGACCCAATTCTCTCCACCAATAACTTCCCCACCGTGCCCACAATTGCTTTAAAAAGCGCTCTGGATCGCCTTAGATCCAGAGACATGATCATATATGAAACGATTGAACAGGAGGAAGCAGTATTATTGCCAGAAGCTGAAGGAATAGCAGCCAATGGCAGCCATGAAGCCAAGGTGTTTGAAGCTGTAAGAACAGCACTCAATGGTCTGAAAATAGCGGATCTACCAGATGTAGTTGGCAAGGAGGCCGCGAAAGTTGGGGCTGGAAATGCATTTAAGAAGGGATGGATTAAGAAAGATAAGGACCTTTTGAGGTCGGCCACAGACTCAATCGAAGACACCACTCGGGAGCAACTTGTGGTTATACAGAAGACAAAAACGTACCCCGATCCTAAAGTCTTAGCGGACTTGCGAAAGCGGAAACTTCTCACAATGCAGAAGGTTTTAAGTTTCAGAATATCAAAAGGGCCCAAATATGCGAGAGAGCTTGTCAAGGAGGAAACCGATCTTACAGTTGATATGCTTTCGAATGGATCATGGAAAACGGCAAAATTTAAGCCTTACAATTTCAATGCTAAGGGCGCGTTAACACCCAGCGGTGCTCTGCATCCACTGAACAAGGTGCGCCAGGAATTTAGACATATTTTCTTCGAGATGGGTTTCGAGGAGATGCCAACGAATCGTTATGTCGAGACCGGCTTCTGGAATTTCGACGCTCTCTATGTCCCTCAACAACACCCTGCCCGTGACCTTCAAGATACCTTTTATATCTCAGACCCCGCCAGGGCAGATAAGCCACGTGAAGATGATCTCTCTGACATTCACGTCGCAAATGCTGGAAAAGCAACGGGTGGATCTTCGAACACCGGCAAAACCAAGCCTCTCGACTATGAGCAATACTGGAACAATGTACGCGCTGTACATGAATCTGGTAAATTCGGGTCAATTGGCTACCGGTATCCATGGGATCCCGAAGAATCGCTCCGCCTCGTCCTTCGAACCCACACCACCTCTGTTTCCACTTATATGCTGCACAAACTAGCTGCAAACCCTCGACCGGCCAGGTATTTCAGTATTGACCGGGTGTTCCGAAACGAGGCAGTTGATGCTACACATCTAGCAGAGTTCCACCAGGTGGAGGGTGTGATCGCTGATTTTGGTCTCACGCTGGGTGGCTTGATTGGTTTCATGGAAGTCTTCTTTGCCAAGATGGGAATTCACGGGCTTCGATTCAAGCCGGCATATAATCCTTACACAGAGCCGAGTATGGAGATTTTTGGCTACCATGATGGCTTAGGAAAGTGGGTAGAGATCGGCAACAGCGGGATGTTTAGACCGGAAATGTTGGAGTCAATGGGTCTGCCACAAGATATGAGAGTGTATGGATGGGGATTGAGCTTGGAACGACCTACTATGATCAAGTAAGTTCGATAATGGCCCCCTAATATTATTGCAACCCCCTCAAAGTTCCATCCGTAGAGAGAGTAAGATTGGTCAAGACTAACCCGGGACACTATTCGTTTACAGATATGGCGTAAGCAACATTCGTGAATTGCTTGGGCACAAAGTAGATCTCAACTTCATCGAAACGAACCCGGCAGTCCGGCTCGAGAAGGATTAGTATGCACTATAACAAGTAGGGTTTTGTGTTTTGGCGACACATTCGAAGAGGAGAAGGTTAGAAAAAGGCAGGGGGAGAGAGGAGAAATTCTGAGAATATGTGTTGCTTTCGCGGAAATTTTACGAATCATTAGAGGATACGAGCCCAGTTCCCCATGAGTGTTGATGGATGATTTCCTGATTGCGCCCTGTTCCATGGCGGAGGGATGACATATAAACGAATAAAAATCATAAAATCAAATCCCGTAATATTCTTCATATCATATTCCCTCCCGACAACTTCATTTTTGAAAGTATATTTGAACAAGAATGCATGGAGTAACTAAATACGTAGGTAGCAGGAAACCTACCTTATGTAGGAAAGAGGATGGAGGGCATAACTTATGTTTACCGACTCGATTTTTACCGACAAACATCATACGTAGTTTTTATGTTATCTTCAAGGGCAATAGGCGATGCGAAAATATGACATGTCCCGCCCGTATCTGTGCTCTGACCAGTGACCTTGCGTATCACAGCTCTTCAGCAGACGGGTATTTCGGAAAGAAATCAATGATCTCCCCCAGCTATGATTTGATTTTTTTTTTTTTTTTTGATTTTTTCATCGTAACCCACCTCAGTCATTGACCGCGAAAATCGCCCGTTCCACTAGGGAGTTGTGGATTTTTGCGGTGGGCTTGAGGTGTGGTTTTGCTGCCAGGGTTTAGGGAGTTTAAAGGGGGAAAGATAGAAAGAAACGAAAACCTGGTGAGAAAGCAAGTGAGTTGGATAGATTCCTAGGAAATTTTTCGGTCTCGGAAAAAAGTGTGTATTGAAATTAATTTCTCGTAGGCGGACGATGAGGCTCGAGAATATTGGACTTCCCAATTTCCTCTATTTTGGGCTTTATGGTTCAGAAAATGCATGATTGTGATTTCGTATATTTCTCCGTTAAAGTACGCGGGCCATGAACCGAGCGAGTCACTTCACTGTTGGTAGACAAGAGGATTGGTAGGCACTTTTAAGAACGATAAGAAGAAATAGAAGGCCTTTATTTGATTTAAGAGCCTCAACAAAAAAAAGAACTCCAGAATATCCCAGGAATTTTCTTTATTTCGCTCATTTAATGGTTATCTATAGATAAAAGCATAACAATATCAGCAAAATCCCATTTCTCTCCCTCTCACCGTAGTCAAGTGAAAATAGATTTCGGGAAGTACTCACCATCACAACAACATTCCCATCCCACAAGGGGCCCCTTAAACCAGCATAAGAAAAAACGAAAAGGAAAAAGAGAATAAAAAGGAAAGCCAAATTTCTCCTCCATTTTCTCTTAACGCTGGGAGCTCGCGCTCCATACATTTTTCAAGAACCCATCCCGTTGCGCCAGACGGTTCAAGCTGTCATCACTCTCACCCCGGGCCCGTACGAATCCGCAGAGAGCATATACTTGATTCTCGCCGGTGTATCGGCCGTTCTCATCAACTTTGGCAATGCTAATTTGGACGGAGGCATGATCCTTAGCCTTGATGATGCGGTTGGTGGCGCTGCATTTGCGAGGCACATAACTATATGGATTTGAATGAAATTTGAGGTTAGAAATGGGAAATTTTAAGTCCTCAACGCGAATTTTTGGGGCAATTGCTCCATATGCTGAGGGTAGATGATGTTTATAACGGGTCCCTTTTTGTCTTCGATTGAGAGAGGGGGCAAGATTTTCTATCCTCCACGGAAGCGTGGAAATTCGGGAAAGTGTCATACGTACAGGTCGACGATTTTCCCCTGTTCGTTTTCCATTTTGGCGAATTTGTGTGAATTTCCGGGGAGTAAGCGGTATTGAGAGGGGCTTGCTTGGTTCTTGATCGTTGAAGTCTGCGATGATTTTCTTGGGTTGTGTGTTGAGATAAAGCCAAAGCGAGAGAATTGTGGGTCATGTGACATGACTTAAGAGGTCCTTTTAGGTTTGATGTTTGGTCGTGAAATTAGCAGCAAAGGTGCGTGGTAATTTGTCGCGTCCAGCCCTATCAGGCAATGTCTAGGTCTAGCACCCTTGACCCCCTTTAGAAAGGATTTTTTGGTTCATGGAGATTATACAGATAGAAAGCGTGGCAGAAGTGCTTTAAACAAACTGTACATGTTAGTTCTATTACGGTCTACATACAAGGTTATCTTCAACTTCAAACTCATAGGGAGCTCTGTGCAGGTTTCTTTCCAAGGACAACCTCATTTCTCCACCGAACCTCCACCTCCCTCGGTCCCTCTTTGCAAAACCGGACTAGCACCACTCTATCCGGCTCCCCCTTCTTCGCTGAGCCTTGAAGTTCAGGCCCAACGTAATCCAATCTAAGTATGCTTCTTCCATCAGTTGCGTGCCCGATTGTTGTTGGAGAGATAAATTTATCAGTCCAAGGGGGAGACCCTGAATGCACAAATTCAACTAATTCAGCGCGGCGCCTGGTAGACCCCTCTTTAGAAACCGCAGTCGCGCTTTCCCCGGGCCTCTCAAGGAATTGAGCGACGAAGGATAGTAGGAAAACCTGTGGGGGAAACATTATCACATCCCCATTCTTCGCGAGTCGTAACCACTCCGATGCGGGGAGAAAGCTAGCCTCAGTAATCTCTAACCCGCCGTCCGACGTCGGCGCTTGGACGTCGCTCTCTTTGCTGCCGATGATACTCTTGGACTCTGGAGACAACGGCAGGAAGTAGAGGTACATCTGTGTAGTATAACGTCTATGATTCGTTGTTGGCGTAATCCAGTGTGTGAACGGAATAAGTGGGTCTATCTGGCACAATAAAGAGACAAAGATGCTGCCCTTGGTTAATCTAACTTTATCCGGCCAGGAAAAAGGGGTATTTGCAGGTTTGGATTTCATAGTTCAATGTATCTGACCAATATCCGGTTGGGCATCTTCATCTATGCCCGCTAGCCACTGGTTGAATGTAATTTTGTTCTTGTGGATTGCATGCCTCCCGATCTCCCTCTGGTCCGCATCTACGTAGATCATTTTGCCGGTTCTCCTATTTTTCGCAAGGAGGATACCACTCTCTTCGAAGAGTTCGCGGATCGCCGCTCTTCGGTAGTGGGGGCCTTCATCGTGGCTGTCCGAGTGGCCTGCCTGTGGGAAATCGCCGTCTTGCGAGGATATATTTCCTCCAGGGAAAACATGAGCTGACGGGAAGGATGAAGACGTTTGCACGCGATGCAGCAATAGGACTTCGTTTCGAGGCGAAATGAGGATGACACTAGCATGTAGGCAAGTTCATTAGCTTCCGGTCTTGCCCACTGTAAAAGAAATCATGTAGCTTTATTCCCATCAGGGAGGTCGGCATTTGCAAAGAACTGACCTTGCGCTCGGCTTTGGGATGGTGTGATCAACCTCGGTTTCTTTTGGAGGAGCCATCCTTCGATACTGGGGAACTCTCCGAGCAATCGAGTAGTGGGCTTCCTGGCTGAATCGGCGTGTGACCTGAAGATACAAATAATTCGATACGCTTGTGCATTTATTGGCCGCAGGACAAGGAAATCTAGAGCCGTTGAGGGTCAATCGCAGAGCAGTGCGCAGTTGATTTGCGTTCCAAGGGAATTGACAACATAGGGAGGGAAGCATCATAACTACAGGCGGAGAGGGGAGGAAATATCATAAGTATTATTCCGCTGGACCGCCTGTCGTTGTTCCGATGGGCCATTAAGCTCAATCTTGACCTGGTGTTTGCAGAGGGGGGAGAAGGTTGTTTTATTAGCCGCGTCTATCTCCCAATATCCGAGGTCCACAAGCATCTCGGCATTGGAAATTTGACCTGTGCCAGCTCAGATCCATTCTTCAGGAGCTTCCTGGCTAACCTCTGGGAAATTTGTTTGCTGAGCGGAATGGCCTAGGAATGGGTGAAACGAAAATGGGGCCACAGTCATCAAACCAACTATGTGAAGTTTATAAGAGGTCAAAGGCGGCCATCTAGGTATGCCCGTTCATACAAGCCCTCTCCCACATGGCCCCCCACGCCGCTCTAGATACTGATAAATAATTATATCTAACAACACTACCTAGCTATCTTGCTACCTGCTCAATATTCAACTGATTGCTAATAGAATAAAGATCTCGATTCAAGTAGATAGTCCTAGCTAGCTAGATGCCTATCTGCTTTACTCACTACATTCATCATTCATATTAGAATGGAGATTTCTATCGAGCTCGCTTACTACTTGCCCACCCACTGTATATTCTATCACCTACATAAGTTGCAGCACTTCACTCTATTTTTGCCTGCAGTTTCCATAGGCCCCGTACCCTCTGCAATGAGGGTCTTGAGGCTTCATCCCCAATTAAAATAACATGGAATCAACAAATCATTTGCCCCTAGAATTTGACAGCACATTTGCCACCTCCAGCAATATTCTATACTGTTTTAAAGATATCAAGAAGAATAGATTGTATTAAGAATAACAGATACATTATGAGAATGGGAGAAGACTGTGATTTGATGATGGATGGTTGATTAGACGGAGCGAAGCGAAGTCTAAGAATCATACGAATCTCCAGGGGAAATCAATGTTTGCGAAAATGCGGCCGAAGTTTCAGTGATATTAACTATTGGCGTAAAGGAGAATTTTGCAGCTCTGATTGGTCTAAATGCTGGATAATTCCCCCTTTTATTTCTGCACTGGAGACTTGACATTAACAATTGGCTTAGATATCCCCTATTCTTACCCCTGAATTATATGCCTCCCTGCCTACCTACCTGCCTCCTCAACATCCAACCAGTCTCTATGAGAATAAACACCACCATCTAGCTACCCACCTACCTACCTATCATTGCTAGGTTATTAGCTGACTACCTGGCTGCCTACTTGCCTACCTATCTACTGACCTGCTTGAATGAATGATATTCAGCGATGATATCCAGCGATGATATCTGTAATGATATTGTTTAGTAGCAACATAATGAATAATAAAACTTCGCACTTTCGCCCCGTCCTGCCCAGCTGTATATTTCATGAAGCTCCTGCTATAGAGTGTTGTGCCCGAGCTGTCCAACCCTTTGAAGCAATTAAAGATGCCTTCATCCCCTGGGATTTAGAGGTTCGTTTGCCCACCCCCAGAAGGGGGGTGATAAGGGCAGGCTGCCTCTAGTAGATATATATATATATATATTGAGAATTTATTTATATTACTTGCCGTGATGATGATTATTTCACGGGATTTAAATAAAAACACATCTAGTTCTAATTCATGATTGCTGATAATTACACAAAAGTATGTCTTGAGATCCAGATCATTCATCCCTCATTAGTTAATCAGAAATTCTAAAAATGCCTTCCCAACCAATAATCCATCATGCTCATTCCCAAGTCTAGCCACTCCATCCTCATAAATCTCTGAAGAAAATATGCCTGCATCATGTCTTGCATCGAGTATCTCTGCAACAATGTCCTTGGTGAATTCAGGGTGGCCTTGCACGGATATAAAATGGCCAGGCATATACATGCCTTGTACATCACATATAGATGAGGAGCCAAGTAGGGTAACATTAGAGGGGCAGTAATGGACTACATCGCGATGCATTTGTTGAAGACACTGTTGTTGTTTGTCAATAGAAAAATTTATCTGGGTTGGGGGAAGTATCAGCAATTTGAGAAAGCGGGAAAAATAAAGGAGACACCTACCAATTTGTTCGTACCGAACAACTCTTTTCCTTTATCTGTAAGGTTCATATCGTGCACTGAAATCTCCCATCCTTGCTCATTGGGACCAACTTTTGCCCCCAGCGCTCTCCCTAGGATTTGATGTCCAAAGCACACACCAATAATTCGGACTCGATCTTGTGTGAGGATCTTGGAGATAAAATCAACTAGTCTGTTTATCCAAGGTATATCATCGTACGAATTGTGTTCTGTCAAGTATTCAGTTTGTTTATTAGTACAAGGATAAAAAATGCAACGGTAGTATTATTGATCAATCCTGGAATTAATTTAGATAAAGCAGAGGGCCAAGAAGGTATTTAAAAATGAATACATCACATACTTGACCCAGTTATTAATACAGCATCAATGTTCTCCAAGCTTGGGTATTTATCGCTCTCAACAACATCCCATTTTGAAATCTCAAGTTCAGTGACTGGATTGATTTTGTCAGACTGATTCAGCAGTTTGACACTGGCTTGGAGTAGGGACTCAAAGACACCGCCATAGCTTCCATACCTGGACTTTGTTCTGTCCAGTGGTGTGTCGCATTCAAGCACAGCAATGCGAAGTGGGGTGGACATGAAAGCTGATCCACTGAAAATAAAGCAGAGTGAAGGAGATATAAATAGTGTTGATTTTAATTTTAGTTATGAGTAGAATGTTTTGTATGTGGTGATGAGTCAAATCAATATGCTCAGACAGGGAAGCAAGTACTAATACAGAGCGGTTGTATTAGCATGTGGGTGTGCGGTGCGCTAGTCCGTAATAGGTAGCCTAATGGACATTGAATTACAGACCACAAAATTACAACATACGCTATGAACAATATCATCTTCATTCTCGACCCGATTTTCGTCGAGACAAGTTTCATTATGAATAAACGACATTGATACAAGTTTCTGCCGATTAACATAAAGGACATGAACGGAAAACCATGAAACTCATAAAACTTTTCCAGGACAATCAAAGAACAATTGAGTATCGAACAGTAAGTAATTACCATATCCACCCTTCCAAACAAACTCCAAAAACAAATTTGATCCCTTTTTCTCAAAATGGAGACTGGAATTCTGTAGTGAGATCTATGCATCGAGCTTTGCTTTTCTAAGAATACAACTTCTTGTCGAAGCTGTGCAGGCCATGGACGCCACCCTCAGCCTGAGCACTGACACTGCGCACCTCAAACCTAACGGTGCCAGCGGCGACACCATCGTGAAGCTCCTTCAAGCTTTTGACCCCGATATCCTGAAGGGAGTGCTGGATACCGGCCATGAGGTACGGCACGAACTTTGTCACAGAACCGCGATCCAAAACTGAGCCCGAAACACCCTGGGCTACGAGGAGTCTGTCCGATTCCGAGAAGTATCGTGCAGTGCCGGCATTGTTTGCTTGGCCCCCTTTGCCGCCTCCAGCCTTTTTATCCTCCATCGCGTCGATGCTTCCCATTCCCCGATAAGCCTTGACGAGCTGGCCTTCTCTGCTGACGAAGTAGGAGCCAGGGGATTCAGTAGTACCAGCCAAGAGCCCACCCATCATAACGGTGGTGGCGCCCATCGCTAGGCCTTTGACAATATGGCCAATATTCTGAATACCGCCATCCGCAATACAGGGGACTCCGAAGCGTGCAGCAAATTGGGATACACTGCGCACAGCTGCGGCTTGGGGTCTCCCGACGGCCATAACTTCTTGTGTGATGCAAGCACTTCCGCTGCCCATACCAATACGGAGACCATCTGCACCTGCGGCAATAAGGGCAGCTGCTTGGTCTCTGGTGACAACATTGCCAGCAATGACGTCAAGTTCGGGGTAAGTTTCCTTTACATATTTGATCATCTCTATCTGATAGATGCTGTTGCCCTGGCTGCTATCCAAGATGACAATGTCGAGACCAGCCTCTACCAATTTCTGGAGCCTTTCTTTGTCCTCGGGACGGGTGCCTATGGCGGCTGCGCAGATAAGTTGCTTGGAGTGCGGAAGCTTGGAAGCAAGTGGGTAGTGAAGGTTCTTCATGAGATCGGACCTTGAAAGGAGAGAAACAAGGTTACCCTCGCTGTCGACAATAGGAAGTTTTCCTTTTTTGGAGCTTCTTAGAACCTCGTTTGCTTCGGCGAGTGTGGTCCCTGAAGGGGCTGTAACGAGGTCGGTAGTCATGACAGCTGTGACAGGGTCTTCACCAGTAGGATGGAACTGGATGTCTCTGCTGGTGATCATTCCAATCAGTTTCGAAGGGAGAGTTCCATTTTCTGTATCAAGAAATGCTAGTTAGCGGAATTCAGAGTACAAATCAATTTACAATAAAATGCCGACTAAATATAAGTCTCAGAATAAAAATCCGGATTCTCCATAGCAGCTTTCGCGGCTGCAGATGAACGAAAGTTAAAAAATAAAGAGTGAAATCATCATTGCAAGCCTAAAGTTTGGAACCACCACGGAAATACGAGACAGCAACTAACCTGTGACTGGGAATCCACCAAATCCCCATTTCTCCTTCAGAGCCTTGGCCTCTGCCACCGTTGTCTTCGGGGACAGAACAACAGGCTCCAATATGAACCCGTTTTCATACCGCTTGACCTTTCTTACCATATTTGCTTGGTCCTCTGCAGAGCAGTTGTGGTGGATCACACCAAGGCCACCAAGAAGAGCCATATGGATAGCCATCGAGTGTTCAGTGACCGTGTCCATCGGCGAAGAAAGCAGGGGGGCTTTCAAGGTGATTCGTCTTGTGACAGGAGTTTCGAGAGAAACGTCGGATGCGGGGAATCCTAATACAGAACCCGGTCAATTAGGTCTTCAAATATGTATCCTTTTGAAGATTATTCCGAACCAATGTATCCTGGAAGGATCAGAAAATCATTATAGGTCAGTGCTCCCCGCTTCTCGGAATCTATCAGTTGATTGATATCCAGGCCATCACCAGCATAATCGTTTTTCAGGACTTCCAGCGCCTTTGTGTGGTCCAGGAACGCTGAGTTGCCCGAGAAACGCTCATAAGCGCTCCCCGATGCGTCTCCATTGGAAATTGGCATGGTTCAAAATGAGACGAGGAAGATGAAACGGAAGAAAAATGGTCGTTTGCTGGATAGCAAAACAGCGAGACAACAAGAAACGGAATGGAAATACCAACAACAGTGGTTCAAGCAAACGTAAACGTCCTGTTGATGGGGAGAAATCGTCTTTCCCAAAGAAGAGAAAGAGAAGAAGAAAAAGGAAAGAAACAAAGACCTCGGAGAGGATTTTGATAAGTTTTTTTTATTACCTTGTGGGGCGCGTTCTCGCGCTAGCACCAACCAGGCGTAGCTGAGCTAAGCGGCTAATCGCCGTTATCATCAGGTGACTTTCAGCAGCCGCTTTGCCGTTTTGGGAACTTTGTTTTGGTCCCTATCAACAAATAACCGAGCGGGCAAGGCGGGATGCACAACAAGGGGAAGCTCTGCGTCTAGCGACTCTGCCCTTGCAACAGGACCTAACACAACTCAATGTATATCCCATATACGACCCAGTACGTTTCTTCAGGATTCTCGCTTTTCGGTGAAGCCAGTGCTGACAAGGGGTTGCATAGGAATTCTTCTGTTTACGTTGCCGTGTTGTCTGTGCATGCGTTAGTTGTGCCGCTACTTGTCAATCCTTGGGGCGGCACAGCCGAACAGCCCTTTGACGGTAGATTTTGCTTTCTTTCATGAACCTTCCGGCATGCGCGTAGTTGGAGGTTGGATTTCTCTTGCATCAAGCGCACCCTTCTCCTCTTCGTCTGACCTGCCATCGACATGTCGCATCTCCACGCTTTCAGACGGTCTCAACCAGAACTCCCAACCAACCCACCAAGCCCGCTTCGTCATGGCTCAACGGCATCAACGGATTCCTCCGTTTATTCTTCCTATTCAAACTCCCTTGTGCCCAGCCGTACAAGTACTTTGTCGTCGAACTCGTCTGGCGGATTCTTGTCAGATTCGAACACTCAAAAGGGAATTGTGAGTAGAATTGGGGAACAATTTCAACGAGCATCCACCCCACCAAGTGCTGGCGAGACCTATGGAAGCATTCGTCGCTCGCTGCGCCCACTTCCACAGGCACCCAATCGCGCTTCTCCTCCACCAGAACGGGTCAGTCGACAGCGCAGCCAGACAATGACGAACTCGATATTTCAACATGACAGTATACCGAATGGAAAACCTGTCAAGATCGAGACTTACGATGAAGGCGGAAGTTTGCGACTACAGGAGAACATTGGCAGGGCGGAGCTGGAATCTTCTCCTTACAGTCGACGACAACATATCCGTACCCAATCCACCCCTCATGTTCCAGCCTTACCAACGTCATTTACAGCACCAGAACTTGAGACTCTTCAGAAATCCTCCACTGGACATTTGCGGACTCTTTCAAGATTTGCGCAAACTGAAAGCGAAGATTTTGCCATGGCGTCCGCTGTTCCTTCAGTTGCTGGTTTGCAGGGGCGTCGTCGACTTAAGCGCGCAGACTCAATTCGGGCCTCAAAATCTACAGCAGATTCTCAGAAGGTCACAGCATCTGCGTGGACGGAGAGTAGCTGGATTGACAAACAACGGCAATTTATACAAGCTTACGAGTACCTATGTCATATTGGAGAGGCCAAGGAATGGATTGAAGATGTCATTCACAGGACTATCCCGCCCATTGTCCAACTTGAAGAGGCTCTTCGGGATGGAGTCATACTCGCCGAAGTGGTACAAGCCTTGTATCCGCACCGGACATTCCGCATATTCAGACACCCCAAATTGCAATATCGTCATTCTGATAATATTGCTCTATTCTTCCAGCTCCTCAGGGAGATCGAACTCCCGGACTTATTTTGGTTTGAGATGATCGACTTGTACGAAAAGAAAAACCTTCCGAAAGTGATACATTGTATTCATGCTTTGTCTTGGCTACTATACAAAAAAGGGATCGTTGACTTCCGTATCGGGAACTTGGTTGGCCAGCTGGAGTTTGAACATCATGAATTGGAACAAGTGCAGAGAGGTCTTGATAAGTCAGGAGTTCCTATGCCTAGTTTCTCAGGCATGGGCGCAAGCTTCGGCGCGGAACCAGAACCAGCACCAGAACCCGTCGAGTCAGAGGAGGATAGGGTTCGTAGAGAGCTTCATGAGAACGAAGCCATTATTTCGGACTTCCAATCTCAGATAAGGGGGGCGTTTGTGCGCCTGAGGCTTGGCAACGTCATGCAGGAGTTGTGGGATAATGAGAGTGCATTGATCGACCTACAATCAAGGATACGAGGAGAATGGTCCAGGGAAATAATGAACTACCGATTAAGCATGCGACGGTTTGCTGTGAATTTGCAATCATCTGCACGCGGATTCTTGGTTCGAATGAGATCTCAACATAGTGAAAAATACTGGAGAGAGAATGAGGCAGATATCCTGATGCTTCAAAGTGTTGTTCGTGCAAATAGGATTCGTTCGGACGTTCAATTACTGAGAACCAGAGCCAGAAAAGAGGAGTCTGGCATTAAACGCATTCAAGCAGCAATCAGAGGAGCCTTGGCTAGAAGTCAAATAGATGACCAGTGTGAACAAACCAAAGATGCCGAAATCGAAGTCCTATCCCTCCAGGCCGCGGTTCGAGGCATGTTAGAACGACATCGAGTTTCTCAATATAGATTAGCCCTAGAAAAGGGAGCTCACCAGATAACAGTGCTACAATCTGCGATTAGAGGTCTTTTTGAGAGAAAGTTTTACGATTCCCAGAAGCTTCGATTAGCGAAAATGAGTGATCAGTGGATCACTCTCCAGTCCATTGTCCGAGGCACTGCTGCCAGAGGAAGCTTTCAGGGTCTTCGAGCGGAACTGAAAGCCCAACTTCCATCGATTATCAAAGTTCAAAGCGCTCTACGTGGTACTTTTTTGCGCACCTCCGTGGCAGCCGTTATAAATGCACTTCACGATAACGAGGAGAATATCCTTACCTTTGAATCTCTATCCAGGGGTTTCCTTTTGCGGAAACGTCGACTACAAGATCAAAATGCCCTCCTGTTGCAAAATTCTGTGATCACCAACCTACAATCTCTATCGCGCGCTGCCATGCTAAGAATAGAAATCGGCGATTTGCTCTGCGAGCTCGAAACATCAAGGGACGAGGTTACTCAGCTCCAGGCCCTTGTTCGTGCGATGTTTGTTAGGCTTGATGTTGGCCAGGTTTTAGCAGAGCTGGAGGTAGAAGAACACATAATAGTTGACTTCCAGTCCAATATTAGAGGCCTTCTTGTGCGACAGCGCTTTGCTGAAAAACAACGCTTTTATCGGGAAAATATGGAGAAAGTAATAAAGGTTCAAAGTTTTGTGAGAGCTAAGATCCAAGGAGAAGCTTACAAAAGCTTGACTAGCGGAAAGAATCCTCCGGTTGGAACCATCAAGGCTTTTGTGCATCTGCTTAACGACAGCGATTTCGATTTCGATGAAGAAATTGAATTTGAACGTCTGAGGAAAACAGTTGTGCAGCAGGTACGGCAGAATGAAATGGCGGACCAATATATTACGCAATTGGATATCAAAATTGCCCTTCTGGTGAAAAACAAGATTACGCTCGATGAAGTCGTGAAACACCAAAAACATTTCGGTGGCCATGTCGGAGCGCTACTCCCTAATTCTGACCTATCATCTAAAGATCCATTTGACCTGAAAGCTTTGAACAAGACATCGAGACGGAAACTCGAGCAATATCAGGAACTCTTCTTCGTTCTTCAGACGCAACCGCAATATCTTGCCAGGCTTTTCAGGCGCATACGAGAGCAGGCTACCTCAGAAAAAGAATGCGAGCGAATCAAGCATCTAGTCATGGGATTATTCGGTTACTCACAGAAGAGGCGCGAAGAGTACTACCTGATAAAACTGCTTGTGCGGTCCGCAAAAGAGGAGATCAATCACGCATTTTCACTTCAAGATTACACCCGGTGCAATGCTTTCTGGAACAAATTATTCGCCGCCTATACGAAGTCTCCGAAGGATCGGAAGTTCATGCGTGATATCCTAGGCCAACTTGTCAAGGAGCATATTATCGAAAACACTGAACTTGACTTGGAAAGCGACCCTATGCAGATCTATCGCTCCGCTATCAGTAATGAAGAGCTGCGTACTGGCAGGAAGAGCAGGCGCAGAATCGATGTTCCTAGAGAAGAGGCGATTAGGGATCCTGAAACGAGAGAAACATTTATTCGTCATTTGCAGGATCTTCGTGACATTGCAGACCAGTTTTTTACATCGCTCGAAGAATATCTGCCTCGAATGCCGTTTGGGGTGCGATTTGTTGCACAGCAGATTTACGAACATCTCTTGTCCAAATTTGAGAATGAGGATCATGGGTACGTTCTACAGGTTACTGGGCAATGGGTTTGGAAAAATTACTTGTATCCAGCGGTTCTGGAACCAGAGAGATGTAGCGTAGTAGATCGTGGCTTAACTCAGGAGCAAAAACGGAATCTTGGTGAGATCAGCAAAGTGATAGCGCAGGTAGCGTCAGGTCGCCTTTTTGGTAACGAAAACGTATATCTTCAGCCGCTGAATAGTTGGGTTGGGGAAGCGATACAGCGGTTAGGAACTATATGGGGTAAACGTGAGTACTCTCATTCCTCAAGTCGGAATTATTCTACTGACAATCAATGATAGTGATTACTGTACAAGATGCGGAGTCGTATTTCGATATCGATGCCTTTAATGACCTATATGCCAAAGCCAAACCAACACTCTATATAAAACTGTCTGACATATTCTCGATCCATCAACTTGTTGCTGCAGAGATATCCAACATATGTGTCGACCCAGATGACCCGATCAGAGAAGCCATTCGCGATTTGGGCAGTGTGAAGAGCAACGAAAATGAGCTCATGAGTGTGAGTTCATCGGAAATTAGTCTGACATTAACGCCCAAACTGCACAATGTCGAAGGTAAGGTTTTGATTTTTCACTATATTGAATTACTTGGAGATTTTTGCTGACTGCACACGGTCCAGACCCCGATGCTGAAATAAAGGCTCTTTTTATGGAAACCAAACGGTGTATTCTGTACATCATCCGGGTTCAATTCGGTGCGAATCTGATGGAAATCATGCTTAAAACACCCACGGAAGAAGACGAGGAGCGCTGGTATGCGCTCGTTCGGGACGAGCTATCCTCGAGCAGTCGCAAACGTGGAGCATATTCGGATTCAAACACCCTAATCGACATCGGGTCCATGAGCTACCAGGAACTAAAGAGTACTGCGTTGGAAAACATTCTGCGCCTGGAGCAAGCAGGGCGTATATCACGACGTAACAACTATCAGGACCTTTTGAATGCCATCGCAGTGGATATCAGAACAAAACATCGCCGGAGGATACAGCGTCAACGGGAGTTAGAAAGCGTCCGGCTTACTCTTGAGCGATTGAACGACCAAAGCGTATATTTGGAGCAGCAACTGAAGACATATAACGACTATATCGAGCAAGCCATGATAACTCTGCAGAATAAGAAAGGGAAAAAACGTTTCCTTATGCCATTCACTAAACAATGGGATCATGAACGTGAACTACAGCGATCAGGGCGTGTCTTCAAGTTCGGGTCATTTAAATATTCGGCCCGAAATCTCTCTGAGAAGGGCGTCCTTTTATATTGGAAAGGATACACCGAGCGGCAGTGGGATCGAGTTGATCTTACGATTTCCAGCAACGAAGTTGGGGTTTTCACTATCGATGGAAGTTGCGGCAATATGATGATTCCAGGCGCCAACGCACAGATTCCGCTAGATGATCTTCTCCAGGCGCAATTCAACAATACGCAATTCATGGACTTTTTTGAGGGGGCACTGCGGGTGAATGTGAATTTGTTTTTGCATTTGATTATGAGGAAGTTTTATAACGAGTAAAACGCCTTGATGTATTTTTCAATCTTTTATACTTTTCGTTTTCAATCCTACTCTCTCTTTTTCTTCCTCTTTCTCGTTTCCTTTCTTGTATATGTCTGGTTTTACGTTTGTGTGGTATTGATACACCACGGACGAGTACTACTTACTGCAGGAGAGTGAATTAGTATGAATTTCGACAAGTGCGCTGGTACTGTTGTTCCTGAGATTCCCTCTATCGTTATCTTCCCTTGTATACGGCTCTCTCTTAATTTTATTCATCTTCATATTTCTCGAATCCGTTTTCTATTACGCACTCCAGGTAACTGAACTGTTTTACTTCATTTTTATTTCCTACATACCCGCATTTACTCCTCTACCTCCCTAGTCTCCCAGCATTATATCGGAAGCGTGTGAGTGGAGTTGAGGGGGGAAAAAGTAATGATGGTGTTTACTATTCTCATTTTATGATTTTCTGTTCTCCTTAATATAGTTGGTAGTACCTTTCCACATTCTTTCCACCATGGACCCAGATTCCCGGTCTGCTTTTTCGTTATGTTTTGTTCCCTTTTATATAGCTCTTCGGGCGATTGGAGTGGAATTGCTGATATTCCTTGTGAAATTGATTACTGCTGTTTCTTTGGCTTTCCTCAGTTTTATTACTCTCTCTGGCTTTGAGTGTATTTATTGAGTTTACGAAATTTTAGTACTAAAACACAAAAAAGAAAATGCGTTGGCGTGTTCATGATGCGACTAATATGTCTGTTGCACCGAATCGACAAATCCTTATGTTTTGCCCGTGACTACACCCTCTGTGCCGCTGAACCCTGCTGGTAACCTCGCCCACAGCTTTACATCACAAGTCGTTGCGGAAATCTCTCACTGGCATTCTCATTATTTAGTGCAACGAGTTTGCCAACTATCCCGCATAGAGCTGAAGAGCAGGAAACCTATCGCTTGCCTTACCGACTGTTAATTGAAACTGAGGCTGATCTGTGTAACATCAATTACGTACGTGGGAGAAATCCGGACGGAAGTTGTGTAATGCCCTTGACCAGCTACATATGTATACACATATATATAACTACTTACGGTCATTTTCCCATCATATATATATATTACCTTCTCCATAATGTGCTGGATCATTTTATTTCATTCACAGATTGGGATATTGTGATAAGTAACTCTGGGCCGTTGAAGTAAGGAATTTATTGATTTTGGCGGATAGTTCCATCTGCCTCCCATACTTTTTTCTTGATATATTTTTTCTACTTCGAGTCTAAAATTGGCCGGGAGCCTGGAGGGAGGGAAAAGACATCCAAATGGGTGACGATGTCGTCACGGACACCGAGGTCGGTTCTGCCAGTAACTATCCAACACAGAGCGACGAGAAACGATATGCGCCAGAAGAAAACAGGGGGAAAGACGAGGGCTTCCTTGCCAAACTCCAGCGTTTCACGGGCAAATATGGCGTTGAACAGAGGGGAATTGAGCCCGTATTGGCGCATGAGAGGACAGACACCACTGTCCTGAGAGTGGGTACGCTGGTATGTACCATTCCTTTCTCTCTAGGGAGAAGCCTTAACCGTCCTTCGCGATCGTAATCGCAAGAGTTTAGCCCGCAGTTGTTAGATTAACAACACGGGGGGTGGACTGCCCCTTTCTCATAGTGGTTTGCATGCAATATCTCCCTAGGGTCCCTCGCCATTGGAGTTCTCGCGGTGCCAGCTTTTGGACTGGGGTTCGTGGATGCGTCCCTTGTTATCGTCTTCGTCAATATCCTAGGAATATTGCCTGTGTGCTGGTTTTCTACGTTCGGAGCTAGGTTCGGATTAAGACAAATGGTTCTTTCGCGGTTTTATTTTGGATATTACGGCGTGAAGTTGGGTCCGTTTTTTATCCTATCCGTATATTTGACCCGACTGCTGAAGTTCTTTTTTTCTTTTTTTCTTTTTTCTTTTCATTTCCTTCTCTCTGGCTGACAGGGGAAAAAAGCTAACGGCTTGCTAACCAGCGGCTTTTCTTAATGGCCTTGCGTGCTTGGGTTGGTCTGCTATCACTGTCATTGTGGGAGCACAGCTGATCCCTTCTGTCAACAATGATGTCCCCGGTTGGGCTGCAATTGTAATAATCGGTTCTGCGACATTCTTCGTCAGTCTCTTCGGCTACAAAGTAGTCCATATATACGAATCATACTGTTGGATCCCAACGCTTATCATATTCATGATCATTCTCGGAATTTTCACACACTCAGGAGACTTCGAGAACCTCCCGTTGAGAACTGGTACTTCAAAAACAGCATCGATTTTATCGTTCTCCTCTGCTGTGTTCGGCTTCGCAGCTGCCTGGTCTGCCGTGTCGTCTGATTACTGCGTTTATCAACCAGTAACTGTCAGCCGGAAGAAAATATTCTTCACCGTTTTCTACGGTCTACTCCCGGCGCTCTTATTCACGCAACTGTTGGGCCTGGCCATTGCGACCGCAACCGCCAATAATCCAGAGTATGCGGCTGCATACAATGACAACAAAGTTGGTGGCTTGCTTGCACATATTCTATTTCCCCACCTCGGTAATTTTGGCAAGTTTTGCCTGGTGGTTCTGGCTCTAAGTACCATTGGCAATAATATCCCGAATATATATTCCTTGGGATTTTCTCTCCAAATCCTGCACTCACAGGCGCAGAGGATACCTCGTTATGTCTGGTCCTTCGTTGGAAGCTTAGTATATATTGGCATTGCCATTCCAGGCTACTCCCACTTCGAGACTGTGTTGGAGAGCTTCATGCTGATTATTGTATGTATTATCACCCCGGAATTTGTATCCTTTGTCCAAACGACGGCTGTACCCCGTGCTTACGTTCCACATCGGTATAGGGATACTGGGCCGCCATTTATCAAGGCATCTCTTTGGGAGAACACGTTGTGTTCAGACGGGGAACAAGGCGCTATAACGTCCAAGATTTCGACACACCATCGAAGCTTCCCCCGTCATTCGCAGCCATTGGCGCTTTCTGTTGTGGTATCATGGGCGTTGCCCTTGGGATGTCACAGATATGGTTTGTTGGACCGATTTCCAGAAGGATAGACGAATCCGGAGCAGATATTGGCTTTGAGTTGGCGTTTGGGTTTACGTTCATCTCCTATATCCTATTTCGAATGGTAGAAAGGAGTTACTTCAGGCGTTAAGGGGGTGTGTCACATTCTTCAGTTTAATTTCTGCCGTCTTGTCAATTTCTGCCATAGTATTCGTATATCGATCGATTATAGATATTGTTGTTTTGACTTCTCTGTACAGATGGCTCATGAACATGAACCTTGAATTTAACGATGTTGGAAGGTTGAGGCTCTCAGGGGCAGGCGCTAACCCGGCTGGAACTAGTTGAGAGACACTAACCGTATCGGGTGATCGGGAAAACCTTCCGTCGCCGCCCAGACTCGGACAGGAAAGACGATGCGAGTTGGATTCGGCCACGCAGATCAACCGAAGATGCAGCAACTTTCAACTTCAACGTCCACAACTTCCACCCCGACGCGCTGTTCCTCTCGCCGTGCATTACTCTAGCTGGCCGCTGCCATAATCCCTAATTCCGTATTTACCTTATCCCTATTCTTGTATCTAGCTACGCAGTAACAACCCCAATCTCTGAATTGGGCGGAGTTTCCCCGATCTGTCCGCCTCAACTTGTCCTTCTGTTTTACACCTGGATCCGCGCGAATCGTCATATACACCATGGATTTCAGCTCACTAAAGGATCAAGTCAGCAATTTAACGCTGTATGATATCAAAGCTGGTGTCAGAAAAGTGCAAAATGGTGCGTTTTTACCTCTTCACTCTCTGTCCGACATAGGAGGGGGCCGTATATCAATCTCCTGCTCCAAATATCTTTGTGCTATATTTCGTATAGTGGATAGATTTTGCTAATTCTTGGCCGACCGTCTGAATGCGATTAGCTGTGATGAATTACACCGAAATGGAGGCGAAGGTCAGTCTTAGATCCAGTCAATATATAGACCCGAACTGCCGTGAACATTTCCCTTAGCCGAGGCCGCCATTCTTTGATACGCAGCTTCTTACTCAGATCGATACAGGTTCGGGAAGCTACGAATAATGAACCTTGGGGTGCCTCCTCTACACTTATGCAGGAGATTGCAAACGCAACACATAGCTAGTCAGTCTTCAACCGGCCCTATCTCCTTGATGTCTGGGGGAATTCATGGATTAACTTTTGTCACTTTTGTCACTAGTCAATTGCTCAACGAAATTATGCCCATGATATATAAGCGATTTACGGAGAAAACTGCAGAGGAGTGGCGACAAATTTACAAAGTATGCGATGAGTATCGATCATCTTTTTTGTTTGAAGTTATCAGACTGGAATGCATCTGACAACGTGGCTCAATTTTAGGCCCTTCAACTCCTTGAATTTCTAGTGAAGAACGGGTCAGAGAGGGTTATTGATGATGCGCGTTCTCACGTTTCCCTCCTCCGGATGCTTCGGCAATTTCACTATATTGATCAGAATGGAAAGGACCAAGGTATAAACGTGCGCAACCGAGCCCAAGAGTTGGCAAAACTTTTGAGTGATGTCGATGCGATCCGCGCAGAGAGAAAGAAGGCAAGGGCCAATCGAAATAAATTTGGAGGTATCGAAGGTGGAATGGGGTTGAGCTCATTTGGAAGTGGTTCCCGATATGGTGGGTTTGGGAGTGATGAAGCTTCATATGGTGGATATAGCGGAGGGGTGTATGGGGACGGAGGCGGATTTGGTGGTAACACTGGAGGATATGAAGACACAGGAAGAAGGAGCAATCGCTTTGAAGAGTACGACGAGGGCGACGATATCTCCGCGACTCCTTCTAGCGGGCGTAAGGCGAACACTACCTCCTCTACCCCTAGTCGGCGAGAAACAAAAAAGCCGGAACCTGCCAAGGAATCAGAGGCCTTATTTTCCTACAACAGCGAAGAGCCTATCGCAGACACATCAATTCTCGCGCCACCCAATCAGTTATTCGGTATCTCCGAGAACAAGGCAGCTGGATCTCAAAAAAACAAGATCATTACCCAAAGCAACGCAGATGATGATGACTTTGATGATTTCCAGTCTGCGCCCTCTTCTGCGCAAGCTGCGCCATCGCAGCCACAGCTTTCATCCATGCCTCATTCAACCCTCGCCGCTGCGACAACCCAATCAACCACACAATATGCCGCGCCTACGCCCGTGTCGGGTACACAGGGTGCGAACCTGAACGGCATTGTTGGGTTTACCTCGCCATCGCCAATTAGCAATGCTTCTGCCGCATCTACCCAACGCCCAAATCTTATCGGTACCGGTGTGTCGGCGTCAATGCAGTCACAAATACCAAAGTCTACGGGCTACCAAGCGGTGCAACCAAACTACTTCACGTCTGTCCCAGCACCACAACAACAAAGCTCCCAGGGCCAGAGCAAAAGCCCACTATCATCCCCTTCTATTCCCGGTACCAACAAGCCAGCCACGAGCACATCGGCGAAGGCCAGCGGAGATGCATTCGGCAGTCTCTGGACAGCCGCAAGCACCAACGCGGGACTTAAGACATCTACCTCTTCCCAACCCAAAGGTCCTAATCTCGCCAGTATGGCGAAGGAGAAGACAAGTGCAAGCATATGGGGCCCTCCTGCCACTTCAACTGCTTCTAGCCCAAGTGTGGGAAACAGTAAACCGCCAGCTCCGAATCCACAGACCAGTGGGAATGGGTTGGATGGTCTGTTTGGATGAGATGTTGGTTTCATTTTTCTTTTGGACAAAAATGTAGAAACGGGGACTCACGTTGCCAGATGAGATGGGGCGAAGGATGAAGGAGAGTGTGAAATTGAACTCAAATATTGAGAGTTTGAACAAAAAGGAAAACTGATATCGACAGAAATGCGTGGATATTTTTTGAATTAGTGGAGAAAGCAAAATTTTTACCTTCCAGTTTGAACGGATACCTCCCTACCTATTCCATCCCATTGACTTAACTGATTCTTTCTCTGCCTGTCATCTTGTTCCCATTTCATTCAAGCAGCATGTGCAATCTAGCTTAAGAATGTCGCTTCTGGAAATACATGTGTTTACTTTTAAAAATCATTTCCTAATTATGATTTCCCGTTATTTCCCTTTAAATAAAAACATCTGTACAATTCATCCCATCATTTGAAACTACCACAAGCTGACTAGGCCCTCATCATACCATCATTCATCACCATTTGAAGGAAAGATTTTGATTGTTTTCCAAGGCCCAGCAGAGGGCGCGCGCCTATTTTTTTTTTATTTTTACTTTTCTTCCCCCTCATCTCCTTCCCGTTTTAACTTTTCATTTTCTTATTTTTACTTTTTTATTGTAATTTTTAATTTTTTTATTTGATTTAATTTATTTTTATTTTTTAAATATAATTTTCACCTTTCACCTGAAGCTTTTCTTCTTCGCATTATTGTCAAAGAAATCCATATGCTGTGCTTATTTCTCCTCTCCTCCTACCCTCCTCCCATCTTCGCTGTCCAGATATTACCTCTTCCGTGTGCGTGTAGACAAAAACGGGGGATTTTTTTTTTTTATTTATTTATTTATTAATAATGCCCATACATGTACGTGGACGTGTACATAACATACATTTCCTCCCTCCCCCCTCCCTCCCCTCCTATATCAGCGCAAGACGTAACTCTTGGCATAAACGGTTTAACCCCATTCTGGATTCTCTCTCACTCCCCTCGCCCCCTTCTTTATCCCGCGTGAAAGGACAAAGGAGGAAAAGTCGGAGTGAGTTGGGGGAGGAGGGGGAGGAGGGCGGGCTCGGTTAAGAGGCTGCGGCGTCGGCGGAATGAGTTTATAAATATAATTAATTTGTAAGTCAAGTAATTCAAAACACAACCGAGTGATTTTGAATTTTTCATCAAATTTGTTGAAAAAGGAAGAGAACGGAGGGATAATTTAAAATAAGTAAGATAATAGAGAGGTTTGATTGAGAAGGTATATAAAGGTGAGGAATGGAGCTAATCAGAAAGAATAGAAATGGAAAGAAAAAGGAAAAAGGAAAAGAGACAAGAGAATATAACATGACAAAAACTGACATCAGCAAAAGCTGCGCTTGGCCTTGATGGATTTGAATTTGTCTCTGACAACAAAGAATAAAAGCCAAAGAAAAGAAATGTTAGAAAGTAGAAGAGGAGACAACCGGTCAACAGCAGGGGGATAAGATCAAGAACAGGGGTAATCAGAGGAAAGAGGAAACGGAATGACTGAAAAATATCCCAATTTCAACCAACAAGAAAAGGTTCACAACAACGATTCATACCAATCCAACTTTTTCTTTTTACTTTTAGTTTCATGCCTGGAGAAAAACAAAAACTGTTAATAAAAACTGTTGGTATTGAGCTGCCTTCTTGAGACTGAAAAGAGGATCAAAAAACAAAAAAGGTAGAATGTTTCATTCTACCCTTTTTGAGAGGCTGAATGGGAAGGTCGTTGTAATAAACAATAGCAATTAAGAAACAGGAAATTGGGTTAAAAAAAGGAAAAGAAAAGAAAAGAAAAGAAAACCGACAACAATAACAAAAAAAGGGGGGAGGAAAAAGTCTAGCCCGCAAGGTAAGCGTGCAAGCCAGAACACAAAAGGTACAGGAAAATTATGGAAAGGAAAAACACTTGATGTATTTCGTAATTGGGTTCACCGCGCGACGATAACAAATTGATTGAGAAAAACAAGGAGAACAAGACAAATCATGAGACGCAGTGGGGACCAAACTGTTTGCGCGGAATTAAAAAAAAAAAAATCAGAAAAGAGGCGTTTTCTAACTGACTCCGAATAAGCATCGAAGCCCGGCTAAAATCAGATTAAACACAAAAAAAAAAAAAAAAGGAAAGGAAATTCTGGAGAAAACATACTAGTGGATGAAAAGTGATGGAAGAAAGGGACAAATTTCCCAGGTGGAAAAATAATAAAATGAAAAGCCCGTGTAAACGGCTTCAAGGCTTCACATCCTTCCCCGACCCCGATCGTGTTCTATGCTTGGAAGAACTCTTCGGGCGCACGGATGACGAGCGCACGCCGCCCGTTGTGCTTAAGTTAGTGCCATCGTAATGCTCGATTTGTGGCGGCGTTGATTTCCGATGCCGATGTCCCGCTAGCGGGTACGGATCCAGATCACGACTGCTCGTGGAGAACATGGAAACGACCGGGGGCTGTTTCTTTTCGCGCTCCTTGGGTTGTTTGTCTCTCGTAGACGCATTTGCATTCGCGGGTGTTGATGTAAGTTGTGAGGATGACTCGTGATGGTTGTTAGGGTTGACATTCTCGTCTGCAGTAGGATTTGTTGCAATTGTGGCGCCGTTGCTTTGTTGTTGCTGTTGTCGAGGAGGCATATCTGGTGATGAATTGTCGGTGGGCAGGACATCAGGACTTTCATCTTGGGTAGGAGTAGATTCTGCATCTTCGGCCCCTGTCGATGTATTCAGAAGAGCACCATTCAGGCCGTTCAATCCCCCTTCAATGTCACGAACCAACCGGACGAATTCCTCTGGTACGAGCCCACTTTCTCCAGTCTTAGGGTCCTCCGCAACGAGCCAGCCTTGTCCATGACGATAAGATACTAGAATCACCTGTCCCTCCTTCAATGGCAATTCGTTCTCATGTTCGCGATCGAAATCGAAAAGCGCAACAGCTTTGCCATGCATTTCTTCATCAGGTGAAACAATTGTAAATTTGTAATCTCGCGAATAGCGGGATGCATCTCTCCACGATTCATCATCCTCCGATATCTCGTCGTCAGATTGGAGTTCCATGTCAGGTTCCATTGCCGTTCGGTCATGCAATGACGCGGCAAAGTGGGAGTCTCTGTGACCGCCAGGTGGATATGAGTCCGCGCTTAAGAACGAGCGATTCCCATCGTTAGCCGGGTACGTAACATATTCTCCTCCAGGACCATCGTCAACTGCGTCGTCGTCCTTGACATAGTATGTTGCGCTTCCATCCCCATTTAATCCGACGAAAACTCCTCGATCATCACTTCGCACAGAATATGACGACGGGTCAGCATCGTTCGCAATGCCAGGACTTCTCCCTCTATTAAAATCGGACCCTAAATGCGCAGATTTGTGTTTGCGATGCCGGGACGTTGTCACAACAGGGCTGTGCAAGTCCTCATCCTCGCTGTATGGTGGACCATCTCCAAACGCCATTGCAGGGAGCTGTTGGGTACCATACATGGCTTCCGGGTTCCATGGAGAATGCCAATGGCCGCGAGAAACATCCCAAGAAGCGCTGGGGGGGTCAGATAAACGTCTGGCTTCGCTCATCGGAGTAGATATTCCAGATTCGCTCGGATGGGGCCCATAATGCAGTGGGTGTATTGGTGGGTAGGCAAAGTCCCTTACTAAGGCGTAAGGCAGACTCGAATGAAAACCTAGGAAAACATGTGAAGGGGGTCGAGAGCGGTTCTGAGACGTAAAGGAGGTGCTGGAGTAGGTCGATAAGCGATTTTTCGCATATGAGGACGGCCGTTGGATATTCGACCGTCGGGGGGCCGGTGATGTTGTATGTGACGGGTGGTGAGATATCGTTGGGATTGAGGGGGTTTTGTCCGCCCCGGAAGGAGAGGATACAGGTGGGGATTTCGTTGAGGCCATTGCGAGGGACGTGAGAGAACAATTTGTGCTTCCGGACGTAACAACCGTTATCAGGAGGGTTTTGTGAAGAGGGTTTTGAATGTAATATCCGTCCAAATTGAACCCTCAATTGGATGTTTCAACCAACGGGCGTGTTTTTTGAATTTTATTGTCAATGCTAGCTGTCCATAGCCATAAGAAAGGAGTCGCACTCCAGAAAATATGTTCGATGTGCGTAAAAGCGCACAAAGCAGAGAGTGGTCTGGTGGGGGTCGCAGAGGAGGCAGATGGCACCGGCTTGTGAACGACAGCGATTGCAATAACGGGGTTAAACTACGCGGGTCGAGCTTGGAGTTGAATGGCTATTGGGGCCGGGTAACGTGGGATGAGGCCGACTTCTTGGAGAAAACAAATCATCCAATGACGATCAGATGTGAAGGGGAATGTGTTCTAAACACATATGCAAGTCACGATAGGAGCCCGCCAGCGCGCGTGGGAGATTGAAACCGTGGACGCTGACTGGAGCAGGTGGGAGGCTCGGGAAACAAACAACAGGGGTTGAATAAGCGCCGATATCGAACGGTCAGGAGATGAGAGATAATGGCCGATTCAACTACGCAATAAGATCAGTGATTAGCCAGTAGCCAGCCAGATCCAAAGATATGGTGAGCCGAGGGGCAAAAAAGTTACCAAGTGTTGATAGGGCCAGGCGGTCCGGGCAGACAGTGCGCTGATTGAGGGTGGCGGGCGGGGGGGAATGGAGTTGAGGAGTCAGGACAAAAGATATGCAGCACAGCAGCACACAGCACAGGGTCTTCAGCAACAAGCAGAACCACCCAAGCGCGGGGCGCAGGAGAGTCCAAGACCGAGCAGGCAACAATCCGGGGCGCAGAGCAGCGGATGGAGATCGTTGGCGGCGGCAGGAAAAAGAAAAAAGGGCGGGATGTTTGAGGTTTTTCGCGAGGAGGAAAGCTGCTATTAATAGACGGCGTGGGCAGACGAGACGGCGCCAACCGGGGGGAGGACACTGTGACTTGCGTCCATGTGGGATTTGGGCGGCGGGAGAGGTACCAGCTACTTGCTGCTCAGGCTAGCCGACTTTGGCGGTCTCACTGTGAAGCAAACGGCCAACAGTGAAGAGTTCAAAAGTTGGCCGTTGATACACATATATATATATATATAGGCTTGTTTGTATGAAAGAAGCCCGTTGTGACCAGTGTCTCAGAGAATGTATTTTGTTCACTTATTACAGTTGAATATCAGGTATATTTGTCTTTGATCTAAATGAATAAATAAAAGTACGGAGTACTAGTAAACAAATCAAAGATCTGTTAAATAAGGAATATACACATTCTGTCGGTTTGATTCTCAGATCTATCTAGTTGATATAGTTACCTGGGAACACCATCCATGGGATCATCTCTATTATCTCTTGCATCTATTGGATGATTTGGGACCGTGTGAATAGTAGTACCTGGAATTGCCATCCGAGACAATTGCCACAATTTTAGGTACTGCACATACAAGGGAAGGGAAAAAGAAAAGGAATACATATTGATCAACACATATGGAATTGATATGGGAAATCAAGCCAAACAAGCAAACAAACCAGCGAGAATTCGCCAAGGCTTGCATAAATACGATCCCTGAGACCCTTGCAAGAAAACATCATGCGAGAGGATTTGAAGAAAGTATATTCCGTAGAAAGGAGAAGATTAAAAAAAGCTAGAAAAGTAAAGAAAACTTGCCACTCCATATATACTACTAGTATTCATTCGATCCCTTTCTTGCTTCGTGAAGTTATATCCCCAGACTCCATCGCAGCCCGGGGCAGCGCCAGTTGGCCGCATCCGGCAACCTTCCATGTGGCTTTCCTCAACTGCAAAAAAGAAAATATAACGGTACGTTGGTTGGAGGACTAACGGCCGCATGTATGCATGTGTGTATGTACTAGGAGATCATGATATCCCTCTTGCTCTGCGCAGAAATCGCGCGAGGGTGAAACTGATGTCGAACCGCTCAGATGTATGCACCTGGTAACAGTTTCCTTGATATTTTCTTTTTCTTTCAAAATTTACAGTGAGGGCGCCCGGTTGTATTTCCTAGTGCAACAGGCAGATATATCGGTACATACTATTATCCATCACAGAAAAATAAACAGTCAATCAAAGGCACAAAAGAGCAGTACTGTCCTCTCCGCTCCTCACAGGCCAAGATCTCAATGGAACTGCTGCTTCCCGACTATATCACCAAGAATGCATAAGATAGACTCAAAGCTAGATTCCGGCGCCACCCATCTTGCAATGTTATCAATGAGCAGCTGCTGCAGCGGAAGGATATCTGGAACTAGATTTTTTAAATGCCGTGAAAGTGAGGCAGTAGTCAAGACCAGGGCGGCGTCAAGTGACCTGCATGTTTTGTTAGATGAGCAAGCTCATACATAGTTTTATAACATGATCTTATCCGAGAAGTCAAAAATCCAGACTTACGACTGTGCCAGTGTCCAGGTATACTGTGACGGCTTCTTCAAAATCTCGCCAGTATTCTGCAAATAGAGCCTGCAGCTCTCGATACACACCTGCGCCTCCGCCAGGACTTTCGGGGATGGTTCTCTGTCTTCCGGCAGTGAAGCGGAATACACCACGAATTGGCGATGGATGATATATCTTGCTTGATAGTAGCGGATCCTCAGAATCCTCTCGCGGCCGTCGGCAGTCGGCCCCACACCCAGCGTTGGTTTGATCAATTCCGGGACGGAATCGTACCACAGTAAGAGCTGCTGATCAAGCTCTGACGCGACCGTGATAGCCCCGGTTACTTCAAACTCCTCACTTAACTGGCCGCTTTCGAACTCGTTGGGGAGAGAACTCAGCACTCGGTTCAGGAGGCTTCTCATAGATATCTCTGCCAGATAGCTTAGCCCTTCTCGATCGCTGGGATTGCCAGCTTTAGGAAGTGCCATGTCATCGACCAGCGTTTCGATTCCACTTGGTGGAAGCTTCAGCTCGGTAAGATAATCACTAATTGATAGATTAGTTGCCACAATTAGGCTTGTATCTTTGTATTCTTTGCTTTTTTTTTTTTAACCCTTTGATTTTGGCCTGGGACTGGGGTTGGGACGTGTGAAGGTGCGGCGGAAACAAACCATTCTAGAAGAAAACAACTCCAGCATGCCTCTAGTATCCGCTCCTTGTACGATTCACCAATGGCGGCACTTACACTCCTGCAAGTTCATAGGGAAATTAGCACACGCAAAAGGAGTTCATCCAAGACGCTCTCAGAACACAGATAGGAATAAATATATACAAAATGCTTAACTCCACCACTCACCTCGACAGCAGCAGCTGCACATCCGTAGAAGCCATGTGAATGAGCTTCCAGCTATGCAACGGCTTTGCCATGTATGCAAAACAAATCCCGCCGAATATCAACGCCTGAACGAACTGCAAGTCGGTCCCAAATGAAAAGACAGACTCAGCCATAAGAATTTTTAAAGCGGGTTGGAGGTATTTCAGGGCCGGCTCCCAGTATTGCTCTTGCGGATTAACCGCTGCGGCCTCCGATGCAACAGCCCCCAGCGCAAAAACGACAAGACAAAATGCCGACTGCAAACCCAACCCCAGCCCGTCCGACATGACATTTTCATACATTGCGAAAAATGCATCACGGTCTAGAATTGGATGGCACGGGTGAATGTCGGAGAAGAAAGTCTCTACCAACCGGTCTGTGACCTCTCGCTCGATAGGTGGAAGCTCCGTCTGGGAGAATATCCAGGTGCCAGGCGCCGGAGGAACGTGTCGAGACTCGATTGAAAAGAAATGATCTTCGGGGAGTTCTCCCACCAGGGACCTGATGACTGGTAATTTAAGTAGACTATAGACTGGTGACGTCTGGTGTTTGGGCGGGGCTGTGAAGGGGGCAAATAAGTTGGCACTTCTATCAACCTGAGCAGTATTAAATTCAGGACTGACACCCGCAATCGACGATGGAGAAGAGTGTGTATTGCTAAGTGGAGATGTCAAATTGAGTCTGTCGACGCGAGATGGATCGGGGATTGGCGGTTCGATAATTATCGCATCCGTTGGCACTGCCTGAGCATCTAGGATCTCCTGGGTGGAGCATAGAGCGTCCAAAACTTGCTGCTGCTGAGAAATCGCAGCTATTGCTTCTGAATGGGACTTGAGGAGTGATTCTATACTGTCAAGCCTTCTTGATATTGCTGAGGGGATCGCTGGAGATTCCAGACTGTGGAAAACACTGTCAGTCATAGCACCATCCGCAGCAAGAATCGAGTTTTATGTTAGTTGTTATATTCGCAGCATCTCATGCGGCTTACGACTGAATCGGAAGCTCCTGGTACCGGCACTCTGCTTCTGCCTCGGAGCAATTGCCACAGACAGGCTTCGAGCCATCGCAGCGACGCTTTCTAACAAGGAAAAATGTCAGTTTCCTGCAGCCTGTACTGCGCGGAAAACGGAGCGCAGATTATGAGGCGAATCTTTCTCGGTTGGAATGACTGTTGATTATTATATTAACCTTTGGCGACAAAAGTCGCATGCAAGCAACGTGCGTTTGCGCGGGTAGCTCATGACGATAGCTTGATAACTACTTGACATTAACAAGCAATGTTGCTCTTGGGTAGACGAGGAGCAAGGACAGCAGCGTGCATTATCTGTAAACTTGGGCGCGGTTTCAATGTTGCGAAAGCTGGAGTTTTTGTCGCTCTGCACAACCCCAGACCGTGTGTGCTTTTGAGTGGCTTGTCCCTGTTTTTTTTTTTTAAACTCACAATAAATAACATTTGTTTTTTCATCCTTCTTTTCTGGGATTGGCGCTTTTGTTGAAGGCCTCGAAGAATCGAAGGGTGAAGGTTCGCTTTGACCATTCTGTTCTGGCCTTGACTGTTGCTGCAAGCATCAAACAAGCTTTCTTGGTCCAACGCCACTGCGAGATTGAAGTATCTTTAAGAAATCAGCCATCGCAAATGCAGAGATAATGTCCCTGTATGCCAGAATCAACCTCCTAACTTGGAATTTTGCTTGCAGATATGCCCCGGCGTAAAAATACTGACATTCTGATAACCAACAGCATTCGGAGTGAGCCATTACAGTGTATGCCTGAAGAGAGAGAGAGATCGGCAATTTGGAACCTAAGCCGCTGTCGTCTGAAGCACGTTTCAGTCATGCTGCTTGCTGTTGGGATTCATATAGGCCCATAATGGCGACTGGCCAAAACTCGCGCCGTACATATATCCGAGTCAAAGGCGGTAAATTGGTGGTTTGTTGAAAGGAGTTAAAAGTCTGAAGATCGGATACGCCCTCTCTAACCAACCTCCTTTTTTACGCTGTGTCAATCCAAAAGCCCAACAAAGAAATATCCTCGACGAGGAAACACATGTATATTTACACAAACTACGTAGAGTAGAGGGGAGGAAAGTATGGTTAACTATAGAAAAAGAAAATATCCGGCAGTCCTATCACAAAAGGCCCCCTATTCGATCACAGATCCATGAGAAACAAGGCCAACAGGTAAAAGCATAAAGCAAATCACTCAACACAAACAACTCACAATAAACGAAAATACGAAAAGAAAAAAAAGAAAAAAAGAGAGAGAGAGAGATTGACATAGGAGAGCGTTGTAACTTAAAATCAAATACGGTGTAAAAAAGATGAAGAAAAAGATGAAAATATAGATAGCAAAACAGGAGAAGATAACTTTAACAAGCAAATGCAATGCAGCTCGCACCAAAGAAAATATATAATAATAAACACCAAAACCCCCCAAAGATTCATTACAACATATCTAGACGGTCAATTCTCCCCGCCCCAAGGCACTGACAACAACCAATACCGTTGGTAATTCGAGATACGTTCCTTTCCTATATATAATAATAGCAATACATTTTTTCGTCTCAATTCTCTTCGTGGCCGACAAGTCGACTGCAGAGGAAAATACAAAAAAAAGGCGAGAGAGGGAGAAATAAAGAAGGAGCGAAATGTTGAAAGGAATGGAAAACCTTACAAATGCACATGGACGGATAAACAAATAAAGAAGGTAAAATAAATGCCAGAACGTTAAATGCCAAAGGAGAAAATAAATAAATAAATGAGAATAAAAATGAAAATAAAAACGTGTACAGTACATCGTAGATATAGCAGATTCCGCAAAGGAAAACGATAGGAGAACTCTCCACCCACCATATCAGTCACTCAACCATCGACAGGGAAAAAAACGTCCCATCATACCACCCGACTACCCGCACGAATCTCAGCCAAGTTCTTTCGAAAGCGGGAACTCAAGGTCCGAAAAGCCCTTTTTCTGGGGCCGGAAGGAGATGGCTGTGAAGGGGGAGGGGGAGGGGGAGCAGATTCCAACGCCAGTGTTGGAGTAGGAGGGGGGAAGGAGCCGTTGTCGTGATCGGAGACACAGTCTGGTTCGGGCGATTCTCGCGGTGGAAGCTCCGCTGCCTGAAGCGATGGCGAGGGAGGAGGTGAGGGTGCAGAGGGTCGAATCGATACTATAAACCCAGACGATGGGGAAATGGCCGTGGGTGCTGTTTGAGCTTTTGCTTGCCCCTGTGCCTGCGCATGCGCAGTAGGGGTGGGAGTAGGAGGAGTAGGAAGAGGGCTATCAGGCGGAGATGTGGGGTAGACGGTCTTAATGGCCGTTACTGTAACCGTAGACACAAGAAACTGGGGCTGCGTGGATGTCGGCGATTCTGCTACGGTTGGTAGAACGTTAGACGGTGAATTAGAAGCAGGGAAGCTATTGCTGGGTCGGTTGGGCAGTAATGGGATGATGGCCGGGGGATTCGATTCTGGATCGGATCTCGTTGGCTGAGGGGTCTGCGAAGAATCTTCAGGATAATCCAAGGTTGTAGGATTGGTAGGAGTTGTGGCTGCTATTTCTGTGGTGCTTGGTGAGGGATCGGGCAAGTTTCCGTCTGGGTCTAGAGTTAAGGGTGCGAACCCTGGTCCACCATCGTAACTGGGTGTAGGACTTGATCCCAGAGTAGAGGGTGGGTTGGGAGTCACAACATCACTAAGCGATACTGATGGGGAAGTAGCTGTGACTGCGGTCGCTGGACCCGACCCTAGTATAGTAAGAAACAAAGGACCCCCTGACGGGCTAGGGGAAGCATCTCCTTCAGGGGAGGGAAAGATAAGGGAAGTAACCGACTTTTGCCCGCTGCCTGAGTTGGTAAAAGGTTGTGCAGGGGATGCTGTAGGCGTAGGGCTTAGGGTGGCAAAAGTACTTTCTGTTGGGAGAACTAAAGTTCCTGGGATGATGGTAAATACATTCCCGCCTTTGTTGTCGGTGGTGGACGGCTCAGGAGACGCTGTAAGCATGGGCACTAAGGAACTTCCCGATACCGGCGTAGAGGGAATTAAAGGGACTATAGCGGGCAAGGTATCTGAAGGGGATGTGTCTGGTACTTGGGTTGCTACGGTTTGCAGTGGGCACGGTTAGAGACTCTGTCCATGAAGGGGGAGTTGGTCAAGGAGCAGCGAATGGTGGGTTGGGAGGGTGGAATAAACATGTACGAAAAAAAGCACTGCAGCTATTCTGTAAAACAAGAAGGCAAAAAGAAGAATGAAATTGGGATTACAGTAATTCCGCGTGTTATTACTCACCTGCAACAGGCACGGGCGGGTAACCACAATCACCCGCCGGATCTGGCCTCGTCTCCGGCTCCGATGCTGATGATGGTGATGGAACTGGTTTTCCACTAGTCGGCAGAGGCTCCTGTGATGCTGCTGTAGAAGGCGTGGACGGTGGTGGAGAATAACCCGAACCCAGATCACCTGGAATCGTTGGGGCTTGCAGGTTCTCGAATTGGGTGGGTATAGCAGCAGAGCCCAAATCCTGGCCTTCAGCAAATTTCAACGTAGACGGCTCTCCCTGGGCTACCACCTTAAGTTTACTTGCAGACGTGATATCGATATCCATGCAGGTGGTGTATATCTCCTGGTGGCCGGCAATGCCGTTCTTTTCATCAGCGATGGTTGGCCAATCCCACACCCAGTACAACGTATAGGGTTTTCCTTCAGGGGCATTCTTGGGTAGGGCTAAGTCATGCTGGCACCACAGATTTTGTCCCTGTGGTGTATCGTTTTCATGAGGAAACTGCTTTTGACGTTCCTTGGAAATCTTGTGGTCGTTTATTTGATAGCATCTGCCATCATCATAATTCTGCACCGAAAGAAGCATGCCCCTACGATCACCACCCGTGCCATCCTGAGTCCAAACTTTGTGGATTGAAGTGAACTTATCGTCAGGTTTGGGGTCTGTGGTGCCGTACACATATACTGTGCCGCGGTTCTCTGGCTTTCCCGGAGTATTCGAGGGGATTGTTACATGACCGTTTTCCTGGTATCTCAAAGCGACGGGGGAGCCAGGTGGCGCCTTGAGACGTGGTTTCCCATCAGTTTGGACTTGTTTCATTTGAGTGTCCTTGCAAATATTATCAGTCGGTAAGATCTTTGGTGGTCCTGGAGGAGGTGGACCTGGGCGGCTGGCTGGAGGTAACGGGAGCAGATATTGCATCATGGGGTCTGAGAAACCAGGTTTGTCGCGGGGGACATATCCCCGTGGAAAGCCAGGATCCCCGATAAATGTTCCATTTTTGGCAATAACAGTGAGCTCCTCAACCCAACTATGTCCAGCAACAATTGGGAAGAGATAAATGATATTGGCCATCAAGGCCAGGGATGGGCGTAGCCTGCGCATGTCGATCGTGGTTCAATGTAGTCTTCTTGCAAGTGGTACGCGAGGAGACGTGATGCAGGTAGAGTGGTAGAAATAGTGAAATCAACACACTTCAGTGTAGGAGACGAAGATGTCGATTGTGAGAATGTTGATTTTGCTGTTGTATTTGATAATGTTTGAAGGAAGACACGGCCAGCGATGTCGCGAGATATATGTGGATGCTTCTATCAGTGTCAGCAGAACTGAAAGGAGTGAAATGGGACATTTCAAGCAGAGAGTTGGTGACACGCGAGTTGCAGGTAGAAGCGGATTACCATACCACATTATTTCCAGGGAGAAAGAAGAGGAGGAAGAAGGGTGATGGTGGTTTGTGGAGAGGGGCAAAATATCTGGGTGTCTAGGTGAGATAGGGAACTTACCATAATAATATTTAGCATTCAATCAATGAATAGATTAGATAGCAAGACGCAACACTCATCTGGAATTATAAGTGAATGAAATAGGAAGTCTGAAAAACCAACAGCCGACCATAAAAGTGAAAACAATGTGTAAGAGAATGCCATTCATTCATTCAAGAGGAGCAAAGGGAAGTTCCCCTGGCATATATGCACAAGTTATATAAAGAAAGGAGAAGTAGAGTTGACAATGGCATTCATTGCCACGCTTTGTTGCCCGCCTGCCCACTGATAAATAGCAGAGCGCTTATATTAATAATAACTCTCAGAAACGGAAATATCCAACTAACCAGGGGATATGAAAAAGGGAGAGAAAGAACAGAGTACCCAAAAATACCTGGCCGAGGCAGATACATGGGATACAAATAGTAAAATGATAAACCCCAGGACAACGACTACATGATAGCCGAGACTCCATTCCATATTGATGTTTGAAGAGAACGGGGCAAAATCGCTTTCCCAGTAGTATCCAGAAGCTTCATTCAAAAAGATGGGATCTCAGCCAATCGATGGCCAGTGGGCAGCCATCAGCCAGACAAGATGGTTTGCAGTTCTTCAACGGACGAGGGCTTTCGCGCAGGGCAAAAAAACGTTGTTTCAAACACGCTGCCCTGGTCCCTGGAGCTAAGTAACTAATTTCGCGAGCCGCCCGAGATATATATATATATATATCCAACGCGTTCCATCCTCGATCCTGGGCTGCCATTCCACAGCGGCTGTGGGTATAAATAATAGTGTTAATTATACAGGCGATGGGTAACAAGGCGGGAAGTGAGGAAGGAAAAGGGTCCACTGTGATGCGACGGGGTGCAAAGAACTGAAATAACTCTTCCTTTCTTTCTTTTCCCCACTCCTACGTGAGCAGGAGCTAGCAGGGCAGTTACCGCTCTCTCCTGCTGGTCGCGCGCGCTATCCGAGTGTCTCTTTGTCTTCGTTGGAAAGGATGTGGCGCGTCCAGAGAATCGAAAAATAGCGGTTTGAACTTCACCGGGCGCGACATATGGAACCAGGGGACCAGGTGGGTCCCCCCGAGAATCCAAGAATGAGTTGAACGCGGTCAGATTTCGCCCGCTTCCTCACTGCGATTTGCTGTTGCTGCCCACAGCGAAGAGGGAGACACGCGAAGGAGATCGAGGACGACGAGGGGAAGATGGAGTTCAGTGGGAGAAACCATCCATCATGGTTTTGGCGTTGTTCCACGCCGGTAGGGTCTTGGGTGCCCGGACGACGCTGACTGGCCTTTGGCTGGCTGCTGAAACAGACCTAACTAGTTGGGCGACTGGGCGAGTGTGTGGGGCTTTGAAGGATCATCCGCTGCCACACGACTGCTGCAGGCAGGATGGAGATGAAACCAGGGCTCCCAGAGACATCCAAAACAAAACAAAAAGCCTAAGTGTAGAGCTTTGAAGGGGTCTGGCAATTTGCTATGTAAATTTTGAATATGCCTATCATAGCCTCAAGTATTTATCGCGAAGAGGTACTCTCCTGCTTTTTGTTTTACAACAGTACAACCCAGTTAACCTGGAAGCCTGACCGTATAAACAAGGGCAAAGGAAAAGGCAACAGCTCCTCGGGTGAAACCGCAATATTCAAGAGTTGGAGAGAGCAAAGAGGCTCAGGCTCAGGCTCAGACTCAGGCAGCATCTGCCTCCTGATTCCATCTCTTCTTCAGAATCTATGTGGAGCATGGAAAATATGCAATCACTGTGCAGTTGTTAAACCACACTGAACTGTACAACCTAAAATTACCTTTTATTTTGTTTATTCACCTTCTGGTTCTTCAAAACAAATGAATATCCCGTGGATCAACTTGTCTTTGAAACTTGTTGTTGGCATCTAAAACCTTGACCCATCTGATATACGATCGATCGTGCATTTACAGATTTACCAGCATACAGAGTAAATAAAAACTGATTCAGATATCACCAGATGCTGTAATCCATCATGAGCCCATTTCCCACGTCTTAGATGGTGAGGTTAGTTATCTCAACATAAATCATTCTCAATCTCCTCCCTTCGCCTCCTCTTTCCTATAACTGTTCATTCCGGAACTGATGCATACAAGGATAAATGGGAGCTATGGAGGAAGGAAAGTTTCGGGAAAAAGAGATACACAATTTCTCATTTCCATACGAGCGAAATCTATACAGCATTGGGCAGCTTCCATTTTCAGCTGCTAGGGGTAAATGTGTATGGGATAGTACGGTATTATTAAAAAAAAAAAGGTTCAACCGTTCTCGACAGTGGAGAATACTGTACATAGCACATAGGGAAGACGAAAGGATGACGAGATGAGGGGTTGTAAGAGAGCATGGCACGGTCAAAAGCATTTGCAGGACTCTGCGTATGGCCACTGGTCAGTGTCTATGTATGCATGAATGAATGCATGCATCAAGGACAACCGACTCCGATTAGCTGGATCTTGCTTCGCTTGTTGTGTGACACGGTCCATACGTCATATCGAGGGTTTTTTAGGCAAGGAGAGGAGAGGAGGAGATAGGGTTGAAGTTGAAAGGACGGCTGGATACTTCTTGCGATGGATCTGTATAACATGACATCAAGATGACCTTTGTTTTGTTCTACCTTTCTCAGATCTGAGGGAAATCCATCCAGTTCCAGTTACAGTGGAATCAAGGAAGGAGTGTGGAGCATACCCACATACCCACAAACAGGGTGTCTCTCACATGTTTCCGACGCGAAAAAAATGACCCCGCCCCGTCATGTTCGTGTTGCGTCAACGGTGGAGGGCGAGTATCGAGTATTCCGATTCGAGGCACCTTATCAACCGATCCCCCGGGACTACGGGAAGAAGCATGTTATTGCCCGCATGTACGGACCGACAGCCGGGCAGGTTTTGTTGGTCGAGGATGGGGTCGATTGATGGAGGGGTGAGATACCAGACTGGCCACGAGGATAGCCGGGTTTTGCATTGGCGTCATGCATGAGGTGCTGCAACCAACTTGTTAACAAGAACAACACCACCACCAACAACAACAACAATAATAGTAGTGTCAAACATCTGAGAGGGTTGAATCATGAATGGGGCTTGAATTTAGAGTAAGCGGGGGGAGTTAAAAGGTAATTTAAAAGTAAAACTGAAAGAGAAGTTTATCAAAAGAACAATGCCAGTATACGGCTTTAGGTTCATAACGTATCAATTGCGGCTGCTGGACGCCTCATGCCCGGACGCATCCACTACTGCTGTCAGTCTGTCAGCGTCAGTTAGTGTTTGTTAGTGACTGTTGTCAGAACTTCCCCAACTGCATCCACAGAAGCGCCGCTGCCGGAAACAAAACAAAGTCTGTATCCCCGGAACAACAGGATAATCCGACAGTTGGATCAGCCCGGAGCAGCCTAGCGCGTCGCGGGCGGTGAGGAATTGATCACGAAATCTGGCTGCATCCTGGCCTCTATCCTGGCTCGTATGTAACGATGCTCTGTGGTTATTGGCCTGGGCGGATCCTGGGTTCTGGGTTCTGGGTTCTGGGTCTGGGTCGAAGGGTTCCAGCGTTGAGTCGGTTAGTCGGCCAGGCTAAAAAGGGGCAAGGGAAGGTTTGCTGCCAACCACGACAGAAAAAAGACACTAGGAAAAAAAGTTTTACGACTTGCGTCAGTCCTGCTGCTCCTCATGCTGTCGAGGGAGGCCACTTTCCTTCCACTTACCTTCTTCTTACAGGGGCCCCAAGCAGCAAAATAGCAACCGAATTCCCCCCCCTTTGGTTCACCTCACGCAACAGCCGCCCTCTTCCTCACCATCTTCGAATTTTATCGCTCCCACTATGCGACTCTAGCAACAGGCAACTCCTCCCTTTTCCTACATTGGCTCAATTCCTCCTTCCGTCCATCTTTCGCCGAGCCTGTTCCCTTTTGTGGAGCTTCCGCAGTGACTTGTGTGGTGCGAATCGCCTCAGCCGCTACTAGTAACTTACTTTTAAGTTAGGGGAGTTGAGCTTGTGCCCATTCTCTCTTTTTTGATATCATCTCGCGTTTTCCATTCCGATCTTTACCCCCATGGTCGATATTCCCTCCTGAGTTGTGTTGGATTGAATGTCATATCTCTTAACTCCGTGTGAGTGTGAGTGTTGCTAGCTGTTACAGTCCAAATTCTCTGCATGATCTGGAAATTAAAACATCCCTTGGTTTCAAGGCAGCAGTAGCAGCACCGGCTGTTTTGTGCACCCAGAGGGGCAAAACAGAACACCCACAGAAAAGTAACAGTAACCAACACTTTGCCAATGAACTATCTAACATTTACCTCTTTGTCTAGGGCTTCGTATACCCACCATCGCGTTTTCCACTCCTTTTCATCCGGTCCCTCCGAATCATACCTAAGCCCCCCTTCAAATGTCCGCTGTGAGAGTCCTGAGATAGCCGCTCTCTTTTTCTTTCTTTCTTTCTTTCTTTCTTTTTTGCTCTGGCCGCATATCGATCGAGTCTCCGTCCCCCAACACTTGAAATCGTTCTTGGTACTTGGAAGCACCATTGGTTTTGGTAACAAAAGGAGAAAATCACCCTTCTAGAAGGGGAAGAAAAAAGAATTAATTAAGGATTAAAAGATCTTAAGACGAGAGATCATTAGCTACGGTTACTCGATAAAAATTAGGATAACCATGAGGGGCTCCTGGCTTATCCCCAAACGTTTCCGGAACGTCAACGCCGCCGATTCCGCAGAGGCTGGATGGCTCAATCGCCGCTTAACCACAGCGCTGCAAAAGGTGGCTAGCAGAGCCTGTCTACACCCCATCCATACTATCGTTGTTATCGCGCTGCTGGCGAGCACAACCTATGTCGGGCTGCTTGAGGGGAGTTTGTTTGATGCCGCGAGAGACGTGGGCGCAGGCCCGGGGCAGCTGGATGTTGAGTCGTTGTTGAATGGGGCGCGGACTCTGCGTCTAGGAGAGACTACGGGTTGGAGATGGCAAGTTGGCAATGATGCGCAGGTGGAGGATACCAAGGTATGCACGTGTCCTTTACCCCATCCCATCTCTTCATTGACCAAATAAAAGAAATCAGAAAGATACAAAAATTGCTAACCGACATTTTTTGGTGTTGCGAACCGTGCAGAATGTCCAGCACCTAGCATTGACTACCTTCGTGTTCCCGGATTCGTCCGCGCGCTCCCCGCAAGCACCACCACAGGCGAGAGACGTCGCGGTCCCGGCCAACTGCTCCGCGGTGCCCATCCCACATACGCCCAATATGCTCTCACCGATCTCACACGATTCGTCCCTGGCGTTCGCAGTGCCCTATGACCAGATTTCGGAGTTCTTGCGAGCAACGCAGGAAATTCCAGAAACGATAGATACCAAGGACGGATCGGCCGAGCAGAAGAAATGGATCATGAAGGCGGCCCGTAGCTCTGGTTCTGGATCGCGACGCGTGTTGCGCATTTGGCTGACGGATGCTTGGAATTCGTTCGTTGACCTTTTGAAGGTGGGTATGCTTTTGCTGTCCCTTCGGAACAATTGGATGGCGTCACGATTGACTAAAATTGAGATCATGTACTAATTTCTTTTCTGATGGATGCAGCATGCGGAAACCGTGGATATAATTATCATGGTTCTTGGATATATATCCATGCACCTAACCTTCGTGTCTCTGTTCCTGTCCATGAGACGCCTCGGCTCCAAATTCTGGCTCGCGACCACTGTGCTATTCTCGGGAGTCTTCGCCTTCCTATTTGGTCTCCTTGTCACCACCAAACTTGGTGTTCCCATAAACATGGTACTCTTGTCAGAAGGCCTCCCCTTCCTAGTAGTTACGATCGGATTCGAAAAACCCATCATCCTGACCAAGGCTGTCCTGTCAGCTTCGTTGGATACTCGCCGCCAGGTCCCGCCTAGGCAGACAGGCTCAAGTATTGCCGCCTCCTCACCAAGCTCCATCCAAGGCGCCATCCAATTCGCCATCAAAGCAAAGGGTGTTGAAATTGTCCGCGATTACTGCATCGAGATCGGGATATTGGCTGTCGGTGCTGCGTCTGGCGTTCAAGGGGGTCTGCGACAGTTTTGCTTCCTTGCTGCATGGATCCTGTTCTTCGACTGCGTCTTGTTATTCACCTTCTACACCACGATCCTATGCATCAAGTTGGAGATCAATCGGATCAAACGACATATAGCTCTCCGCAAGGCGCTGGAAGAAGATGGTATTACCCGCACCGTCGCGGAAAATGTGGCTGCGAGCAATGACTGGCCGCGCATGAACCCCGAGGGATCCGATGCGAATGGGCAAGCCTCGGGAAATACCAACGGGGTGTTTGGCAAGGAGGTCAAGGCGAGCAGCGTTCCCAAGTTTAAGATCCTGATGGTGGGCGGATTTGTTCTTGTCAATGTGTTCAATCTGTGCACGCTCCCGTTCCGAAATCGCGGTGATGGCTTGCTTTTCCCGGCGCTGTCGAAACTTTCCAATGTCCTCTCGCCTGCTCCGATCGATCCGTTTAAGGTGGCGGAGAATGGGTTGGATGCAATTTATGTGGATGCCAAGAGCAAGCAGCAGGAAACCGTTGTTACGGTGCTAGCGCCGATCAAGTATAACCTCGAGTATCCCTCTGTGCACTATGCTGGAGCGGAGGAAGGTGGCATTTTCGATATCGAATATACGGATCAGTTTTTGGATGCTGTTGGGGGAAAAGTTATTGAGAGCTTATTGAAGAGTCTTGACGATCCGATTATCAGCAAGTGGATCATCGCGGCTCTGACATTGAGTGTTATTCTTAATGGATACCTGTTTAACGCTGCGCGGTGGAGTATTAAGGAACCGGAACCTGTCAACGAGATCGCCAAGGAGCCTGAGATTGACCAGGAGAAGGAGCAGAGGAAACAGGAAGTTAAGGCGAATGGCACACTTCGCTCGCGAGAGGAGTGTGGGAAGTTGCTCAAGGAAAAGATGGCACCCTTTTTGACGGATGAGGAGTTGATTGATCTTTCGCTTCGCGGGAAGATACCTGGTTACGCTCTAGAGAAGACCATGGAAGACCCAAGCATTCCCCGCATCGATGCGCTGACGAGAGCTGTCAAGATCAGAAGAGCTACTGTCTCACGGAACCCGCAAACTGGTTATTTGACCAGCTCACTCGAATCCTCCAAGGTGCCGTATAAGGACTACAACTACACCCTCGTCCACGGCGCCTGCTGCGAAAATGTCATCGGTTATCTCCCACTTCCCCTCGGTCTCGCAGGCCCCCTAACCATCGACGGCCAAAGTTATTTCATCCCCATGGCGACAACGGAAGGCGTCCTGGTCGCCAGCACAAGCCGTGGCTGCAAGGCCATCAACGCCGGCGGCGGCGCCATCACCGTCATCACCGGCGACGGCATGACCCGCGGCCCATGCATCGCGTTCCCAACCCTCGCCCGCGCCGGCGCCGCCAAAGTCTGGCTAGACTCCGAAGAGGGTCAGACCGTGATGAAAAACGCCTTCAACTCCACCAGCCGTTTCGCGCGCCTCCAGTCCATGAAAACGGCCCTGGCTGGCACGAATCTCTACATCCGCTTCAAAACCACCACGGGCGACGCAATGGGCATGAACATGATCTCCAAGGGCGTCGAGAAGGCGCTACATGTCATGTCCACCGAGGCCGGGTTCGAGGACATGGACACCATCTCCGTGTCCGGGAACTACTGCACGGACAAAAAGCCAGCTGCGATCAATTGGATCGACGGGCGCGGGAAGGCTGTTGTTGCTGAGGCGATTATACCGGGCGACGTAGTGCGGAGCGTGCTGAAAAGCGACGTCGACGCGCTTGTTGAGCTGAATATCAGCAAGAATCTCGTCGGGAGTGCGATGGCGGGCAGCATTGGCGGGTTCAACGCGCATGCGTCGAATATCGTCACGGCCCTCTTCCTCGCGACGGGCCAAGATCCCGCGCAGAATGTGGAGAGTAGTAACTGTATCACCATGATGAAGAAGTTAGTTCTTTCCCCTTAGCAAAAGAAGAAGAAAAAAATCCCTATTTCAATCCCCCCCTCCCTTCTTCACCCACCCCCACACACCACTAACTGACTTCCTCCACACAATCAACAGCACAAACGGCAACCTCCAAATAAGCGTCTCCATGCCCTCCATCGAAGTCGGCACAATCGGCGGCGGCACAATCCTCGAAACCCAATCCGCCATGCTCGAGATGCTCGGCGTGCGCGGCTCGCACCCGACAAACCCAGGCGACAACGCACGCCGTCTCGCGCGCATCGTCGCCGCAGCCGTGCTGGCAGGCGAGCTCTCGCTATGCAGCGCCCTAGCGGCCGGCCATCTGGTCAAGGCGCATATGGCGCATAATCGGAGTGCGCCGGCGTTGGCGCCAGCGACCGGAACGCGAACGGAGGCGTCAACAAGGTCTGTCACACCTGTATCGGCGGCGGTGGGGGCGGCGACGGTGGGGTTGGGGATGACGACTGCTTCGGGTGCGGGGCGGTGATTGGGTGGATGGTTATACATGTGTGCTGCTGTCTACTTTGTTAAGCTGTTTTTCCATTTTTTTCCATCTTTTCTTTCCACGGCATATATGGAGCGTATATATCCCCTGGATATTTTTGTTTTTTTTACCTCCTTTTTGCAAAGAAAAACCCATATATTAGTTTATAATGTACTTTAACTTTTTGGCCGCAAAAATTAATGCGCCCCTGTTAAATCTTTCTTTTTTTTCTTTTTTCTTTCGTTTGGCGCCTTTAACCAATTGCACTTTGCGAGTTGACGTGTTTTGATTTTATTTACTTTTTTTATTTTTATTTTTTTTATACCTTGCTTTTTTCGTTTTACCCACCCAAATAAATAAATAAATTCCAGATACATGTATGTGTACAGAAAAAGCCAAGGGCCCTGGGTTGGTGAATTAGAGAAGCAGAAAGATATGTAAGTATGGGAGGGATGAAGGCTGAAAAAAACAACCTTGTCCATCCACGATAGAAATGAGTGAAGATTCATAAAACAGGTGCCATCCAGACATACGATTTCTACCTGATTATTCGATTATATTTGCTGCTGCTACAGCTGCTGCTGGGATTCAAAAATCGACCCGTCCGTCGTGTCCCCGGCATGCTCACACCCCCCCCCCCCCCTCGCCCTCTTTTACTCGGTTTTTATTAACTGATTTGAATTGAATTTCATATATCATCTACGTTGCTCGACCATCAAAAAATCTCGTAGAGGGTCTGATCTGTCTGTCCGAGAAGGAAAAAAAAAAAAAAAAAAACACAGCTCCAGCTTTCTTGAAGAAACCAACCGACGGGCGACCCCCGTTCTCCCTCTCCATACAAACATGATATCACTATCTTCAACATCATTACATCTAGTTAGGTACACCTCAAATATCAAGTCAAATCATCATAAATCCTATAACTATTTCTGAAATTCCTTATCTATCTAGCTTCATTTTCTTTTTTTGGTGCGATCACAGAAACTCTGATGGTGAATACAATGCTCTCTACTATCAGTTGAGATAGTTATTATTACATTATGAAGATGGTATTGCGAATGTTTTTTTGTGAATTCATGGATGAGATAGGATAGGCACGTGACCAACACATTTCGATCCTCCATAGATCCTTGTAGATCCTTGTAGAGATCCTCGTAGGAGCTTGAAAGCTTCTTAACTTCCCGAGTTCATGAGTGGCAGCACTGACGATCCCGGTATTTTCTCACAATGCACGGTTAGAATCCTCCCTTGCCGCCATGCTACTGGCAACAGGAACAAGCCCTTGAAGCCGGCCATCGGTTCTTACCCCACGATGCTGGCGAGTGGACCACAAGCACCATCATCATGCCTGTAAGCTTCTGGCATCTTGATCTGAGCCACGACTCCTGGAGTGAAAACACATTTCTCTTTCCAGACGCCCCTTGGCCTATTCGAGAAGGTCATGGTTCCCTCTGTGCGGAAGAAGGTCTATTATCAGCGACAGCAGATCCGTGCCGGTGTCGTGACTCCCGAAGAAGCAGGAGCTCTGATACCGAGGTTTGACCTGAGGCTTGCGGCTGTAAAGGAGGAATACCGCGCCTGTGTGATAAGCTAGCACTATGGCCACTGGGTTATCCATAGCAAAAGGCCAACGTAACTATTGTGTTGAATGGTTGCGCTCATAGTGATATATATACCCGTGGGTGTGGTGGTGCGGCCCGGCCCACAGCCATCATGGCCACCCATCCCACCACTTATACACTGCGACTACCAGTTGCAGCATAGTGTGGGAACCACACCCGTACAAATAGTCAGAATGCAGAGGGGTAGTTGACCTGGGATTATCGAAGATTTATCCAGGGCCGTCTAGGTTGAGAATATTGAGCTCCTAGCTAGGCATTGTTCGGTATTTTTGCCAATGGCGATTCTGTAACAAAAGTAAATGCTCTGAAGCTTTCGCAATTTCCTACTTTATGATCTCCTTCTCGTTCCCTTTCTCCTTCCCCCACTGGCTCACACTCAAGTCACGGCTTCCCTATACTGTCTATGTTTATATGTTTTATATACCCCAATCACACAAAATGCCTCGTGGTTTAACTCATCTTCTCCAGTGCTTGCTTGCCGCCCAAGACGGCTTTTCGAACGTCGGTGGGGAACTTCATTTTGGTGATATCGGAACCGTAACCGTAACGGTTGTCATTCTTACAACGGCCGTCGAAACTGTGACGTTGGAGAATTGGGGGAATGATTCTACTTGTCATGAACGGGATTCGCATCCCGAACCTTGAGAACTCCCTAGCGATGAAGATAAAATGCTTCTATCTCCGACAAGACGATGAGAATGACTGGGAAAGGATACGGCGTGATATCCTCGACGTGGAGACTTTCTATAGCAGAATGGTCCGAGAGTCGCTGACCATTACAGATCAGTGCGCGGAGAAATTCCAGTTCGGTCTTTACCATTTGTTGGACAGCACAAGGACTGGAAGCCTCACCCTCAGTCAGTGGCATTCGCACATATCGGCCAGGCAGCTCAATAGAGACGCCAGACTCAAATGGTGGAGCCGTGCTGAGAGCAGGCTCTCTCGATGGTACCGGAGCTGGAGGCACACTGGGTTTGCTGTGGAGTATGAGGTCAAGGCCCCCACGGAGCTCGCTCTGCTTCGGCATGCCCTCCACTGCTGGCTTGCAGCCCGGTCCTCACATGGGGACTTCACCTGGTATCACAGGTGTTTCCGCCATGAGGATGCAAAGCTTTGCTGTATGTGTGAGCATAACAAGAGACCAGCTGTCAGACCATGCAACAGAGCAACAGCTATTGCTTATCTTGGGTCTTTGATCCTCTTGGACTTCATGGAGCTGCTGGAGCATGAAGGGCCATACCTTGGGGCCCAGGAGTGAATGCACAGTCCTGAGGACTGAGTCTTTTCAAGAGTTGCTATCTGAATTCTGTTCTCCCACTACTATGTATATAGAGATCTCTTTAGCATGGCATGTCCCCATGCTCTTTGGGAGGCTTCAGAGGTGCAGGTGTTGCCTGCACCCCTCCGGGGTGCTAAACAAGTACTGTACATACATACATACATTTGTTGGAGTTTCGTTTGGAGCTCAGCGCAAGTGGCCTAAGCGACTTCATCGCCACCGGGGGCAGGAAATCGATCCTGCCTTGGGAAAAGAGCACCAAGGATCAACATGATTACTTTGAATGCTTTGCCGAACGTAACGCGGATCCGTTAACCTGCGAGGTGGAGAAATCGGAGGAATGATGGCCGGGTGGATGGACTGTCATATGGTTCCCTTCTTACTTTCTTTTTTTCCCTTTTTTTTCTTCTTCCCTCCCCCACCTTCATGGTCTACTTCTCAGGAATATAGACAGCCAGCCATCGCTCAACCCTTGTTTTCTTTTCAAATACAGCGTGCCAACTCCATTTTGTACTTGAGCTTTCAGGGTTGTTTAGCGCGCCAAAAAGTGCCACGGGGTCAAAAAAGCTCGATCACCACCAGCGCCATGCTAGTGGTAGAGGGGAAGAACCAATCCAAACCAACTATATAGGCCCGAACGAAAGACATGTACCTGAACGTGTCTAAAAGTAGGGAGAGAGATATCATTCTAATAAACATAGTATTTTTTTTGACAAAGCATGCAGTCTCTACTATGCACAATGACCTTAACTGAAGCCACCACGCAGCCACTGACTCCAGATCGTGCTTAGTTCGTAGTTCTTTGGATTCTTCATCCCCTCTAGACTCGGCTCTAAGAGACAGGGATAGAATGGATATTTAGCTAATTATCTGCACCAAAGCAAATGCCAGTAATATCTCCTACCGCGTAATAAATAGAAAGTAACTCTATAATGACACTTTCTCATCTTACGCAGTACAACAGCAGTTAATATCCTCGTCCCGCGCTGCTGTTCCATAGCGCCGTTGACTCTCCTTAGTTCTTGCCCCTGCTGCCATCTCATCCTCCTCGCCGCCAACAGCACATCCGCCAACAAACTCCTGGATTCTTCGGATTCTCGCCCATCTATCCGCTTGCGAATCAAGCGGTGCGGTGCTTCATCCCGTCTCTCATCTCTCGTCTCCCATCTCTCGTCTCCCATTCCCTCATCCCTCATCCTCCTCGCTCAGTCTGGTGTTAGCGCCGTCAGCCATCAGCCATCAGCCATCCTCCCATTAATTACCGTAGCCGATCTGCAACGGTCCAACAACCGCTGTGCTGCTTGAATCGCGAAGATCGTCCTTGTTATTATTCTTGAATTTTTTTTTTCTGGTTTTAACCTTTTCATTCTTATCTCACATTTCTCCCTCTTTTCGCGTTGCCTCATGTGCTGCAGCTAGCAGTAACGGCGTGAAAACCTGCTCTGTCTTGAGTACACGGGCCCCGTTTTCAGGGGAGAGATAACATCGCCCGCTTAACTTCTCCGCAAGCACAACCCACCGCGCGTCCGAAACAGGGGGGTTTTTCCTAACGATTTAATGAAGCTGCTGCCATTCATTCCCTTAAGACTCCGTCTCCATGAACCTGTTACAACGCCGCCAACCCTCGCTGCCGCTCTTGTCGTTCCGGAACGCACCTTTCACTCCTTTGCCTCCTAACGGTATTCGAATCTGAAAATCAGTTAGCACATGGTTCCAAAGGTTCCAACGGATCCAACGGTTGTCCAGAACAATTTCGAAGTGGAAAATATCAAGGGGAACTCATCGCTGGAAACCTTAGCGGCATTGGCATATTTCTAGAAAACGGGGTTCCTCATGCTGTGAATCAAGGGGTCATCTATCGATAGTGCTATACAACTCCGCTCGCTTCTCTTCTCTCCCCTTTTCATTCTCCATTTCCTTTCATTCTCTCCCTTTTTCTTTACTTCCTTGATTACGATTCTGGGCATGGTATACTTGGCCACTCAGGGACCATGCCACCCGTTTCTTCCACCGATGGAAGCGAATGGTCTGGGGTTGACCGGTACCAGTCGATGGGTGGCAAGTCCGATCCACCGCAGTTCCCCGCTCTACCGCTCAGCCGGAGTGCCCTAGCTTCACCCCCAATGTCCGCTTCAGGTGGCCCACCTTATAGTCCGCTACAGATGCATGCTCCAGATGCCCCGGACCCTACTCCTAATGCCAGTAATAACACCAACGGCGGTCCTGTAAGTGCCAATGGCCTTGCTCCGCGCCGCCCATCGGACATGTCCCAGAACCCTTCGCCGCCCAGTTCCATCACATCCAAGTCGAGAGCGAGTGACGGCACCCTTTCCGATCAGAGAAGCAAGAGATACAAGATGATGGAGGACCTGCTGCTGAAGCACTACAACGTACTGAAACGATATTTGCATGGACAGGGACGGGAGGAGCTTACAGCGTCACGACCAAACAAGGCCCGCGACAAGCTCCTCAGACTCTCCCCGAGTCAGGTCATGGATCTTAGTACAGACGTGTATGACGAACTGCTCCGTCGCCAGGCCGTCTCTCCCAATCGGCCTGGTGGCCCCCGACCAGATGTACCCCCTTACCTTCCTCCACGTGCGGAATTCCACGAAAAGCGCAACCAAGCCCGTCAGGTCCTTTCCTCTCTCCAACCTCCCAGATTCAGAGACCTGGCTACAGACGTGCTGTGTGAGCTAGAACGGCGCTTCCCGCACTTCGCAGGCATGGATCGAAGTCGCAGAATAAGTCCCGCACCCAGCCTGCGCGGCGGCTACGATCCACGCCCGGGCTCCAATGGGTCGTTTGGCTATGGCCCAAATGGCTACCCTCCGCCTCCTCGATCCCAATCCAGAGGTCCGTTGCCCAATGGTCCCGGGCCCGGGTCTGGTCCTGGCGGAAGGGGCCTGCCACCGAATCCCCACCAAGGCAGCCGATTCCCTCCCCGACAAGGCTCGTTGAGTCAATCTTCTACCGGCGCCGGCGGTGCTGTTGGGCCGGGTTTAGGGATCAATGGAGAGACTATCCCTGAAAACGCACCTTTTCCAAAATCATTTCAGAGTAATACGATAGTGCCAAATAAGAGTACTATGGTAGAGGAGGAAGAGGATGGTGATGGTGATGGTGATGGCGATGAGGAGGAGGATGGGGCAAGTAGGTATGAAGATGATAATGATCCCGATCGACGGAGTGATGCGTTTGCATTGGATAAAGTATTACAGAGTCGGAGGACTACTACAACGGATGGTGTGGGTGTTGGTGGGGGTGGGGTTGGGGGTGGAGGCTCGGAAAAGGATAGGCTGATGTTGATGGAGGCACAAGGGCAAGTGTCTAAGTTGGAAAACCGAGTAGATGAGTTGGAGGGCGAGCTGAAAGCGAAAAATGAAGAGGCAGATCTACTCAGGGCAAGAGCCGAGAGTGATTCTAAAGTAGGATTTTTCCGGTTCTTTGTTGTTGTTTCAGAGCCCCTTTTGGTCGGCTTCTTACTTGTTATGTTGTTGGTTACAAGTCACTAACATTTTTGATTTATATTTGCAGGCTTGGGATACTGAGAGACGAGAGTGGGAAAATATGAAGGAAGATTGGGACCGTGCAAGAGACGCCTGGGACAAGATAAAGCTAGATTTGGAATTGAAGCTTTCGGAGGCGATGGATCTTAATGCTTCCCTACAGGATCAGTTGGAGGGCGAGCGGAAGGAATATGAAGCTTCAGAGCGCGATCTACAGCAGCAAATACAAGCTTTAGCTGCAGCGGCGGCTCAGAACACAGATACAGTCGCAGGTAATGGCATGTGGAAGTCGCGTGCTGAAGATATGGAACGGGAGAATCAGAAACTCAGAGAAGAGCTTCAAAAACAGCGAGAGGTGACCGAGCAGGTCCGAAAGGAGGCCTCCAACTTCCTACAGGATATGCGCACCCTCTCTGAACAGACTCAGGAGCAATGGGAACGTGAAGAACGCCTCACTCGGGACTTCCATCGGATGGAGGAGGAGGTCAAGATCTGGAAGAATCGCTATGCGAAGACGAAATCGCAGTTGCGACATCTACGATCTTCATCGAGTGGCTTGCCCGATGCCTTGCCCGGTGTCATGCAGGACGCCACAGTAGCAAGGGACAATGATCTAAGCCATCCAGATGGATTAGTCAAGGATGTGCACCTTACGAAATTCCAGATGTCGATCGATGAGCTACTACGCGCCGCACGAATTTCGGAGCCAGCACAGGTTCTCGAGCAGATGAAGGCCGTCGTCTTGGCCGTTCGCCATATCACCCAGGACATCGAACATGCGCAAGGGATGGGGGGAGACGAGCACTCGCCCCTTCGCAGTCGAGCAAAAACCCGCGTCTCCGCAACAGCCAACAACCTCATCACTGCTTCGAAAAACTTCGCAAGCTCCAACGGTATATCACCTGTCTCCTTACTCGACGCAGCCGCCTCCCACCTCTCCGCGGCCGTCGTCGAGCTCGTCCGCACCGTGAAAGTCCGGCCCACTCCTGCAGATGAATTTGGCGAAGATGACTATGCTGGAGATAACCCAGGCTCCACGCAGTCGCCATCATACTTCAGCGTCCCTCCCAGTCTGAGCAGGATGAGCGGGAATGACTCTGTCTACAGTGCCATCAGCTCGCCGCACTCGGTACGGTCACCCAGTCGGACGAATTCACGTATACCGCCTCTCCATCGGAAGACTTATTCGAGCGGACAGCTATTAGCAGGTGGGAGTTTGAAGTCTGGTCTCAGGATGAGGGAATTAGATGAGGAGTTGGAAGAGCTTAGGGTAATGATTAACCCCCAGCCCCTACTGGATTTGCTAACCCCTACTGCCTCACATCAAAGACTAACGAAGAAACAATGAACAACAGTTATACCTCGAAGATCAAACCGAAGGCGTCGTCCAATCTATCCAAGCCCTCGTCTCCTCGATCCGCGCCGAGCCAGACGACATGTCCGTCATCAGCACGCACATCAACGCCATCTCCGACGTCGTCGGCAAAGTTATCTCCGCCACAGAATCTGCCATGATACGCCAGCAACACAAACACCAAAACCCAGACCCTAACAGTATTCATGATAACGATAACGATAGATATAACAATAACAATCCTAATAATAATCCTAATAATAACACCATTACCCTCCGCGACCGTGCAGGCCCCATCATCCGTATCCTCGCCGATTGCCGCGACAGCCTCGCTGAGGTAGGCGAGGAGGGCAGCCGGGCTATGAGTGCTAGTGAGATGCGAGAGGTTACGGGGAAGTTGCCGCCGATTGCGTTTCGGATTGCGCGGGAGACGAAGGAGTTGGTTCAGCGGCTTGATCAGATGGAGATTATGGGGGTAGGCGTGCGTGAGGGTGGTGGTGGTGGACACGGTGGAAATGGAGGGCCAGTTGGGGGTTCAGATCCAGTCCCAGGTCCAGTGGGGAGGGTTGGGGTGGTGGAGGACCTTGACGATGATGATGATTTCCGATGAGATGAGATGAGATCCGATCAGATTGAGGGAATCGAACATCGAAATTAAAAAAGAAATATCGGGGGATTTCTGTTTTCCTTTTTTTGACATCCGAAAGCTCCCTCTCCCTGACGTTTTGCAGTCCGCTTCCTGGGTTTTCATTGATGTGACGTACCTACCTACCTACCTCTTCGTGATGATTAGATACAGGGAGGAGTCTTTCCTTACCTTACTTTTTTTGCTTTTGTCTTTTGTCTTCGATTCGACTTGTTCCCCTTTTCCCAGCCTTTCTCAGCAGCCCATTTTTGTTAGCTTTGTGACGAGAGCCTTGAGGCTATATACCTACGTTACCCGTCTCTGCATCAGTTTTTCTTTCCGTTTCTTTTCCTTTTTTGTCGCTCTATTTGTTCAGCAACATCATTTTTTCTCCTCATCTGCCTCTTCTGTCCCCCTTTCCCCACTTTCTATCTCCATTTGCCTTCAGAAAACATATTATCAATTCAATCAGATTTCTCAAGGCCTCCATTTCGCAAGGTCTATATTTCTGGCTTAGATTTTCTATTCTTTTCTTTCCCTCTCTTTCTTGTCTCGTTCTCACATAACCTTCCCTCTCTCCTCTTCTCCGACTCGTAAATAACCACCAAACCTTTTCTTTCACTGTATACATATATCATGCATGCCTTCTTTGACATACCATTTGATGGACTGTTAACAATATGCTTCTGGTTCCCTCCCGATTCATTTCTCCTTTCTACGGCAAGATATTGATCACCACTACCTTCTTCGTATATATGTATATTGATTCATTGGAGAGAGTTCATTTTCTGCATATAACCTAGCGGGTATTTTTTTTTTTTTTCTTGTATATCATCTCGAATATTTATTTATTTGCTTGTTTTATAAAGGTCTCGTGGCAGTAGGGTGTTTTGTCCCGGGAGCCTACCTTCTGCGTTTGATGTACTGTATAATAGGACAGTGTTTCTCCCTCTGATTTTTGTGGGCACAATACACAGCACCCGTTTGTTTCGCGCTTTCTTACCTTTCAGTATATATTTGGCAAGCATGTGTCATGTTATATGCCTCGTGATAAATAATTGTATACTATATTATATATATATAGTTTTGAGCCTGTGATAATCGTGTGCTGTGAAATTCTTTACTGGATTTTAGTTACTAGTACTGGTAGTCACTCTGTTATTGTTCGATGCTTCTGCGAATCATGAGTTGATAAGGATTGGTGAATCTGATGGATTTAACTGAGAAGAAATGAGATCACGTTATATATATATATATATTATCCTCGCTAACTAGCTAACTAGCTAACTATCTCAGCTCCATCATTTCAGTAAACCTGGACGATGCATGATGTCGGAGGCTGTTGCTCCATCGTAATCACCCGGTTTTTACCTCGTAATTTATTGCAAGTGCCAAAACGTGAAAAAAAAGAAAAGCAAAAAAAGGGGGCTCTCATCCCTTTTCCACTACGGCAGGTGACAACCGCCTATCATGCACCCTGCTCCATTCTCCAGCTGCTCGGTTTTTCCTTCAAGAAACTTTTCCTTGTATCGTTGTCAGGACCATCATCAATCAATTCCGAGCCGCCGCAAGGTAATTTTTGTATGTAAGTATATATATATATATATATATATATATATTCCCCTCCACGTCACATCTCTTTCTGTTCTCTCGCGACAATTGTGTGTTTGGCACATAGCTTTGTCAGAGGGGAGGGCAAAGCAAATCCAAGGTAGCTTTTCCAATGCGCCCAACAGCCAAAACGACCAACAGGCCATTGAAACGGAAGGGAGGCGTGGATTGGACAGGATCCCTCCGCAGCAGACGTTGGTGTGGACGTGGAGCATGGAATGACGAAAAAATAAAAAACCATCTGGGTGTTCTTGTCCTGCCTGTCCCCTGCAGCTGGATCTTTGACCCAGTGCAAAATGCCGACGCAAACCTTGGAAGCGAAGAGAAAACTTGGAGGGAAGGGTGAGGAATAGCAGCAGTGGGCTAACTTGTCTCCCGTAGATTAGTTGCACCCGTCTGTATTTGCGCTTTGAGCTGCCGTGTTTTTGTGGTTTATTTCTCTGCTTCGTCGACTGCTGCTGCTTCTGTGTTGTTGTTTACAACTAGTGCAGTATATCTTTGGTATAAGCGGTTTGTTTCTTTTTTGTTCTTTCACTCTTGGATTTGTGTATGTTGGATGATAGTTGCATCTATCAACTGGTGCTCTGCAAGTCCAGTGACGAGCTGCTGATGCGGGCTGACCTGTTTCAGAATACCACGCCAGCCGTACCGTACCGTACCAACACCGTACCAACACCGTACCGTACCGTACCGAGCCCTGCCGCCCAGGCAAACCGCGCAAACATGCCCCTCCTCGCCCGCTGCCCCACCTTGCTCTCTTCCCCTCCTCGTCCTTTTTCTTCGCTCGCCTCCTCCCTCCTCCGTTCTTCCTCCTCGCCTTCCTCCTATTCCACCCTCGCTTCGTCTTCGTCGTCTCCCCTACGCTCTCTCTACGCCTCCAACCAGTCCTTCTCAAACGCCCGTCTCCGTGCTTTTCACGCTTCCGCAGCAGCCATGACGAGAACTTTCTTCGAGGTCGAGTACGCCGACCCGGCCCAGCCCAACAAGTGTATGTAGTTGACCCCTCCCTATACCTATACCTACCTCCACTTGGCCTTCTTGTCCCTTTTGTCCCTTATTGTTTCCTGTTGGCTACTACTGGAGGAAATTGGTATCAAACACCAATTTCGATTTTCATCAATTCTGTATCCATTCATCATCTCACAAGCATCTCCCACCCTCTCCCCTTCCAACGTTATCATCAAAGAATACCATCAATTGCATCTACCATTTGAGGTTCAATCGAGGGTTGCACTTCCAAGGTTTGCGTGTTTAGCTAGCTGACTAAACCCCACCTTCACCTGACTTACTATATAGCTACCGTTGGCCGAATTGAGTTTGAACTCTTTAGCGATGTCGTTCCCAAGACCGCCGAGAACTTCCGTGCCCTCTGCACTGGCGAGAAGGGCTTTGGCTACAAGGACTCCATCTTCCACCGTGTCATCCCTGATTTCATGCTCCAGGGTGGTGACTTCACCCGTGGCAACGTATGAATCATCTATTTTCTTATCCATGTATTTTTCTAGGATATATATATATATCTAAGCGAGACTGTTCTTTAAAACTAACGGCTTGCTTCTGTCTCGTTTTAACAGGGCACTGGTGGCAAATCGATCTACGGCGAGAAGTTCGCTGATGAGAACTTCAAGTGCACCCATGAAGGCCCTGGTATGCTTTCCATGGCCAATGCTGGGCCCAACACGTATGTACCCCAAAAAGCCTTGCTTACACTGTCCTTATATATACCTCTTGAGCTCTCTCCTCCATCTAACCATCAGCTAACCTACTTTTACCTTTTCGTTTAACAGCAACGGCTCCCAATTCTTCATCACCACCGCGAAGACCAGCTGGCTTGATGGCAAACATGTCGTCTTCGGCAAGGTCGTAGAGTGCCCGTCGACAAGACTCGGCCCCAACCAGAAGCAGTCCATGGATGTTGTTCGCGACATCGAGAGCGCTGGCAGCAGCTCCGGGGCCATCAAAACATCCATCAAGCCCAAGATCGTCAACTGTGGTCAGGTTTAAAAGAAGATTGATTGTTCCCCATGGAGGGTGTGTAGATGAAAAATTGCTTTTCTTCTGCTTCTTTTCTTTGCTTTCTTTTAGAGAACTTCTTTTTTGTTCTGCGATGGGGAAGGCGCGGGAAAAGGAGGGGAGAAGTTGCTTTGTCATGTCATGTAACAGAATTAAGGTAGCGGGGCGGAAAGCGGCAGAAGGTGGGGAAGATGTTCGTTTTTAGCTGCAGAGAAGCGTTTTGGTGGGAGGGAAAAAATTAGGCTCTTGTTTTCATTAACTAGAAAAAAAAACCCCTCCAGAACCAAAACAGAAAAAAAAGAAAAAAAACCGCACACAAAAGGAAAAAAGAAAAAAAAGGGCCACTGCAAAGTTATTTCGTTCACTCCAATGTAATCTCAACAGCAATTCAACCTGACCTAATACTTTTGCTGGCCGTGTACATGTAACTCAGTTTTCTCTCTGTTGTTATTACCATGAATAATGAATAGTATGTCGAAATAAATAAATGGATGGGAGGGAGTCTCAGAAGAATTCAACTCAACGAACCAGCGGGACGAAATGCGCCCTGATGTAGGTGTAGAATACATCCTTAAGTAGATCTTTAGCTTTTATGTTATGGGCGGGTGTGTTGGGATATCTTCAACGGTGGCGGTGTTTTCATTTTCATTTTCAATTTTCAATTTCCTTTTCCTTCTTCCTCTTCCTCTTCTCCTTCTGGTGAACGGGAGTTTACTACCAGGTGAACGTAGAAAATGTACTACTAGGATGGCTTGAGAAAATAATTTAACATACGCATGTGCCGTGTCTGTCCGTGGAGACATGTCATTCATCTGCACTATATGCTAAGCGGTTCGTATTTTGGTGAGTGCTCAATGCTAGTAGTAACATTGGTGATGTCTGTCTGAGCTCCATGCATCTTCTGATGCGTGGTGGGTGGTTTGCCAGCTTCCTTCTTCCCCTCCTTGCCTTGTATTTTAAATAACATCAGCGCCCGCGAATGTCTGGGTCTGCAAGTAGCCAAGACGGCTAAAAAACAAATGAGGCCCGGCTCTTTCAAGATGTCTCTTCGAGTTCCCACGTAGATATTTCTTGATTGCTTGGTTTCGGCTAGCACCCGAGCACCATAGGCCGGAAGGCAGCACTTCAGCAAGTTGTGTTTGCCAAATGCTCGCCTGGTAAGTAGTAACGTGCAATGACTGCTGAACGGGGTAATGGTGATGGGACACAAACAGCTTTGTTCATTGTTCGACACCAGTCAATACTTCACCCTCCCCTTCTAGCACCTTCCGTCCCGCTGCTTTCACAACGCCATTCAGTATCTCCCTAACCTGTTTACACCCGTCCAGCCCTACTGCAAACATAGTTTCCAGATATGAAATATGTACGCCAGCCCCCATCTGGACTATCGACAGCATCTGGTTCTCCTCTTGGTCGTCCATGGAATCGTCGCCCGTGGGTGCAGGGTTCGTATTCGCGACAGTCATGAATGGAAGTTCTTGTTCTTCAGGCATGGACATGTCAAGAAGCGGATCCAAACTTTCGTTAATTCCGCCGCCCACGCGAGTAAGTTCAGGTTCGGCCGGCGTGGATGCTCTTCCGCTCATTCCGACGGTGCAAGCGCAAAGAAGGCCCGGCATTGGTATCCCAGCATCCACCAGTGCTAGAGTGCATGCGTTTATGCATGCTGCGAAGAGGGAGCCGTCGGACGATAGGACAGAAACATGGAGGGATATTGTGCTATGCGGATATATGTGGGTGTGGAGATGTGGCTGAAAGGCATCACGGAGGGCGAAGGCTAGATCTGTAGATGCTTGTCTGAAGCTTTGGATCAGAAATTGTTCTATGTGCAACAACAACAACAGCCCATGCAACGTTGGAAGAAAGGATGTAAACTAACGAACCTATCGCCTCCGCCACCAGTTGCACTCTTCTTTTTCCTGTCAACGCCGGAAAAGCCTGCAACATTAACGGCAACGGATACAACAGCCCCCTCACGAGCGGGGCCCGTTGCTTCGGATCGTCGGCCTTCTGCTGGACCATGAACCATGCAGATAACCACTGTATTGCCCATTGAGAGGTATGATGATCCAGAGCTGGCAGGGTTCGTAGAGATCTGGGCCTGCATTAAGCGGAGTTCATTCCAACGCCTGCCGTCAAGCCGAAGCCTGGTAAGGCGGTATGTTGTTGAGGTGTCGAGGGGCATTTCGAAGGATGACTTGTGTAATCCTCCAGAACTGGGCCTGAAGGCCTTTTGACGATCTGATCACTGAGTAACTGCTGGTATGAACATAGCCTAGTAGATAGCCTGCTAGTCGATGTCATAAAGCGCCGAGATACAGGTGTATATTTCCTCGTGAGGAAAGAAAAGTCGGTATGCTACGAATGGTGGGGGTCGTTCTAATAGATGCGGATTTTTATACTAAGGAATTCAACGGGAACAAGTCAATAGATGGAGATCGAAGATGTCAAATTGGCAGAAAAATCAATTCTTCCTCCTGGGCAATTAGGGTGTAAAAATGGAACTCATTGCTGATTCCACGCAATCTTTGATATCCCCAGCTTGAGGAAAAGAAATAAATCTTTGTAACTAATCAAGCTTTTTACCTGTTTAGGAAATTTTTATTTTGTCCTTCTGATCATGTGACTCGCGAAACTCTCGCGACTTGCCTCGCGCTTTAAAATATCTCCCCGCATCATGCCTCAAACATCGTAAAATATCAACGTGTGGAATTGCTTGTGGGAACTACCTGAGGATGGTCTCCCAGTGGGAGTTGGAGAACTCCGATGCCACAACTCAAAGTGATGATGATGTGAGCGACGATGATTTGTGCTACCCAAGAGCAGCACCCAAGAGAGCGCGGTACCAGAGTGAGAACGATGGAATCGGAGGTATGATACCTGTATTATTCGCGTCGGTCTTATGAAGCTAATAGGGATAAATTATAGGAAGGCCTTTATTGCCAGAACATTTGAAGCTGGCCCGCAACTCAGAGCGGACTTCTGGACGCATAACGCAGGAGGTGATACCGGTTTCAGACGAGGAATTTGATGATGTAGCTGGTTTCAACGATGGCGCAGCCACCTATGAGAAATTCAAAAATAGAAGGCAACTCAAGCGCAAGAGAGCCGCCGCCAGAACACGCAAAACTAAAGGCGCATCTGGAAATCCTATTGTCGGCAAGCGGCCAAACAGAACGGGAGCTAATACATCCCGCAAACGTCAGCGGCAATTAAGGGAGTACGGAGAATTATCTTCTGATGACGATATGATGGAATACATGCTCCCGAGTTATATTCAAAACCGCCGCTCAACATTTGACAAGAAAATAACCTTTCTGAAAGAGGCAGGATTGAAGCTACCCCCAAGTTTTGACGATGTTGAGTTCTCTGATGACGAAAACCTGGAGGCTCTGAGCGAGAAGCCGAATTTTCAGAACGCCACTCCGTCGCGGAAGTATGAAGACATACAACTCCCTTATTCTCTGGGCTTGATTCCAGCTCCGATTGCACAATGGCTACGGGATTATCAAGTCCAGGGGGTTGAATTTCTACATGAATTATTTGTTTACCAAAAGGGAGGGATCCTTGGAGATGACATGGGCTTAGGAAAAACAGTGCAAATTATAGCGTTCTTGACTGCAGCATATGGGAAAACAGGAGATGAGCGGGATGCTAAACGTATGCGGAAGATGAGGCGGAGGGGAGACAGAGTTTGGTATCCTAGAACTCTGATTATTTGTCCCGGGACCCTTTTGCAAAACTGGAGATCGGAATTGGATCGATGGGGGTGGTGGCATATTGAGGTATATCATGGTGCTGGGAAGGAGGAGGCTTTGCAATCTGCCGCCGCCGGAAGACTGGAGATCATGCTCACAACCTACAAAACATACGTGCTCAATAAAGACGCTCTGAACATGGTTGAATGGGACTGTATTGTTGCAGATGAGTGCCATATTTTCAAGGAAAGGAAATCGGAAACCGCCCAGTCGATGAACGAAATCAACGCTCTTTGCCGGATTGGCCTTACTGGCACAGCAATCCAGAACAAATACGAAGAGCTCTGGACACTGCTCAACTGGACCAACCCCGGGAAATTTGGCCCGGTGTCCACGTGGAAATCCACGATTTGCGAGCCGTTGAAATTAGGACAGTCCCATGATGCAACAGTATACCAGCTTAGCAAAGCGAGGAAAACTGCAAGGAAGCTTGTTGAGAACCTGCTACCCCCTTTCTTCCTCAGGCGCATGAAAACGCTTATCGCAGACCAATTACCGAAGAAGAGTGATCGAGTTGTATTTTGTCCCCTCACGCCTACCCAAGCTGACGCATACGAGAGGGTTTTGGATAGTGATATCATTGAGTATATTAAAACTTCATCCGACAAGTGTCACTGCGGATCAGGCAAGAAGTCTGGCTGGTGTTGTCGTATGCACTTACCTCAAGGTGGGAAGTGGCAAAGTTATGTCTTTCCAGCAATTTCGAACTTGCAAAAGCTCAGTAACCACCTCGCAATTCTTATTCCGCAATCACAAGATCCAACAGAGAAGCAAGACAAAGACCTGGAGATGCTTCAGATCGCTCTACCGGACCAGTGGCGACAGTTATATGCTACTAGAGATTCGATCCTTAACTACGCAAACCACGAGTTTTGCGGAAAGTGGAGGGTGCTGAAGAAGCTTCTCAGGTGGTGGCATGGCAATGGTGACAAGGTCCTTGTCTTTTCCCATAGCGTTCGACTGCTTAAAATGCTTCAGATGCTTTTCAAGCATACCAGCTATAATGTCAGTTATTTGGATGGTGCTATGAGCTACGAGGACAGAGCAAAAGTCGTTGACCATTTCAACGCCGATATTCGGGAATTTGTATTTCTGATCTCTACCCGGGCTGGTGGAGTAGGCCTAAACATTACCTCTGCCAACAAAGTCGTTGTTGTCGACCCAAATTGGAATCCCGCGTATGACCTCCAGGCACAGGACCGTGCATATCGTATTGGGCAAGCTAGGGATGTGGAGGTTTTCCGGTTAGTCTCTGCGGGCACGATTGAGGAAATTGTTTATGCCCGCCAAATATACAAGCAACAACAAGCAAACATCGGGTACACGGCCAGCACTGAACGGCGGTACTTCAAAGGAGTCCAGGAGAAGAAGGACAGGAACGGCGAGATATTTGGGCTCTCTAACATGTTCCAGTATCAAGGTGACAGCATTGTCCTAAGAGACATCGTCAATAAGACAAACGTGGCAGAAAGCAAGGTCGGCGTTAAAATTGTCGATATCGAGTTGGAGGACACCAAGGATGGACTTGATGAACAACCCTTGCCTTCACCCAAAGGTGAGGAGGAGGACGGTGCAATGAGTCAACTAGCGGCTATGATCCGGGGTGAGGATCCTGCAACGAATAACAATACCAAAAATGCTGTCCCAGCAAAACATGACCCAATCCAAGCCATATTAGTCCGAGCGGGCGTTGAATATACACATGAGAACTCTGAAGTCATTGGATCGTCAAAAATCGAGGAACGCCTTAGTCGTCGTGCTGAGATGGCAATTGATGGGACCAGCTTTGGTGAGGAGCAGGTCTTCGAAGCCTCTCAAGATGACCTTACTTTGCCCCTTGACGCTAAATATGGTAGAAAGCATGTTCTGTTTAAATATCACCCACCTGAGGATGTAAAGAGGCGCCAGTTTTGCAGTATGTCTAAGCGGTTTGGATTTGATAACCCGACCGAGTTTGCCCTAGTTGTTGAGAGCATGACACAGGCACAGAGGAGGAGTTATTTGGCCAGATGGTATCGAGAGCGTCAGGCCGCGCTGATGAGCGGGATGAATACGCCGATCAAGAATAATGATGATGGTGATGATGATGCGAATCTGTTGCAGAGTATACCGCAAGAGGAGCCTCCAGGCTGATATTTTTTCATCCGTTGTGATTCCAACATTGCATTCCAAAAGCTGAAATCAATTTCTGACTATCGCGGTCAGGAATGGGTCATCTCGCGGGCCGCTGTACAAGGAGCGTCAGATACCTATTTTCACTGGAATAACTCTAAACTTGGGTCGGTTGAAAACCCGACCTGGGGTTTTACATATGAGGACCATCCATACTACATTATGTAACCAGCAGTGGCAACTTCAACCAGGCTACAGCTGAACGACTGTATAGACTGACTTTACCTACATGGCGTGAAAATGATTTCAAGTCAGCTACTATGAGGTCTATGTCCCATTCTGTTCCCAGTCTTCCCTTTCCCCTTATGCGGCCAAACTCTCCTCCAAATGAAGGCTCATATTGGTTAGCCATCTGGCTTGCGAAAACAAGGCAGAGACTAAGCATGGAAAACATGGAGAAGCTCTGCGCGAAAAGTAACGCACTGCCATTCAGATAGGCGTGAAGTGCTATATGACAATGTAAATCAGATGTAACCCCAACGCCACGCTTCGCAAAAGGAATAGTTATAAAACAAAACATACACGCGCGTTGTACGTGAAATTATACAAGTACCCTGCGCATCAAGAGTTTCCTAGCCAGGGGTCAAAACCAAGAAAGAGTCCATAGTGCCGGAAGATTCGGCCACTTCTCCTGCCACTTGGCTAGTATCTCAGGAACCTGGTCATCGAAACATCTCCTAGCTTCACCGGTCCCCTGATCCCAACCATTCGTCCCATTAATCCTCCGCTCCTGGTCCGCCGCACTATTGAGCCTATCAGCCAGGTCGAGAATCGCTTTGGAACCAACCAACGCTTCCTCGTGATTATCGCGAATGTCGACATTGAATACGTGCACCGGGCGATTCAAGGGTGCACCGCGGTTCATCAAGTCATCAACCACAGCATCCCAACATCGTTCCTCGCAGGTAATGATAGCATCGACCAAGCCGCCCTCCGTACCCAGCGCACCCTTGTCCCCTCTCGACACATGGTCCAGCCGTGGCATGCCAGGCACCCATTCTTGGAACCGTTCCGGGCCCCATTTCACGCTTTTGTTTCGCTCGAGCATGGGCAGAACGCCATTATTCCGGTATAACCTGGGGTCTTTTTGCAATAATTCGTCGTACATTTGAGCGTAAGATACAGTGTTGAAGTTATAGACGTTAGGTTGTGCGATGGATGGGCCTGGGAGTCGGACAAGGGATCCGGTGCCAAATGAGATTACTGGATATGAGGAAGGGGGTGCGGAGAGGCGGTTGTGCGCCTCCATTGAACGATTTTGGTTGGCCGCGCATACAGTGCAGAATTTAAGTTTATAGGAGGTAGATGACGGGTGAGGGGGGGGTGGTGTTGGTGAGTCATCGGCGGTGCCATCCAGTCCTGTCGGAGGCGTTGAAGCAGAAGGCTCTTGTGGTGGAGGGGGAGGCGGGGGAGGTGGTGGAGTTGAACTTGTTGTTCGAGCAAGTCGAGGGTCCGCACTCATGTTGCTGGTTTATTTGTCTGCTGTTGCGGGGTCCCCTGACCTGTTTCTTGTATAGTAAAGTCCAAAAAAAACTGTCGAGAACTCAGATGTATAGTATATATGATTTTGTAGCACGAGATTGCCGAAAAGGGAGGATGAGTGGTCCGATTACTGATGAGATGAACTCGCTAGGAAGCTTGCAGTCAGCAGTGTGAATCAACATATTCCAACTAACTCACGGAATGGGTATGCACAACTTCGATAGTGGGAATTCAGATTGATATGTATATTTTGCGTATTTTAAGTGTATCCTCATATGTGAGAATAGGACAGCTCCAATAAGAAGATTCATCATTTTTGGGGGAAAGAGGCCGGACGCGCAGCATTAAAGCGTACAGAATTGGGACTTCACGACATACCTTAATAGAATTGCTCATACTCTGCAGACAGCCGGGTGGCTGTAAGCTTCCTTAGAAGAATCCTGTCTCTTTGAGCCTGTTTTTAGTTGTTTGGAAATATTTCGGTGAAGTTGGAAGTTTTAGGAAAGCTGTTGTGAAAGCCGGCTTAGTCATCAATTTCTCCCAAGTCGTCCAACCTGCATACTAATAATTACTCCAGCATGCCTTTGCGCAGCATATTGTATGCTCGACATATATCTACGTGAGTGGATATTGATAACATATGAAGATTTGGGATTACCTGAGTGTTGTAGCTGAGTAATAGCTGATAACCTCTATAACGCACGTCGTTGGCTGAAGGTACATTATTATTCTACATATCCATCCAGCTCTAAATGAAACGCCTGAGCTTTTCATACAAAACTCATCCTCTGAATCCTAATACAAGCTCTCCAATCGAGAGCGAACTCCCGTGGTATCGAATCCTCTCCGTATGGAACTTCGACCTTTGCGGATAATTTCCCCTGGTTCCATGCATACCTGGCTGTTTTGACCTGGTCAATATTAAGCCTGACATCAAGGAAATCATAAGTGCGGCATTGTCCCCCAAAGAGAAAAGCAACAACAATGCCCATTCAATATATTAGTTGTATGTTCCCCCTTCACTTTCCGATCTCGTAAACTGAGAATTCATACCAGAGAACGATGTAAAATTCACAACATTACAAACTAACCCGATTTTGCAGTCCGTCGCTTCCAGTTAATCCGCGCGGGTTTCATAGGCTCCGAAAACATCGATGAATAGTCCGTGCGAGGCACACCGGTCTTTCCGCCAATGTTGGAAAACTGCAGATGCCGCACCATTATGGCCACGATGACCGTTAGGTTGACATAGGCGAACTTCTCTCCGATGCAGCGGTGACGCCCTGCCCCGAAGGGGAGATATGGACTGGAGGTACCCTTGGATATGACGCCGTACCCATAATCGACCATGTCCTCCTTCTCGTCCACCTTGGGTTCCTGAGTTTCCCAGCGATTGGGATCCCACATCGTGGGATTGGGGAAATATTCATCACTTAGGGCAGTGACGCCTGGCGCGGAGAGCACGACGTGCGAGGGTGGGATCACGTAGGGTGTGCCGGCGACTGGCATTGGGTTCATAACTTTGCGTAGGAGGGAGTGGATGGATGTGTGGAGACGGAGTGTCTCTTTGATCACATTCCGATGTAGCGGGAGGCGGTCGAGGTCACCGTATTGAAGGGGACCCAGACTGCCATTGGGACCAGTGCGCGGCAGGTTGTCCAGCTGCTCTTGGTAGAGCTGCTCGACGACCGCAGGCTCGGAGGCTAGGTGCAACATGATCCAAGAGCTGGTTGTCGATGATGAATGCTGGCCGGCCATCAGCAGGGAGATCATGATATTTGCAATCTCCTTGTCCGGCAATCTCTGGCCGTTCTTGTAAGTGCACTGCATCAGATTCTCAATCATATCCTGCGTTTGTGAGCCGTTGGCGTTTCTCGCGGCACGTCGCCGTTTCTCAATGATATCGAGGTAGATGGCGTGCATCAGAGTATGGGCGGCATCGCGTTTCTTGTTATGTGGTAAGGGCGCCCAGGGAAGCATGAAATTAATCGGGCTGAATCCCTTGTCCAGATCATGGCAGAGAACAGCAAATTCAGCGTTGAGTTTGGATCTCACTTCTTCTCCCTGGAGGGCACTCCCCGCAGTGAATATGGTGATCTCTGCCATGACGGCCGAAATATCCACCTCGCCTGAGGCTCCGAGGAAATTGGGCGAGGAGTCGAGATAATCCATGACCTCCTTCTCAATCAATGGCACGTGGGACTCCAGCGCCGCCTGAGTGAGGCCATACTTGATGAACTTCTTCTGCTCGATGAGCTTTGAATTGGGGCAATCATAGACCACATCCGGTCCAAACACCGGAGTGGTCAAGGGGCCGTACACCTCTTCAGCGTTCACGTCTTTCAGCTTGCCATTAAGGATGAACTCGTTGCCCTTTATGCCTAGGTAGACAGTGGTAGGACGCCCCAGAAGCACAAAGGTGAAGATGTCGCCGTGCTGGAACAATCGCGATGCCTCCTATTAGCCATCATACGACAGAATCACTGAGAACGGGAATTTCTTTCCTGCTCGCTTACCTTCTGACGACAGGAGAAGAAAAACTTGTACGGGTCGGTTCCATAGCGGATTGTACTTCCCAGGAACGGGATCCAGTGAAAGACCAACGGTGGCCTAGTCTTATTCAGAAAGCGAAAGAGCAGTTGGTAGACAAGATTGAGTGTGACGGCTGCTACAAAAGCGAGCACACCGAAGGTCCCAATAGTGGACCAGGACATGGCGAAAAATTGGACGTGAGTTGGACGAAAATAATATGCGGCAGATGACAAAAGAAAAAGACATCAATGGCCAGCCGGGACAAAATGAGATATCTAGCTAGTATCTATTTCATCTTTTATATATAATGCTAACTAACTACGCGGCAGGGTTGAAAGATGGGGCTGAAAATAAAGTCCGAAATTAGGGCTGGTCAGGGAGTCGGGAGGATCCCTTCCCGATGACCAGATATGACCTGACCAACACCCGACCAAACGGGCCATGTGTAAAATACAACTGCAATGGAATTCACATCATAATGGAATTCTTCTGAATATCATGATCAATTAATAACTACCATCACTTCTATCTATAATATAAAGATTGTCTATAGACTATATACTTATTAGAAGCAGTAGATTCTATCACAGATTGAGATATAAATTTCTTGTAATGGTGTGCTACTAATTAAACCAATGTTGCGGATTGTATCATTTGTACCATCTACATAGTACACTATCTGCAACAGGCGTACAAACAGACTAAGCACTATTCTAATACAGGTTATAAATTGATTAAAAAGAAAGAGAAAAGAGATCAGAAGAAGAGATTGCATAAATAGAATTCTTATAGAAGAGAAATTGAAATAAAAGAATATTAAAGATTGTGCAACAGTGAGAAGACTATTCACTTTTCACACTGTTATCAACTCTTATATAAAGTTATAGTTGATAAATAAAAAAAACCAATAATATTTTATACAGTTTTAATTTAAAATAATTATCTTTATTTACTTGTAGTTAGAATTTATTGAATAAGAGATTCTTCTTCAATAAAACTAAGTTTTTAATTCTTTGAAGAAGTATCAATATATATTATACTAATACAGTTTTATATTCAATAATCAAAAATAATATAAAAAACATTAGACAATTTTGAAGTTATTTATATACTTGAATAATTAAAAGAAGGTTTTCTTCTATTGAATGACTCTGTATAATAAATATATTTGATAATGAAATTGTTATTATGAAATATGAGAAAAAGTGGCCTGCTTGTGACCTGCTTACGGATAGACTATGTTAGTAGATAGTTAGTCAGAGATTAAGTTATTTTCATTGCTATCCTATCTTGTATCCAATTCGAACCTTATTCGGTTTGATACGGAGGGATGGGCTGAGGTGACAATTACCCAAAATGGAATCAGCCTCCTCCCAGGTTGGGCAACCGAGCTCGGGGTCGTTTCCCCTCGCATATGTGGACAACTTCATCTCTAGCAACAACACAACAACAACAACAACAACAACAACAACAACAACCAGCATCACCAGCAGACTAGCACCGTGACGAGTTCTCGAAGCATTACAGTGGGTTCATTCTAGATTCCACGTAGCTACACCCATGCCACTGTCTCTTTTAATTGCTGCTAAAACTGACAGGTAGTGAGCTACATCCGCATTTCTTTGGGACGCACGGGAAGCTGCCGAAATTTATCGTGAAGCTGCTTTAACAACCCTCAAACGATATATATCCATACCATAGCTTCCTTGATCGTGGTGCATTTCATTAAAGGGCATTTGAGAGTCTCCCTGAATAATCACGAAAGCGAAAGTAAGTTTATGCCATACCATGGATCCTAAGTCGCTGTCTATGTTCTATCGAAATTTCTTCTCTTTCTAGTGTTCGTTTTTTTCCTTTCCGGTTGTTGCTCGTTGTTGGCGTACACTCACACTCACGCTACTTCTTTTCTTTTTTTGTTATCGTTCTGCTTCCATCCAGCGGTGGGATCCTCGTGGCAATAACATGCATCACCTGCGTCGCTTCATGCAGTCGGCCTAACTATGGTGGGAACAGTGTCGAACTAGGGAGGTTGCTCCTGCGTAGGGTCTAGGCCTCTCATTGTTCCTTGCCCGCGGTGATATCTTCATCTAACTCTTCTTTCCTGCTAGGTTTTAATAATACGTTAAATAAACTTGATTTAAGGTGAAGAGATAATTGCCTTCTCTAAAAGAGGTATTTACTGATATTGGCGTCCTCACTTGCCATTACCAAAGGTAGGAAAAGCTAATCTACCAAGTGTGGCGTGCACAGGACCTCTAAAATAGGCAGGCGCCGTCCATCCCACAAACCTCATAACCCATGACAAACAACGATCAGAGTCTCGTCTGCTTGAACTGCAAGTGTGTGGGCCTTAACGATTCAAGGTTATTCCATCGATAACTCATACTGGCGCGACGCCAAAATGAACAACCTTGCAACAGACTCTAAGCCAACTGAAGATGTTTGCAATCATCCCATTCCAATTACTGAAGGATAGAAAAACTAACATTCTGCAGGCTACAACGAGAGTAGTCACGTTTCACCCTTTCCATCTCCTTTCCCATGTGGGAAAGGCCATTAACACTGCTTTGCCGGATCTTAAAGTGTCCACCCCGTATGAAACAACTTGGCAGAAATGCCTTGAAACGGTTTCCGGGAGTCTTACTGGATTGGACAGAAAGATATCCATCGACCCCCCAATCCCCGCCCTAAGGAAACGTGATCTCAGGAACCAAGCTCTTCAACAAGTACAGGCACAGGCATCATTCGACGCCAGCACGAGCCTTACCAAGCCCATTCGACTTCAATATGACACGAACCAAGTCCCCCTACCCACTCTACCATCGCCACAAATGAAACAGCGTGCGAAAGAGAATGCCCAGCCTTTCCTGCCGTACAAAGAACCATATCCAGTTGTGATCCCAGCGGCTCTTGAATCGCAAAATTTAGCCACAATAACTGCGAAGGTGATCCTCGAAGGTGTAGACGATAGTTCCAAGGTAGAGACGTTCGAAAAAGCTGTAATGCTGTTTAATACTGGCGCCCAACAAACCATCATTTCAGCGGACGTATTGTCTGCAGGATTTCGCGATTATCTGGAAAACGATCCTATACATAATCCTTATCGGCTAGAAGGGGGTTTGGGTTGTCGGGTGCAGTGTACCGCTCACATTGAGTTTACCAATAATTACATCCGTCTTTGCACTGTTGCTCTTGTCGTTGACAGAAGTGCTATCCCCAATACTCGGTCAGGAATAATATTTGGCCAGAAGGGCTGCCTAGATTCCATCTGTTATAAGAGTGTGCCAGCAAAATTTTTGCAGGGTCAGGGTGATGACGTTTGGGGGGATATAATCGTGGACAGATACATCGATCCTGATGGGGAAATAGTAATGTGTTAGACCGAAGGGAGGCGTCCAAGGAAAGTATTCGTTTTGGTGGAGTGTGAGGTTTTCGCTTTACCTGAGGTGGTCCCTTGTTGGTCTGCCTGTGTCTGTTTATCCTGCGCGTGGAGTTTTCGATACCCATTTTTAAGTTGATTCCCTGCTGCCTGTTTCCGTGCCTGTTATTCCTAGGTGCAATCGTTAACCCAACTGCCGTGTTTGTTTCGTGTCCTTGTTGATACCACGGTTTGGAGAATTCACGCGTTCCGCTCTCCCCATGGCCCCCTAAATTGCTTTCAAATTGGCCGTGTATTTATACCAGTCTAAATTGCTTTCAAATTGATTATTCAATATATCTGTACCAGACTGTTTCATTTATTCAAATCTTCAGTCATTCTCAGAATATTATTATCTGTCTGATCACTTTGATGAAGCTTGTAGTAACTACAAATGATATGATCATTTTATTCACTGCTTTAGATAAGATAAGGAAGAGGTGAAGATGATAGAGATTGTAAATGATAATAAGAATGACTCTCAACAGTGGATGAGAGATCTCTCTAAGCAGCAGCTGTTCACAGCTAATTCAATATCTTGCTGCTTCTATAATTCTTAATTAGCTCTTTTTCTTCAGTATATACAATATTTTTTTCCTTTCTTTTCTTTTTCTTTTTTGAGAGGAAGGTACATAGTATGTATTATTTCTATTTACTCCAGTTGTACAGAGTCTGTGTACAATATCTAGATATAACCTACACCTCTACATTGATGTCTAGCCTAGCACTAATTACCTGCTTCGGTATAGCGCTGGCACCTTAGTGCGGGTTTCTTACATGTGCTAGGCATGGTTAGTTAGTTAAAAAACCTGCGGGATCTCCCTGTTTCATAAACTTTTCATCAGCGACAGAAGAGCTGTACAGGGTTTAAAAGGTCCAGTGGAAATCCATCGGAAGTTGAGGTGATAAGAAGTTGTAAATTCGGCCCTCGTGAATACATATGAGAATCAACCCATCCTCGTCGGACAACCTTTCTCATATGGAGTATCGGCGGAGGAATAACGTTCTTTGTCCTTTCTCAACTAGTGCCGCGTCATCAAATAGTTCGATTTGGATTTTTAGAGAGGGAAGCGAGCAATGTTCAAGATTTGAAGGGCTGAGGATGCAGGAGGGGTCTGCTTGCAAAAATCACTGTAAAAATGCGAATATGGACAAAGAAGCAATACCCTCTCCCGGTATTTTTCGCAGAAAACCCTTGTTTCAATCATTTAGTTGTCTCCACCGGACCACTGGAGTGATATCTTGCTGGCTTCGGTCACCGAGCCTGAACGGGTTTGCCTCCAGAAGCCATCGGAGGCAGAAGACCACTACCTTCCTTCCGATTGGCATTAATTCAACTCCATAGATTTGCTGCATCAGGCCTTATTAGTTGCCCTTGTGGTCCTTAGCTGAGCGCCCTGGTGAGAGAAATTTGGAACCAATCTCGCCTTCGATGTTGAATCTCGTACACGATCCCTCAAAGATTCGGCAGCATGTCTGAACTGCTCTGGTCATTTCCGAGCTTGAGCTTTTTCGGGTGTTTTCAGGTCGTGCTCGTTCGGATTGGGTTTTAACTGATTCAAAGGCGGAATCGAAGTTTACCGTCAATCTGTCCCAATCTCACTCTGAAGCTAGCGAGCTGGATTGGCAATTTGACAGACACTGTTAGTGAGATGCACTGTCCAATGTGATGATACTCGTAACACTCATCCCTAGAACTAGTACAGCGTAAAGTGTGGTGCCTCCGTCATGTTAGACCTTGGCAAAATTCGCAGTCAAATACCCAGCTCATCCAGCTCAACACCATCTGTTAAATCCAGCGGATAGACTACAGTGGAGGGTGGCTGGTCGACCATCTTGCCGAGGCTCAAGACTAACCAACCACTCCTCATTCATCGGATAGCGGGCCATGTATATCATCCCTGTCCATGCTTTTCCATCTCTCGAAGACTTCAACTTTTTCCTACTTATATGGACAGATCTTATGACGGACAAACCAAGAATACCAGTACTGATTCTTAACCGACGCTAAAATGGAAGCGTCCAGCGCAACCAAGGGTTTCTTCCAAACCCCTCCAACCATCCCCCCTCAGTATGTTGAAGATGCTGCCTTTCGCCGGATCATCTCCTTGTACCTTCCATCCCCTATACCCTCCAGCATAGATGAAGACCTTTCTCGATTTTCTCGTCTTGTGCTGTCGAGATCTCATATGGCCTATGCGGCGGACGCCGAGAAGAACCAGCCGTACCTTCGGCCGCTCTCTACGTTTGGTACGGAGAATAAACAGGACCCCCTAGTCACAAGTGAAGGGTGGCGCAAACTACAGTATAGAGGAATTGAGGAGGGAATGGTGGGAATAGCATATGCCAATGCTCGAGGCTCGCCGTGGAATAACCGAGCGTATCAATTCATCAAACTCCATCTTTGGACTTCCAGTGCCGCTCTGGTTACATGCCCGGGTGCTATGACCGATGGTGCTGCCAAATTGCTTGGGCGGCATCTGAATGGTGCGAATGGGTCTATATTTACAGAAGCTAGAAATAGACTAATTAGTCGAGATCCCAGTGTTGCATGGACCAGCGGCCAATGGATGACAGAACGGAAGGGAGGGAGCGATGTTCGTGGGACTGAGACGGTGGCTAGGAAACTTTCTACAGAAGAGCAAAACGCGAGTAAAGGGGTTGATGAACTTGGATGTCCTCTTGGACCATGGCAGCTCGATGGTTTCAAGTGGTTTTCATCCGCCACCGACGCTAACATGACGATTATGCTTGCCAGAACAGGGCCAGATGGCCAGATTAGCGCTTTCTATGCTCCTTTGCGCAGAAGAGTTGCAAGGGGAGCTGAAGGCGAGACGGAGCTCAACGGCGTGAGAATTCAGCGATTGAAGAATAAGCTCGGCACAAAAGCCCTCCCAACCGCAGAACTAGAACTGAAAGGAATGAGGGGATATCTGATAGGTAAGGAAGGCGATGGAGTCAGGGAAATTTCAACCATTCTCAATATCACCAGAGTTCATAATATGAGTGGAGCTGTGGGTGGCTGGGGGAGAGGGTTGGCAATCTCCAGAGCATATGCGAAGGTGAGGATCGCGGGCGGCAGACTCCTCACCGAACTGCCTGCACACGTGAGAGCGCTTGCTCGGGAGCATGTGATGTATCGGGGCCTGCTCCATCTTGCCCATTTCGTGGCCTCATTGTTGGGTATCTCTGAAGGGCAAGACAGCCGTCTCACGCAAGCAACGCAGGCTTCTATCCTCCCAACCAACGCTGAGCAATCCGGTGCTTTGCTCCGTCTCCTTACCCCCATGGGCAAAGCTCAAACAGCGCTTAGATCTATCAATGGAGTTCGTGCGTGCATGGAGAACCTAGGTGGAGTCGGTTATCTTGAGAATGAGGATCCTGTATTCAACGTTGCGAGAATTTTCCGTGACGTATGTGTTCTCAGCATATGGGAAGGGACTACTGATATCATGGCGGACGACCTGGTTCGTGTGATGAAATCTCGACAAGGCCCGGCGACCTTGGCGGCTGTGGGACTATGGGTCGCGAGCGGTTTGGTGATTGCGCGCAAGAATTCATTCAAGGAAGAAGCTAACACAATACAGAGAACCTGGGAGCAGTGGCAGAAATCCACCGAAACCAAAGATAAAGAACAATTGAGGTGGGAAGGACGGGATCTCCTTGTCGGGCTCGAAAGCGTAGTTTGCGGGCTGTTGCTGATTTTGGATGCGGCGCGAGATAACGACCCTATCGCGAGAGAAATTGCAAGACGCTTTGTATTGAAAGAACAGGCCACATATAGTTCCTGGGAAGTTGAAGCTGCCTGGGATAAACGGATTGTTTTCGGTGATGATGCCGCAGCAATTGCGAAGCTTTGATCGAGTTGATCTTAACATACGGGTTTTGTATATAGTAAGACATGTAATTTGCAGCGTCCTCCCGTAAGAAGGCAATATCGGTAGCATTTTAGGATCCAATCTTTTTTTTTTCTGATCGAGGTTCACATCCATCGCCATGATGTCATGGCGAAGACCCACTCACGTGGGACCGATCCGGCAATAAATAAATAGTAGTTGAAAAAAAACGAGCAAGTACAGTCACCCCACACGGTCAAGAGGCAACCCAATCCTCTAATTACCATTCAATGTGGTAATACCATTTGAATTGAAAAAGGCCCATATCGGGCCATTCTCACCATGGCTTCGAGTGGCGATAATCTCGATGAGGCTACACCAGCTCCATTTCGCCCCGCGTTGATCGTGGTAGATATGCAGGAGGACTTTTGCCCGCCCGTAGGTATTCCCCCCTCAACACAGTTCTCGTGTTAACCTACTCAGCCTCTTAGCGCTCCCATATGTGTTCCAATAAGCATTATCACTAACAAAAACCTCATTTGTCAGAATGGCAGCCTAGCCGTCGATGGAGCCCGCACCCTCGCCCCCGTTATAAATCCCCTCCTTGCCCTCCCCGGCTTTGTCGTCAAAATCTCCACTCAGGACTTCCACCCAACATCACACGTCTCCTTCGCTACCAATCAGCCGGCCCCCAATAACATCCCCTTCCAATCTACCACTACCCTGAAAAACACCGCCGCCGGTAGGGAGGCGGAAACAAAGCCGCTACGCCTCTGGCCAGTACACTGCGTCGCTAATACGCCAGGCGCATGCATCATTCCCGAAATCGAAGCGGACAAAATCAGCGTGAATATCCGCAAGGGGATGGATGCGAGGATGGAGATGTTCTCTGCGTTCACGGATATATTTGGGAACAATAACTGTGTGGAGACAGGCGGGGTGAATGCAGATCTCACTGCGGTGTTAAGGGAGCATCGTGTTTCGGATATTTTCATCGTTGGGGTTGCGGGGGACTTTTGTGTGACGAGGACTGCTGTTGATGCGGCGGATAGACGGTTTCGCTGCTTCGTGGTGGAGGAGGGGACGAAATGCATCGACCCTCTTGGGGGATGGGAGGTGTGCAAGAGAGAGATGGAGGATCATGGAGTGAGGATTGTGAGCATTAATGGGCCGGAGGTAGCAAGGGTTAAGGCATTGTTACCAGAAAGCAATTACTTATGATGGGCGTGGTGGGTTGAGAAGGAACTAGTTGGGGGAGCTTTCGTGAGGAGTGATTTGAATTTTGTCTATGAATAGCTATATACCATTATTGCAATGAAATTTTATTGGCTCCGTATGGCTTTGCAATGCTATATAAGTTTTAGGGATGTCTATTGCTAAGGGATGTTGTCTGGGCAGTCAGTTCCCCTCATGCTTCAAAGTGTGGAAAGGGAGCGAAGAAGTTCAATGAAGCTGCAACAAGGATCGTCCCGCCAACCTGACGTTCCATACTAGCAAGCCCATCAAGGTCGTAAAAATAACTTCTTCAAACGTTTGTTCATCATTCTATCACGTTGAAATACTGGTAGCGTAAGCCAGCCGTGAGTGGCATATTCAGCGGGCCGATAGGCTAGCTCCGGGACAAGTTTATTTGCCTCCACGCCTTGTCTCTTGGATACTTGGACACGCAGACACACAACAACATCCCAAGGGCGCGGCGGTGATAGCTTGTACTCGCCTCACTGTTGCTGATTTGTTGTCTTGCCTTCCTGATGATTGCTCACCTCGACGACGACACGCTTCGCGCTCCGGTGTCAGAACTGTTATCACCCGGGCTCGCTGTCACACCTTTAGATACGACCACTGCAGAACTTGTTGACGAGAAGACAACGGTTGCAGCAGCGCCAGAGGGACCTCTCCCTTACTGGCTCGTCAATGTTCCCCGATCACAATGGCCATCTGAGTGTCCAGAATACCTCCGCAATCTACCTCAGAAGTCTATAAAGTCCCTTTCAACGCCCGATGCGCAGTTTAAGCCGCAGAGCTGGGACCTTGTGAAGGAGATAGTTGGTGGGTGTTTATTCTCTTCGTTGTATTATAAATCGGTGGATTAAAAAAAGAAATGGAAATACGGAAGCAAAGAATAACATTGCTTATTGTTGGCTGTATTAAAGAACGGGGACTAATATACCAGGCTTAAAATCAAACTAGGATCGAATCAAATACATCTTCTCCAGCGCTGGCCCTCAGATTTAAGGAGGTACCTAGAGTATATTGCAAAGATTAAAGCAATATATGGTTCTGTTTTGGATTTTGTGGTTCAGAAGAGGCTGCGTTGGGTGGGCGATTTAGAAGCACGAGGGACTGCACCGTTTCAGCATCCGGGTAAATATCCCTTTCCCTCCCTCGCCTCCCATTTCTATGCCGTCTTTTGTCCTTCCTTTTCGCCCGTTGATTGCATGGAGGGACACAGAAATGTCTTCTATTTTTCTTCTTGGGACTTACTGACTTGGAATCCGAATCTGCGCAAAATTCTCCCTTTTGACGCATATAGACGACATCAAGATCCTCTACAATGACTGGCCCTATGGAGTGGAGAAGGACATCGTCCACCTCGTCGTCTGGACCAAATTTGAATTAGAAGATGACCCTGCCACGGATGACTTGACTCCGCGCATGAGAAGGGAGATCGACGACTTTGTTGGGGAAACGTTTCGATCCAGAATGCCAGCTGAGAAGGTGTGGGAGAGCGGAAACATCCCCCTACCCTTCTCCCTCCCTGCCACCTCATAACTCTTCCAATGTGTCTTTCCATTTCATCCTCTCCCTCTCTTCTTATGGCAAACGTCGGAGTTCTTGCTTCCTGCTAACCATCGTATGAAACATAATAGGTGATATGGTTTAAAAACTGGAAGTCTCTGAAATCCATACATGCCATTGAGCACTTCCACGTCATGCTCTACCAGCCGGATCCGCTATTTCTCCACGAGATAACCAACGGCGACGCACCCGTACGCGATGTATGATTAAATGTTTTCCGGGTTTGATGATTTATGACGATCATCCCCCCCCTCCCCCTTCATGCCACTTTATACTGCTTTATACAGACAACGTAGAATGCTCGTTTTTATCGTAAACAGTAACGTACCATAATATAACATTGCTCCACACCCTCTTCCTCCAGATTAGACCTGCCTTTCAACCACTCCTATTCATCTCCCGATAATTCCCCCACTCTCGATTGAGGCAGGACCGTACTAAGACATCAGCGTCTTCCAGCTCCTCTTATCATGAAAACGACAATAATGCCAGGTCGCGGTGCATGTGCGTGGTGTAGAATCCCGGAAGGAAAAGAACAAATGTATTCGTAGATATATCTTGATAGCGAATCGAGGCTACGATCAAATAACAAGCATTGGAAGGACGAAGAATCGAGGAGAAGTGTTGGGGGGGGGATCAGGCGGACAATCCCTAGTACTTAGAAAGCCACATCTCACTGGCCAGAAAAAGAAAAGCCGCGGATAAGCTCTATTGCGTAATGATATATCCAAAAGCCATTTGAAACCTTCGCAAGCTCTTAGTGGGGTAAACAGAGACGGGAAAACAAGAGAAACCAGGAGGGGCAGCTGACAGGGGAAGAGGGATAGAACAGCAGATTTTACGTCGTGCCGAGATGAGAGTCAAACATTATTGAATTAAATGCGGAATCCAGATCCTTCCAGAAGCCCCTGACGGGCCAACTAAGCCAATGGCTTAACCCTAACAAGCAAGCTTTTGTGCGCGGGCTGCGGCGGGGAGAGCACCAACAGAAGGCGGGCCCAACCATTTTGGAGCAATCCGGCGAGGTTTTGGCTGACGTGATGGGGATGATGGCTTGCTGGTCCGGTGCTTGGCGCACAAACCAAGGGTTCCGTCATACTTGCCGGCTGCGACATGAAATGAGAAGAGACACACCCGGCTCTGCGCTCTGTTTTCTGCTTGCGTGGTTCTGACTGCCCGCTCTCTCCTCCTCCAGCTTCATGCATCGAGTAGCCTGTGACGCCCCTTTGTCCGTCTGCCCTATTTGACCTCGTCTCTCCTTGTCCGGTAACTCCATGTCTTGAGCCCCAAGCGTTGGTTGTTGGTTGTTGGTGGCCTTCCTGGACTATACTAGTATATTCTTATCTATTATTTTGCGCCCAAAACCCACAGCTCATTTTTATTTTTATTTATTTATTTAGTTATTTATTTTTTATTCTCCGAACCCCCTCCTTCGGTAGCCATTCATACCAACCCATTATTCACTGCTGCCTATCGTCGATGTCTTGACTTGAGGAACATCCGGCAGCTTCTTTCACCCTCCAATTGTTCCTTTTCCTCTCGAAGGATTCCGCGAGAGGTCCCCAAAGGACGGCTAATTGAAATAGCCATAAAATCTGAAAAAGAAATAGAGAAAAAAGGGAAGCAAAAAGGAATAGGCGCAGTATCTAGAGAAGGAATACTGCAGAGATGCTCCCAAAAATCCCCTTGGTCCACCAGCAGAGCCATTCAAGGTCCTCCAAAAATAGTGCGTCATGAACATCCCGAGGTCTATATAAATTGCTGCTACTTTGTTTTTCGATAAGCTGCCGGAATCTCCGGCGCCATTACAGCTACGACGTGCGGAAATTGGCTGCTAACCACACACTCAATTTCGCAACTTTGCGTCTATGTAGATAGCTTCTCGTCCCTCGATGAGTCGAGCGGTGGCTCTTCGCCAAATGCAGAGGATGAGACGGCGGTGGAGCCGGAACAGGGCAATGGTGAGTTCCATTTCAGAGTAATTTGGTTGTTTATGCCACGGCCTTCTCGCAGCCACACAACCCCGCCCCTCTATTACTTCCCCCGCAGGATATGCCAGTTGATATATCAAGGATTAGATACTAATTTTTCTTTATTTCTTGGATCAATTCTTTAGTCCTGACTCACATAATTTCGCAATTGCGGCCGGGTGCGGACCTTGGCAGAGTCACGCTTCCTACCTTCATACTGGAGCCTCGATCAATGCTGGAACGGATCACGAAGTGCGTTGCTAGATTTTGTCTATAACATATACATCGAGGAAGATCAATCAAATAACTGATGACAAAATACCTATGAATAGTTTCATGGCCCACCCCGAAACGCTCCTTCCAATGCCCGAAATAGATGACCCTGTCCAACGATTCGTGTCCGTGGTTAGATTCTACCTCAGTGGATGGCACATAAAACCTCCGTACGTCCTGATCGTGATATTTAGTTATATGCCCTCAACAACAAACACAAATTGTTGTCGCTAATATTGACAATGTGTGGATGGGTTTTAATGACGCTAGGGGTGTTAAAAAGCCATTGAATCCGATCCTAGGAGAAACTTTTACTTGTTATTGGGATTACGAGGATGGCACCCGGAGCTACTACATTTCCGAGCAGACTTCCCACCATCCCCCCAAGTCGAGTTACTTTTTCATGGCCCCTGAACATCATATACGAATCGACGGTACTTTGAAGCCGCGGAGTAAATTTTTGGGGAATTCCGCTGCAAGTATGATGGAAGGGATAGCGATATTATCCTTCCTGAATAGGGGTGAACCTGGGAAAGGTGAAAGATAGTATGTTGAAACGTTAAAAACTCAGACAGCTATCTATATCGTTACTTTGCTTTGCTAACTAATCTGGTAATCTTGCAGTATCGTGACCCAACCGAATATGTATGCTCGAGGTATTCTGTGGGGCAAAATGAAGTATGAACTAGGAGATCATAGCGTTATAAGATGCCCCGAGAATAATTTGTCGGCGGACATCGAGTTCAAAACCAAAGGTTATTTTTCCGGCACCTACAATGCCATAGGAGGAATGATAAAAGATGACAGAACCGGTGAGATACTTTATGAACTATCCGGGCTTTGGAACGGCGAGATGTTCATAAAAAGGGTTGCTGTATGTGCATAGAAGCGCACATCCTTTTCCATTCCCCCCTTTTTGGTTCAGCGTTTTTGTGACTAACTGAGTACATAGAGTGGACAAAAGGAGCTTCTTTTCAATGCGACAAATGCAAAACACACGCCTCCTCTTGTCAGGCCATTAGAAGAGCAGGAGCCACATGAATCGCAAAGACTTTGGAATAGCACAGTCCAAGCGTTAATTGCTAGGAACCATGACCTTGCCACGGAAGAGAAAACTAAGATTGAAGAGATGCAGCGGCTTGAGGCATCAAAGAGGCTAGAAGATGGAGTCGAATGGCGGCCCAAACTTTTCCGCACAGTTCGAGGCGGACCGCAGGGACCTGGGGAAGGCGAAGAGGATCTTGAGTGGATTCTGAATGCGAAAATGTATGTGGAAAATTTTTCATCAGTGGACTCAGTCATGCTTTTGCCCTTTATGCCTAACCTTCTTCACCCAATAGAAACCCATATAACCCGACTGTGGCCGAGCAACAGATCCTATCTGTTGCAGCAATTCTCCCAGGCCAAAAGCCTCACTGTCAATTTGAAATACCAGCCCATTCGTCATCACGATCCCATAAGTCAGAAAAAGCCTCCTCATCAGGCCAACTAGCAAAGATGACCGCAGAAACACACCCCACCCAACAGAATAATATTAGCAACCTCATAGACTTTGACGAAGGTAGTAACAACGGGCAGTCCGATGAGAACAAGATCTTGAAATCAGCAGGACCCTCAGTGGGCTCCATGGATATCTTGGGTGGAGACGGCCAAGATGACACTCATGCCCAAGCCTCCCCGTCCTCAAACTACCATCCCCCAAACATGGCAAATATCATGACACCGCTGCAGCCCACAAGCAGCCCAGCACAAACCCGATCGCTGCACAGTCGCAATTCCGCTGCCTCAGATAATGACGACTTCGTCGATGCGCAAAGTTAAATAAATGGGATAAAGCTGGATCCCAATTTCTTCCTTCTCCCTCGTAACTTTCGCCTCCTTCAAACTTCCACCTTACTCTTCGTTTTTCTCAGCCTAGTTCTCACTCAATCTATAATTGGACTTTCTTTGAAAAAATTTTTTCACCTGCATTGTCAACTTTGAAACGGAGAAAGTCCTTTTATGCCATAATCAACTAATAACTCTACTCGTCGCCTAACCGATAACTGTACCCTTGCAAGTTTATTTGTCTGGGAGCCGCGCATCCCTCTAGGACTTACACGATATTATTTGCCAGCCCACGTGTCTCATCCGAGAAAAAACAACAAACAAAAAAACCTAGCAACCCACCACCACCGGCCGGCCGACCTAATTGTTTCCTACGGAAAAAGAGAAAGAAAAGAAATCAAAGCGGGGGAGAGAAAAAGAGAGTGCAAAAAAAGATTGATTCTAGAACGGTCAGCGGCGCTGGGGTTGGGATGAGCGTCTGGAGTTTTGTCCCGTTCTGATTTGGCAGTTCCCTTTGATATGTTTCGTTTCCTTGATTTGTTGTTCTTGCGGGGAAGAGGGGAAAAGGAAAGACAGGAAAGGGAGGGATCCTGGTGGGGGTTTAGGAGAGAATTCGAATATACATAACCATATTCGTCTGGACTAGGTAGGCCAGCCTCACCCTGACTCAGCCTCTGCATGTTATTATTCTTTTTTTCTCTTCCTTTCGTGATGGATCGTAATGGTGATGATTGTTGTTATTGTTTGTCCTTATTCTTATCAGCATTGGCATTGGCATTATTGGACATGGACTTTGTCTAGGACATAATCGGTTTTTTTCCCAGTTAATGGTTGTTGATCTTCTGTTTGGGAAATACTTTTCCCTTTCTGAGAACGAAAGAGAGATAAAAAACAGAAATAAGCGAGAAAGAAAAAGAATAACTCCGAGTTTTCATCAATTGGGAGAATTTTCATGGTCATCCCTCGGCCACCACCCCCCCCGTTTTTTTTTTTGATTTGATTTTTTGAACCACTTTTCAACAAGTTGTGGTTGTTTACTCTACATTGTTATTTTGTTTTCCTATTTAATATTTATGTATGTACCTACCTACCCAGGTATGGATATAATGTCTTTTGCATAATTTTCATTCGTTTTAATATACCTACATAAAATAGAAAATTATATATATATTTTTTTTATCACAGGAGTGACATTGACCAAGGAAGGATTTGTCTTGAGAAGAGCAGAAATGATGCAATGCTAGCAGAATGTGAGCATAAGTTATTGGAAGCGGGAAGTGTAGAGAATCGAGAGAAACTCCAGGGGCAATTCATTATTCACCAAACTGCTGAGGAGGATGTAGAAATGGGGAAAAAGTGAAATATAGAATGGTCCGTCAGGAAACTCCTATACAATGGATAGAATAAAATAACTCCAATTCCAACACCATCCTACCACACTATGGACACAAGATACAAAGACGACATATATCTAAATCTAAACAGAGATATGGACGAAGAGGGGAATTAAAACGTAAAGACAATACCATCCTAGATTTCCCAACCCAAGAAAAAGAAAAGAGACACAGAGAGGCAAACCAAAAAAAAAAAAAAAAAGAAAAGAAAAAGGTCTCATGCATGACCCGGAGGAAACGAAATTCAAGTATATAGCTCCCCCCTTACCCCCAATCCTTTCTCCAAATCTTTCCTCCGACTCCATTTGCCTCCGTTACTGCCAGCTCCAACCCTTTCCTCCTGCTCCGCCTCCATCATCTCCTTTTCCGCCTCGATTTCCTTTTCTATATCCTCCCGCAGTCCCATAATATCCGGCGGGATATGGCGCATCTGCACGCTTGGCGCGCCCTTGATGTAGCGTAGCTGCTCCAGCACCGCCTGCGTCACGGACTCCAGGTACGCCTTCGAGTTCCGGTTCTCCAGCCTGCGCATGTCCGACAGCGGCGGGAACAGCGAGCAGTCCGGCTTGAAATGGCTGCGGAAGGGCAGCGAGTCGGGCAGCTGCGGGTTGATGTCTGTGGCGCCATCGATGCAGATGGCGGTTTCGTACGCCCAGAGCCGCGAGACGTTGCGCGGCGTGTAGCCGCCGCCGCCCACGACGAGGGTCGGCAGGCCGAACGTCTTTGTGTATGCGACGCATGCACCGTGCGCGCGGATGTTGAGGTTGAAGCAGCCCAGGCGGTCGCAGCCGAGGCTGTCCGCGCCGCATTGCAGGACGATGGCGCCGGGCTGGTAGGTGCGGATGCAGGGGCCGATGATGGATTTGAAGAGCGAGACGTACTCGGCGTCTTCTATGCCGTCGTGGAGGGGCACGTTGAGCGCATGGTGCGCGCCCGGGTTGAAGGGGTTGGAGGGCCCCGTGTCGTCCAGCCCGCCGGTGCCGGGGAAGAAGTTGTCCTTGTCGTATTTGTGGAAGGAGACTGTGAGGACACGGTCTGTGGACCAGAAGGCTTGCTCGACGCCGTCACCATGGTGCACGTCTATGTCGATATACATGACGCGTGGGTGCAGGCGGAGGAGCTGGAGGATGCCCAGGACGATGTCGTTGATGTAGCAGAAGCCGCTGGCTTCGGATTTTTTGGCGTGGTGGAGGCCGCCGGACCAGTTGATGGCGATTTCGGATTGGTTGTTGCAGAGCTTGCGCGCGGCGTCAAGCGTGCCGCCAGCGTAGTGAGAGCAGTAGTTGTAGAGGCCATCGAAGACTGGGCAGTCGTCGCCAAAATTGAAGCCGGCCATGCGGTCATTGAGCGCTGTATTTTCCATGTCTGAGGGGATGACGGTTTGGAGAAAATCTAGATATTCTGGACTGTGGAATTCGGCCATCTCCTCGTAGGTCGCCTCGCGCGTTTTGTACAGGTCCATGGCGTAGTGCATGCCGTAGGCCATGACGATCTGCTTCGTTAGAGTGAGTCGCCATGGTTTCATTGGATGTGACGAGCCAAAGTGATGCGGTTCAACGTCAGGGTTTGCGTGCCATGAGACCGTGTACCCCTTTGGACGCTTGAAGCCTTCATTCTCAACTTCGTGCGCCGTCTTCCGGTCCAGTGATAGCGATGTTTGGGCGACCGCTGGGGAAGCATATTCCTGGACAATCGTTGATCTGGCCATGGGAAGGAATATTTCAAAATCATAGGAATGGGGGGTGTCTGAGTCTTGGGAATCTTATCATGATCGAACCCACTAATCCCTGGAAGACCGCAGTGAAGGGGATGTCCCCCAAATGTTGCTATGTAATATCAATGATATGCGCATCAACTTGTTGTTGCCGTTGAGGTTGTCGTTGTCGCAGAGGTTTGACATCGAATCGAGGTCCAATCATGTGCAGAAAGGCCCAGAAACAGCGCCACTGGAGGCTATTCCGGATGCAGCTAGTGTCGCCGCCTTATTGTGGCGAGTTTTGCAGAGGAAAGGCCAGCGGGTGGTCTGTGCCCTACACGTGATGATACTAGTCTTCTTTGGGACAGGATCTCGGTTTTGCGATTCCTTCGTCATTTGTTCTTGCATCTTCCATCAACTGTTTCCACACCATCGATACCTGCACAACCCTAGCACACGTCCTTGTAGCTGTGCATGGCAGGAGGTCAGATCGCTCCTTAAAATTGTTTGCAACCACCGCGAGTCACGGTCCGTGCTGTCAGAATCTCATATCGATAGCCTTGGTGGCAAGACTCCGACTCCGACTCCGACATCCCAACCATATCGATATCCGAGTGTCCTTCCTTGCTAGTGAATGAGTGAATATGGCTCATACAGAAGATTGCTCCACTGTGCTGGAACAGTTCATTCATGATGGTAAGAGTTAGCTGAATAATCTCATTTCCAGCTTGCACTAACGAACAAACGCCTGATACAGTCGCGAACCTACCCGCGGAGATCACTCATTTGATGGAAGAGATCCAAGCCAAGGATAAGATAATGCAAGATTGTCGCGCTACGATAAATTCTCGTGACATGAGCCTACAGAAATTCATCAGACAAAATGGTAGCCATGCACCGAACCCCAAGGAAGACAGCTACAGCAGAACCATATTACAGAATCTGGACCGGAGCCAGGTACTACAGGATGAAAAGATCCTTCTGAGTGAGAAGGCGTGCGTGTTACTCGATCGCCAAATCAAGAAATTAGACTTGAAGATCAGAGAGCTGCAAAACGATGGAGTCCTATCGAAAGACCCGCCCATCCCTTCCCTCTTCCGAAATAAGGACCAATATTGCGAGCCACAAAAACCATTGTTTCCTGAATCCGCGTCCGCAGAAACACCATACGCCTCGCCCTTAAACCCAACTTCCGGAAATTCAACAGGGCAATACGGTCAGTCACAAAGACTAAACAGCGTCGCTGGTCGTTCGTCATCTAGCGCCGGCCTCGCCGCGTCGCAGACCATCGCGCGAAATTCCGCACCAGCCACCCCTGCCTCTGCTGCGTTGCATCTCCAACACCGCCATCGGGAATCCTCCGCGGGGGCTGCGGACAACAAACGTAGACGTCTAAATTCATCAGTCGGCACGCTCCCTGCAGCTTCGTCGAACCTACGCCAATCATCCCTTGGGCCTGGCACACCCAAACCCGGAACCCCAGGGGCTTCCCGTGCAGGCAGTGCAGGACCTCGCACCACAACAGCTGTGAAAAAACCTCCATCAAAGAAAGTAGCCCCGCACCAACAGCAGGCACGACGGAAATCCTCCGCAATCGGAAAATCCACAAAGCGCTCCTCCAGTGGGAACGGTCGGTTAAAATCCCTTCCGGGAAACGTTGCTGCATCTGCAGCTACGTCAAGGAAGAAATCTCCTTCGTCTGTTACAGGCTTGGCGGAGGAGGAAGAGGATGAATCTGTCCTTAGCAGCGCCGAGGTTTCGGAAGCGGAGAATAACCCGCCACTGTCGAAGCGGAGTGGAGGCGGGGCTCGGGCGGCCGATGGGGAATCAGAGGAGGAAGGGGAGGAAGAGGAAGAAGATGAGGGCGGGGAGGATACGAAGACTTATTGTACGTGTCGCAGTGTTAGTCATGGGGATATGGTGGCGTGTGATAATGACGATTGTCCATATGAGTGGTTTCATTGGAAGTGTGTCGGGTTGACGAGGGAGCCGTTGGGGACTTGGTATTGTGAGGAGTGTAGGAAGAATTTGGGGAAGTAAGGAAGTTCAGGAACGGGGATTCGTTTTGAGTCTGATGACGATTACTATTACTATCATTTCATATCATTTGCATTTCGTTATCTCTTCGTTATACGATGTATCATGTGTAGATGTACATGATATATAACAAGGCAACGAAATAAAATAACAACTATTAAAATATTCAGATTGCGATCTGCTCCCCTCTCTTCTCCAGCGGTGAAATCGTTTTTACATTTTTCTGGCAATATAATGAAGAGAAAAAAGAACAGAAAGGTCCACAAAAACGCCGTCGCTATGCTATGATACATAATGATATATGGTAATATATCATACAAGTATTGGTTGGTATAAGTGGCAATTCTTCGTGCGGTATTATATCTCTCTTTATGTCCCACTGTTGCCGTCGGAAGTTAGGGGAGCTGATGGCAAATCGTATATCGGGAGATGATAGCAGAGAATTTAAGGGTCGCGGCTAACAGTTGGTGAGAGGTACATGTACAACGAAAAACATGGGGGGTTCCCAAGATCCTCCTCCATGTTTCAAAACGCCAAAGATTTCTTAATCCATGCATCGAAGTATTCGCAATTCTCTGCATTGACAGGCCCGCCTTCCTCACACAGTGCAAATACAGGACATCGTCCGCAGGGAGCCTCCGTCATGCCGTTTCCGCCAAGCGTAAGGTTATCCTGATCTGCCTTGTCCTGGTCGGTTTGGTCGCTGGTTTGTAGGCCCAGGTCGCGCTGCAGGGATATCTGGTGGGGTTTCTTTACGCTTTTGTAGGCGGCCCCGTCACGGAGAGAAATTAGTTTCCCATCAAAGCAGAGCATTTCGAGTAGCTGTGCAATGCTAGATTCGCCCATCGTGACAGGGGTCAGGCCGGAGTTGTTGATGGCATTGGTGATATCGCTAACGGTAGGGTATCCGTTGTATGACGGGAGATAGGGTAGATATTGGGGTTCCCCCTTCGTATTATTATCTGGACGAATCTTTTGTCTCTTGGCCTTACGTTCAGCTGCGCCGCGGTCGTACCAGCTCCGCGAGCTCACCCAGTGTTCAATCCAGCCTCCCAATCCACGGATGAAATCAGAATCGAGAACTCCATCTGTAAACCACGCGCCGCCTGTGACATCTTCGCTTGGTTGCAGGCCAGACAGCATGTACATTTTCCTTTGCGGATATTTGACATTGCGGACAGATTTAATGTAGTTTTTCGTCTCGAGCGATTTGAGGCATCGGTTCACAATTGTCTGATGGAGATTCGTCCGCGATTTGATAGTTCGTGTCCAAACGCCGCTGCGGCCCGTTGATTCGACCACACTGTATATAAGACGTTCTTCGGCATTGAGGTTTTGGAGTCTTTTATTGTGTAGGAGAATTAGTTACATATTTCATCCGCCCGGCAAAAAGCTAGAGTCATATACTTACTTTTCAGCGTCTGATTGCGCAATGATTTTCCAAGCAAGACGGTCGTCATTTCCATAGAGCATACGCATCAAGCTCTGATCCACGAGTGATTGGGCGCATTTCATCAACAAGGAAAGGTCATTATTGGGGATAATACCCAGGCCGAGCAGATCTTGCTGGTAGAATAAATGATCGGGTGGGAAATTGGAAAGACATCGAGCATAGAGGGCGGATGCCAGTTCCTTATGCTCTGCCGTCCCAGCCCTTTTCGAGGAACCACCTGCGGAGGCGGACATCTTCTCAAAAATGGGATGACGGTGCTCCAGATCGGATCACTGTGGTGGTTCTGAAAGAGTCATAGTCTGACAGTGATCCGCCATCCGATTCAGACTTGGGAGTATCCACCCAACTATGAGTATAGAACACAAGTGGCCCGAAAGGTGTTTCTCCGGTCAAGGGAGTGTGCTACCTCTGATGTGAAAAGTTGTAACTTTTTTTTTTTTTTTCAATGATGATGATGTGGGGTGTCATATGGCTAAATTCGGCGATATTTTTCAAGATCCAAGTTGTGGTAAATGAAATACGGTATTTGATACAGTAATATACTGGAAAGTACTTCAGTCCCCATGAAAAATTACGTGGCATCCAAGGTCACCCGCCCATTACGCTGTTCGAAGCCCGTACGATTGAGCTCGAAATTTCCAGAAGCTTGTGATCCTAAACAAATCCCCAGCACTTCCCCCTCTTCTTTGTCATTTTCTGTTTCTCCCTCCCGCCAACCAACATTTCTTCTACTTGTTGCCGTATAGTGTCTCCGTTGAATATCCCCCCGTTCCTATACCGCTTGCCTGTAATATAATAATGGCTGATGCTCTGAAGGCGGAGGGCAACAAGGCCTTCGCAGCGAAGGACTTCGATTTGGCCGTGTAAGTCCCTAAATACTAGTTCCCGCTGCTCAGAAGCTGGAGTTATGGTACACTTTGCTAATCGAACTCGATACAGTGAAAAATTCTCCGAGGCTATCGCTATTGAGCCGGAGAACCATGTTTTGTATTCCAACCGCTCTGGTGCTTATGCCTCCCTCAAGAACTTCCAGAAGGCGCTTGAAGATGCAAATAAAACAACCGAGCTAAAAGCAGACTGGGTGAAGGGTTGGGGCCGGAAGGGAGCTGCGTTGCATGGACTGGGTGATCTGGGTACGTCCACATGATTTATTCCACCATTTTGAGGTTATTCCCTGGACCGGTAGGAGCTAACAAGAACTCACTCAGTTGGCGCAAATGATGCATATGAGCAGGCGCTCAAATTGGACCCTTCCAATGCGCAAGCGAAAGCCGGGCTCGAATCTGTCAAACGTGCAATTGATGCGGAAGCGAGAGCGGATGGCCTGGGTGGGGACCCTTCCGGCGGCCTTGGAAGCATGTTTAATGACCCCCAACTTATCACAAAACTTGCCTCGAATCCCAAAACCTCCGCTCTGTTGGCCGATCCGGAATTCATGGCAAAACTTCAACGACTAAAAAATAATCCGAGCAATATCGGAGAAGAGATGAGAGATCCAAGATTCCTCCAGGTAATGAGCGTATTGCTTGGTATCGACATGTCGTTTGCTCCTCCACCAGAGGCTGGTGGTTCCGCTAAGGAACCAGAGGAGGATATCCAAATGGCCGATGCGCCACAACCTAAGAAAGCCCCCGAGCCTGAACCTGAACCTGAACCCGAGGACGAGGAAGCCATTGCGAAGCGGAAGGCCAAGGAAGCCGGTGACAAGGAAAAGCAGCTTGGAACAGAAAGCTACAAGAAACGGCAATTTGACGATGCAATTGAGCATTACAGCAAAGCTTGGGAACTGAATAAGGATATCACCTACCTTACTAATATTGGCGCTGCCAGATTTGAGAAGGGTGACTATCAAGGAGCAATCGAAATTTGCGAGAAGGCAATCTTGGAGGGTAGAGAAATGTTGGCGGATTTTAAGATCATTGCGAAGTAAGTCGAAGCCAAGACTAGCCCAAACATCTGAACAAGCATCACTAACAGTATTGTAACAGGGCATTCGGAAGAATTGGAACCTCTTACGAGAAGATGGGAGATCTTGCAAACGCTATCGTGAATTACCAGAAGTCTTTGACGGAACACCGTACGCCGGATATCTTGGCCAAGCTTCGAAACGCTGAGAAAGCTAAAATCAAGGCTGAGAAAGAATCCTACATCAACCCCGAAGAGGCTGAGAAGGCAAGAGAGCTAGGTAATCAAAAGTTCAAAGAGGCGGACTGGCCAGCTGCTGTTGATGCTTACACTGAGATGACGAAGCGGGCGCCTGATGACCCACGGGGATATAGCAACCGTGCTGCAGCTTTGATCAAGCTTATGGCCCTCCCGGGAGCTGTTCAAGATTGTGACGAAGCCATTAAGAGAGACCCGAAATTTATTCGTGCATATTTGAGAAAAGCACAAGCTCTTTTTGCCATGAAAGAATATAACAAATGTATGGACGTGTGTGCTGAAGCGACTGAACACGATGAAACCGGCGCCCATGCCCGTGAGATCGACCAACAGCAACAAAAGGCGTTGGAGGCCCAGTTCAGCGCTCGTGCGGGTGAAACCGAAGAGCAAACTGCCGAGAGAATTCAGCGTGATCCTGAGGTATGATTGCCCATTTTCTATCATTATCGCGGTTTGGAGCAACCCTATTATAATATTAAAAGTGATTCAAAACCGCTAACCGTACTCTTAATTATCTAGATTATGTCCATTCTTCAGGATCCTGTTATGCAGACTATACTCCAACAAGCCAAGGGCGACCCGGCTGCGCTGCAGGAACACATGAAGAATCCAGGCGTCCGAATGAAGATTCAGAAACTGGTGGCCGCAGGCGTCATCCGTGTTGGAAGATAGATATGACATGTTCCATCTGCAACCCACGTTAGTAGTGGCTAGATGCTCATACAGAATGTGACCGATACGAGATATTTATTATTAATGTTCTTTACGTTTTGTTTGCTTAACATCTGAGCCGGAAGCCCAAAATCTAACGATCAGTGTATCATGCAACTGCTTACCCCTGAAATTGGAGGTGGAATGTAACGAGGTAGGTGAGCTGATAACCAAATCTTTTGAACTGTGCGACCTTTTAATATTTTCGTTTTACTTTTTGCATCCTTGGAGCGTTCTCATTTGAAGTTTTCAGTCGATACCATAGTAGTAGTCTCGAAAAAAAATTAATGGAAATAAATTTTTTTTAGTTCATGCATTCGACACCATTGCATAGCGAAAAAGTGACATCAGTAGAACAAGGCACACCTATTGATCGATTCCTTCATACCATCCGTGATGCCTACATCAGCTGTCCCTGCAATTTTCCTTTGGATTCTATAATCATGGAGCTTCAAGAACTGGCTCATCTGGTTTTTCAGTTCTTCATGATGAAAAATAGCATCTCGCCGCCATTCAACCATGACTTCCTGTGAAAAAAAGTGGTCTCCAGGCTATCGTTGTTTTTGCAGGAGGGTTATTTTGGATGTGAAACCGCATAATTTCCCCTCATTATTTGAATGTACTTCCTTCTCCTTTCCTGACAAGGGGAAAAGAGAGGATGCGTGATGTTTGACAGTAACCACTTTTGCCCCATCCACGGTTTTGATCCCTGAATACGGCACAGCATGAAGATGCATTCGTCGTCGACAGGCAATACAACATGGGAATCTGTGAAATCCTAGCCCATCCTATGCAAAACAAATAGAACACTAACTGGGGGTGAACTCCGAAGCTTGTTGTAGCTGGTATTGGACACAGTTTGCGTCGAGGGAATCCCTGTCAAGGCCGCGCGTGAAAGATTTATCATCGAGATTGCGTTTTCTGATTGATGTACTGAAGTCAGGGAAGTGGCGAACAATGTAAACGAACTTTTGAATCTATGCAAAACGAGACCATTGGTAATTGCACAGAACCAGCACGATGCTTCCTTTATTTAATAAGTGTATGATTCTCCTGACCTCCCTCCCCTTTTGTATTTACGATTCAGCATCATATACCGCAGAATCGTCCCAATAACAATCGCAACATGCGCGGATATCAGGCAAATATTCACATTCCACCCCACCACGTACAACGGTCGGTCGCTTTCCTGGAAAACGTGGCTACTAACAATGCCGGCTAAATTCGTCGCCATCGTAAACATTGCCAGTGCAATGGATCTTTCTTCCGGTGAACGGCTATTCATAGCCATCCAAGAAGCATTGACGGGCTCTGTTCCGGTCACCAGTTAGCGAGCTGTCCTTGCTGCAGTTGGTTGGGACCTAGGAGCAGGGAGTTTTGAAGGTACTTACGCCATACGGCACAGAAGGCGATGGCCAGGGTGAGAAGTGCGAATCGCAGATGGCCATTTGGAGATCGAACGAGTATCCTGCATCCGAGCTACAGGAATGTTGGAAAGACACGCTCCATCACATGGCTTGAAATTATCTTGCTGGAAAGTCACTTACAACAAATCCCCAACTGCATAGTGAGCCCGCAAGAACGACATAACCACGCCTCCCTGTTTTATCTCTTCATGGTGGTCAGATAAATATTAGGCAGGTCTAGCGGATTTATCAAGAAGAAACACAAAGTAGATATGTTCCCCTACCCAACATATCCCCAGATAACTATCAACACCAACTGAGCCCATAGGCCGATAGTGACCAAAGCGTTTGATACGAGTCTTTCGAAACCAAAAGATGCGACCAGAGTGGGTGCATAGGCACCGAATACGTAGACAGGTGCTAGTCCAGCGATTGTAATTAATAGATGAAGGTACATGTTCCAATTCGTTAACTAGACAGCAGCAGTCAGTTCCGTCCACATTTGCATTGCCAGCTGTTAGTTTAAAATGGTCACCCACCGCCCCTTTTAGCTGTTTAAGTGATATTGAGTTTCCTCCCTTTGCTTTCCTGGGATCATCCGCAATAACTCTCCGGGATAAAAAAGCTGCTTCCCTCTCTGTGAAATAATGAAACCCAAATAGTGAAGTTGGATTTTCAGGATTTTTCGGGAATACAGCGATGAACAGAAAACCAACAAGGATGGTGATTAGGCCCTCTATCTGATAAATAAATTAATCCATGTATAAACCAAAATATACATAAACAAACAACCTACGATAAAGAGCCATTGCCAGCCTGCCAATCCGCGAATCCCTCTCATGTGTAGTCTGGAGATGTTAGCAGGTGTGCCTTCAATATGAAAAGTAATCGCGTCTGTAGCTAGGGAATTTTCGAGCCATCTTACATTCCGTATGCTATCAAACCACTTGTGGCACCAGCGGATAGATTTCCAATATAAAATATAGCGAATCTCTTGCTAGTCTCGTTTTGTTTATACCACGTTGTAAGGGTATAGAGGCTAGCAGGTACAAAACCTGCTTCACAAATACTGATAATTTATCAGCCTGAGTACTACTAGGGTTGATATCAGCATGAAAGAAGGTATACCCAAGCAGTATCCTAGTTATTAAGAACGCAGCCAATCCCTTTTGAAATGCTTGTAGGGTGGCCACAATGCCCCTAGAAACCGTTCATTAGTTGACATAAAAGGAGGGGAGTGAGGTAGAAGTCCTACTTACCACGCAAATATCTGGATCCCTATCCATATCGCTGGCCCCAATCTGAATAGAACCATATTGCAAGGAATCTATACGTGTGGGCTAGGGTTTAGTATACAATATGGCAAGAGTATGAGATGGGATGTGCGCACCTCGACTAAAATGATCGCGAGGGGAAGGACCAGCTGGCCCGTATTGAATTGGTCCTGAGTAATGCCAACATCTCGGAAGAAGTAGTCTGTGAGGGCGTTTCCTCTATTGAATGTTATTAAGTCGGCATAAAGTGGATGGAATGTATGGGTTGGGCATACATGTTCGCGCGGTCAAGCTGCAGAACCATAAATCCCAACATCAGAATCGGGAGCACGACACGATCAATCCTGCGCGCATATACAGAGATTTGTCCGTCAGCTCAACTCCTATTCAAGCGGCATCGAATCTCCACTAACTTCCATACGAGCTTTTTTTCTTCCTCCGGTGTTAGTTCCTCTGTTGACAGCGTTGTGGAAATCGGGGATGTGTCGACCTTTGCGAGCTTGTCGACGCCGTCCAGCGGCTGCGAGGAGTGTTCTGCTCGAAGACGCATTTCAGCGCATTATCTAGCAATCCAATGCTGAATGGAAACATTTCAGCCTCATTGTATCGTGTTGGCTCTCCACTCTGTTATATAGGACCGTTCGAAGCGCCGCAGCTCGGGGATAGCATACTTTATTAGACTAGAGCACCTGTGACGCCTCTTCGTGGCGTGCATTCAATAACAGACAGCCAACATCTCCGCCTGGGATAGTGAAATTTAGGAATTGAGGAGCGCTCCTGGACCTGCAGGGTTGGCGCAGAAATTCGAGAAAGGGGGGCGGGGAGATAAATTATTCTGTAACTCCTTACTAGTATCCTCGGATAACCCTCCATTTCAGGTGACTTTTAGTAGGTTTGTGAACAAATTTTTGCAGCTATCAAATTCTATCTTGTTAGCATGCAATCCATCTGCTAGATGTACGGGGTAATTATCGCATATATTATATCCCCAATATGATGGTTCACCAACCAATTGCTGATGCAGTACGGAGTAGTATTAATAGTTAAATCATAAGTTAACCGCCGGGCCGTTGCGAATCACGACCATGCATAAGCGTAAGCTGATCCAGACCATGAATTATACTCTCTCTCACATATAAAGATTAAATATTGGACCGTGCAAATACATAGAAAGTGGCAACGTTTTCTCGATTTTCAATTGCTGTCCGTGAGCTCATCGTTCCTTTTGGCGATAACTTGTATGTGCAGGTGCAAGGGATCCCAGCATGAGGCCATCAAGGAATGCATCGTTTAAAGGCATAGTCATGACCCATGGGCAATGCTCGAGGCAGGTTTGCCCTGTCCCGCTAAAGTGTCTGTTAGAAACATAAGGGATTCCCCTTCCAACTCCTTAATCTTGATAGGTCTCGACCACCTCTTCCTAGCTCTTGACGCGACGCCCATATCCCGTTCTCCGTCCGTCTTTAGCCCTGAACCTTGTTTGAACAGAAGACTCTTCGGCGGCGCCAAACGAGGGTTTCCTTTTCTTTTCAAGTAAAACAGCGGGTTCGAGAAGGTCATCCGGTTCGCCAGCCGCCCAGCAAGAAGCATGGGGTTTTTAGGAAAGGCGCCATAGAAAGCCGAACACACATTTCTATCTTTCTTTCCTTTTTTTTTTTTGTTTTCAAGTCGTGAAAAAAATGAGGGGGAATATTCGTGAAAGCGCCATGGGCTCCGATGCTTCACTTTCCCATTTTTTTGTATCGTTTGCGTTTGACATCGCAGCGAAGAGTAATGCCTGCGGATTTGTTTTCCGCCTGTTCTTATTAATGAGCTGGTTCGTTTGTCCGTCAAACTTGTTACTTCATCCGTAGTCATCTCACTCCAAAGCCTTATCGCTGGTGGGCACCTCAAGATATATCAACCTTTATGCCAAAAAATGCTCATTCGAGGCTAAAGATGGTAAAGACCGTTTTGGGACATAAGTAAGGGATTTTCTTTCCATGAAATACTCTCGGGATTGTGAACAGAAGCTGGTGATACACCGTCACTTTCCTCCCAGCGGAAAAGTACTGTTCATGACCGATGTTGACGACGACTTTTTTGTGGAAGGTTGATATCTATCTTTCCTATACACTCACAAGGATGTTTTCTATCATTATGGCACAAGCTGAGAAGATATTTAAAACCTTTGCTGTGACTTTCATCTCTACACAATGGCTTTCGAAAGGAGACAGAAAAAAGTTCGTTTTGAGTTGGTTTTATACTTGCATTCTCATTGTTACTGTTAGTTCCTGCTTTGTGAAGAATATTCGTAAGAGTCCAGGAAGGTTCATCAGCCACAGCCCCCAAAGCCCAAAAAATGGGGAGCTAGTTCGTGCCGTCCATCTCATTATTTTGCCAAGTGCGCCAATCTTCACGATTCCGGCTAGGTTGGGCGTGCTGGCCTTCGGGTTCAACTAGATGGGACTATTGGCGATTTCACACGGAGCTAGAAAAAGGAAAAATCATCAATAAACGAGTACCAGAGCGGTGGCGAGTTGACAAGATTCAGTCAATGTGGCCCCTGTGAGATTATGAGTGACTGTGCAAGGGGGAACCATCGGGTTCTGCTTCAAATTTTAATTTTTGTTCCTGTTCATTGGAAAATCTCTGGTCGCCGAATTTTTGGAACTGGGAGTCCAAGAGGAGAGGAGTCAAGGGAATTCTGAGAAATCGTGATGGCTTTTGCTGGGGAAACTTCCGATATCTCTACTGCGTACTACGTAGGTCTCGCAGACCCGAATGGGGTGGAGCTGGCTGGGATCAACTTAGCTCGGGTCGCACAAGGATTTTTCTGCAGATGCACGAATATTCCAGTTGATTTCTTGGCGGCTAAATGGGTTCGTTGGAGTGGTTGAACAACGAGGTTCTGCAAATTGGGTGTAGAGGAAAGTAAAGGATTTGTTCAGATACAATTTGGACGACGCCGGTCAAGGATGTAAATTGAACATGCTCGTGTCAAATTGATAGTCGAGATGCTGAAAGAATCCCCTTCAAAGGATCTGCTGGTCGTAGCTGGTACCCACAATGAGATGGTATCCCGCACATTTTCGATTGAGCCATCAAATTAACAGGCCAGCGCATTACCAATTTCACCAGTACCCGTAAGAGCGTTTCCCTTGGAGAGAGTCCTTTCCTTCCACGAAGCTTTTCAGGACGAGACCCGGCTGGGTAAGCGACCGCTCCGTACTCCTTGTTAAGGCGGGGTTTGAGGAAACACCTTCATAAAGGCTCTCTAATGTGGGACAGCCTCTTGCCAGCTGGATTTCGAGGTGGCAAAAAGTCGAACAAACCCACCGCTCCTTATGCCCTGCGGAGGCTAGATTCGTCATTCCAATTTAACGCGGAATTTCATTTGCCTCGGCCAAGTTGATTGGTTATGCACAAACGTGGGGATCCTGGGACAGACAAGGTCGTTTGACTGCCGCATAACTAACTCCTGCAACTCTGCTGCATGGCCATCCGAACTAAGCTTGCTTGCCACAATGCCCACGATCGAGAATCACTGCAGAAGTCGCTGGAGAAGGTGCTTCAACACAAACGCACTTTGACAGCTGTTTGTGCCCGTGTCGAAGCGTCATTGTGCTCCTCATCCATATCATCAGCCACAGGAGGCGTTAGTGCGGACAACTTATTCCTGTATTGTCTTGGTGCAAGATTCGTACCTCCAGTGGAAGTTGCCGAAGGAAGAAATTTGCGTCGAATCCTGGGCCCCTCCTTTCGAACCTGATTTTTGCTGATGCTGAGTATGAAATAACTGCCATTGCTCGACGATTGATCCTGGGAACAGAGATAAAATTAAGTAGAAAAGATAGACCGCTCCAGGAGTTTGTCTGTTTGTTTATATGGCCCCTGCCAGAAGCTGGAAATGGAGCTGGGACACACCTGGAGTGCGTAATCTGGTTGTTTTAATCCCTGCCATGCCGTGCAGAATCCGGTTTGTTGGAAGATTTAGGGCTCATCCTCTTGCAAATAGTGTGTATTATTTTTGCTGGACGGACCCATCAACATCGACGTACGTCGCTGTCCACGATGGCGGATCTTCCACCAGGCCAGGAGTTTATTTATTAGCAGGACGGGATTGCCTGACGCGGCTGTTGATAACTTCTTTTTGTGACTTTTGTCTTCCTGTGTCCGGGAGCGACTGCGACGGTGGACTCTTATTACCGACCAAGAGAGAAAGAAGGCAGGTTCCGAGTTAGATCCTGCCTTCTCCCCGTCCAATTCTCCTGTAACCCTTATTCCAGTTTTTCATTTGCTATAACTAGATAGATGCTCAGGTAGTTAACTTCACTCCCGACCAACCACCCAGCTTCGTTTGCACAAAGCAATCCGGCGGGCTGGGCGCACTACTGCCAACCCGCTTTGTCTACGGGACAGCTCATCGTCCTTCAGCTACCAACCAGCGATCTTCTCCCACCGCCATCCCATCTTGGAGTGCCTGTCCGCTTCGTCAACTCCTCTGGACGTCCACGCTGTTCCGTTGGAGCACGCCCAATCGGCCACCTTAGCTTCTTTGGAGCTTTTCGAGAGAATTCCTTTTGAGTTTCAATCCTCCTCCGATCGATCCCAGCTAGCTTAAGAGACGCCAGTACCCTCTGCTGCTGCAAACTGCTTTGAACAAAGCCGTGTTGAAGCAGTAAGGTGCTATGGAGAGCCAGCAGCCATCGCAGCCCGAGCTCTCTCCTGAGGCTGTCGAGCAGAAGATGGTTGAGGAGAGTCAAAAGGCCGGAATCCCTGCGTTCCAGTTTGATCCCGATGCTCCCCCATCCAAGAAACTGGAACAGGTGGAAGCGGTAAGTTGCTACTGTTGTCGCCTCTGTCCTGTCGCTGCTTCTCGTGATATTTACTAATTCGCTCCGTGGTGCGCAGACGATACCCCCGGGCATACATAAGCAACCCAAGACAAAGGCCATTGGCGTGTCTACGGATATAGTGGGTCTTTATTTTCTTTCACCTACCTTGTTAGAAACCTTGATACTGTGGAGGAAACTGGGGAGGAAACTGGAGCTGATAATAGCTATGTGCTCTCTAGGTCAACGGTACTTCGAGTGCATCAAGCAAAGACCCCAAAGTGATGAACACCGATAAACCTGAAAAGCCCGCAGAAACGAACGGCGAACTCGATGAAGCAGCCAGATGGGATCGCAACAGGACCGGCTGGGCTCCTCGCTTTCATATTCCCGAGGATGACATAGATGAGGGAGAAACGCTTTTGGACCACCAAACGTTCATCGAGACGAAACTGGATGACAAATTTTTTGGAGGTCGCGTTCCATCCCATTGCCAGGCCTTGATCGCTGTTTAGCATAATACGAGAGTCGTAAGCTGACTGAAAATTTGAATAACAGACTGGTATCATAACACTGCGGTCATCATTTTCTCTTGCCTGGCGTCATGGGTAATTGCGTTGCTTGGCGGAGGTTTGGGATGGGTGTTCATAGTCATGGCGGGCTGCGCAACGTACTACCGCACCTCGATACGTCGTGTCCGACGAAATTTCCGAGATGATATCAATCGCGAGATGGCAAAAAGCAAACTGGAAACCGATACGGAGAGCTTGGAATGGATTAATAGCTTCCTCGTGAAGTTCTGGCCCATTTACGCCCCTGTCCTCTGTGACTCCATAATTAACTCCGTTGATCAAGTCTTGAGTTCGGCCACTCCGGCTTTTTTAGACAATTTGCGCTTGAAGACCTTTATACTTGGAAGCAAACCTCCTCGTCTAGAGCATGTCAAAACCTACCCTAAAACCGAAGTCGATACAGTGCTCATGGACTGGAAATTCAGCTTCACCCCAAACGACACCATGGATCTTACCGCTCGCCAGCTAGCAAATAAAATAAACCCAAAGGTTGTACTAGAAGTACGCATTGGGAAAGCGCTTGTTTCAAAAGGCCTTGACGTGATTGTGGAAGACTTCGCATTTTCAGGCCTGATGAGAGTGAAGGTGAAGCTCCAAATCCCATTCCCGCACATTGAACGTGTAGACATCTCTTTCATTGGCCGTCCGGAAATCGACTATGTTTGCAAACCACTGGGTGGCGATCTCATGGGATTCGACATCAACTTTATCCCTGGACTGGAAAGTTTTATCAAGGATCAGATCCATGGGAACCTGGGCCCGATGATGTATGAGCCTAATGTCTTCCCTGTCGAAATCGCCAAGATGCTTGCAGGCAACCCCGTAGATCAAGCTATTGGCGTGGTTGCAGTCACCCTACATGGAGCGCAGAGCCTCAAAAATTCTGACAAGTTCGGCGGCTCTGTGGATCCTTACGCAGTGGTCTCTATTAATAGTCGGAATCCTCTTGGTCGAACGAAGACCGTTCACGATACCTCTAACCCAAAGTGGAACGAAACAATCTACATCATCATCACCGCCTTTACCGATTCTCTTACTATTCATGTCTATGATTGGAACGAATTCCGGAAAGACAAAGAGCTTGGAATAGCAACATTCCCCCTGGAGCATCTCGAAAAGGAGAATGAACATGAAAATATGACCCTTGAGATTTTATCCAGTGGCCGGCTACGTGGAGGTCTTATGGCTGACGTTCGCTTTTTCCCTGTCCTTGAAGCGACAACAGTCGAAGGTGGAACGGAGGAGCCTCCTCCGGTATCTAATTCTGGAATTGCAAGATTTACAATTGAACAGGCCAAGGATCTTGATGGAACCAAGAGTCTTATTGGACAGCTTAACCCATATGGTGTGTTGTTGTTGAATGGCAAAGAAATTCACGTTACAAATAAGCTGAAGCGAACAAACAATCCGATTTTCCAAAACCCCACCAAGGAAGTATTAATTACTGATCGAAAGACGGCGCGATTTGGTATGATGATTAAAGATGATCGAGATCTTGCTACTGATCCTGTTCTCGGCAGATACCAAATGAAGCTTAACGACATGTTGAAATTGACGGAACAAGGTCAGGAATGGTTCAACCTCGCTGGTGCGAAAACCGGCCGTGTTAAACTTAAGGCTGAATGGAAACCTGTGGCCCTCAGGGGGATAGTTGGTAGCGGAGGATATGTTTATCCCATTGGTGTCATGCGGATACATATCCAAAGCGCTAAAGGTCTAAGAAACGTGGAGACGATGGGCAAGTCGGATCCTTATGCTCGAGTCCTCCTCTCTGGAATTGAGAAAGGCCGCACCGTCACTTTCGCAAATAATCTTGACCCTGAGTGGGATGAGATTTTTTACATCCCGATGCACTCTCCACGTGAGAAGCTGGCTCTCCAGGTTATGGATGAGGAAAGCCTTGGAAAGGACAGACCCCTCGGAATGACCGAGCTCTCCGCCTCTGACTACATCCGTGAAAACGAGAATGGCGAATACGAAGTTGACGATGAGAAGCAGCAGATGTCATCTGGTCTCCGTATTGCCAATCGCGGTACGCCCAAAGGTGTTATCAATTATACTGTTGCTTTTTATCCCACGCTTAACGTAGCCGATCCCGAGGAAGAGGAAGAGGAAGAAGCCACTCGGGCAGCTATGGCTAGTGAGATGCCCATGGACGGACCGCGAGAGAGCCTCGAAAATGGCCGCCCAAAGCTTGAAAATGGCACCAACGGCACCAACGGCACCAATGGGACGAAAGCTAGTGCCGAAGTCAGGCAAAACAGTGCGCCAAGCATTGATATCGGTGCTTCAAAGGAGCCATCAGCCAATGCCTCTCAAAGTTCACTCAAAGCTTCAGCAGCTCCTAAAATTCGCCTCACCCCACAAGACCTCCCTCAATACGGTATGCACTAATGATCCATGACCAAAGTTGTCTATTTCGAAGTTAATATATGCTAACTTGGGAACACAGAGTCTGGATTGATCGTTTTCAAGCTCATTGAAGGCCGTATGGCGCACTCCAATGTTCAACTCGAAGTTTTGATGGATGATCACGTATTCCCATCCTATACCTCACCTCGAACAAAAACTAAAGAAGCTGTTTTTGGCGATGGTCAGCTTATACCCTCCCTCCAATCTAATTATTTTGATTCTAACCCAACAAACTTGCTAGTTGGCGATGCGTTTGTCCGTGAACTTGAAATGTCAAAAATCACTCTCCGTCTCGTTGAAAAGACGGATACCAAAGGAGAAGAGGATGGGGAACATGCTTTATCCAAGCTCACCGGACCGACACTGCCCACTCTCCAACAATGCCTGGTACGTGTCCACTGTCATTTAACTATACTTCGGGACCTTGGATATGCTGACTTATGATATTAGTACAAACCTACGGAGCTAACACTAAGATCACCCGACGGTTCGACTAGCAAAGTCACTGTCAGCTTAAAATATATTCCAGTGAAGATGAAGTTGGACCCCAGAGAAAGTATCAATAATATGGGAACACTTCGTGTCGATGTTTTGGATGCTGCCGACTTGCCTTCCGCTGATCGCAATGGATTTAGCGATCCATACTGCAAGTTTAAGCTGAATGGCAAAGACGTTTTTAAAACCAAGGTGCAGAAGAAGACTTTGCATCCTGCGTGGAATGAATTTTTCGAGTGCTCTATCAAGTCTAGAATTGATGCGAATCTGAGACTCGAGGTGTACGACTGGGATTTCGGTGACAGGGCGGACCACTTAGGTGGAACAGATATTAACCTTGAGCAGTTGGAACCGTTCCGTGCTACTGAAATTTCGTATCCGCTTGACGGGAAATCTGGCGCAGTACGGCTCAAACTGCTTTTCAAGCCGGTGTATGTGATGAGATCTCGACAAGGTTCCTCTACATTCTCCGGCACATTTGCCACTCCAGGCAAAATTGTTGGTGCGCCAGTTAAAGGAGTGGGATTGGTTGGTGGTGGTGTGGTTAAAGGTGCATCATTCATTAAACACAATCTCCTTCGTCTCGGTAGTAGCAAGGACGATGATGACAACAAGTCGATTACTTCACCAGAACCATCAGGAGGAGATAACGTCGCAGTCCCCGCCTCGGAAAATACGCCGATCGACACACCGCAGAGAGCGTCAGTCCTAGTTGACGGAGCCGCGCCTCCATTAACCCCTACCCAGAACTCCTCTCAGACACCACACAGCCGTTCTCGTAGCATTGCCTCTCAATTAAATGAGAAAATTGGACGGAGCGGTGGCGGCAAAGGCGATACCGGGACAGCACACTTCACCATTGTCTCCGCTGCAGGGTATCCTTCCGGAGCCAATGTGCGTGTCACAGTTAAACAGATGACCTCCAGGGGCGCAAAAGAAGTGCACAAAACCAAGGCCATAAAATCAGCTCACCACTCTGGAACGTCGACTCCTACCACGACACCTATCGTCCAGTTTGACCCGTCCCATGAAACTTTCAAGGTCTCTAATGCTGCAGCGGACGCCCAGTTCCAACTGCAAGTTAAGGATCATTCAACCTTTGGGTCAGATGATATTTTAGGTGAGGCGCTGTTCTTCGTCGATGATCAAGGATCTAGTGCCGGAAGGGAACACACTATCAAAGTTGGCGGCGGTACAGTCACACTGAAATCTTCGTTTTCGTCTGCTGAAACTTCGTCTCTGCGTCCTGGCACTTCTCATTCGTCAACGGGTGATAAACGAGACGAAATCGACAGCCCAGAGAGGAAATCGAGAAGGAGCTTCTTGGGGAAACGATCGGTGAGCGGGGCGGTGCCTAATGGGAGCTGATATCAAGGCAAACTAATGGTTTATTGTTTGAGGGATGCCTGGGCCTTGTTCATTTTTATACCTTTTCCGACTCAATGCTTGGTTTTTTCCAATTTTGTACTGGATTCAGGCTGGGTGGTATAGTCGATATGCTTTTTCTTTTCTTTTCGTTTCTTTACTTTCTTTCCTCTTTACCGCCTTCTTTTCTCGCTTTTTTTTTGTTCCGTTTTCGGGTTCAGCTTCTTTCTTTCGGCATTGGTATATCCGCTATTAGTGATTCTTGTCGTCTTTTTATAAGGACGTGTCCGCGCCATCGTTTATGCATACACATTTCTACGGATATTTTTAGTGGCCTCGTTTGCTCTAACTTCAAATATACCGTATTTGGTGCTCCTACTATAGACTTATACTTTATCAGTGCTGAGCTACGTACAGTACATCAGTGGCTAATTGTTTTTAATGGGCTCCTGTTTCAACCTCGGGGAATGAAATTTGATACTCGCAGGAGGCAAGTGAACCCAGGAGAGATGGGGTTGGGACCCTAAGTTGCGCCGACAAAGGACTCACAGGCAGCCAAATAATTGAGGAGCTGAAACAGAAAGGAGTATGATTCTGCGACGATCGTGCAATGATCGGGATTGTTGTCATTTGAAAATATTTTGGAGATGCGAACATTCGTGGGGCGTGTCTTTCTATGGTGATCATGATTCAATGGGATCTCGGTATAGATAGATACGCAGACAGAAACTTTCAGCTAATAAGCTCTGGAGTGACAAAAAAGGAAGATGCGTTTCGCCCTGTAAACGATTTCTATATCATTTTTTGCACTGAAGTCCCCAGGTTTAACAGGTTTAGCATCGCTAATGTAGATGCAGAAATACGATGGCCCACAGTAGCAAACAATGCGTATATCATGTTCGTCAAATCCAGTGGACCATAAAAAGGAGTTGCAACGATTCGAACGAACCCCCTTTCGATATGCATAAAGGGGAAAGGCTTCTTAAAACCTAAAAAGGAAAGGAAAGGAAAGGAAAGGAAAGGAAAAGAAAAGAAAGACAACATCAATTCATCGCTATCTATAAGGGTGGGTTAGGGAACCCAGCAAGGATAGTAGAGGGCACTTAGAGGAGAGTGAAAAAAAAAAAAAAAAAAAAAAAAAGATAACTCGTTGTTATGATCATTGATTAGGTCTGGGATATTAGTGTTTAGCTATGAACCATGCATGCACGCACTACCATGCTGTCGCTATGGAGGTGACTCCGCACGCGCAATCCGAGTCGCAGACACCGCAGCCTCATCTTCAAACCCAGCGGGGGGACCCCACCGTGACCGCGTTGGTTGGGGCGCAGATTCAGCAGCACCATCGCCATTGCCAGTGCCATGGACGTCTCCCCCATCACCACTGTCCTCGCCATTGCCATCTCCATCCGCCTCCCGCTGATCCCCCTTCCTGCGCTTCTCCTCCCAGCGGTCCCGCTCAGCGGGTTTGTGCGAGTTACCGCGGGCCTTGTGGATGTGGACGCGGCTACCCCAGACGGCGCTGACGCCGCTAAGGGCGTCGATAGCACGCTCGGCTTCGTTGGAGGAGGCGAGGTCGACGAAGAGGTAGTAATGGTTTCCTGGCTGGGAGCGTTTGGAGGGGTGCGGGGAGATGACTTTGCTGATTGCCTCGCTGTTTTGTTTTATTTTGGGGGAGGGGATGTTCTTCAGCAGGGTGGTTTGGTGTGGAGTATAACCGAAAATTGAAGGGAGAAACAAAAAGGAAAGACACAAAACGAGGGGGAATTGGGGATACAATAAGCTAATAATGTCGCACATACACATTGAACCCGTAAAACAATTTCCGTATCTCATAATCGGCCGTCGGCTGGTCAGGCATTCTGGGCAGGCCGCCAACGAACAGCCGGCGACCCTGCGCGCTATAATCATACCAGTGGCTTGCGGCATCGGACCGCTCCCACCGTTCAAAGGCGAATCTGGGCGGCTGCTTCTCTGGGGTCATCTTGGTCTGGTCCCTTCGTCCAAAAAGTGGCTCCTTGGACGACTTCGGGATACCTGGCTTGATTGTCACAGGGCGGCCCAGCATGTCTTTCCCGTTCAGTTCCGCCATAGCTAAGTCAGCTTGCGCCTTTGATTCCAGCTCCACGAAGCAGTATGAAGGGTTTCGCCCGGTGAAGGGATCGATTGATATGTCGACGCGCTCGCTGTGGAGGGCGGTTAACCATGGCCGCTGATTGCAAAGGACCCCAATTGAGCAAAGAAAGGGCTTGTAGGAGGGCTCTGAAGAGGAGAAGAAAGAAGGTTATGCTTACACATTGTAAACCGTCTCGCCTTCAGTGAAAAGAGCTTCTACATCTTTCTTCTTCGCCATGTACGGCATATTGCCTACATACAGTCTCCTGCCCTCGGAAAAGGAGTTCATGGTTGGGGAATCGGTATTGCCATGGTCTCTACGAGGAGACTTGACAGGTGTGGACGGCTTTGACCCTTCACGGCCATTATTGATGCTATTATTATGATTATGAGTCCGATTATTGTTATTGTTCCAGTTCCGATTTTGGGAATGGTTTCCCCGGTGCGTCATTGGGCCGCGATTGAAATCCGGCTCTCGCTCCGTAGGTCCATCATCGACAGTGTCTGGTCCTGGATTTTCCAGGCGCTTTACTCGCCAGTTTGGCGAGTTCACCCAGCGACGACTGGGTGTTGGTTTCTGCTTTGGTTCAGGATCTTGGGGTTTGGTGGCCTGCGTCATTGTGTGTTTCGCGGTCAAGATTCGGGACTTTTTTTTAGATTAGGTTTGGTTTGTACCAGCCCGCCTTGAGGTGAGAGACAAATTAGCAAAAGCCGCCGTGATGATTAAAAAGAACAGAAAAGGCCAGTACCAAAATTGCCATTTGTGCTGAGAGGGGATAATTGTGGAGGTAACGGGAATCAAAGGAAATGCTGACATTTGCTTAATTGCAGGCAGGGAGCTCTGAAGAGCGACTAACAAACGTTCAAAGCTCTAGCCACCCGTTCAGAACAGGCGAGGCGGGTTCTTGAGCGAGAGTCAGGATAGTTATATATTTGATGTTTAATATGGCCCTTGCATGAAACGATTTGTACATCGGATGTGATTCCTTTCTGAAAAATCTGTTGATTCGAGCTGAGAGTAGTAGATTGATTGGCGACAGAATTTTTTAACTTTTAATTTCTTCTATTTTATTTTATGTTTTGACGAACAAGGACCAAAAAAAAAAAAAAAAAACTTCGTGCCAAAAAGTCAGCCACGAGAACGGCTAGGGCTGAGTATTAACCCTAATTCCTAGTTAGTTGACTAGTTACAAGTATCTGGGCCACCCAGAAATCCAAAGGAGACAGCCCGCCCATCTTCCTCCGCGTCGATCGGATCAGGACAGTTTTTCGGAACAGACTTGATCTAATATGACAATGGCTTTACTGTGTTGGGAAGTTAAAGTCCATAGAATTGAGATCTGAGTGCTGGACTTCGCTGGCAGACTGCCTTCCAGGCCAGTTCCTGCCCGCCAGAACCCGCAATAAGCAGACAATGGGGATCCCTTATTTCCCTACGGATATGGTTGTATCTGAATGTGGTGAAGAACGGAGCTCTGCTCCCCTCGCCACGTTTGGACCATCCATTACGCCGGATGTTAGCCCCATGATTTGTTAGAAGATGGATGGGGTGAATCAAAGAATCGATAGACCATGGCACATCTGGCACACTGGGTCAGCTGATAACAGGACAGGGTGTGAGACATTCAGTATTGATCGTTGAATTTAATGGAATTACATTTGTGAACTTAGTATGGGGCTTGTCTCTAATTCAAATTTGAATGGGAAAAAAAGTGTATCCAGGAGGATCTTCATTGGGGTTTGTCTTAAAAATTTTCTCTCAACCAGAGCCCAGCAGCAGGGGAACGATCCTGAGCGCACGATGGTACCCTACCTGGGTATGCTCTGGGAGCGAGGGGCTATTGAGGGCGAGAATCATGCTGGCAGCTGCCAGAACCATCGATGACAGCTCAGCTCCTGGTGTTTTTTATCAGAGTACAGATTACTCCGTACTCCGTAGAGGGATATATAGGAAGAGAAGCCTTCAACGGTTTCTTGTACGGACTCGTCAACGAAGCGGAGGTCCGTTTCAGGTTATTAAACTTTGGGAGAACCTGGGTACCCGTTAGATATGCCTGTGAGAGAGAATAAAAAGGGGTAGCTTGATGCCGTCGCTCGAAAATAACACCCTACCCGCTTCCGTTTGCAATAACCAGTGGCGTCCAGGCCGTGGCGAATATATCACCTTGACCAGTGACAATTCTAGTATATTGAAATACCTCTTCAAGTCTTCTTCTTCTCCAGCGGCTTCCATCTTCTGCCCTGACATGGTACCTTTTCTATTTGAGTTTCAATCCCCGTGTTTTTCCGACTTCTTCGTGCTTGTGTGGAAACTCCCTGGAACAAGACGAATTGTCGAAAGCGGTCATCAATAAAATAATTATAAAGCTAAGAAAGTAGTCACCGCGTAAGTAAATTCTTGCAACGGCGGCTAAAAAAAGCAAGCAAGCAAGACAGAAAGGAAGAACCCTCAAAGCTTGCACAGTTGGCCCAAGTGACCTCCTACCCAGCAAACCTAGGTCCTCCTCCTGCTGTGCGCGCTCCATCGGCCCACACCGGCCCTTGGTGGGGAGCTTGCAGCGGACAAGTGGCTGTCGTTGTTCCAAATTGCTGGACGTGGTTGGCGACTTGACGGTGTTGACACTCGTTGTTCCAGAACCCTGGGCCTGGGCTGGGCAGCAATCATCCCCACCAACGACGCGCCAACCTGTTTTTCTCTCCCCAACACGAAACACAACCAACGACATCACCGCTTTTTGCCCCTCTCTTGGCCCCAACTCTTCTCTGTTGCGCCCACTGACAGTTGCAAACCTCCATTGAGCCCCTCCAGATCCCGTCGTCTGTCTCCTTGTCGCTCTTCTTTGGTATTCTTCAATTTTGTCGATTCCTGAATTAAAAGGTCTGTCATGGCGAACAGGGCAATTCCATCTCATCTTCGGTCCCCAAGGCCAGACGCGGGGACCGCCACAGAAAGCCCCTTTGAGAGAAAGCGTCATGAAAAGTCTCAGTCTCATATGGTAAGCACATGGTCAGATTTGCTTTGTTTTGTTTCCTCCTATTTCAGCCGTGCAAGATGAGTTCAATTGTCGAGATTTGTTTACTTCGTTCACTCCTTGTCCAACGGCTTCGATTGTTGGTGAGAGAGTGAATGTGAAGCTTCTGGAATAGGGGCGGAGGGGGAATGGGCAGTCCTCCTTTTACCTATTTAACATGTTGAAGTTTGAATTTCGATCTCGACTTATCTCTTGAGCATACAGCATGTATCAGTTTATCCCAACTTTGTGCTGCAGCTTGCTTTGGATTGTCTATCCATCTATCTATCTCTTTATTTGAACTATAATGGAAATCCCAGTTCCCCCTGAGGAGCACTCCCGGCTGACTGATGGTGACTGTGGTGACCGCGATGTCAAGGCCTTCGAGAATGCATCTACAAACGTTGCAGCATCACAGATGCGCAATGCCCTCAATGCCCTCGCCGATACCGTCACGGATCCCAAGGAAAAGCAGCGTTTTGAAGCAGAGATGGACAACTTCTTCTCTCTATTTCGACGATACCTAAACGACAAGGCAAAAGGCAATGTCCTGTCCTGGGATCGCATTGCCCCCCCACAACCAAGCCAAGTCGTCGAGTACAGTGAACTGGGGAACTCGGCTTCAGTCGATTTTTTGAAGAAGTTGGCAGTGATCAAGCTGAATGGTGGCTTGGGGACGTCGATGGGCTGTGTTGGACCCAAATCCGTCATCGAGGTTAGAGAGGGCATGTCCTTCCTGGACCTGTCTGTCCGGCAGATCGAATACCTGAACCGCACGTACAACGTTAATGTGCCGTTTGTGCTTATGAACTCCTTCAATACCGACGAGGACACCCAGTCGATTATCAAAAAGTACGAGGGACACAACATTGACATCCTGACGTTCAACCAATCTCGATATCCCCGCATTCTCAAGGATTCATTATTGCCTGCCCCCAAAAGCTACCAGGCCCCCATTACGGACTGGTACCCCCCCGGTCATGGTGACGTTTTCGAGTCACTCTATAACTCTGGGACGTTAGACAAGCTCTTGGACCGAGGAGTGGAGATTGTTTTCCTTTCCAACGCGGACAACCTGGGTGCTGTCGTCGACATGCGGATTCTGGAACACATGGTGAAGAACAAGGCCGAATATATCATGGAACTAACTGACAAGACCAAAGCCGACGTCAAGGGCGGTACCATCATCGACTACGAGGGCCGGGCCCGCCTGCTCGAAATCGCCCAGGTGCCCAAGGAGCATGTGAACGAATTCAAATCCATCAAGAAATTCAAATATTTCAACACCAACAACATCTGGATGAACCTGCGCGCCATCAAGCGTGTCGTGGAGCACAACGAGCTCGAAATGGAAATCATACCCAACGACAAGTCCATCCCCGCAGACCGCAAAGGCGAGGCCGACATCTCCATCATCCAACTCGAAACCGCCGTCGGCGCCGCGATCCGCCACTTCAAAAACGCTCACGGCGTCAACGTCCCGCGTCGCCGCTTCCTGCCTGTCAAGACCTGCTCCGATCTCATGCTGGTCAAGTCTGACCTGTATACGCTCCAGCACGGGCAGCTGGTTATGGACCCCAACCGTTTCGGCGGCGCGCCACTAATCAAACTAGGAAGTGATTTCAAAAAGGTTTCCGATTTCCAGAAGCGGATTCCCAGCATCCCGCGGATCCTGGAGCTCGATCACTTGACGATCAGCGGCGCGGTCAATCTAGGTCGTGGTGTGACGATGAAGGGCACTGTGATTATCGTGGCGACGGAGGGGAGCACCATTGATATCCCCCCCGGCTCCGTTCTTGAGAACGTCGTTGTGCAGGGAAGTTTGAGGATCTTGGAACACTAAGAAGCAGTTGGAAAAGAAGAAGGAATCGAGGCTTTGATAATGTTAATAATAACCATGAAGACCGTTCCCCCGCACGTCGCGCGTCGTCCCTTTCCACTCATCGAAACACAAGAAAGTCGGATCCGCAAATTTTTTCATTTTTATATATATTTTTTTCATTTTCATCGCCTGAGGGATGTTTTCAGGAGCCGAGCCAGGCATGAACTTTTTATTTTTATTTTTATTTATTTTTTTTTCACATTTGTTTGATGAAACAACAAAACAAAACTGGGCGTTTTGAAAACTAAAACCTGGTCTTAGTAGGGCTGGATTGTTGTTTTTTAGTTTGCTTTAAATGTTGGTTTTTCTATCCTATCTTGCTTTCACTTTTTGCGGCTGTTGTCAAAGTTTAGTTACTATACTAGTTTTAAAGAGCAAGCAACCAGATCCTTAATTTATCCAACTTAATCCATCCTATTCTTCTTCTTCTTCTTTTTTTCTGTTAGGCTACTGGAGCAAAAGAGCTTGATCACCAACCAGCGCCATGCTGGTAGTAGAGGGGACAAACCTAATCCAAACCCCCCAACATTTCCCCTTTATTACCCCCCTTTATTTTTTCCCCTCCCCTTTTCCGTGGTGTTTGACCGCCGCGTTGCATTCCTTCTCTTCCATAATTCTATTGCTAATTACTTGCAGAAAAAAAACTTTCTTTTAGTTTGCGGGATCTTCAGGTAGAGCTTGTTCTTCTCTCCCCTTCCCCCTTCCCGCCCGCTCCCATCTCTCTTTTTCCCGTTGATAAATCAAAGAAAAAGTATGAAGTAGTATATGTATGTAGATGGAGCGTTGAGCAATTAAGCCAGTTGGGCAGTTGAGCAACCAAGCGAGGAGAGTGAATTCTTGCAAAGTGACGGATTTGCAAACAAGGGAGAGGGACGCCTGCGGAGAATTTTTCGTCAACAGCGTGGGTTTCCCGAAATATACATCTAGCGTTAAATTGTGTTAAGAAAACCCATGGGCTCCAATTAAGAAGAGTTGTTGTTTTGTGCATGAGGTAAATGGATCGAGTGATCTGGATGCTACCGTTTCGGAGCATCCCCCCGCCGCGAGAATCTCCGCTGAGGCGTCTGAGTGAGATTTAGGTTACAATGCGCATTTGGATGGATGGATGGAAGATATGCGCTCCGACGCGCCTGGCCGTCAAGCGAAGACGACTCGGCGTCTCAAAAAATAGAGGAAAGCGCAGGAAGAAAATAGTAATACAGGATGTAAGTTATCTAGATTGAGTTGATGTTATGTCAAGTAGGTGATCAATAGTTAGAGGGACCCGGCGAAACGAATGAATGAATGGCGACAAGCTTTCATCATCTTCTTTTACATGCCAGATGAGATCGACTTGTCTATCTGCCCGTTGCCTTGTTAGTTAGAAGGGAAGGGAAGGGGAAGGTGTTTGTTGGTAACCGCTATTGCTCGGTTGATTGCCCGCTCTGCTCGTATGACGTTCACTGGAGGGTACACAGACTATCGCCATTGCGGTTCGAAGCGGAGCGTCATCCATCTCCTGGTTTGGGTCTATCTTCATGGAGATAGGTACGTAGCTTCAAAGGGTATTTGGATGCCGACGACCAGGCCCGTCACCGTGCTGAAACAATGTTGCAGAGCCATAAGCCAAGAAGGAGTAGTTATGACAAACAAAACCCTTCATGCAAACTCTATTTTTGAGCCTGTTTTCTTTTTCCGAGTCTTCTCTCCTCAGAGCTCCTCGCCAGCTGCAATGAAGCTGGAGTCTTACAAAAATGCGGCTAAAAAGTTCAGCGGGTCCTTCGTGCCCAATCACGTGCGCTGTCCAACATCTCAACCATCGCCACTCAGCCCACATCGTCTTTCCAACGTCGCCAACCTGCTCGAACAGCTGTCAAGCTGGCCCGGCACTTTCCACCCGCCAGTTGTATCTGATCGGGCTTGCATGCTGCATGCTGGATCGTTATCCCAACTCTCGATGTGCAAGCCGCATCCTTTTTCTTTTTTTTGCTCCGTTTTTGACTTTTCTGTTTCCTTGGTTGATCCAACGGAACCCCTGGCTCCTGTGCCATGGTTTTCTCTTTCTTTTTTATTTTTGAGTTCTGATTTAATTTCCCGTCTTTGGGGATGTTATCGTGCATGCACATTATGCTGGACATGTGCTGTATACCGGATGTCAACCGCTGTTGCGTTGATGTTTTATGGAATAGCTAATAGGATGATAGCAGGGGCGAGGGACCTCTATGCAGCGTTGTTAAACGGCGGCATGTTGGTACTTTTCTGAAGAGTCCGTCCGACTGAGCCGATCTGCTCCACACCCAAGGTTCTCAAAGAGTTTGGGTCGTCCTTTATATACCGTATACGGAATTTCGGAACAGAGCGCGTGCAAGGACCTGGAAATTTAATTAATTTGGAAAATCTCCACCACGAACGGCTTTTATGGTGGAAACTATGCTTGACAGCTAAGATTTAGGCATCGGACCCAAATATTTTGTGGTGTTATACCGCGTGGACTTCTCTAGCGGGGGCAAGAGCCGGCAATTCATCTTCCATTTTTTGCCCCGCCTCTTCTCGAAGTCCCGAAAGTACTCCGTACTGGACCTGTCAATCAAAACTCGAACTCGTGCGGAAGATTTTGTGTCACAGCAGGAAAGAGGGAGAAATGCTATTTTTTATTTGGACCGCGCCAAGGAGATCCTTGGATTGCTTGAGGGGCCTGCGATCTCCTAATTGAGTTCGGACGTTCCAACGTTTGTTCAGCCCTGACAGGGCGCGACGCGAAATAACCATCCCTCTGGGATTTATCTCATTTCCACTTACTTTTTAATCCTACCATATTTTAGTTTTGAGAAGAAAAAAAAGTACGATTTGTGCATCAAGCATTCACCTTATTCTCTGCAAAAATCCTGCAAGAAAGTCGAGACATCTGCGAAGGCCCTTAAAACTATTTTGTGAGAGTTGCTTTTTCTTCTGTGTGCGAACCACCTATTATTATGCCTCCATTGTTTTGATTCGGCTTCTAATTCACCTTTTACGCACAACCTTAGAATGCCGCTCTCAGCACCTAATCAATTGATAACATTTCGCCCATTCCGCCCCCTCATTTTCACCTTCGAATAGTCATATCATATATCCACGTCAAAAGGCATGAAATTACCATCATCAACCACGCTCCTCCTCCCATTCCTCTCCACATCATACCTCGTCACGCACGCCACCGCAAAGAAGGACGATCCTGTCTTCACCAACATACACACTGGATGCTGTCCCCCGGGGTCCGAATATTCAAAAGCAGCCTCCCACCCCAATGCCACCGGTGTATTTTCTTTCGAAGGCATGCACTTAGACGACCGCGCCCTCCTCAGACGTAAAAACAGTCATGGAACATCAACAGAAACGCCCAAAAACTGGACATGGACAACTAACGTCACGGAAGTTCAGTTTGGGAGCGGCGATGGCAGCTTACATGCCACGAATCAGGTCTTCACGCTAGATATACCTCTCGACGTGGATATCTATGGTCCGACGCATCAGCGGAACGTGTGTGTGTTGCTCTTGAAGATGGTCACTGTTAATCAGAATGATCCGGGAGACTGTCGGAATATTTTCCCAAGGGCGGAGATTGAGAAGATGAAAGAGCTTTTTGCGCGCAAGGTTGAGGATATGAATCAGGGTAATTATCGTTCGTCGCCATGTGGGGGGCTTCCCGGGACGTCGTGGCAGGGTGAGTTGGTTTCTCTCAAGTCTTTTCTCCCCAAATAGTAAACGCAACTCTCCAGCAACAAAAGAAAGGGCCCTTCCTAACCACTCCATTCACATGAAATCAGATATTATAAGCTACTTCCAGCGCAAAGATGAGAGCCTGTTGACCCGCAACACCACCGTCGCTGCCCAATACTACTCCGCCACCACCAAGGAACACTCACCCACAGACTACTCGGCCTACGATGCCGCTCTTACCCGCACACAACCCATCTTCATGATGGGATACTCTGTCGATCCGAAGGTTCTCGTGGGCCCTGTGATTATGAAGAGACAGCTGACAGAGATGAGGTTGTTGTGTGTTAGGGTCCGGGAAGTTTTGGAGGGCAGTCGTGGCAGTAAGACGAGCGCAAGTAATAGTTTGAGGAATAATTGGTGGTTGATGATGATGACAATGGAGGAGATGAATGCGGTGGGAATTGCGATGTGGCTGGGGCTCCTTGGTGGGTGGTTTGTATTTTTTGAGGGGTTTAGGTAAGGGAATTTGGAGCAATAAGACGATTCTATTCTATTATGTTTGTTTGTTTGCCTCCTTGTGATGTGGCTTAACGACTTAATTATCATTGGGTTGGGAGCATCTTACAAGTTTATAATATGATGCATGCATTATGATTTGATTCCGGAAGGCATAGTTAGTTTTTTTTTAGCATATCAGGACACATTTGTCTCTTTTTCTTTTTCTTTTCTCTCTCTTTTCTAGTGGCTTTTTCATAATCACTTGGTGCCATAGCCATTGGACACGAATTAGAGTCATGTAATAGTGACTTATTTACCCCTTTGATAATTCGTCTGTTGTGCTCTCCTCTGGATTGTGATGGTCTATTGAGGCATGGAGGATGCAAAATCCCTCCTCAAGGTATGTTTTATTGGTCACTTGAAGCTATTTGCGAGATAACAACAATATGTTATCTATCCCATAATCCAGTAATAACAAATAGAAGATGACATAAGAGCACATCGTCAGGCAGGTCAAGAAAGTAAATAGAAAATTACTTAATAAATAATGCTCATAGACGTGTATAAGTATATATATATGTATAGATTTCAGTTACATCATAATGATATGTCATAAATTTCGTCAGGGAGGGGGAATAAAAAGCCGTTCAGAACGAAACAAGACAAGAAAGACGGATGGAGTGGGAAAAGCTCGAAAAAAGAAATTGATAACGTGAACTCCGTCGATGTTAGTACTGTCAAAATCACCAGAAGAGTGAGGGGACAAAAAGAAACGAAAAGATTCAAAGGGATCACTGAAACACCGACGTGACGCGGAGAGACTAAGATAGCTCTATTTAGGGCTTCGGTTTTCGGAGCTGGGATCCATAAATTTGCCGATGAGAGGATAAGGCATGAACAACACCAAAAACCACAAGGCAAACATGAGAGGCGAGTTTAAAGGGAGGGTGGAAAAAACAAACAACCAAACTAGAATAAATAGGCGAGAATAGGGGTGAGTCATTCTCTCCGTTCATAACGCGGTTTAAGTCATGCCCATTGCGATTGAAAATATCAGTGCCGCCTTGTCAATGGCTGCATGGCTTGATTAACGCGCAAATGTACCAGTGGCTTCCCGCTTATGGACATTGCGCGAGCTCGCTCTGAGCTGCTGCCACTACGGCTGCCTGCGCTGGCACTAACACTTGCCTTTCGCCTGCTTGAAAGCGAGCGGGTTGGGAGAGGTGGATCGGCTTCCATTCTGGGTATGTATTGGCGGTAGGTGTGGACTGAGTTGTGTGCTGTTGCCGGGATTCGTGAAGAGGTGGTGCGGTAGTAGAGAGGGTGATGTTGATGCTGTTGATGGTTGATGGGCGAAGCGGGGGCGGAGTTGGGGTATCCGCCGTCCTCGTCGAAGATGTATTCGCGGAATTTAGCCCCGGGGAGTGCGGGCGGAGGGGGTGGCAGGGGCTGTTTTGGTCTGCGGGATGAGTGGGAGAGTGAGTCCACGCGCCGCAAGTCGTCAGGGTAGGAGCGGAATTCTGCAGATTTGGGAATGCGGGGGTAGTAATCGTAAGCCTCGTTTGTATCTGGTGGAATGGCGTCTTCTCGTTGGGGATGGCGGCGTGCTGGGGACTGATTCCACCTTTTCCTTGAAGAGTATGCGGCGTCGTGTGAGTGGCGTCTGGCATGCGAATTGCGGGTGGAGAACAACTTTTCATAGTCATCGTCCTCATCCTCGGGATGGCTTGGTGATCTGGAATGACGAACAGCTTCCTCGAACTCGTCCGACACTGACGAGGATTCAGATGGCGTCTGCGGGCGTCGTGGGGAAGGCGTTAATGATCGACCACGGTGAGAGCGTCTCTTTCGTGAAACTGGTCTACTATGGATTTTGGTACGGGTATATATCGGTACTGAATCCTCTTCGATGTAGTCGTGTCTCAATTCCGGTTCAGTGGAGAGTGGAGAGGTGAATTCTGGGACAGATCGTTTATGAGAACGTATGTTATACGGGGAACTAATTTCTGCTGCTGGTGTTTGTCTCTGGTAACTGATTGGCCTTTGACAGGTACTTCCTCGACGAGAGAAATAGTCAGGCATTTCTTCCGGCACGAAACCGTCTTGAGACTTGGCACATGCTTTGCGACTTTGTAAATCGCGATCAGAAAGCCGCGAAGTGCCCGTTAGTTCTTTCGCATTATAGTCGTCTTCCAATTTTTGGCTAACGGTTTCGTGCCACTTGACCATGTCCGGGTCAGGCTTTGAAGGGAAAGAATCTTTTGGGATGACTTTCGGGAATACACATCCACCCGATGGGTTGATAATGTCAAATTTCTTCACTGCTCGTTGCAAAAATATGATATGCTCGTCTGGACACAGAAGTAGCTGGATCGTCTGCCAGCGGACGAAGCCATGGGGGCGTAGTGCTGGAAGAGATGGTGGTTTGAAGGGATCGGACGTTGGTTGGAGTGAATGAAAGCACCCCAAAGATTGATATATGAAGGACAGAGACTCGTGGGGTGTATGCAGGAAGATATTGTCGTAGTTTCCTCCGACTGCACGGTAGAAAGCGGCTAGATTCGCGGGGACGAGATCCTCCGTGTTTGACTGATGGAGTTCTGACTGTAAGATCGAAGGCTTAGTATGATTCAACTTGGAGTTGAGAGGACGGCTTACTATTAATTTCGCAATTCCAAGGCAGAGTTGCTCAAATAAAGGAGTGGCACTCTTGTCTGCCCGGATCAAGAAGCCCCAGTAGTTGCTCGCTGGCTTATGTGAGGAAGACATGTTGATATTGAAGAAGCGGTTTCCTTGAGGAAGATTCTTTCAGAAACGATAGTCAAGCCTATATATATCCATTCCATTGGTCTCCAACACGGCTATGCCCGAGTTACTTAGGCAGATAAGCGCTCACTCGGGTTTGAAGTTTTGGTATGTTTTGGGTCAGTAAGGTCGGGTGCCAACTGGCGCCGTATGGCTTGTGGGATGCTTAGTTATTGCGGAGTAAAGGGCGCCAAACAGAAGGATAATTCCGTCATGCCGCAACGACGGCGTAACGGGAAGCTGTGGTATAAAGGGGGAAAGCGAATATTTATCATTCCCGCCGCAGCGTCACAGATGTGACGTTGTTGCTGAACTGAGGCGCGGCCGTCGCTGATAATAGATTGGAGTAACGTGGAGATATATTACCCGTGGTGCAGGCCGTGGCGTGAGTGTTTGCAGAAACCAATGGAGACGCTGCAGGATGCCGCCTAAGCACCAACCAAGCCGCTTTTATTATTTAATATTCCTGTTAAACAGTGCCCAATACGTTCCCTGACCGCACATCTCGATCGATGGCCCCACATGCCCATCGCCATATCGTTTCTTCTTTGTAACTCACTGGCGTCATGCACCCGGGTCAGATGTGAAGGTCACCGAGATCGAAATATCCCAACATATCCCGTGTTTTCATACGTCAAGGGAGACCTAACAAAAGCGTGATTGTCGTGTCATCGACTCATAGCTGAACCCGCCAGCTTAACTTGCCAGCACACTTGATCCCTGTGGGCGCCAACCAAACTTAGCTCCCGTATTTCGCCATGGATACCTTGACTTGGACTGTTTTTGACGCCAACCTTCCAAGGTTGCTGCGGTGGGGTCACGAGATCACATGGCGAGGTTTGTGCCTGGCAGAGGCCGAGACGCAAGACATCGCGAGAGGGCGAAGCAAGCAGGGGCAGGAAACTTCGTGAGGCGGAGGTGATATCATAGGTTGAGGATTTCGGAGTTGCTGAGCGTATATTTTACATGGTAAAGCGCCCGGAACATATCACCCAATAATCGAACAGCCCAAAGATGACTTGACCACCTGCTATTATTTAACTAAACAACACATTGAAAAAGAAAAATTTTTCCTCTTCTCTGAATTCGACAGGTGCAGAGCGGAAACGTGAAGTAATATACAACGTAAAATAAATTCAAAGGAATCATAGAAGATATATAATGGATAATTTCATATACAAGCAATAACAATTCGCGCCCGCCCCCTAACGCCTTACTTTAAAAAAATATAGACTCCTTGGTATTCTCTCAAGGGTCTAGAATTGAAAACTCAAAAGGATCCAGTTATTGAATCGCTGACAAAACCCCCATGCACTTACGCTCGAATGCAGAGCATCTACCAATTCGATTCGACGGCAACATAACGCATTCATCAATACCTCCTCCGAGTTGGCTCTGGGCTTGGACTGCGGGTCACACTCCGTTCATCACGCCCTCTCATCTTCAGCCATTTCTTCGTCGAGAGCTCGAGCTCCCTCTCTAGCTCAGGACTTGGTTCCTTCCGATGTATGAAATTGCAGAACCCTCCGCGAACACACCCTTCTCCACTATTCAGCCGACAACATGCTTCTCGGAAATCGGTGACGGGGGATAGCTCGCAGTATATGGGTCGCGCCGCATACCATCGAGAATTCAGCGCATCGCAGGCCTGCTGCGCTGAGTCTTCGTATTTAAATCGAGCATACACGTTTCCGATTAGGTCTGATATTTTGCGGGGGAAAAAAAATTTGCAGGTATTAGCACAATCCATGGAAAATCTAGCCGGGGGGGGGGAGGGCAAAAAAGCTTACGGTCATTGTTATTATCGCACACTACGACCTCTTCAAGTTCGCCATATTTGCACATTTCACACCAGAAATCTTCATAGAAGGCATCGAAGTGGTTTTGCAGCTGGCTCGGGTTCATTTTATTCTTGGTGTCATATGCCGGGTTTTGGTACAGATTTGGCAGGAGGATCGTCTGCGAGTATGAAGGCTTTACGTGCTTTCGCGAACATCGATCACCATGGCGGCAGGCACCGATTTTGTAGTAGAAAGAGCAGTTGACCTGTATTTTTGGATTTTTTGGGATGTCAGAACTGTTTGCTCAGGGTTCTACTATTGGTTGTGGAAGTAGACTGAATAATTTTGTAAAGGAGGTCACTCACCTTGTCCTGTTCAGTTCCAAAGATTGAAGCGAGATAGTTCGCCATAGTTGCTGATTTTTATAAGAAGGATGTATGGACCGAATATAGCAGCAACAAGCAAATGGTGCACGATTGCGAGTTTGTTGAGGTTCTTGATTGATATTGAGCTGTTGTGATGGTCAAATTCGGAGACCTTTTTGCCATCGTGATTATTAATACGAAGCTAGCCACAAGCTAGTTAGCACAGTTCCTCCATCCGAGCTAAATTTTATATCTTTGCACCATCACCCCTCTCACTGGAAACCACCAATTCATAGAATATGCTATCTTTTTTTGGTATTTTATGACCCTATTGGCTTTTTGTTAATAAGATATGTTGGTACTCCATACAGACTAGGTGCATTAGCAAAAGAAGAGAGGTTTCGTTGAACACGCGAAGCAAACCATCAACCGTTCCATGCAACCCCATTCATTGATAATTACCGTCCGGCCCATTGCAAGGACAAAAAAGAAAAAAAAAAGAAAAAAGAATCAGATAAAAGAAAAGAAGAAAGAGAAAGAGAAAAAGTGAAAAAAAGAAAAGGGAAAACGAAGAAAAAGACAGAAGCAGGAAAAAAAAAAAATTAAAAAAAAAATCGCAATAATTTCATAGAGTCCTCCCGCGAAAGCCTCAGTCAGATCCTTGAGCCATGCGGCAAATACCCGGCATCGGAATACCTCTGTCCTTTACTTATTCTCCTTGTTCTTGCGCTTCCCAATGAGGCCAAACGCATTTTTAAAAGTCTTCTTGCTCTCCCGCCCCTCGATTCCCAATGCCTGACGGGCCCAGTTTTCGACCTGTTTGCAAATTGCGAGCGCAGCGTCGTTGACGGCTTTGGCGGATCCGCCCAACAGCCTGATATTGACTTTGCCGTATCCCCTAGTATCTAGCTCGTCTAGAAACGAGTTTGTTTTTGTTAGAATTTCTGAGCACTTTGGTTTGAATTAGCGGGGGTTTTTCTCTTTTGAAATATCCTTACAAAACACGCCATGCGCACTGGCAATATCCACAAGCTCATTACGGGTCTTCGCGAGAGTCGAGATGCAAGCTAGAAGGTGAATTGGCCTAGTTAATGATCTCTCTTTTTCAAGGGTGGAAAAATCAGGCCGGCTGATGACTTACTCTGGAGGCTGTCGAGGGAGATGTCCTTCCAGAAGGCTCCCTGATGGACTTTGAGAACAGTTAGTATTTCTCTGGTAATTTATATACTAATACCAGTTAAATCGCGTTTATCTATCTACTCACGCATTTGCAATTGGACTTTTGCCCCAATGATCCCACCAGGCCATTGCTCACGCCAGCTCACAAAAATCTCGCCAAGGGACTCGTCGTAAGCCCATGGATGAGCGTAAACGCAACCAGCAAATGTTCCAGTCTCTCGCAGCTTTTCTCCACTGGCGACTTGGGTGATTTCAAAGGGCCCCTGTGGATCGTTGGCAGCGCCCATCATCACAGCGGAATCCTCCCAGTCAGTGCTGCCGATGAATGCCCACTTATACGTGTGGCCAAAGAGCTTGGTCTTATAGATTGTCCCGTGGGAATATCCCGTCAGCACTGGGGCTATCATCTTGATATTTCCAGTGAATGAATACCCGTTCCAGAACTGGTAGTAATCCCTTTCGAAAGGGTGGAGAAGCGAAACTCTAGCGAGATAGATGTCCTCGCAGTACCTGCCCCATAGGTAGTACCACTGGTTATCAACGGCGGAACAGAAAGTACCAAATGCGGGTTCATGTTTTTCGAATAGGACATCCTCGCCAAAGACGCGTTTGTTGAGCAGCTCGCCGGTCACGCCATCGACCTTCACAGGCGCCACGCCGGTTCCCTGGTAATAGTTACGAATGGTAACCCCGTCCTTCTTCTCGCGGATCAACTTCTGAAACCAGACGCATCCCTTTCCACTCCCCAGCTCTCCCTCACAGATACCGCCTTGGATCGAAATGATAATGTGCATGCCAGTATCATGCTGATATTTCACCTCGTTTTCAGTCAGCCCGAGAAACGGGTGAATGAAGCCGTTCCGCTCGACGGACACGTACGTGGTGGGAAGAGGGTCGGTCAACGGCTCAAGTGCCCTGGCCACTGCATTGGAAACGGTCCCAAAGGCGTAACCATCGGTTGAAACATTGGCTACCTGACCGAACACGTAGTAGGGGATACCGGCGAGCATGGAGGAGCGTCCGACATTGCGCGGGTGAGTGCCCTTGACTGGATCATGCACGTTCCCAAGAACACGAACAGCCTCTACCTTGGGAGGGAAGATTGCCTTGTGCTTCTCGTACCCAGCAGTCAAGGAGATTTTCCCGCAGACGGTATCGTACCCGACGGGGAGGGGTATCGCGTCTTCCATCTTTGGAGGAGTGTCCTTTGATGAGGATTGGGCTTTGTCACTGTCTTGAAGGGATGAAAGACAAGCCAATGTTGTGGCGTGAGTGTTTGCAGAAACCAATGGAGAACTGAAGGACAGAACTGGGGTTTAGGAGTTCTCCTATTTTTGTGTTGCTTCTTCTTTTGTGGGTTTTGACATAAGCGCTGAGTCGGGAATCACAAACAAACCGCAATTGGGATGCAGTTTGTCGGGATAACATGATGTTCTGTGATTATCATTGCAGGCCCCTGAACATGGTTGTTGAAATCCATCCATTCTGCTCTGTTGCAGAAAAGTAGGATCTCCCAACTTCTAGAAATGCGGGGATTGAGCCTAGTATATTGGTAGTCTTTGGCTGTTTATTTGTGACTCAATATTTGATCACCTCTTTGCGCAAGGATAGAGCATGTCGCATAAGTCCCAAGCGAGATAGATGCATGGTTAAAGTTTGAGGCGTGGGGATCATTCCAGTAAAAAGTAAAAGTATGAAGCGGATGGGGGCCCATGGTTAATATGGCTGGCGAACCTGGCTGGACATAGCAGGTAGCACTTGTGCCCTTATACAGAAGACCTCCCTCAATCTGTGTAGCAAAAGGGTCAATTACGGTGTTAACCCGTATTGAACTCAGCTATGTTCTCAGTGAGCCAGGAGAAAGTTTACAACAAAGTTCAGGAACAAGGAACTGCCCCAGATTATCAACATCACACTGTACTTATACTGCACACATATAGTGTACATCTTACCTAGGTACATGTACCTGTTTCGAACTTCCTGACAGAACTAGATGTCAATATAATTGATAATACTACTACATCGGAATGCACTGCGTTTTACAATTTCTTCTCCAAATGCGGAGGCGGCCCATTCTCGGCAAAGCAAGCCAACCAACGGCTAAGTTGGCGCTCCCTAGCGCCCCAATTAGCCGCGCCCTACAAATAGCTCTGTCTCCCCGCATCACAATCCAATCATCCCGGGCTTCCTTCATCCCACAACGTCCACTTGTGCTCGCAGCTCTGTATTATAATCCTCCTCTCGTCCTCATCCCCCTTACTTGCACACTTTGTTTTGTATAAGAGTATATAACCTCACTGTGGACAGCAGCCATGTTGGCCCCCTTTGAGTACTTTCATCAGCGACGAATAAGGTAGCTTCCTACCCCGCATCCCCGAGAACTTCCCTGCTTGGAACTAACTTGATCAACTCCACCAGAAACCTTAAAAGAGAGCAACGCGCACAGCGCATAGCCAGTCTTCCAGCTGCCTACCATTCTGCATTCACTGCCTTCGACAGATCCGTAATCGATAAGCCCATTGAGGAGCTGGTCCAAGATGTGCACAAGGGTATCGTCTCGCCAATCCAGATCCTACAGACTTACGGCAAGGTTGCAGTGAAAGCGCAGGAGAAGACAAACTGCATAACAGAACTGCTGCTACCAGAAGCTGAAGAGTGGGCGAAATCAGAGATAAATCCCAAGGGTCCCCTAGCGGGTATTCCTGTCTCATTAAAGGATTCATTGCAGGTTAAAGGCTTTGATATCAGCTTGGGCTACGCTCGGCTTGCGAATAAGCCATATCAAGAGGATGGAGGGGTTGTACGGTTGTTGAAGGATGCGGGTATGTAACAACTTATGGAATTTTTATTTTTATTTTTATTTTTTTTCTTTCAGCATGGGCAAAGTTGGTTCTTCAGGCTAACATCCTTTCTAGGTGCAATTCCATATGCAAAAACTAATTTGCCAGTGACATTATTATCTTTTGAATCTGATAATCCCGTATGGGGCCCTTGTTTGAACCCCCATGTCCCTCAGTATTCTCCCGGCGGCTCTACTGGAGGTGAAGCCGCGCTACTCGCATTGGGTGGGCGGATAGGTATCGGTTCGGACGTTGCTGGATCTGTCCGTGTACCAGCAGCATGGAGTGGGATTTACTCCCTGCGTTGCAGCACTGGTCGGTGGCCAAAGGCTGGCATCAACACTAGCATGGCAGGACAGGAAGGGGTTCCGAGTGTCTTTAGCCCAATGGCACGAACGCTGAATGATTTGACGTATTTCACTCGAGCAGTCATTGGCATGCAGCCATGGAAATACGATAATTCTGTCCATCCGATTTCGTGGAGAGACGAGATGGAGAAGGACGCAAGGTCAAAGAAATTGAAGATTGGAGTTATGAAGTCTGATGGTACCTGGCCCCAGTGATGACCTTTGAAACAATTCGTATTATAATATTAACAACAGAAATAGGAGTCGTCCCACCCACGCCTGCCATCGCACATGCCATCGACACTACCGCCTCTGCCCTCTCCGCCGCTGGCCACATCCTCATCAACATCACACCGCCAGCAACCGCCAGCCCGCTCATCGGTCTTCGCCTCGCCTCCCTCCTCTTAAACTCCGACGGCTGCGTGACCTTTAACTCCCACTTCCTTGCTGGAGAATATAGCGATCCCGGCGCCGCCCAACTAACCAAATACGCCCAACTCCCTCGGCCCCTCCGTTACATTTACTACCTCTACGTCCGCTATATCAAACGCGACAGCACCTGGGCCTACCTACTCAAGGACTTCGGCCACAAGAGTAGCGCCGAACTATGGAAGCTCGTTGCCCAACGCGAAGCCTTCCGTACCGCCTGGCACAAATGGTGGAGCTCACCAGAACAAAGCTACGACTTCATCCTGTGTCCCGTCAATGCGACACCCGCTTTACCACACGGCGCTATGAAAGACGCCGTTTCATCCTGCGGCTACACCTTCCTCTGGAATCTGCTCGATTACTCCTGCGGTGTGATGCCCGTCAGCCGCGTGGATAGGATAGCTGACGCGATCGAACCGTCGCCAACAAAGAGTGCCAGCCAGAAGCGGAATGCATATAAGCGCGTATTGAAGGTGGCTGGGGCGGATAACGCGGTTGCGCGGGGTGCGTGGAAGCATTACGACTCGGAGAAAATGCATGGATTGCCTACTGCGGTGCAGATTGTTGGGAGGAGGTGGGAGGAAGAGAAGGTTCTGGGGTTCATGGAGGCGGTGGAGAGGGCGCTGGAGGAATATGAGGGCCCGCGTGGGGAGGGGGGAAAGTACCAGTTGTTAGAGGTTGAATGAATGACTGATTGATTGGTGAGTCGGTTGGTAGGTGGGTTGATATTTGGGTCATTCAAATTTGCTCTAGGTTATGGTTCCATTCCATTCGTTCGCGTGCATCTATCTACCTTTTGTTCCTGTTGCCTCATAAATCAATTGTGATATATATATATATCGTTTGTCTCCTTTAGCAATATCCAGAGAGACCTGAAGAAATTTCCAAAAAAAATAAAAATAAAAAAATAACAGTAATATAAAACTTCCGAAAGCTATGGAATTCACGGTGTGGAAATAAGCTCATTAACTCTTAACGTCATCGTTGAGTTTGATCCGTTTCACAAATCTGTAGAGCAGGGAGCCAGATCTCATTCACCCAAGCACCAAACATGCATAGACATATATTTAACGCTTTCCATCCAAGAAATGTGGCAGAAATATTACACATATCTACAGCGGTATAGTAGCGGAAACAGTGACATATATAATAGCAAATCCAGGCAACTCCAGGCTAGGTTGACACCCATGTCTCAGTGGACAGAAGGCGCCATATCACAAAACCCCTCAATAAATGCAGAATCAAATAGAATCAACCATCCCTTATAGCCCCATACGCACGTGTATTGCCATTGACACCCCCCGAACGAGAGACTGCGACCAGTCGATCTCTCTCACCCCACTCGCCATCACGATCGTCACGAATATAAGTATGGTTCTGAGTTTCGTTCCCCGAACCACGCTTCCGAACAGTACGATTATTATCTTTATTACTATGACCACCCGGAACACCACCACGTGGCTGCTCTCCGAGCTCCCCATTCTCAACAATAACATCAACGATCCCCATCCGCTCCCTCCCCTGCCACCAGACAAACAAAACCAACAAACCACCCGCCACAAACACCACAATCGTCAGCAAAATATTCATTGGAATCGGGTTGCGCCGAAACAGCTTCAGCGTCAACACATCCAGCGGCACCTGCAGGAAATTCCCCAGCCCCGCAAGACATATCATGAGCCCATATACCTTGCCGAAGGTCTGGAAGCCGAAGACCTTGGCTGCAAAGTCGGATATGGAGGAGTAGTAGAAGGGTCTATAGAGGGTGAAGAGAATGATATTCGCATACGCGGCGGAGAGGCTATGGGGGATGCAGCCCAGGATGCCGATGAGGGTCGAGTAGCCGACAAGTGTGGCTAGGATTGTGATGGTGCTTGTTCGATCGAGGATAAGGCCGACGAAAGGGATGGCGACGATGCCGGCCGCTGGCAAGGAGATGTCGAAGAGCGAGTTTACGTGTTGTGCGAGTTGGGTGGAGGAGAGCAGATACTCGTATTGTATGTCTATTGTGGAGATGAAGTAGTTTACGCGAAGCATTTGGAGGGCAGTGAAGATGCTCATCAGGATGAAGTAGGGAGAGCGGGTTTGCTGGAGGGCTGAGGCCATATGGAGGACACCCCAGATGCTGTCTGGTTTGTGGGCGCCATTGGGTGGTTTTGGTGAGCGTGGGGGCTCTGAGGGGGAGGTGGTGATGTTCGGTGGGTCGTTGGAGCCTAGCAGCTCCAGGATGTTTGATATTATTTTTTTCCGCTTTGCGGTTCGGTTTTTGAGTTGTTGTTCCTGTTCTGGAGTGATAACCGCACCGTCCTCTGAAATGTCCGCGGTATGTTCAGCCATAACATCATCGACTTGCTGTATCAGTTCGCCGGCTGTTTTGTAAGAGCTTGATGGCATGAGGAGGATCTGAGATATGAAGATAAAGGTGGGAACAATAAGGTAAAGAAGAAATAGGTTGCGCAATGTGAAAAACCCTCCATGGATAATGCGGAAGAGTAAGAACAGGGCGCTTGATGAATCGAAAGCACCTGTAAGTATTGCTAAAATAAGGCCAGAGTGTGCTGGGAACGTGTTAGATAGTTGGAATGCGGATATGAACACGAATGGGCCGCCAATGGCTAAAAGAAAATAGCCGGCGATATATGTATCGAATGGCAACAAAGAGGCGAGACCGAGGCAAAGAGATCCCGATGCGATGAAGATACTCCCGACACTACCGCTGAAACGTGGACCGAACGTATCGAGGATGGTGCCCGCTGGAAGAGCACATATGTTCGTTGCAACCGCCGCAAGAGTGAACATGAAGTTTAATCTTATGTCAAACGTAGTGAGTTTTGTATTCTAGAAAGGGAAGAAGCTGAAAATTGACGAACCTGAGATCTTGATTGTAGCAGAGTCTTTCCCCATTTTCAAGTTCTTCTTTGGTGCACCGATTTCTATACACACCTTCTTCTATAAGAATTGGCTTAAGAGCGGCGTATCCAAATATCACACCGGCTGACAGAACGCAATACAGTACAGCCACGAAAACTTGAGCTGTCGGTTTATACACTCGTTAGCTATACCTCATTAGGTAATATAGATACACGCGCACAAGGAGCAATGAGTAGATAAAACCGCATAAGAATAACGTACCGACGCGTTTCCATTTCGGCACCTCAAAGGCAGCTAGAGTGTCTGGTTCCCAGTCTCCATCAGTGAGAATCAGGGCGCTGTCTTCATCCGATACGGAGGGTTGGCTTCGCCCGCACTCTTGATCATCCTCGCTGTCCACACCTGCGTGTGTCCATGCTGGCCCAGCAGCTGGGTTAAAATTCAGCTTTCGCATCACCGCATTTTGCGAACCCCTGGAAACAACAGGAATGAGCAGGGTGCTTGAATTTGGAAATGTATCGTCACCCCCTGCATCTTCGGGGGGTGCATGGCTATCTGCATGCTCTTGACGGGGCCTCTCCCGCTGGTGGAATGAAGATGGGTGGAATTCCCACGACTCAAGCGAAGTCACCCTATTCAGCGACATTGTCCAGCGGGGGTGCCCCCAATCTGGTGGAACTAGCTCTCTCGATGATTATTATGGTTGAGTGGAGCGCCAAAAATGGCCCGCTGATGTCCAAGTTCGATACGCCAACAGTCAGGATATCGGCTATTAAGCCTAGTAGCCCCTCCAGCAGCCTCGATTGTCCGCATTCAGCGTCCCTTCCCGCGCATTGCCCAGTGTTGTCGTCCCATACGTTATCCCTATGCAGAGATGTGCTCCCTAGCCGTCTTCCAGGGGAATATGTTTTCTAGCCGAAAGGAACTGGTCTGGTTAGTTCAAAGGAAACAAGGTGAGCGGAATTGACATGGCATCTCTACAGCTAGATCTCTTTTCTTTTTGTCGCAGCAGTTAACTTGGTCATTTGTTCGAATATTTCTCTCAGGACTTCCAGCTGGGCATGACGTCAAGCGCCAAGCATCATACCAGTGCTTACTCAGCCGAATCATGGAGCCTTACGGATAAATATTATTCCGTTAGACTTCCCGTCGCGGGTTTGAGCCTCCTGATATTTATATGCGACAGCAATCCACAATAACATCCAGCGGATGGACGTTCTTATCTACTACTATCGCCTCCTGCTAGCCTGGGGATCAAGGTCCAATCATTCCCTCAAACTCATATATATCTGAATCACTACCCCGCATACTATCCCACCAGGAATTGCACCCATCTGTTGATTTCTATTTATGGGTCTGGTTTGGCGCCCAGCGCTAAACCGACCTAAATACACCAAGCTCCTGTTTCAACTGCTGCTGTTTCAGTGGTTTTGGCTGGCCGGAGACAGGGTGATGATTAAATTTCCCTTTCTGAAAGAGATTTATTCTTTCAGGTGTTTCCAAATGCGCGGCTATAGAGAACCGCCGCATTCAGAAAATGTTTCAACCACCACCTCTAGCAAATTCATAGCTACATATGTATCTGGGCTTTTTTTTTTAGCTCTCATGATTCAACAGAGCTTGCATGAAACCATGAAGCTACGGTGACGTCGGTTTCATCTGCCGCTTCCATAATCATGGAATCTGTATTTCCGTCCTGTCTAACAACGCGATCAGGCAGCTGTATGAAACATTTTATTTTTACGTGAAGCAGCGATAGATCTCTGGCTAATTATGGCTCTATCTACATTTCGGAATCCGATTTAGACGCCGTGTCAACTTATCATCGGGAGAATCGCAGGAGACAAGCGTTCTCCTCTTACTCTGATAGAGATGAAAACGGGGGATAAATTGGCCATGGATGCCTCCGATCGAGATATTGTTTTAGACTTGAATCCAAACGGTTAATTTTTGATACATCCATTTCGCACAATACATTTTTGAGTTATATTTTTCTATTCCAGATTTGTTTATCAGTTTTTGTCATCATAACCATGCCGTTTGCAACTACCGTGTGTAGTGAATCAGATTCAGAGTCATGCGGCGACTTCCAGCCTTTATTGAAAAAGCTCTCCCAAGCCCGGTCCAGGCAGCATGGCCTCAGGATATCCACAGACACTTCAAGCTTACGCAAAGGAACGAAGTCATCATCCGGCGACCTCGCCAAAGGATTAGTATCTCCTATTTACAAAACCATATATCCTATCAGCGCCAAGGATGTCAATACCTGCCTTTCTCCAGTCTACAAGGTTATATACCCGCGGAGCGACGGCAAAAACGGCAATCCCCAATCACCTATGTACGAAACAATTTATCCTCGCAGTGCCCGGGGAAACAGCAGTGTCCCTAAATCGCCCATTTCCCAGCCGACATATCCTCGCGAGAAGAGAGCTAGCACTCCAATCACTCCAATACCTACCACTCCCCTTTCTCCAGAATATATCACTATCAGGCCCCGTTCAAAAGAGGACGATTACAGGAATGAGAATTTATCGGAGCATTCAGCTCCTTCATCGAACGCCATGTCCGGAGCCGGGCGGCATAAAGCAACATACACGAAAGGCAATACGACCTGGGGACCAGAATCTGATAGTTCCTCATCGCAGTATCGGAGACGGAAATACCGCAGCAGCGAAATAGAGCAGGAGATCAAGGCTTCCCGGGCAAAATATCAACCAGATATCCAACGGCGGTACTCGATAAGCAATTATAAATTCCCAGGGTAAACCATTGACAAGCTAGGCCCACTCTGCTTTTGCCTTTTCACTAACTAGTTTTGTGCCATATAGACTGAAAACGACCCGCAATGGATCCCTGGAGTTCGTGCGAATGACCAGGGATTTTGATGTCCCTCGGGTTACCAACCCTCTGAACGATTTTCACTTTCAATCTTCCCTCTATGATAAAGCCGAGGGACGATATTCTCGTCTAGATAAACCGAAACGTCGATCAAATTTGGACAGAATGTAAGTATCAATCCCCTTTAGCTTTATTCCTGCTTCTCTACGCGCTCAAAAGCGTAATTTCTTACTAATACCTTTTGCTGTTACATGCAGCTTTAGCTCATTCACCGTTCATCTGAAGGAAACGACTTTTCAAACACAGACTAAATCTCAGAATCCCGTACGAGTCCGTTACAGAACATACACCTTCACAACTTGAATATCCAGCATATGGCGGATTTAATTATCTGTCACTCAAGCTTCCACAAGACCCCTGAGATTACTTGACCCCAAGGCCAATGCAGTTCTGAGCCCATCCTCAAACACGAAGAACTCTTTGTTGGCAGTCGACACCCCACCATATCTTCCTGTCCTTTTATGCTTTCCTATTCTTTTGTTTTTCTCACTTCCCAACTTAATCTCATGAACTACCGCACCCCAAAGATACCCTTTCCCATGTTTTTCCCTACCATTACTTTCCTCACTGACTGTGGTACGTGTACTCTTGTATTTTACCATTTTTTAAATTCATTTATTCCTTTATCCATCCGTATGTTTTCTCATATTTCCATATTTCCATATTTCCATATTTTCCCTCTTTTCATTTCTTTCATTTTATATTCTTTCCTTGCTTTCATTCCCTTTTCAATTTTCCTTTTGTTCAAAACAGACCCCAAGTTAGTCAAGCACTCCCCTTCATATTTTTTTAAATTTCATTATATCTGTAAGAAAGCCGCACTAAGGCGGGTAATGCCCAAAGACGTGACATCACAGGACTCGGTATGACGTCATCAGAATCGTATCAGCTCCTTCGTGTATGTATGTACATAACTAGCAGCTGGCCCAACCTTCTAGGGGCCAGCTAATCATTCTGATATGATCTGACCCCTACGTTCTCCTGCCTCGATATCTGATCCTTCTATCGGTGGTTCGGCTCCGTTTTCTTGTTTTGTTGCAATCCTTAAGAATATGCCCTGCCTCTCCACAAAATAGGCAGAGATTGTTATCCATTCGGCGTTGTCGTTCCTCCATAGTAAGCTTTACAGCCGGGGTTAGATTACGTTGACCATTCGAAGAAGAACCGCCAGAGGGTCGTTTGGTTCCACGGCTATCATGATCCCTGTGATGGTTGTTCCGTGGATTGAAGGATCCCTGCTTGCTGTTGTCCCTTTTGTCATGAATCCTATAAATAGCTTCGATTCGGGCGGCTAACGCAGCCAATTCGTTGCAATTGGTAGGGAGGTTATGATAGTCCTGGATTCGATCTCGCACTGAGGATTGCAGTTTGGCAAAGAATAATTGAGTTAGAAGTTCTTCTCGATCAACTGCTAGATTCTCACAGATCTCATTGAATCTAGATGCGAATTGCTGCACTGATTGACCTGGTTGTTGCTTCAACTTCTCAAAGCGAATTGCTGCCGCAAAGCCTCCCCCGTGTATGTCTTCAAGGTCATTGTGCAGGAATTCTTTGAAGTTATCCCATGAGAAGGGTTGGTTCAACCTTTCGAGCTCTTTTTCCTTGGTAGCCCAGGTGGTCTCGACTGTTTTTCGTAACCAGCTCGAAGCATAAACGACCTTAATCTGATCGGTGGCGTAGTGGCCCGGATTTAGCTTATATCTACGCTCGAGAGCTCGGATGAATGTGTTGTATTCATGTAGGCTATTGCCGTAGTAAGCAGGTGGGTCAGGTAGTCGAATTTTTCGCTGCGGGACCAGTGTTGAACTGAAGGTATTAGCACTGAGGGGGGTAAGTCCCCGTGGTAATGTTAATATAGGGCCTGCCTGCGCTGCAGGTTCAGGGGTATTCGGAGGTAAACCAGTCTCAGACATCGTGGTTGAAACGATCGATCGTTGTAGAGGTAAGGGTTCGAGTGAATCAAAAAGGAGGTCCTTAGGACTCTAACTGGTTACGAGGATAAAGCTGTATAAGGTAATACAGTATTATCGGAAGGGATTCGGATAGAAGGATCAGGTATCGAGGAAGTAGAACGTAGGGGTTAGATTATATTAGAATGATTCGCTGGCCCCTAGAAGGTTGGGCAAGCTGCTAGTTATATACATGTAGTATCGGAAGCACAATGCTGATGGCGTCATTGCAATAACCTGTTTTTGGGCAATTGATTGTTCTGGCCGAGCTCTGGCTGCCTTAGGGCGGGTTTCTTTACAATTACTGTGTCTGATATGTCAAAGTTGCTAAAGCGTAAAGCTAAATTCCAAGGCTCTATATCAACTACTTATGCATCTTATTCAGCCGGTGTATTCCGCGTTAAATAACATTTTACATTTAGGTAAACGGAGGTTCATCCAGGTAGAATGGCGGGGAAAATATACTTCTTGGGAACATGCGAGGGGTGTAAATTATTGACCCGCCGGTCCAGGTGTGTCCAGCCAGGGACATTCATGGGAGATATGGATACAACCCAACGGGGGGGAGGGATGGATGGCTAGGTGTCGAAATAGGATATCTGCTATTGAATTACTGCTAGCTGGAGCTCTGATCTTCCCTCAACGATCAGAGGAATTACCGGGCATGTTCTACCCGTATGTTAGCTTACAAGCTAATGCTGCCATTACATACAAATTTTTTGATGAACGTATTTGATAATCTCTATCATATGAGCGGCATTTTTTTTGGTGGTGGATGTGGTGGGCATCTTTTAATTTCCGCAGCCAGACTCAATGGATATTAGGGTTTCACGTAGATGAAGGATACAACATGGTATTACAGTGCTGCTCGCGACGGGAGCCTAGGTATACTCCATCCCTACCTAGTATGCGGGATAAGGTCTGGGGTTATTTTAACCTATGTATGTTTGTTTTGACTTGGGTGTAAGAGTAACTTTACTGTTTTGAAGGCTTCACACATGGGTCAGCTATTGATTGTTAGCATGTAGTAGATATTTTCTCTTTTTATCTTCTGGATAACTCTCTTATGTTGTTATATGATTAGTGCCTGTGTGTTACAAAACACCCCCTTTTGTGGTGCCGAGCTATGTAACTCCAACCTGCGCGCTGCGTGAGAACCACGAGTCGTCTAGACTGTGTTTGGGCAAAGACTTGTACCTCCATTCGTCAACCGGTGGCACTTAGGAAAACCAATAAACCATCATGACATCCTGAAGAGGGCAAACAGTGAAGAAAAAGGGTTGAGAATATATGAACTCGTCAGATGAATTGTTGGGAAGAGTTGAAAGTGGGAATGGTCGAGTGATAAGCAAACTCAAGTATATCATGCCAGCGGTCAAACTACGCGGTCGAAGGTAGTGGTGGTAACATTTTCATCTCAATAAGTTCCTCGAGAACACTGCGCAACGACGCGAGACTGTCGACAGTACCATGCCAACCGAATTTTCGGGATTTGTCCATGCTGTGAGGGATGGTATCCAAAATTAGCGCCCCATGACTTCGAAAAATGGTTATTGAACTCCGGTGAAAATTTGAAAGAGCAAGACTACAGATAATAGTAGATGTGTCTAAAACTGACCTGAACTGCACGGGAATTCCGGGCAAAATAGCGGCATCCGTGAGGCCAAAGATACGGTTGCGATCAGCCGGCGAGGAAAACGGGTTATAGGCAATGCCATGTTTCTGTGAGAGTTCTTGCCATGCTGCGTGGACCTTCGGGTCGTACGACCATGCGGCAAAACTGTACCTGAATTCCATCTTTTCGGGAGGCCCGAATCTGGAATTGGAGTCAAGCCCGTTGTTAGCGTCACGTTCATTATTATGCAGTTATATGACTGGACATTTCAAGTAGACCAGCGGGTAAAAGATACGACCTACCCGCGGGGAGGAGGGTCAAATGGAAAGATGAAACACTGATATTCGGCATTTGGATCTGGGGCCTTATATCCAGTTCCGTAGATCTTTGCAAGCGCGGTCCAGAGAGCGCCCGGGGTCACAGCGCTGCAGTCGCAAGCATTGAATGCCTCGTTGCGGGCATCCGGATTTAGTACGGCCCACTCCGCCAGGTAGCTAGTCAACTTGGACGAAGATAAATCTCTAATAACATCGAACGAAGCTATATTTCCGGGGAAAATGAGCGGCTCGCCTAAATGAGCATGGACGGCAGCAAAGACGCCGAGACCGTATGCCAGATTCATGGCTGCGTCCCTTGCAGCGCCAATCATGAATGAAGGACGAACGACGTTCCATTCCACGCCTGTCTCCTTGCAAAACTGGAAGAGCAGATCTTCTTGGTCATAGTAAAAGTTTGGTTCTAATGTCACGCGAGGGTCTGATTCTACTTGTGGCGATTTCGAGCTGCCTAGGTGTGAACCGTAGTTTTTGGCGCCAGTTTGGAGCATGAAGCGCTTGGGCGTAATTGAGGCAAGTTTGAGAGCCTTGAGGAAATTGGAAAGCAATGCACCTGGGATGTTCGAATTCGAGTCAGCTAGCTATGGGACTTTCAGGTGAGGTAAAAAACCCATACGAGGGACAGAAGGATAGCTAAAGAACTACTCGAAGCAGAGGAACCTTACCGTTCACATTGCACATCCCCTGTGCATTCGACCATATCAACCCGTCAGCCCTTGGAGGAACCTGGATATACGAGTAGTAGAAAACGTAGTCACTGACACACCCCCAAAAACGAAATGCGTTAACAAGGAATATCCAGTGAACCAAAGCCCCCTCCCCGCTCCTTTAAAAAAACCAGAACAGGTAAGTGGAGGTTTAAAAGGGGGAAATAACTAACGCCTTAACCCCATTCTCCACCATAGCCTTGGCCAAATCTTCTGGTGAGGTTTCCAAGAAGTCCAACTCGAGATGCGTCACATTTCCATACTTCCCATCTTCGACTGCTGCACGACGTGACATGGCGTATATATTTGCCCAGCGCTCGGGGGACTCAGCTAGCACGCGGACCATGTAGCTGCCCGATATACCGTTGGCTCCCGTTACAATCGCAGTCAGTCCCTTGGGAGAATCTGGCCCCGCAATGACGGGGAGGCCATGATAAATACCCTTCGATTGGATATATGTGAATTGCGGAGGAGATTGCGTCTGTGCACCCATGGTTTCCGTCGGTATAAAATCCTTTTTGTCCTCTTTTCTCACGGTAGGAGACTAGGAGTTCTCGCAGGAGTAATACGATAAAGTAGGGATTTGACGATGTCCCGCACCGTTGATGGGTGGTTTCGAATTTCTCCAACCATGTGTTGAGCATTCGGGAGCTTTATAGTCGAACTAGCGAGGGTGACTGTGGGGACAATGAATTCGCGGGGTGACTGTCAATGAAATAGTCACTTCTAGCTCTGTTTAGGTCGCCTTTGGGACAGAGAGGCTTATAAAATCCCTGATATTGACAGGCGCGGTGGTGTAACCGCAAAAGGATGTTATGCCGCATCTGCAAGCTATGTTGCTCGTTCGCGCCTCAACTTCGGCCATGACAGGAACTGATAACCCAGTCACAAATGAGCTGGTCAAAAACACGCCGCACCCAGGGCCCCAGCAAAGTAATTGGGAGCCTAATTAGGAAATTCGCAGCACCTGCGGGACCTCAATCAACTTAGCATTGGACTCATTTCATAGGACGAGGAACAAAAAGAAAACAAAATTATCAAGCTAAAGTATATCTCAAGCAAATGTCCAGAAACGGCAAGTTGATTAACTGTTAAAGGGAGTTAACTCTGCCCTTGGGACAATGATGTGGGCCACATACTAGTACGTCGGAGGGACAATGTGCTGCCAATTGACGGCCGCCATCTTCTTTACGGCCGTTGTTGTTGTTGTTGTTATTGTTGTTGTTCTTCATATTTTTTCTAAGGCTAGATGCAGTCTGAGACTATGACAGTTTTCACCTCACTAGCCTACCCTAATGTTCGGCTACTCTCTAGTTACATTTCTCTATTCATTACTGAGTCATCCTTGATGGAGAGACTTCACTATATCATTCTGGATCTAGCCCTCAAGGGGGCCCTTGCTCCACAATTGCTCATGCAATACTACAGCGTAAGTAGTCCCTTGTCACTTGGACTAGACATGTACGCCGTAAGGATCACCACACCTTAGAATCCCACACTATAGTTACTGAATCCATCTAGACTATACATAGTGTTGAACATTGCTCCACCCTGCAGTGGCAGCTACCAATACCCCCAATATCCACCAAGATGTGATAATATCCTTTTTGGAGAAGATGGGATTCAAACCCACTACCTTGTCTCAGCAGTGGTGGCCCCAACACCAAGTGCCTACTTGAGAAAGCATTCCATGCACAGCGCTTACCACTACGCCATCCACCCCAAGAGCGGCCGAACTGCGAGGGAGGAGTCTGCATAACCCTTTGTAGGGATAATTAAGCGTTCGTCCACGAAGCCCAAATAGTAGCTGGAGAATCAATGTACGGCGTAGAAGGTGATCCTAACCACGATGAGAGCTTAGTTTTGTAACCATCTTCAACTCTTTCCTTGCTACATTCGACTAGACGACCCCCGCCGAGGAACGAAAAATCGAGAACTTGACGCAAGGTTCGACACCCGCCCCCCCCAACACTGTTTCCAGTCTTTTCCCCCAGGAGACAGAACCAAATCTATCCGATCTCGTATAAAGTATCCTGGACGTTATCTCCGGAGCGATTCAAGTTCCATCTCAACGGCCGGCTCCGTAACGTGTTCTTGCATGGATCATGGCCTGCTAGTGGCATCGGCCCGAAAAACGAAAAGTGATCAACGGTGGAGAATATCGCAGTACAGAGCACATTCATTTAATGCGCGTGATGCCGATACCAGTCCCAGCAGGAGAGCTGAACTGAATCGACATTGTCAAAGCTCCCGGCATCCTTCCGCCTGAACAAGTCGATGCTGACGATATTACGGATGGATGACATTTTGCATACAGATGTGCTTACGGGCGGATTGCCAAAACTCTAAAAACGAAAACAAAACTTTCTACGTATAAAAATTGGCGAAAATCCACCAACTCCAGACAATCATATTATCATAGCAATGTCCAGGAATCGATTTAAGATGGGTCAATAGCTAAAAGAAGCGCGAATAATAACTTAAAACTAACCATAAAAGTAAAAAAAGGGGCTCGCAGGTTGAGATATCATACGTTGGCAATATATTCATTTCGCTCAAATTTTCTCGTTCTGCTTTTGTTCGACTCGGGTATGTTAATTCTTTTGCATTCGCTGTCAAACAACTAAGAAGTGGACAAGGGTATATATAGGTGAAATATATGTACATATACAGATGGCAGGGGAGAGGAGAGTATCGATAGGAGGAGGGGAGATTTAGCTGGGAGGCCGCTGAGTAGAGTGGTATGTAATGTGGCAGAGATGTCAATTTTTTTTATTTATTATTTATTTATTTATTTTTTTTTAAAAATTTTTTTTCCCCACCTTCTTTTCCTCCGCTTCTTTTTTCTTGTCCGTCTGGTCACCACGGTTGGCCGGTCTCGTCCAATGGGAAAGTAAAAAAAATATCATCCCAAATATTTCCCAGAACAGCAAGTTCGTCGGGCTGGAACATGAATTGCATATTCTGGTTCGACATAAAGGCCTGTTGAGGATCCATTTCCGCATGCTGTGGATTTCCAATCCCACCTGGGTCCGCGGGAACGTAACCCTGAGTCGGATTCTGGGGGTTCTGGTTATGGGATGGGCCCTGGGACGATAAAGGTAGGTTTGGCGCTGTGGGGAAAATACCCATGCCCGCGGAGGGCGGGAAGGGGGTCCAGTGATCACTCTGGGAGACTGTGTTACTAGCAGCGTCGGAAGTGGCGGTTGATGGTGGGTGGTTCGGGAGAGAAGTGGGATGTGCATCGGTGCGGATATTCTGAGGGGATAAGTTTGAAGGGCTGTGGTGGGAGTGTTGGGTCTCTGGACCACCCACGGTTGTGTGAGTCTGGAGATGTAAGGGTGTTGGTTCTGAGTTACTAGTATCCTGAGGTGAAATAGATATATCAGTTTCTTAAGTTTTCATAAAACAAACCTACATGAGAAATACTGATGGTTTCTTGGGAATTCAAACTCTCAAAACACAAACGGAAGACAACTACAAAAATCCCAGTACGAACCAGATTCTGCTTCGCGCTCTGTGATTCCGATTCCCGTGGCTCCGGTGCCAAATACGCCCGAATATCTTTCGGTTGGAAAAAGTTGTACGGGGGACCACTACCCGTAATTGGCTTTCCTTCCTTCCGCTTAATAAACCAAGTTTTTAACATCCCCAACATCAGGGCGAATCTGGATGTTACCCGTCCGGAAATACGATCCCCAGAGTCCTTCAATTGTGCAATGACCTTGGTGAGGAAGTATTCAATCTTGAAGTCTGTTGGATTGAATACTTGACCCAATCGAGTGGCAGGATACGACGCGGCGGTATGTAGTTTGATAAGAGCGACAGAGGCGTATGCTGTACGGACGAAGTGGATGGTGGGGATAGATTGGATAGTTAAATAATCGAGGGAGATAAACGTCTCAAATGCGTCATGGATGGACGTGAGACAGACGGTTAGTGCGTCGACGTGGGCGGGGGTTCCCAAGTCGATCGGATTTTCGGTGCTAAGGCTATTTAAAAAAGGAGGTTTGAAATCGTCGATATTGTGGTCGGCGTGCATGCCGATTTCATGCATGTAGACGTTGAGAATGAGCTGGTAGTAGTGCATGATAGCTATTTATTTAATGTTAAAAGGGAAAAATCCAAAAAAAAAGGAGAAATGGTAAATTTCGTATAATTTCACGTAGGTGCAAAATGTAGTAGATACGGAGGCAGAGGGATAAAGTGAAAAGGACTTACGAGAATAGCACTCGGGCGGAACCTCTTTTCGCCATTCCGCCAACCGTCTTTCGAATCCCTTTAAAGCATACTGACTTTTGGGGTCCGTTATGTCAACGTTCGTAACGGGATCATCCATTGAAAACTGGAACAGGACCTCTTCGCCAAGGTGAGCCAGTTTCACCCATTGAACGAGTGTTTTATCAGATGGAAGTGCGTCGGGCGACGTCTCGAGGATTTCAAGAGATTCATCCATGTAAGGGTGCCAACGCGTGAGAAGGGATCGCCGAAGGGACATTGCAACGCTGTCCTAGCATGTTAGCAAAAACCGGAAACATAGCAATCCAGACATGGCACACGGTCCATGAAGATCATGCAAGAGTTAGGCAGTAGCAAAAGGTGTACAAAACATACTTAACACACATAAAATAGCACCCCAGCCACGCTCTCCTAGTCTCAGGTGCATCAGGCTCAACCATGACAGTTTTCTTGCCCATAAGTTCCCTCCACATACCCATTGACTTTGACTTAGCCGTTGACTTGGTTCTCCTGTTCATGCCTAGATCCATCGCCATCGTCGTCGCAATGTGTATGAGCTGGTAAAATTTCATTTCCTCGTAATGCTCCGGCGGCCTATACCATATCATCGATACCACAATTGCCTGCACCAATTCGAGAGATTTCGATCCCCTGACAATTACATGATCTGCAAAGAGGCGGAAGACCTCGTTCAACAGGGTAACTTGCAACTCAGGGTTGAAAATGCCAATTGATACGGCCAGGATAGCTAATAAGAGGATGGGCTTCGTCCGACGCACCTCGGCCATAGTAGTTTCGGGGGGAAAGACGATGAATGGAAGCAACGGAGACATCTCATTCACGTAGCGGTTGAAACACTTGAGAGCCATTTCCGTATCCACCACCCCTCGATCAATGACGTCTGTGTATTCATAATCGTAGCGAGCTTTGGGCGCTCGGTCGATGGAAGGCAATAGCGGAGCCCAGGAATCGGGACCGTTCCCGTCACCACCATGATTCGACCCATCATAGAAGGTCGACGAGCTCTCTGTCGTCGGGCTGTGAGGCCTGGCAGCCAGCGGCACCAGGGCCCCAGCCCCGAGCCTATGTTTAAACTCTCCGCTGGCAAATCTTTTATTCCCAGCTAGGCCCGCCGTAAAACCTCCCGTGGTAGCCCGTCTGTTTTCACTCCCTTGTCGTTGTGCGCCCATCCAGTGGGCAGCGGGCAGGTCCTCTGCCGCAGACCCAGACCGTAACGTAGAGCTCTCTGGGGCACCGCCTCCAACACTACTCCCATTCCTCGCTCTGGTCGCCTGTAGACTTGCTGTCAGTGCATCAATCTTCCGCTCCAGCTCCGCGACACGGCTATCTGCCTTCTTCTGCCGCTTGCGCGTCGGCACTGTAACGACGCAGCGGCGATTGGCCTTCGCACAACGTTTGCACGGGCCATCCGGGCTTTCAGGGTGCGGGTCGCAGCGCACCTTCAGCTGTCGACAGGCCTCGCAGGCCCGTGGGCGTTTCAGGTCGGCCAAGGGATCGTTCGGGTTGTTCGGGTTGTTGATGTCTGTCACGGCGATGGATTCGGTATATGTACCCGTCCCGGGCGCGAGCCCGATGCGGTGGTCCCGCTCATGGTCACGGCTATCATCATCGTCGAGGGCCCCGCTGCCAAGGGTTGCGGAGTGTGGAGACTGCTGGTTCGGGCTGTCGTAGTAGTAACTATTGTGGGTTTGCTGGGCGCTCAGATCGGAGGTGGGCGTGGATGAAGACTGCGAGGGCGCAGACTGACGGAGAGGAACCCGCGGATCGGCATCCATGGAATCAGCAACTGTGGGTGGAACCGCGAACCCCTTTTTCCTGGTGGAATGTGCGGGGCGGCGGGGGCCTGCCACGCGTGAGCGAGCGCTTTCTCCTGCGAGAGTTCGCCATAAGTCAGCAGAACGTAATGTTCACGGTTTTGCGAAGAATATTGAGTTGGAAGAGGTTGCTTTGTCCGGGTGCTGAGGGAAGGGCAGGGTAAATAAACGTACGACGATGTGGGTGACACCCGATAGCGCACGGCAGACGGTGCTTTCAATGACCGATCTCAGCGATCTGACACCAGCTGGAGGCCGATGGATGCGTGGCAAAAATATGGCGAACACTGAGCGCTTGGCAGCGTCAGGCACAAGGCATACCTGAGGATAGAACGTATATCTGTCCGTTCGCGAACTGTTCGATATCGAGGGACAACGAGCCGGAGGAAGTCAGCGCGGGCGACGTCGGTGAGCGAGAAATTGTGGCCAGCGTCCTTCGCTTGGACATCAATGGCTACTGCCTGCTTAGGGCTGAGTCAAATGGCAGCAAAATGGGCAGGGAGCGGGCAGACAGCTCGTTCTCGTATTCCAAGGTTTTGCTTGACTGGGAACACCGATAAACAGAAAAAGAAAAATTAGCCAATCGAAGAGGCGATAATCTCGCAGCCTAGAACTAACTGCTCGCTGGCCTCGGTATATTCTGGTGAGGTTTTGAATGATAAACAGATAGACATTTTTTGAAGCGATGATGTTCCTCTGATGGCCGTCGCAGAGCTGGACGAAACACTTGTTAACTCTACGATAGTTACTCCGAAAATATTAGGCTATAAACAGGTTTGTGGAATTGAACCCGGCTATCCAAATAGAGTGCACTTGAAGGGATATCAACTGGATGTGCACATATCCAGGACCAGTACACATAACGAGATGTCTACCATTATTCCCACAGACTGAGCTGTAACCTTCGTATGCAACACGAGATTCAGGAAGGTGGCGGCTTCCCGAGACGACTACAATTCAATCGCAAATTCAAACTATTCAAAACCAGACGCGCAAACGCCCACTATCATATCATGTAGAATGCAAAGCAAAGTACTCGGTATAATGAGAATAATAGCACGAAACTTGGAAACTCCCAAATCGCCCAGGCCAAGGAAGAACCCCAATAGAGCAGGGTTGAATTGAAAAACCCAACTAATCAATTCGCCTTATGAACCGGGCACTCCATTTTCCTCTCCAACCAGTTCACAATACACTCCTTATGGAACTTACACAGACACTCCAACCGTGCTAGGTGGTCCCCGACTTCATACTCCTCCATGCAAATCGTACATTCCTGCTGCACGCCCTCCTCGCCAACACAATCTTTCTCCGTAGCTGTAAAGGGCAACATCCGTAAGGGGCGGTCATTGTGATCATTGCCATTGGAATTGGACTGTGACGTGCGACGACCGGTGCGGCTGGTACGCCCGTTAGTGGGATGCCCATGTCCGTGTCCGTGTCCGTGTCCATGTCCGATCTCGTGTCCTTGTATACACTCACGAACGTGGGCTTCTCGCGCGGCTTCGCTGCCATCTGCCGCGCGGGGTGGGAGGAGGCGGCCACAGATAGGACAAATGTCGTTCTCGTCAATCGGGTGGCGATGGTGGTGCGGCGGGCCAGGAGGTAAGGGGCGATTTCGGCTGGACGATGAGGTGCTTATGCTCTGGAGAAAGTCGTTTGATGGTCCACGGTGGTGTGATGGCATGGAGCGGGCTGTGGAGTGGCCGGTACGCTGCCGGGGGCCCTGCTATATGGCTGCTTTAGTAGATATGTCGGGATGGTAAGGGGGGAAAAGCATCCCACGAAGTTAGAGTAACTAAGAAGGGAGAAAAAAAAATGAAAACGAAACAAGGGGATTCATACCGGGAATGCCGCACCAGATGGTGAGAAATATGTTGGCGGGGAGTAACGAGGATGCAGACCGCCAGTCGCTTGTTGTATTGACTGATATCTCAGCGGTATGCCTCGGACATTCGGGGGCACGGTGTAATCGAACGTTCCGTACGACGACAGGTTTTCATCGGGTAGCCCTTCCCGGCTTGCCACTCGTTGAATTTGAGGACTCTCGGGCTGGAACTAGAATTAAAAGAATGTCAGCACAAAAACACACAAATTGTTCATTTATAACCGGACATGGTAATGAACAAAAACTAACAATCATGCCGCGACTCCGCTGTCTTCGGAGCTCGCGAGCTGCCTGAGAAAGCTGCGTATTGGCGGCCGATGATAGGGAAGCAGACGGTCGGTGAAATGGGTTAGTTCCACGTGTATATGGACCACCGTTACGATAGAAGTCTGGCAATGCAGAATGACGGTGTGTGTGTACATGAGAAGTGCCTGACGTATCGCCCGGCCAGGATGTCAGGGAGGATGAGAGCAATGAGCCAGCGCTTGTATAGCGCCTAGGAGGCTCAGGGTTTGGATCAGGGACGCAAGGATTACATAAACGGACTTCTTCTCCGCCTCCCAAGGCTGAATTCGGAGAGTGTCGATCTCTTTGTTGTTGTCGCCGTTGCTGCCCACGGGTATTGGCATTTGCTGACGACCGCTCTTCATCGTTATCAATGAGGCTAATAACTTGAGCTTCAGAGGGATTCGGCAGAAGAAGAGTGGAACGATGTCCATCAGATTCAGGCGGACGAACAATGAACTGGCGTGGGATGGTGATTCTATGCGGTGAACACGAAGCACAAACGACACGCCCGCATTTCCTGCAGTGATGTTTCCTATACCAAAAACTGAACTGGGTACCACAGATAGGGCATTTCGAAGCTTCAGAATCGGGTTGCCAGCGGGGCAGCTCGTAATCTGCAAAGCTATGTTCTCGATCCCGCAGCGAGCTCAGCTGCCGCGAGACTGACTCTTGAGACCCTGAGAGATCAATCGCATTCTCCCTCGAGCTTCCCGGCAGTACTGGACTGGAACGTTCCCACGACTGAGTGACAGAGCGGCTAGGTCGAGGTCCTGACGAGCCAGGATCTGCCGGGGCTCTACCAGCCCCCGGGCGAGCGTAACAGGTGATATCACTAGCGCTAGTGAGCCTCCTCTTTCGCTCAAGGCTCGTAGCACTGTTTCCCCCTGTACTAGTAGCGTACGGCCCTTGGTGTTGTTGATTATTCCCTGTCTCTGGGTGTTCATTCTGCAAAAACTCTAGCAGAGTATGTCTAGTTGTCTCAGCATTCTGGGTTGATCCCTGAGAGTCCATCAGCTGAGTAGTTGCTATGGCTCCAGTTGTTTCTAATGAGTCAGGCGAGGAAGCAGTGGAGGAGGGAGTAGAAGAATGCGGAGACCCGGAAGCTGGGGTGGGATCTGTGGGAACATAACTGGTGACAGGGTCCACTGGCGAGGATGGAGAGGAGGATAACGACGCTGCGGAGTCGAACTCAGGAGATGACATTGAATGGGGTAAGCAAGGACTGGGTCGCTGCAGTCGATATTTCAGAAATGATGCTTGTCTTGTTTGAAGAGGAGACGAGACCAATCTCCGTCGTTTGGACGAACGGCCGTCCTCATTAGCTCTGTCGAGCGGATATTCCACGTTGATACGAAGGAGAGAGCCCTCCTAAATAGCTTCTAAATAAGGTGCGTGTGTGCCAGATTGATAGACGGTCCGAGGTCGACAAATGATAGTCTGGAAAAAGGTGATGAGGAATAGGTTTAGCAACAGACGACAGGATATTCTATCCTTCTTCCCTTCCTTTCTTGTTTCTCACTTTTCAGAACACCGTTAGGTCATCAAGTCTATTCGCGGCGGTTCAAGCTGTCATCTAGCCGTCGAGCTCCACACATGTAGATACCCTCTACCCGGTACTCGACGTTGTCCTGGTTAGTCTGAAACAGTTGAGAGAGAAAAGGGAGCGTTAGTTAAGGTAGCTTTTCCACTCCAGATTATCAATATATGGCTTTGAAGACTCGTCAGAACAAACGCACTAGAATAGAGTTCATATAAAAATGCTAGGAGTTCATATCCTTCGTGGGGAGGCTGGCCCAGTTTCCCGTTCACTTCTCGGTGTTTCAGGTTTTAAGAGAAGAGGGGAAAGAAAGCCACGAACAAGAATGGGCGAGGTGAGCCAGGCAGCTCCCCGGCATTCGCCACACCGGGAAAATGGCTTGAATCGACGCTTGAGGCGTGCAAGAGAGACGAAGTGGCGGTTTGGTAAATAGATATGGTATCCCACTCGTCACGGCGGAGTGGGCGATGAGGTGGTGGTTGGTGGTGAGGTATCGATAGCACGCAGCATAACTAACTAAACTACCAGTCAGTTACATAACGCGGGAGTCATCAGCCCGCTTAAGGGCCGAACGGCGATCCTTAGCTAAGACACAAACCACGCCGAGGTGACAGGTAACACCAAAACGCAGAAGCATTTGTCAGAAAAATAATACTCTACAATTCAGAATTCAGACACTCTAAAGTTGGCTTGAGACGGATTGTCCGTAAAAAGGAGAACATAGTAAGCTGTGATCCGAATATTATCTATTTTATTCCAGCTACAGCCTCTCGAGTACGCTGCTTCGAAAATCAAGGCGGAAGAGCGATCGATATTTCAATACTTTGCCCACGGCAAAAACCATGAAAGAATGAAAACATTTATATACAGTATGTATAAGTATAAAGAAATAGAACATAAAAAAGGATCGAGTGATTGGAATCCAGAATCAATCTGCAGAGAAGACATGCTTGCTCATTATCATCCAATGCTTCCCGCTCCCGTCTTTGTCTATCTTACCGAACTACAACAATATTAACATCGCGGAAAAAAAAAGGCGCTTTTCAGATTTAATAACAGATCAGTGACGTGAACAGAAGAATGGCAAAAAGTGAAACAAAACGAAAAACAAGTGATGAAGGAAACACAGTACACATTTTACGCAACTACAGCCAATAGGAATATGACGGTTTGTGAACTGAAGTGGGAGAGAAAAAAAAATAGAGAGAAAGAGAGAAGAGAAATAAAGAACAAAAAGCGCTTCAGAAGAAATGCCGTCCTCAAAATGCTTTCAAAAACAACATAAAACTGTAGTAAAGAGGAGCCAAAGGAAATTCGTCAAAAATAATATTAATCGTGTGAGGAATGATTAAATGAGTAGTAAATGAAATTTTGTTTTCAAAAAAAAAAAAAAAAAAAGAAAAAGAAAAGAAAAGAAAAAGAAAAAGAAAAAAGAGAAGAAAAAGAAAACAAAAGAAAAATGGATATAGCTCGGACCCTAGATTTAGGTCTCAGTAAAGCGGATATCATCAGCGGAAGAGGTGGATAGACAGAGAGACGGATAGAAAATGAGTGGGAAAAATGTCTATAGTCCCGTTGACCTATTAGATAGCTGAATACAGTGCAAAACGCATTCCATAATTATTTTCATCCGGTGAAAGAGTTGGAGCAGAGAGACATTTGATAGACGTGAAGACCACGGAGGCCAGATGGGATAAGAGGAGCGCAGCTGTATCTGCAGGCTCAGGAACGAGGCGTGATATTGGAACGAGACTAAGGCGGCAGAAGTCAGACAGGTGAAACAGGTGAAACAGGAGGATCGCTCACGATCTCCGCCGTGCTTTCGGAAAACGGCAAAGTGTCAGTGACGTGTATATGATCGCTTGCCCGATGCATCTGAACGAATCCCATGCTCGACGGCCGGCCTTGGTTACGACGGGAAGGCGAGTAGGGCCTCGAGCTTCGCCGTTTTGGCCCTTGGTTGTTGTTTTCGTCGTCCGTCGTGTTCTGAATACTAGAATTGGCTGATCTTGTGGAGACAAACTCACTCCGCACTGAAGAGGGTTTGGAGCTGAAGGGGAGTCGAGTGGCTTGAGTAGTGGTTGGTTGTGAAGATGGTTGGACAAAAATATCAGGATTGTCGGTATGTTTAATTTCCTCGGAAGAAATGGGTTGGGATGCGACTTCGACGTCCACTCCATGTCCAGCTCCGGCCTCAGGTTCGATTATTCGGTCTGCCATGTCGACTGCGGAGTATCGTTTGGAGCTTTTGCGGGGAATGGTGGGTGGGATTGTCAGGGAGTTTCCTTGTTCGTGTGTGTCGCTCTTGGAGCCTGTTCGGCGTGGAAGCTCGATAGATTCACTTGCCTCGATAGGAGGTAACGTAGGGGCTGCTTGCTCCATTTTCAATTTTGGTTCGTGCTGAGTTATCTCGTCAGAAGTGTCATATGATCCCGATGAACGACGGGTGTGTTTGGTTACACCCAAGTCGGAATATTTTGAAGTATCGGGATCGTCTCGATACGGTTCTGGGAATGGCTCCCGGCCTTCGGCATTTGGCATCAATCCGGGTGGTGGAGCTCTGGCGCTACGAACAACTTCGAATCCTTTCCCTTTTTCTCGAGTTTTACCACGGAAGAGTTCCCGGAACCAGCCTGTGGCAGATGATACCGGGCCTGTCGGATCGGCAGGGCCAGTTTTTAATTTTCGCGTCGCGGAATGGGAAAGAGCAGGACCCCGGACGCGATAGTAAAAGTCTACCTCCCGGACAGCATAGTCAGTCCTTGAACGGCCCGGTTCGTCCATATCCGCATCCGACTCGTCTCTAGGAGCTGCAAGGTAGGCTGGGACAGGCGTTCTGCTCCCGGTGACGGGGGTACCGTCATTCGTATCAGCCCCTTCGCCATCCATATTACTGCCTGACCGTCGATTAGTCCAATCACCACTTGTCCACGAGGTGTGGGTGCGGCTGCTAGGCGACATTCCGTCTAAAGTGGCTCGCCGATGTCTCGGGGGCCGATAATAAGGACCGATGTTATCTGTATGTTTTACACTAGCCAAAGCGCTGTGTGGCGATCCGCTGCCTCCCGAATGTTGGCCAGGGAATGTGGAATGTGAGATTCCTCCCGTAGTCGTAGGAGTGTACGGTCCGCTCCCGCTTCTCTGGTGATGATGGCCTACTCCGTACAAACTACTCGCCTCGAAACCAGCGCTCACACGGTTCTCGGTAGCCACAGAACGTTTTAACAAGAGTGCTGAACTGCCAGAAAAGCTCCGAGATCTGTCACCATCTACATGGCTTGACATTCTCCCTCCATCCGAGCCTAAGATCGGTACTTCTGAGGCAGCGCTGTGGCGAGGGACATGATGCGGTACTCGCGGAACTCTGCGAGAAAGCTGACGCATTCCAAAGACCTGTCGATAAAATAATTAACGATATTAGCCCAATACATTGAGGGACATTATCCTAGCTGCCTTTGAGCAGGTAAGGGTCACTTCGAACGAGATACACACCTTTACAAGGCCACCTCTTGCCGCCCCACCCTCCACTCCGCCCTCACCGCCAGCACCAGCAAGCCGGGCGAGTACCTCAACCAAGGTCTGAATAGCATTCAAAAAGAATCCAAAGACTAGAACCATCCCATGTAGGAGGAGGATGACGTAACCAATCCAGCCCCTTGCAGCGTGGCCGACACTTAGTGATGGAACGAAGACAACACTCAGAAGTATCGTGAGACAGCGGATGGTGGAGAAAATCGCATGATAGAGGTTCATAGATGTTGGCGACGGAAAGGGGCGGAATGCGGATAGCGTCAGGAGAAGGACAACTTCACAAATCGCTAGAAGCACAATCTGTGCAATCCCTGAAGGTTGGACGGCTCCGATCGCGATGCCGCGAACGAACGTGAGAAGAACGGATACTACAGAGAAAGCTGCAGCACCATCGGAAAATGTATTATACAAAGAACCATAAAGGAGAACCGTCGGAAGGTCATCAAACATATATGAGCGTGGGCGCGTTCGCGTAATGAGAATTAAGAGCCAAGCAGCAAATCCAACCAGTCCAACAAGCAGGACAACCGCCAAAGCCACTGTAGAAATAGGGGATTGGCTAGTAACTACTAGCTGGAACATAGATAATGATACAATCGGCAGAAGGAAATAGTTGAAGACGATGCGAATAACGTTGCCCATGGTGAACGGTAAATTTTTGGCGCGAAGGTCTTCCTCTGGTACATGGGTGACTTGGTGATGTAGCCACCGTAGGCCGAATCCCAGCTGGATCATGAAAACGACACATGCAAGAATCACAAGAAGCCAAATTACCATCCCAGACCATATATCTTCGACAGACGACATGCCGATCAGGTGACTCATTCGGTCTAGTCCATAGGTTGCGTTGACAACATACATTCCGTCCTGAATAGGATTTGTGCTATTTCCATGGCTGACAAAGCTTCGGTTGAACATAAGGACAGACCATCCTGCCCTGCTTACAATCGGCTGATAGAATCCCGGGTAATTCAACGTTAAAGATCCGGTTAGAATCACAAATTGAATATACTGGAGGCAGTCGGCGAATCCTGGGGTAACAAGTCGCAGCAAATCCTCGTCTCGTCCGTAATTGGAAGTCCACCGAAACAGATCCAAAGAACCCCATGGGCTGAACATGGCTGCGGACACCGTCGCAATCGCCACTAGAATGAGAATGGCAAGGGGGATATATCTAAGGACGTCATTTAGTGTTGGTCCTAAGACAGGCGTAACTTCAGCAGATACACAAAGAATCTGAGACCGAGCAGCATCACCAGCTGTTGCTCTAAGTACAGGCGTTATGGCCGTGAAAGAATAGGAGGAGAATAGGTCATGGGCAACGGAAAAAGCTCGTAATTCGGGTGGAGTTCTAGTCAGGAAAGTCAGGGTCAATGAAAACTTATGCAAGACAAATGTCAGGCGGAAATAAGTATCTCTTCGTTGGAAGGAATTCATACCCATTTGAACCAAAAACAGGGCCTAGGGGACACTCTCCCTGGATCAAAGAATCACAAAATCGTTCAGCCGGGGCGACGTATGGAGAATAGCTGAGGACCTCGAATCTTGAAAAAAGCGTGGAGAACATATTATTCTTTACATCCACGTCAACGATCTTCCCAACGGTGCTATTTGGATCGGACCAGCTAGGAGAATCGGGAGGAGGATAGGGTTCCTGGGTTGCAATTCCAGTAACATTCCCATACACTGTCACATTCAGATTTCTGGCCTCCGAAGTGATATCCAACACAGCCCAGACATACATCGGCTTGAACTGGAGCTGGAGAGGGTCTGAGTGGACGATGGACGGGGGGAGACAATTTTCAAAGTTGACAAACGCTCCATTGGCGCAGCGAGGCGTGAGAAGTGCGATAAATATTGATATCAAAAATATTATCGAACGCCCATTCTGCCCTGCGATTCTTCCTCCTCGTCGCGGACGATTCCCTTTCCCGTAATCCTGCGGCACCATCCGCTTCTCAGCACAGTAGTCCGCATTTGCGCATTGGTAGAGCTGTTCCCGCCCCCGTCTCTGTTTCCGCTTCAGTTCGAAGTCCCCGGCTATCGAGCATTTCTTCAAAGAACATAGGCAATATGGCGTATGATCGTCCGATACCGCAGCAACCCTCCCCATTACGACCACCCAGAATAAACGAGGCAGCCTCCAAGTGGAGGACAGCCCTTCCTCCTACCTGGGCAATGATTCGATCCACAAACCCCGACAATATCCAAAATAAATATGCGCCTAATCAGGAGTTGCTTCCCCCACTGCAGGATAATGATAAGTGCCTGTCAACCTTTAACGACGACGATGATCCTGCACCACGCCGCACGATAATACCAACTGGACGGAATGCAATCCTGCAATGGCTTACGGGTTGTGGAATTGGAGGGGTGAAGGGGGTAGACGGGTGGATGAAGAGCTCGTTGAGTAGAGCGTCGAAAACGATTATACGGGTTGAAGCATGCTGCTGTCCGGCAACCTCCTCGGGGAATGAATAGATGGCTCAAGGATTAGTAATAGGTAGCGATGGAAAATTTTCAAATAATGTTTTTACTCTCTTATCTTTTTTGATCCTTTCAGCGACCGTCATCAAAATATCGAGGCACAAGAGAAATGTGATGACAAGGCAAAACAAGAAGATTGACATGACAGTCAGGCAAAACAATAATAATCATGGTGCCGGTGGACCCAAGAATGCGCTAAACTTGGAAACGAGCCGGAGCCTATCACCGCTGGAGATATGGGCTTCTGTCGCCCCTATCACCATATCGCCAGCCTGTGCGTGTTTGATTTCAAACAGCAGCGAGCAGCATCAGGAATACATAGCTATGGTAACCCAGCTACTACGTATCTCCCTTACTCTGGAAAAAACGTCCAACAATGAGCATTCAGTCTACGCCGTTGTGAACGTTGCGAAAGCTCCCTCCGCCTTCTGTTTGGAATTGGGGCGGCGCAAGAACCTTAACATCCTTCAGGCTTCAACTCTCTCGCATCTTGTTCCCTAAACTCTCAAGTCAATACGAGAATGCGCCACGATCAAGTATGCAGCGGCCGTCGTGGTCAATAAGACAACAATTCACCCTTGCCAATACCAGCTAATGATTTTGAGGCTCTTTTTTTCGTTTCCGTCCATCGCATGGTCTAACTAGGAGAAGTCTCACCAATGTCTACGCAGAGATCCCAATCACATCAGCCAGTTTCGTTATCAGCCAATGTCAGGCCACTCTGGTGGGGCACAGCCACTCGATTTTGGTCAATTTCAACAACCTTGTGTGTTGGTGATCCCCGATCGGCTTATCGACCCGCTGAGTGGCTAGCCCCAGAAGCTGAGATCCTGGTGAATGATTATTCCTCATCGCTGACGGGACTTACGCTGCAGATAACTATCAGCAAAATTTGCCTAGTTAGTTACCCATGGCTTGACAGGTCTGCGTATCCATTTACATACGCAGGAAACAAATTGTTGACCAGTTCTTTTCCATGCGTAAAAAGCCAAATCCAACGCCACTCAGAAAAGTTCCTGGTGGCTGCTTGCAATGGCCCATGGGCCACAGTTCTTTTTTTAGGTATCATGTTCAACTTTTTGGCATCTTGGCCCCTGGGGGAACCGCCGAAAGTTCTGCGCTGCTTGCAGGGCTTCCACGGCCAGGCGCATCGAAAACATCAAAGGAGCTAGGAATTTACCTCTGATGCCGGTGACCCTGGTCTCCTGGAGGTTGAGTTGACTCATCCCGCCAAATTCGTCGACTGTCACAATATCCGGCTCTTCTGAGATTTTGGCACAGACTACAGATCTGTACGTACATTCGATGGAGACTAGTTCCATACATGAGCGGCAAGCAATGGTTTGTTGCAACCGACTTTGTGGATATTGCTCTGGTTCAAACATCATATCTCCTCAATTGATTCCTCAATTCTCTACCCAAGCTCATGGCCGGTCTAACGCCTGCCGGCTTCATTAACTAGTATTGACAAGAATCCCTCACAGCTTTTGTCCTAAAGCTTGCTGACAATTCAAGGTTTTAAATGATGACCAGGTTGACCTTGGACAGGTATACCGAGGTGTTTTCGTGCTCTCGAGTCGTTTCATTCGATATGATTTCGATGACGACTTTGCTTTTCAATTGAAAAAGGGACGCATGCTCAATTCTTCACAATCGCGAGATTAGTGCGGGGTCAGTCAGGGACCATATCCTGGACTTGGGTTATAATTCCACCATCTTCGCCCAGTCGTGCCTGATGTATATCAGGTTTCGTCGTCCCTCACCTTTTCGGCCACAACCGAGCGTCACTACTTGAAAGACGTCCCTTTCAATCACTGGGATGAGCTCCCATACCCAATCCATAGCGCAGATCTGTCAGCGCTTTGGTACGCTGAGCAGGCAGGCGACCTCAGTATCTGCTCTGCTATAGACTGAGGGCTTCATGTTCCAAAGGTACATCATGTACTGTACATACATGTACTTGACTGTACAACTTACAATGCACGTTCTATTTATCCCTGTAAATAATGTCCCGCTTCATGGGCGGGATTGTGTGTTGAAGCAAGAAAAGCAGTCCAAAAACCTGCAGAAAATAGTTTTAAAAATTTTAATGCGAAGTCCTTATGAATATATGGCTCAAATGAACATGAAATCCTCATTAACTATGGCCCTCTCGATTGGGATGACAACGCCCATCGTCCTAATATGACCTTCGCATAAATGTGCACTACTCGTCCACAATTCGCAAATCTTCCCAGGCTGAGTAACTAAACGGCATTACGTTTCACATCAATTAATAATATTATTATTATTATCACCCATGGATCTTTCCAGAGAAAAATTTTGGCCTAGATCCTGCCGGTTTTTTACATCCTTGAGCTGTGGACAACTCGACCATTCATTCAAAGCATGTGACGGCAGAAGATTACCTTTTCGTCCACCATGCATTAACGCGCTGGAGATTGATATTTACTCGATTGGCCATATTTCAACTGGATGGACCCAGCCTCTTCGCCTGAGTTGGCCCCTAGCTCTCTTCCTCCTATTGATACCCGGCATGGCCTGGCCTGGCCTGGCCGCTGTGATCTTGCAACCACCACGCGGATAAAACATGGCATCAGTTTGAACAGCCCAGGCCAAGCTCAATGCATATATTGCATGAATTGTCCGATCTTGCCTTCAATTCGAGGCTAGCCTCACTTATCAGAATTCAAGGCTAATTTGACGAACATGAATATCCAGGTTCAAAACTAGTTCCTAACTAGCTAGGACAGTTTCAGAAGCTTTGAGGGCTGGTCAGTTTGAGGTAAGTAAGGCTAACTACAACCCAACGAACAGTAATTATTGTTGTTGTTGTTCTTCAAATCAAGCATTGACATTGCTGCTGGTCAGCAACCACGTAATCACTGTCAAGCCCCGACAAAAAGCCCTGGTCTGCTTCGGCAACTTCTTCCACTGCTTCTCCATCAGTACCGTCATAGCCAGATTCATCCAGGCACCTCCCACATCACACCCCTCGCGGACAAGATATTGATACCAGGTGTTGCGCAGGCCCCAACACAGACAGTAGCGGACCGACCCTAACAAACAAAATCAACGCCATTTTTCAAAAAGTCCAGCAGCCATGCTTCCATTTAACCCCCTGAGAAACACATGACAAATTGAGAACATAACATTTCCAACTTCGATGGCCACTTCATGAGTCAAGGGCTTTCCTGAACCTGGACAACGACTTTGCTGCGGGATGAAAACTTGGTGGGATGAAGCAATCATCATCATGCCCTACAGGTCACTCATCCACGGGCTAGATTAAGATTAAGGTAATATCCCCCTCGCCCATCTTGGTTAGGATGGACTCGCTGTACCCGGCTAGTTTGATATATTAGCCCGGAGGAAGGGTCTACTCGAATGTGATGTGCGAGTTTGAATTTCCTCAAAAGATTTTTGGATTTCAACATTCCTGCCCACCCAGAAAAATGGTTGACCTTGTTTGTCTACATACTACGTAGACGGATAGTCCTAAATTCTTGAGGGCCTCGAACCAGGGGGGTATTTGATACCCCATTCCACCAAAGTGTCATATCCCTTCCGCCCAGTTCGATCTGCCAGAATCCGTTGGTTTGCCGCTCCCAATGATACTCATTGAGCCGGGGTCAGACCAGAGCCTGTAAAATCAGCTGTTATGTCATGTTTGACATAACCCTGAGAGCCGCGTGTCCATTGAGATACACAGTGATCACTATTCTTTACATGTCTAGAATTTCGTGCTGGGTTTGACTGAGGAATTTTCTTTGTTAAAAGCTGCAGATTCCCTGATTAGAGGGAACGAGACTGAAGACTGTCTGATTTTTGATGCTGTTTGGAGTTTTCGCTGGAGCTATTTTCAATCATCGGTATGCATGCAGACATTTTGGATATGGCGTGTTTAACCAATGAACTGTTCATTTCTGCCCTTTAAAACAGAGCGCCATTGGGATCACATTCACGGTTCTTGGGAATCGGGCGCTGTACGGCCATGCTTCTCAATGCATGAAATTTCATATTGACGGAAATGCGTTCTCGGCCCTTGTCCTCTCCGTGGTGGGGATTCTTATGTTCATGCATGAAAGGCATATGGGTCCTCCTCTCTTCCCCCCTTCCCACATTCTCATCCTGCTATGGGGTTGTTCTATTCTGCTTGGCCCTGGCGAAGAGAAAACAACAGACATCGCATCACAACACAAACACCCACTGGTACCCACCCCTAAGCTCTACACAGCTCTCAAAAATAAGATACGCATAATCTGTTCCATAGTCCCTGAAATAACACTCAATCATGAAAGTGCATGTCAATGTCAGTAGCAGCAGCAGCAGCAGCAGCAGCAGCATCAAGGATTATGGGCATAGGCACAAGGTAAACAAAAAATATGACAGAGCAATGACAGTAGCCAAAGGGCTGCGGGCCTGGACAGGGAAATTGACAAATGATTTTGTAGAAGACTGAGATTTTCACAGAGACACCATGACCGTGTATGCCGTGGCAAGCGATTGTACACAGTATATCAAAGAAAGGTTAGCAGATTTAAAGTTTGGTATGTTGTTAATTTCTCCGGTCGTTATAGTTAGATGTGGTTCTTCATCCCAAGTTGGGATTGAACAATCCTACAAGCTTTTAAACACTTGCACAAAAAGAGCTCTGCATACTGTGGGAATATAAGAGGTAAAGGTTTTGTGGTAGAAGCAACCGGAGGCGGTAATTAAAAGGGAGCAGGGCAGGGCAGGGAAGGGCAGGGCACACAGAGTATGTATGCTAGAATAAATGCCCGATGCCAGGGAGAATTTATATTAATGATGGTGATCAACCAGGTCCCTCCCTGGGCAGGTTCTTAGACGTATACAACATCGACGTATCTGTGATGAAAACAATTCCTCCATTCGGGTAACAGCAGATACAAACGCAGACGAAGTATACGGCGTAAGTACTCTCGAGACTAGAGAATGTCGTAGAGTGGATGAAACTAAAACTTGAACTTTAAAAAACCTTCATAGAGCGGCAACAAGGATCATTTTGGTGCCAAGGGAAGGGAGCACCAGAGAAGAGGACGCCTGCACACCTCAGCCCTGGGAGGAGAAGTGAACCCCGAAGAAGGCGTTGGAGCATACGCTGGGTAGAGGTGGTTGAAGATACACCATCACTTGCTAAGAGGTCTTGATTCCTCGGCAGCTGCGGGCAAACATCAGTGGCAGCCAGTCCACAGCCGGCCCCGAACATCCAGCACCCTCCCTTCTGCTTAATTAAAGGCTAGGGCTGACCAAGGCCCGTGGCAACGCAGGCTGCCCCGCCGCCGCGGCCAATCGCAGGCGATACCCAGCCCCGTCCCCCGCCTTGCCGGGCATCCCCAGACAGTCTGCCAAGAACCTGAGAAACAGAGCCACGCAGTCGACAAACACAGAAACCTGACACACTCACACCCTCACGCACTCACGCCCTCACGCATTCCACTCCGTGTCTCCTTTTCTAACTGACCCAGACACGGTGTTGCATCCATTGATTGACTGCTGCCTCACCCTTCCTTCTTTCTCTTTCTTTCTCTGACTCTATCTCTTCTGTTAGTATCTCTTCTTGTATCTCTTCTTCACACGAGCCACTTCATTAGCCCCCTTGTCGATCTTCTTCGGCGGTACATTTTACTGTTTCATCAACACCCGCGTTGCACGTGAGACCCTGCTTACGGATCCCCAACTCCTTTGACACCCACACGTCCTGCGAACAACTGTCCCTGACTTGTCGCTTTGTGTCGACCGCTGTTGGCGTCGCCTGCTCCGTCCAATGTTTGCTTATCCACATCCAATTCTGCCTGTGGGTGCCTGTGTTGTGGTTGCTACTGCTGCTGCTCGTCCTGCTACTGCCGTTATCCTCCCCGCCGCTCCCCTCCTTGTCGAGCATGGTCGTTGAATCTCCACAAAATGGCTCTCTTGCCGGAGCTGCTGAATCCAAAGCCCGCAAATGGCGCGGCAAATTGTTCAAAGACAAGACCCCGAAGGCATCTATCGATGAGCAGGTCGATGATTTCCTAGGTTCCCACCGCTCTCCGCTCCAATCGTCCCGACCATCCATTTCGTCTTCCGCCTCCGCTCCACAACTCCCCGCCAAACCACCCCAACAATCCTACCGCCATGATCAACAACAACACCATCACCATCATCAACTACGCCAACAACCAGAGCAACGGCGCTCGCCATCATATCACTCTCTTCATCACCCACATCAAAAATCACCAACAGGCACCCCGGTTGCTCCCCGTCTCAATCTTGCCGTTTCGCAGCGATGGCCCGAAGCTGGCGACATCTCCAGCCGATCTCCCTCTCGTCCCTCCATTGACGCTAAAACCGCAACTGGTGCGACTCCGATAAGTACCCAAGGGAAGAGGCGCCGTAACAAAGGTTTAAAGGTGACGTTTTCGAACGATGGTCCAGAGGTCATCGGGGAAGGGGGGGAAGAAGCTGAGCTACCAACAAAAGATGTACTTCTCTATCGTTCGAGGTCGCACTCGTCCGCTTCCAATGCCGCAGCTGGGTCACATTCCCAATTTGAGAATGCAGATCCATACGGCTCACCCTCGGACTCTACACATTGGCCTGGAGCCTATCCAGGACAAGGCTATCCTGCGGAGGATCCTCGGGAGAAGCTTAAAATGATAAAGAGTGCACACGAATTGGATTTCTTATTATCCCTGGAGCCACATGGTGCGGGAGGGGCTCGTCTATCATTGAGGGACTCTGGAGATCCGAATTCCTTTGCGCACCGCGTTCGGGCTAGGATGCGAGTTGAGGAAGGTTTAGCATTACAGAAAGCTACGCGAACTGATTCTCCTACGGATCCAGATGAGCTGGATTCTCAACCCTCTCAAGAAACCGTCCTCCCTCTCCGCCCGTCTGCTACGTCGAAGCTATCACTAGACATGCCTCAAGAACCAGCCGCTGCTGCTAAATATGACTTTTGGGGAAGCGTCTTATCTGCTCTACCTAACAAAACCAAATCCAACTGGCAGGATACCAATGTGTCGAACAGTCCTGTAAATACACACAATTCTCCCGGCTCGTATCCAGAAACCCCACCTCCACCTTATTTGAAATCTTCCCGCACAGAACCGGATTGTGAACCTGAAAAAGGACGACCGTCTCTCGAAAGTTCTTTCAATAATGATCCTCACCCAACTGAAAACCATTCTCCATGGAAGAAATCATGGAGGGCCGCTGCTAATGCCGTGAGCAATGACGCCCTGGCTGATTTTACCGCACGAGCTGCGCAATACAATGATATTTTTAGCGATGCTGCTGAGAGCGTTAAGCCATCTATGGAAACATCTTTGTCCGAATGGATCAGGGCGAGCGTATGGTGGTTCTTAAAGGGCAGGTCCGATGTCGAAGCATCCATGCGTCCTCAGCCCTCAAATGGTGGAGGGAATTCTCCGTCCGACGCTGATAGAACCTGTCAGGGAGTGCTCAACTTGGCCAAAACATGGTGGATTACTGAGCATATTGTTCCCGGTCACCCGGAGCTATCCCGATTCGGAAATATGAGTCTAGACACTTTGATTGCGGTAACCACAACTGCTGGCGATCAAAGGTTGAGCAGTTTAATGAGCGTTCGCCATGCAACTCTCAGCCATCTACGCGCGTTGGCGATATCGATGAAGCGAAATAATATCCTCCCGGCAGCCATGGAACATGTTCATCTCTCCCGAGGAATCGACACGACAATATGGGTCCGGTACCCTTTTTTTGCGCCTGACATTTCTGCAGTTCTCTCCGGCCAGGTAACGCGATCTATGCTCATGGATACAGCGAGAAAGACGACAGACATTGGCGACGTTATGCCATTGGGAGATTCCAGTCGTTATTTCTGTTATGGTAGGATGTTCGTAGAGGCATACCTAAGCTCGAGCGAAGATGATTCTCAACAATTTGCGATCCCGTGTGTTCTATCTATTATTCGAGATCGAGGTGACTGGAATGTGCTCGTATCGATTACGAGCCAAAACGAACTTGTTAATGTAATGATCCAGGGAGATAAGAAGCACGGTCCCACATGGGCAGATGTAGACTGGCAGGTGAGAACTAACTCGATGCGGATTCGACTGCCTCGTGGTTTCGAGTTGGATATCCAGTTTGATCAAGCGGACTTCAAAATGATTTGGAAAATTGTGGAATATACCCATAAAACCGAGGAAAGCTTACAGCCAGAAGCTGGTGAAACGTTACTTTTCGAGGATGTCCTGAAAGTATTCCAATACATGGACTCCGGCCCCAACAAAGCGTTCCCTGCTGAACCAAGCCCGCGATGTCGAATACGCCTGTTCGAGAAAGCCGTAACGCTAACGGAGGGGACCGGCACGCGAAAAGCCCACAGAGGGTTCCGGTTTGTGGCAGTGACAAGCCCCAAGGTAAAGACGCTCAGCAGTGTTTCCCACGAGCTTGGCAACGGGACACCCATTGTTTTTGGCTATCTACGAGGAGAGGACGGTGCTCCCGCGCTTCTCATCAAGATACCGCAAGAAGGTAGCGGCAGGAACCGCTCTATGTTGTTAACGTTCCACGAACAGGAAGAGCGCGCCAAATTACACTCGCTACTCCTTGGCATCACTCCTTTGCAGGACGAGGTGAAGACGCCAGACCTTCCCATGCGGGCGTTCTCGATGGAACAGCTCCCGGATGGGAATGGCATCTCGAAACCCATTGTACATTTGCAATTCTCCTCACCGTCTGCCACAGTGATTAATAATGGAGGCCCCTCTTTACAATCTACTCATGGATACAGTTCGACAGTGCTATCTGAGCATCTGCGTGTTTTCGTGACCTCGAATTGGGGATCGGCGACGGATAGAATTAATATTGGTATGTACTAAGCAGCATCTTTATGAAGTGATTTCTTTATGTGTTTGTTTCTTTTTATTTCTCCCTTTGAGCCGGGAGTGCTGATATGAGATTCCTCTCTCTAGGTCCTGGAGAGCTTAAGATTGCTCTTGATGTCACTATCCCTACCATTATGAGTATTCTTAGGCCACCCCAACTGGATTTGGGTATTTCCGTGGCGGATAATTTGGTCCCCAAGGAAACCGTGGGCGATATGACGAATCTTTTAAAGTTAGCCCAGACGAGTTCTGTGGTTCGGCGGTATAATTTTTCATCTGTACAAGGTTGGTAAATATAGTTGAGGGGCTTCGGTTTCACTCTTCACTTTTGCGTGATATTGACGTTTTTCCCACGTTTCTAGATCTCCATAGATTCCAGAAAGCCATTACAAACTTTAAAGTTCTTTTCGACGGGTAAGCAGTAACTCCACCCGCTAAAAGCTCCACCTGCCCCAAACCTCCATGCTTAAAGCTTCCTAACTAACCGCAACCAATCAAAATAGCTTCGCGTCCTTATTCACAATCTCCCGAAGACGAATGGTCGTCCCCATCTACAAGAAATGGGAAGCGAGCAGAGTGCGTCTCCAAGTGCTGAGGCAGGAGAAAATCGTGCAGCTCGCCGCCTTCTTCCACGACGACTTCAGCCACGGCAAATGCATGAATTTCGTGCTGAAGAGCACGGACATCTTCGAGAGCTTCAACCACCGCTCCGGCAAGTTTGGTGTCAAGATCGTCGATGCCAAATTTGCCCTTCCCAAACAACCTGCCGACGATCCCACAGCGGGCTTTGTGTGTCTGGACATGCCGGAATATCCGGGGGAGCATGATGATATTACTGTTGTTTTTGATTCGGAAAAGGGTAAGCGCTTTCGTTTATAGACATTTACTACGGCGAATACTGCTACTACATCCCGTATGGCAATGGTCAACTAACACGCATTTCTTTTGATAATATAGATAGAGTCGAATTCCAAAACGTCATGCCCGGCTCGGTTAAGGAGCCGTCAAGGGTGGGATCGCTTCGGAAATAAATAAGAAAAGAAAAGAAGGCAAAAGGAAGGAATCAAATTGTACCTACCTAACCCCACTTCTTCCTCCTCCACTATACTACCGCTACAACTACCACTACCACCCCGCACTAATCTGTAGCCTGCTCTTTTTCTTTTTCTTTGGGTTTGGGGATCATGGGGCGTTATTTTTTCGTCATGATGGTAGGCGTTCGATGGGGTTTATATTATTTTGTCTGTCTGTCATTGTCTCTCCCCCCTTCCTTTCCCTCCTCTCTTGTTTTTCCTGAATATCGTTCTCCATTCGTTTCTCCCGCTTTGCTTGGTCTTTGCGCTATGATTTGTGTCAAAAAGGCCGTGCCTTTTTTTTTTTTTTTTAAGTACCCATTGTCCATTGTCCATCGTCCACTGTTCGTCGTCCATCGGTTGTTGGTTGGGCCCATCCTTTTTCTTTTTTCTTCCCCGTTTCATGTATATCTTGTTTGCCTAGCAGCGAGGGTGCAACTTTTTTATTCGCTTTTTATTTGTTTGTGCCTAAGTAAGTAAACTCATCCATTCATGAATTGCATAATTGAAATCCGTGAAGGGGTTGTTATATGCGTTGTCAGCAAAGCTTTTATTTATCTTGTTTTATTTAATTATTTATTTTCGAAGAACTTGATTGATTGATGTGGTAACTAGCCATTTGTTCTATTTTATTTTTTTCTTCTTTTTTCTTTTTAATCTCCAAAAACATCCTCCGCCCTTTCCCCCCGCAGTCAGTATATATTTTATTTATTCATATTTATATTCATTCTTTACATTCAGGATATTCACAGTAGAAGCGTCTTTGTCTCTTTTTAAAATTATTTTTCCTAGGACTCCTATATCTGTCTGTCCGCCTACCTAGCTATAACACATGAAGAATGCAATGCAGAAAAATATTTGCAAAAGAAATGACGGTGATGGGGTTAAAAAAGCCGATACCTCCTTTTGCGAGTGCAGGGAATTACTGGGATGGGAAAAGTTGATCTAGTTATTATCATCATTCGTCGCGCTCGTTCCCCCGGAATTCAGGTTCCGGTCTTCGCTGAGGTTTCAGGGTTTGTTTGAATGATTGGGTATCTGTACGGGATTACTCTCCAACCGCCCATGGTGATGGTGATGGTGATGGTGATGCCGGGAAGTTTCAAAGGATTGACTGGCGTCAGTTACTCACGGTTACTCACGCTTGCGAGCTAGCCCTGCGAACCCTGGAATCAACTATACCCTACCTGTCCCCGCTTGAGGCGAGCCGTGAGCCATTATTGCCAGGGCTTGGGGTGTCAACCTATGTTGTTAAAGGGCGCGTTGCGTGGTTCTTAGCCGAGGGTGCAAAATCGACCTAGATATTTATTTATTTGCCTTTGCGACAGCCGTTTTATTTATTTTGCTCCCTCACACTTTTGGCGCATCACATTTCAGGAAGAAAAACATCAGTTCGCGGACATGGCTGGATTGGATCCTTCCTCGTCCTCCCACCACCCGGCCACCCTGGCCCTGCATGCAGACGACGATCTCAATGTTGTCGCGGATGTTGCGCCGCCGTTCCACCTCTCAACGACCTTCAGATACTCCAACAACCCCGATAACCTGGAGCCCTGGTCTGACAACCGAACCGTATGTTCCTAATCCTAACTCCATCTCTATTCTATTCTGTTCTATTCTATTCTACGGCGTCTCGAAAAGACTCAATTGCCCCAATTAACCCAACCACCCCACCATCTAATCTGTACTTTTTCTACGACCCAGCTCGCCAACCTCCCCGCAACCTCCCATATCTACTCCCGCCACACAAACCCAAACAACACCCGCTTCGAAACAATCCTCAAGTCCCTCCTCAACGGGCACGTGGTCTCCTACAGCTCGGGCCTCGCCGCCCTCCACGCCGCCCTCGTATTCCTCAACCCACGCCGCATCGCCGTCAGCGACGGCTACCACGGCTCCCATGGCGTCATCGCCGTGCACACCCGGCTAAGCGGCCTGCAGAAGCTCGCCCTCGACTGCCCGGCCGACGACCTGCAGCGCGGTGACGTCATCCTGCTCGAGACGCCAGTGAACCCGCACGGCACGGCGTTTAACATCCAGCACTACGCCGACAAGGCGCATGCGCGCGGCGCGTATCTGCTGGTCGACAGCACGTTCGGTCCACCCGGGCTGCAGGATCCGTTCCGCTGGGGCGCGGATCTGGTGTTGCACTCCGGCTCGAAATATCTGGGCGGGCACAGCGATATGTTGTGCGGGGTGCTGGCGATGAAGCGGGCGGAGTGGAAGAGCGGGTTGGTGGGGGATCGGTTGTTGCTGGGGTCTGTCATGGGAAATATGGAGGGGTGGTTGGGGGTGAGGAGCCTACGGACGCTGGAGGTTCGCGTCCAGCGGCAGAGTGCCAGTGCGGCGAGGCTTGTGGAGTTCATTGACGGGGCGTTGAGGATGGCGGGGGCGGATGTTAAAGAGAGGAGTGAGGAGGCGATTGTCCATGCTGTGGTTGAGACAGTCCAGCATGCCAGTTTGCAAAGGGAGGAGTGGGTGAGGAAGCAGATGCCGAATGGGTTTGGGACGGTGTTTTCGATCACGTTGAGGGAGGAGAGGTTTTCGCGGTTACTGCCGACGAAGCTTAGGCTGTTCCACCATGCGACGAGCCTGGGAGGGGTGGAGTCGTTGATTGAGTGGAGGGCGATGACGGATCCGACGGTTGACCAGAGGCTGTTGCGGGTTAGTGTTGGGTTGGAGAATTGGGAGGATTTGAAGGGGGATTTGGTGCAGGCGATGAGGGAGGTGATTAAAGGGTAGATTTTGTGCAAAAATAAATACACAAATAAGCTCCATATAGTTATCATAACTTTGCCTTAGTCAATAATGCCGGTGGTTGTTACATGCTGTTGTTTTGCCGGACGATTGATATATAGATCTATCTATCTTCTTGCCTTCAGTCAGTCGCCCTCATGGACCAATTTTTTTTAGTAGCTAGCTAGCCAATATAACTACCACTCTCACCCGAATACTTTATATAGCTATTATTTAAAATCTTCGTAGTGATATATAATCCCCTTCCATTCTTCGATTCCCATTGTCATAATGGATATAGAATGAATGACCTTAACTCTCTTAGTCATCGCCCCCATCTTCGATAAGGAAACGATAACGAGCCCACCCCGCGTCAAACCAACGACTTTCCCCCGCGCAGAACACATTTACATATACATAACGAAGAAAAAGAGAGGTAAAACTTTCCCTTATCCGGTTCCCGATACGTGGGTCTACCTCTGAGCTAATTCCCCGAATTTACGAGGCGCAAACACTTGGACTGTGATCGGAGGGGTTTTGATTGATTACTCGGTTGTGAGTGAGAGATTTGGAGCCGGAGGGGGAGAAGACGGCTCGGAGGGGATCTGGATCTGCTCTTAGTTCTTCTCCAAGGAGCGCTCCTTACCAGAAGCATGTTGTTGAATCCCGATATACGAATATAATATAACACTTCCGCCTCTTGCTTTGCTCCCGCTTAAAAAGTGGCTACTCAACTTAACACCTCTTCGTCTACACCTATCGACAGAGCACGAAGAGCAGACGAGCAAGACAGTCAAACTCAACCACCCCCGCTTCCCCCCAAAATAAACCAACAAAAAAAAAAAAAAAAAAAAAAAAAAAAAAAACCACCACCAAACGATGTCCCCCCCAACCTTCCAAATCCACTACTTCTCAACCGCCTCTTCCTACACGAGAAAGCAAACAGAGTCCTTCCCCGCGCCATTCCCGCTCCCCAAACTCTTCGACCTGCTCGAGTCGCGATATCCGGGTATCAAAGAAAAGGTGCTCGTGAGCTGTGCGGTTAGTGTTGGGTTGGAGTATGTCGATGTCGCTGTGGCCGACACCAACGCGGCAAAGTTGGATGGTAAGGATGGTAAAGAAGAAGGCGGAGAAGGGGTAGTACAGGGTGAGGAGGTGCGGATTATTGGGCCTGGGGAGGAGGTAGCGATTATTCCGCCCGTTAGTTCTGGGTAGGGGGTGATGGGTGGAATTGGTATTTTAGATTTTTGTTTATTTATTTATTTATTTTATTTTATTTTCTTGTTTTCTTTTCTTTTGAGGATTTAATATTTCCTGATCATAACTTCTTTCTATATCCATGCGCTGGGTAATTGGTGGTTTTGTCTACATAGCTAGGGAGAATTGAGTTGATATAGTTGGAATATCAGATATTCTTCAAGTACCCGTTAGCTATAGATAGATTACGGGTGAGAGATAAATAGACATTATACATATACATGTTCGTCAAAGCGATTTTCAATTCTGATTTCATTTTATGCAATCGCAACTAACTACCTCATTCCGGCGCGGAGTGTGAAGAGAGTGGGGGCCGAGGGGGAGGAGGTGGAGTTAAGGTGATTATACTATTAGCTAAAGGAAGTCGGAGGGTCCGGAAACACGTCAATTCAAATAACCATCCAAAGTAATACTTGATTTCCTAAGATCAAGCCTAATCTTCGCTTTCCCGTTTCGTTTTTCCACTCTCCTTCTCCCTCGCCCCCGAAATTCGTTACGCGTGGTTTCATCAAATTTAGGACGGCGGAGTAAGTTGGAAAATCTTGTCAGCGGCAGCAACAGTAGGCTGCCATTTGATGTTATTCTTCACGTAGATCTCTGCAGCCACTGGCCAGTCCTTGTAGCCTTCCAATCCCGCAGTACGTATGACGTATTTGGGTCCTGCAACGGTTTGGTGGTGGTAGATGTGGGTGGTGCAGTTGGGGCAGAAGTAACAGTGCACGGGGTTTCCTGTATTGCGTTTTCATTTGTGTTAGCAGGTCGTAATTTCAGAGGGTTTAACTGTTCATCGTTTGTGGGTAGTTGCGGAGGGAACTGGGAGAGGTGTTGGTGGCAAAAGAAGCGATTAAAAGCGGAAGAGCCGCGTACCAGAATCACCAGTGTAGGTATAGCAGCCTAGGGTGCCCTTGGTGAGTTCGAAATCCTCTTTGGGAACGATTTGGTTGAGTGTATAGTCGCTGCCGTTGATCACTTTGCAAGCGTCGCAGTGGCTGGATTCATCGAGGTTGTTAGCTTACGGCCAGAGACCTTTTGTCGGGCATTACCCAAAAACTTGGAGAAGATAGATTCATTCGAAGCTGAGAAGGAGGATGTATTACCAAAGAATATGGCTAGGTGCCTCCATCTTAACGGTGAACTCGGTTTGGCCACAGTGGCAGCGTCCCTTGAAAGTTGTCATTTTAGCGGTAGTCGATTTGTTTTGATGCAGACAAGTAAAGATGGGGTTTCGATGCACAGCTGGAGCAGGAAGAGTTAAGGGATCGAAAGGACACTAATCCGTTATGGCTGTGAGGATAGGTGGAGATACAATATGTCACAAAGGAGGAGGATGGCACTGGCATTTATTTATATTCATGCAGTCCCTTCTTTGTCCTCTGCCCCTCAGCTCGACCCAGCCCTTAAGTTCCCCCCACCTTTTTCCCACCCAAGGTTTCCAGCCAATTTAATTCTCATAGCATCCCCCGGCAATTGACGTCAGTTCCTTACTATGTAGAAAATAGCTTGGAAGCTAGTAGAGAATTTGTCAACATGTTGCAGCCCTCGCGTAAATGATCTGGTCCGGGGTTTGTATTTGGAGATGAGCTTAGCTACCAGAGAACGTGAAACATCTTCTGGAATGGAGCAAAAAAGGCCAACCTGCGTACATCGTGTGCCGGAAATATTCGCATACAGAGAGGTGCCCTCGATTGCCCCCGATGTGGGGTTACGCTAAAGGCGCGCTATCCCGGTGACACTATCCATGGGTAATTCCAAATCCAACCCTGACCTGCATCTGCGCTTTCTCAAGGACTTCGCTAGGGGGAAGCCACCTCCGTCAGTAACGAACGCTCCAGCTAGCCCAGCGGACCTACAGTGTCTTCCAGGGAAAGCAGGTATTGTGGAATGATACCCGCAATTCCTCAACGCAAATTCCATCCGAATCCCATTGAGATGTAATTCGCAGTGTGCAATTTTTCCTTTTCTTTTTCTCTCCCGTTTTTCAAGACTAACAGCCTAAACAGCGATATCGGGATTTTTCTCTTTACTCCTTTCTTCGCAATTCCTTCTTCTGCCCGGAAGAAGGCATGCTATTGAGATAGCAGCCACAGGTCGCATGGAACCTAGAGCGTGCCTGGCAGCGGGCGGTTCTGGGAAGAGACCATTTGGCACATCCCACAGTTATTTCTGCAGGTCGTCCTCTCAAGCATTTGCTTGGGCTGTGCTGCATTTGGACATTGGTATCATGGAAAACGTACACCTGTAAAAATTTAGAGCAATCGCAGGGTAGGATGTGTGGACTAGTGCTGGTGCTGTGAAAGCACGACGGGGGTTGGAAAGATATAACGATCGCATGAAATCGGCCAGTACAAATGAATTGAGCGGCTTCGAAGCGGAGGAAAGATGCGCAGGAAAGGCAACAAGAACCTCAAAACAGAGATATTCATGGCTATTTATATTTTGTTGCGGGGAGCCCAAGGTCCCCAATCAATATGTGCTGCTTTCGTACTAACTTAACCACCAGCACGACCAGACAACCCTTCCGTACCCAACGTCCAACGTCCAACGTCCAACGTCCAACGTCCAATATCCCACGTCCCACGTCCCTCCTGCATACCTCAACGTCTCGCTACACACGATAGCTTCTATCCGTCTGCGGTTGATAGATAGAAGTGTTCGGTTCCTCATCTCGCATCTCGACACTACGCTGTTGTGTCTAGTCTATTTCGCAATTTTTCCCCATCTCACCGCCCAGTTAGCCCATATATCAAATATCCATCCTCTCAGATAACAAGTGCAACCCCAGCGGGGGGCTCAGAAATTAGTCGGAATCTTGGACATTTGTGATCCAAACCCTTGCTCATGGATTAATTTTTTTTCTCTTTTTCTTTCAATTTCTCCAATGCCTAATTGACTCTCGTCATCCCGACAAAGGAATGAACCTGGCTTTATGATGGGATCCTGACTGCCCATTAGTGAGACCCCCCCCTCCTTCTTTTTACGAACCCAAACGATTGTTGTTCGTACACGTTCGTATACAGCAATTGGAGAAAGGGAAAATCCGATTCGGTGGCAGAAGGAAATATATCTGCCCTACTACGGTGAGTCACACACTGCAGCAAGGTATCTCACATCGGCAATAGGAAAAAACCGAGCTTGGACGTATTACAGCATTTCCATAACCGTAGCAATTGGTGATCTAACTGTCAATGTTGAGCAAAGATCTGTGTCTAGAACAACCTCCTTAGTTCTAGGGACTCATATTTCCCAACACACCCATAGGGCCTTCCAATCTGGTAGGACATATATACATGACGTTTCTGGCGGAAAATGACCGACAATACCAACGGACTCGAACATGTTGAATAACCTTGGCTTCAAAACTCAAAGATTTGATTGCCCACTGGCTACTTGGTGATGCTACTGGTGCAATAATCAAGCATTGTCCCAAAGTAGCCGCCCTACTAATCATACCACGAATCTCGCGAGATTACTATGCGAGGCACCACCTACGAAACAACGCAAAATTATAATCTATATTATTGTTTTATGGCCGAATTGGTTGGACTGCCGCGCGACTTGTTGCATGGAGCGAATTGAGGCAGATTATTTCGTTCGATTGAGACGGGATAAGAGGCACCCCCACTATTTTCCAGTTTGAATAGCCACCGCAGGAGAAAGGACCAACACGAGCAAATACCAAATGCCGTTCAATAATAGGATCTGAACAGGGAACAATAGGATCCAGGTGACTCAAATTTGGAAATGAGCTCGGAAGGAGTTGACAAACCTTGAGCCGAAGCATTTGGCAATCTCGAATTTGCGGAGGGGTTGATTTGTCCCGAAAACAACTGTGGGGCTTTTATTTTATTTTATTTTTTTTTTGGATTGGGATTGGGATTGGGATAGCGAGCGTATCACTGCATCAGAATTCCGCACACATGGGTGAGTCGCTTTCCAAATGCAGTTGCCAATGGGTCTTCCCCTGTTGTTGTGACCTGTGATACGGTGGGCTTTCTGCATCTTTGCTCCCGACAATGTTCAAAGGGGCTTGTGCGCAGCAGACCCTGAGTTCTCAGCATTGTTGAACACTAGCACTTGTGTTTCATAGACCTCCCACGGGTTTATTCCAGAGGACTTTATCCGTTTCGCGACTTGGCCCGAACGACTACCTCAGCCGTGTGGCCATTGAATCCCCCTTGACACACACACATGGTCCCCAAAAGAATAGGGGACCAAAAGAAGAGGAGAGAAACGGAAAGGCGACAGCTGTCCACACCCATAACATAAAAAATGTACAAAATAAGAAAAATATAACTGATATACTCCAACCATAGGCTTTTGAAACGAGGGGCTCATTGAAATGTTAACATCACACACCATACCCTATCTCTGGCAACATGCATCCTAGCAGACGGTCTAGGATATCGGATACTCTTCCGGACCCTAAAACAACAACAACCCTAAGACCAGACGCCGTGTTTCCCCAAGTTTGTTTGCAACTTCTGTCCAATTCTAAGCAAACTTTCGTGGAAGACGCGAGATAATTTTTTCGGATATGGTCACGTGACTGGGGCGATGAATAGAGCCGCTACGTCACGGCGCGAAGAGAACAATAGCGAAGGCGCAGATTGTTCAACAGCTGAATTTTGGAACAATTGTCGACCCAATGCAATGAAGCTAGAATTGATACCGACAGAGCGGGTGGATTCACCTTACAGTTTTACCCATGATGTCTAACCATTGAATTCATGTATATATACTAGTATATATACGCTTTCGCTGCTCGGAAAATCCATCAAAATGCAATCTCCTTGATCCCATCTGAATTGCGTGGCCCTGTTTCGTATTCCAAAGATATATATGAACATATATACAAACATTTGTTTCTTCTATTGTGTTGCCACGAACTGCATACAATGCAGAGAATAACAATAACTCAGAGGACAACGGCTCAGGCCTCCTCGCCTGTCCCGCTCGCATGTCGCGCTTGTCGGAAGAAACATCTGAAGTGTGACGGCCTACATCCGGTGTGTAGCCGTTGCCGGAAAACGCGTAACCTTTGCGAATACACGCCTTCTCGCCGTGGGTACAGATCTACTCCCAAGCCTACCATTGCTGCGAAGTCTAGCTCGAGTTCCCCTTCTAGTTCATCAGCTCCCTCTGACAAGCAATCAAAGTCACCAAGCAATTTTGATTTCAACAATGTGATGCAGACGCCTGAATGGGCAGCTCAAGATGTTTCAGTCATGAATGGTAGTTCCTCCACAGAATCCTTGGATACGACGCCTCTGGCATTCCTGGATCAAGGGATTCTGCGTCGTAACAACCTCATCGCAAAGGCAGGCTCCGATGATAGTGATGCGCGCCTGGTTGATTTTTACTACGCCTTTTTCCACGAATCCCATCCAATTCTCCCCCCTGCCCACTTACTACATTTCATTTCTCCGTTCCCATTATGTTTGAAGATGGCCATGAAATTTGTTGGTGCCCATTTCGCTTTTGGGGTGTCTACCGATGCCTATAAACTCTCCACGGCCAAAGCCATTGAAAATGATCGGGAGCCGTCTTACCAGAAGGTCCAAGCTATCCTCCTATTTGCAACGGTTCTACACGCGCGGAATGATCGCGAAGAGGCCATTGCTTCATTCGCCGTTGCAGTCACATTAGCTGTTGAACTGGGCATGCACCGTAAATCCATGGTCGAAGTTCTTGCTGGTCATAATTTTGTTCGTGAGGAGAGCCTGAGACGGACATGGTGGGAAATTTACATGACTGATGTCATGTTCGGAGCATTTGATCACTGTCCCTTGAAGATTGGAAACTTGACAATGGATGTACAGCTTCCCAGCGAGGAGGCTAGTTACAGTACAGGAATCTGCCTCGTTGAGCCACCGTCAACTACCCAGTTCTATAACCGTGTATTCGCCGACCACCCACCCAAATACTCGTCCTTCTGCTACGCAGTCGAAGCAACTCACCTTTTGAAGCGGGGAATAGCTCTCGGCGTCACACTCGACGACGAAAACATGCGTGACCAGGTGGAAACTCTCGAGGCTAATATCGGTAGTTGGTTCCGCCATGCCCCAGAGGATAGGCCCAACGCCCTATGCATTGACGGCAGCGTCGACCAGGTCTTGTTCCGCGCTTATATGTTGGTCCACTGTGCCTCGATATATCTCCACCTGCCACGATCCTGCCTGATGGCCTCGCCCACCGCTAACGCCACCATCGCCTGTGCCCGCAGGGGAACCTACCTCCCTCCCACTTCCCATACACTCACGCACGCTTCCAAAGCACTCGAGGCTGGGAATGGGATCGTCGCCCTGGGTTCAATTCGCAGCCCTCTCCTCAAGCACACGCCCTTTTTTATCTGCGGCCTTGTCCTTGGCGCAGTCGTTGAACTGTGCGCCTGCTCCATCAATGTCGGGCACTCGATCGAGCCCCGCAGGGACCGCATCGCGTTGATCGTTGGAGAGCTGAAAGCACTTGATCGCACGTGGGCGCTGGCGCACCAGGTTATGTGGCACATCAAAATGCTGGCAAGAGAGGTTTTGGAAATCGGGCTGCTGCCTCCTACGCAAGCGAGTTTGGAGGACCCAGGACCGGACGTCAACGTGTTGCTGAATAGTGACATGTGGCTAGGGGATATTACCATGGATCCGAATATGTAGCTTTAGATGTATTTCTTTTTATTCTCTGTGCAGCTTGTCTTTTGGTCTTTTTTTTTTTTTCCCTAACAAAATCACATTTTGGGAGTATTTTCGAACGAATGAAACGAAAACGATAAAAGTTAAAATCAAAATCAGAAGTGAATCCGTTTTTCAGCCCTCCTTCCACGAGTATCTATCTGTGTCCCTCTTTCGCTCATAAATATCAACTCTTCGTAGAAATTATTGGATGGCGGTTGTATTTTTTTTTTTTTTAAAAAAAGGCAAACTAAACTAATTTTTCTTAAACGAGGCTCCGATTTTCTTCTTTGTTTGGCTCGCAAATCGTAGTTGCATGCTGTAGATAGCACAACTCTAGTATATCTCCGGAATCGTGGTTATGGTTACAGAAATGCGTTGACAGCTTGAGCTTACAATGGCCCCAATACATTATAATAATAGCCACAACGCCCCAAGAAGCAATAAAAAAAATTATCAGGATATTGGTTTTGGGATTCGGTTGGGCTTTGCTGAATACATAAATAGCAGGAGTAACTAACTTAGTTAACTACTCACTTACTGTGGTATACCCCGGTATTTTCGTTAGGGCCGCCCTAATATTTAAGTGACATGCTAAAACATTGGGGGGAGACGAGACCACGTGACCCACACACATATATATTTTCCGCTAGCTGCTAGATAGATCATAATAACCAATCAAGGTTCAACCCTCTTACAGAACCCCCAGAATGATGGTTAGCACAACACTAAAATATTAGGGTGGCCCTGACGAAAATCGAGGGTAAATCATATTTCCCAGAAACCCTGAACTAATCCTAATCCGAACTTACCATTCCCTGTGTTAGCCCTGTTGGGTGCTTTGTTCGGTTTTTGACCAGTTGGAGGTTGCAGAGAGGGATGTTCCGCGTATCAACTTCTTGATTTGGGTGGTGCGGGTGTGTTTAAGATTCTTCAACTATTTTAAACCCACGTTCACCTTAGACTTCGCACCCGCGGCAAACGTAACGAACGAGTTATCAATTGAGTTTTACCCTGCGCGGGCATGCACTTTTAAATTAGTTATACCGTAACTATTGATTATTTCATTAGATTAGATAAAATAGAAAAATCATCACAAGACTATATATAATATATACATGCAGAAAGAGTTCTGCCATGGGGGGTCTGTGAAGAAAAAAATGATCATATTTCAATAACCCATGTTTCACACATGCCCCTATCCTACCCCTTCTTCAAGTACAACGCTCCCCAACCGAAAAACCTGTACACCGCTGTAATAGCCAGCAATATACCAACCCACTTCCCAGTCCTCCCCGTCGCATACCCATAAGAACTTAGCACCCCTGTCCCAGCAATCTTGCACTGCGACTCCAGCTCGCTGCCATACATACATTGACAACCGGGCCCACAATTAAAAGTCCTCTCGGCAAACTCATTAACCATCATGCCTTGAAAGACGTAGGCCTGGTAGTCGATATAGTGGAAGACGTAGCGCCAGAAGACGTTGAGGACGGTGGGGGAGACCATGAAGCCGCCGACACACATCCAAAGGCCGTTGGTGAAGGCGGTGAGGGCGAGGGCGATGACGAAGTTGGGGAACAGAGCGGAAATGAGCACAACGAGGGATTCGGCGGCGAGTAAGTCGAGGAAGAGCCACATAACGAAGGTGAAAAAGCCCGTCGCGGTGTTATGGTAGTTTACGAGCCAGAAGGAGACGACAGCGAAGAGGATTGTTATGAAGACTGTGATACGGTTTAGCGGGCTGGTTGGGGTTGTCTTTTGTCTTTTGTTGCGCTTTTTTGAGCGAGGGGATGGTACCTACATAGGAATGGAATGCCGATTATGAAATTGGATAGGACAAATGATAGTGGTCCGTATAAGCCATTGGCCCTTTCTTTGATAAAGGCGGCGCGATCCTCGAGGAACGAGGGGACGTAAGCGACGGCCATGAAAGACATGAAAGCAGATGAGAAGAACTACATAGGAAAGAAGTTTGTTAGAAGGACTTTACACGATCAGGTGTCGTGGGGTGTTTCCTTACAAGTGCGTTGATGAAAGGTTGGATGTTTTCTTGGCCAGAACCCAGCCGAAGCCACACTGTGCCGACCAAAATGGCCAATCCTAGGGACGTGTGATGTTAGTAGGGACGGGGAGACATACATTATGGAAAACAACTCACCGAGATACATGATGATTCGGACGCCATATGCGATCACATCGCGATAGCTCTTGATAAAGGACCTATGGAGTAGAGTAAAGATAGTACCGACGGCGCTTGCGCCTCGCAAGGAGGTCGAGGGAATTTCATATTTCTCAGCCGTATTCACAGCTTTTTGAATCTCCTTATCCAGCTCCGAGGCCTCATCTGATTTTTCCCAATTCGCAAAAATTTGCGATAGCTGTGCTTCCGCGATCTCTCGATCACTTGCAAAGTCGGTATTCACTAGGTCAAGGACGAATTCTGCTGGGTTCATCTGGAGTGGCATGGGGTATCCGGTCTTGTCGAGGTAAGGTTTCATTTCGGAGCTTGACCCGAAGTAACAAGTCCGGCCTGCGGAAAGAATCATGAGTTTGTCAAAGGTCTTGAAGGTGGCTGTGGACGGTTGGTGAATGCTGGCAATCACAATGATCTTTACGGCACTTATCAGCAAATTTGAGAGTCCCGCGCCCGAGTGTTTGTGCGTAACCGACCTTATTTTTCTTTGCAAGTTTCTGTACAAAAGACATCACTTCAAAGCTTGCTGTGGAGTCCAGGCCGCTAGTCGGCTCATCAAGGAATATTATTTTCGGACAGGTGATCAGCTGGCTAGCAACGCTTACACGGCGTTTCTGGCCACCGCTGATGCCTTTGCGAATTGGGGTCCCAATTAAGGTCTTGGCCTGGTTTTGTATTCCGAATGCATTTAGAAGGGTGGAGATACGTTCCAAGCGTTCCTTTTTCGGGACCGAGCTTCAAATGAGAGTTTAGGATATGATTCCAATTGGGCATGTAGGTACAAAAAACCTACTCACCTGGGAAGGGATAGCTGAGCACAGAAGTACAAGGTCTCCTCCACTGTCAAGGCTCCCACCAGAATATCTTCCTGCTCAACGTAGGAACTTATGTTCCTGAATGTCTCGAGGTCGATTTTCCGTCCGTTGACGAGAATTTCTCCTTCAATTTCAGCACCAGGGGCCGAGTCACGATGGGCGAGGACGTTCAGCAAAGTCGTTTTCCCACTGCCAGAAGGGCCCATCAGGACCACGACTTCCCCTATGATCGAGTTAGCGCTTCCTCCGCGAGGTTGAGTGACGCAAACTTGATCGGCGCCTGCACGTGAAATGTATGTAGAAATACGGACCTGGGTTGGCATGGCCGTTCGAGTTTTCCAGAATAGCCTTCGGTTTCTTTGTTTCGCGGTCCTTGACTGTGACAGACACACCTTTCCAAGAAAAGGAATGGACAGTCTCGTTCATAAGAAAAGCATGTTGCTCACTGCTTGCTGCCTCGAGATCTGCAGACATGGTGAAGCCAATTGACGTACTCTTTGCTTTCCTGTAGTTCTCAAAAGCACTCGAATTTAACTCGCAGAAGCGAAAGAAAAAGAAAAAGAAAACAGGGTAGAAACGAGCCTCCCTTTATTGTAAATGAAATCGAGGAGATTAATTAATGATGCATCATGAAACTCATTTAGCCGCTTAGCACACACTCTTTATTTTTAACAACTTGCCCTGCCGCCCTCTCCGGGGCCGCGCTGAAGGCTCCAAAGCCCGCAGCGGTGACCAAAGTGGATCCGGAACGATTAGAACTCCCCTAAGGGTAGTCAAGTTCGCCGTGAAATAGAGTTCGCTCGCTGACAGTGTTTTAGGTTTCCAAACCCAAGAGGGACGCAACAACGTACATGCATCGGACAGAGCAGACCCTTGTGATCCGGATACCTGCTGGGCCCCGCTCCTTTGCGCAGGCATTCCGGCATGGGGGAGCCCTGTCGAGGTCGCTAGAGCGCTGCACCGCTGATGAGAAAAACGTGCAGTAGCCCGACCTTAAGTTAAAATAGTTGCGATTAGTCGCGCTGGTCCACCCAACACCCTGTGTCTTGCGAGGGCTTGCTGGAGGTGGAAATTATGGGCACAGCTGGAGGCGGGTAGCAACCAGCCATTGTGGGGAGGGATTCGAGCCAGCATCATCGGCGGCGCACCAGGCTAGTCTCACTTGAACGATCATCGGGGAGATGAATGACGGTTTATTCAGAGACAGAAGGGGAAATGAGAGGAGCCGTCGAGATTGTCGAAATCGATGTGAAACCGAGGGCGAGCACAGATACTTATAAGCTTTCCAGAATTTCTGCACCCGATAAAAGGGTCAACAGTCAACATCATTCCCCAATTCCAGGATCAATGTGAAGCAGCTAACTCATCCATTGTTGCTGCAAGCAATCTCGAGGGAACAATGTCAAGCCAGAGGGGGAGCGGCGCGCTAGACCAGAACCAACCCCAGCCACCGCCAACTGGCATTCATCCCCATGAGCCTTGACTTGCATACGCATGCATACATCGAGAACTAGTAGTCCATAGTAAGCGATGGATGGATTTCCAGACCCTGACAAAGTCCCTCCCTGATCCGTGCTTGAGAGAGACAATTCCAAAGTATCGCGTTGGGGGCAGTACGCAGTAGTTGGCTTCCTCTCCACAATTTGATATGCTCGTAATTATCTATCTCCACAACCAAAGCTCGTCCGCGGGTGAAGGAAACCAACAAACCAAGCATTCTTAGCTGATCTTGGTTGACGGGATTTAACTAACTTACCACCATCATCGCCTGCACATCCTGCAGTCAGTGCGCGACCCTTGGACCGCTTCCATTCACGAGTCACCGTCGCTACCAGATCTCTTGGATCAACGAACCTCACCCGAGCCATGCTAGCGGCTTCGGGATGGCACATGCCCCCAAACCCGCTTCAATTGTTCCTGACGAGACAACGACTCCATCTCAGCTCCACCGCTGCTCTCCCTTGTCCTGTTCGCAGCCCCCTGATTCTCTGCAGTTTATCCTGCGTCAAAGACGGGGGAACCGAACTAGCTAATTAAACTATGCTGGCCAGGCCGCTCAGAGCGCTGGTCGCGTTTTGCTTCCTTCTTCTCACATATCTCTCATTTAGCTCGTTCAGGAGATCGTCGTATACCAGGACACACGTCCTCCCATCTCCCTTCGAAGCCCGTTCGCTGCAATCCCGCCAGATCAGATTCTGGCACACTTTCCTGCCGATCCTCCAGCAGAATGCGCCAGACTGCCCGTCCCCGCATCGAGATCGCAATGCGGAAGCGGTTGGCTTCAATGCGGCCGAACCACCACCACGTCCTTCCCTGATCTCGATGCCAGAGGAGGATGTGCTTAAGATGCAACAGGCACATACACGGTTCTTGCAACAAGTCAAGTCGTCCTCCGATTTGAAGCCCATTGTTATTCCGGAAAGTCGCGGAGTGGTGTATGCGGCGGGGGGCAGATATCTGCCAGTTCTCGTCTCCTCCTTGCGAATGTTACGCCGGACCGGTTCAAACCTGCCTGTCGAACTCTTCCTCAAAGACCGTTCTGAATACGAAAGCACCATTTGCGACGAAGTCCTTCCCTCGCTGAACGGCCGCTGCGTTGTCCTTTCTGATATACTCAGCGCCACTCCTATTCCCACAAATGGCGATGGCGACTCTCTTGCCAGCAATGACAACCAAGAGCCTAAGACTGAGATAGCGCACTACCAACTCAAAATATTTGCCATGCTTTTCTCCTCCTTCGAGGAAATTGTCTGGCTAGACGCGGACTGTTTCCCTTTACACAAGCCTGAAGAGCACCTCAACTCAAACCCCTACAAAATGACTGGAATGGTCACCTGGCCCGACTTCTGGATCTCCACCGTGTCCCCCTTATACTACAACATATCGCAACTACCAATCCCATCTATGGGACTGCGCGCCTCGTCGGAAACCGGCCAAATTCTCCTTTCCAAGAAGTCACACCAAATCACCCTGCTCCTCTCCACCTACTACAACTACTACGGACCTTCACATTACTTCCCGCTCCTCTCACAAGGTGCCCCAGGCGAAGGCGATAAGGAAACATTCCTCCAAGCCGCCTCTGCCGCGGGAGAGCCGTTCTACGCCACCAGCGAACCCGTCAGGGCAATCGGACACGTGAAAGGAGACGGTGACGACATCGCAGGTTCCGCAATGGTCCAATTCGACCCCTCAAACGAGTATCGCAATTCCCAAACCACTCTCACAAGCTCACATAATAAGATGAATAGTAACCACCGCCACAGCGACAGCAACACCAACACCAACACCACACCACTGCGCGTCTCCTTCATCCACGCCAACTTCCCCAAATTCAATCCAGCCACCGTCTTCGACCAAACCCACGAGACAAAGCCCACCTACAGACCTGACGGCAGCGACGGCCGCGCATGGGTTGTGGCGCGCGACACTCTCTCGCGCTTCGGATATGATGTAGAACGCGCGTTCTGGGAGGAGATTATGTGGGTTGCGTGTGAGTTGGAGGGGAAATTTAAGGCATGGGAGGGCCGTGAGGGGATCTGCGAGAGGGTGCGGAGGTATTGGGCGAATGTGTTCGGGGAGGGGGTGGGGGATGTGGATGGGGTGACAGAACTTTGGGGTGACGGAGCTGTGGGGAAGGAGACATAACTGTAGAAAAATAAAAGTACAGCGGGAAGGGATACGTTGGGAGGGGAGCCCCCTAGTGGATGGGTGAGGGATCGTATAGAGTTATGTGCTTTTCTCTTATTTCTTTCCCCTTCTCGGTTTGGGTTTGGGTTTGGGTTTGGTTTATTGCATTACACATTTCTTTTGTTACTGAGCGACCATTCCATTCCATTCTTATATATATATATATAGAGATACATATCTTCTTTTCATTATCGTTTTCCCCTCCAGTGCTGGTCTCAACCTCCTCGTCCCCCACCCCCCAGCTTTGCCCCGGGCTTCTTTTTACTTTGCCCTCATTCTCTTATCATTATCTACTTTAAACTGTTGCACATACGTTTCTGTAAACATACATACCTGTACATACAGATAAGTTGTCTAGATATACAGATACCCGAGTTTCCCAGGCTCCTCCTCTATAAAGAAGATTTGTATATAATAATACTAGAAAGTTGAGTATTGGATATCCACACGTCTAGGAATGATAATGGGTTTCGCACTCACTCGTTGGTCAATGAGGATAGTCGGGTTTGGATCTCGAAATTCCTCATTGCAATCAATAATTGAAAAATGCCCGAGCTTCTTAAACAATTAACTTAAAAAAGTTTTGTATTGTTAACTATTTCATCATTTTTCCTGACGCTTTTATCTAGCTATGGTCTCTTTCTATAATTCTTTTCTCTCTATTCAGCACCCGACTCCTGATTTCAGTGATATATTCATATTTGTCGGGGATTTGAGGAATTAAAGGGTGACTGAGTGATGTTGAAGCTCTTTTTCAAGCACGCTCATACATACATACATACATACATACATACATATATATATATATATATATACATATACATTAAAACAGAAATCTGCCTACCTCCTTGTCTATCTGCAAGATATATGAGTGGAGAAACTTATAATACCGAGATTTCTGCATGTCTGTCTACTCGCAGAACTGTCTGTAGCGCTATAGAGGCCAAGGACTGCCAATCGAAAACTGGAGGTTGCTTTTCCCTTCTGTCTATGAGATATATATTGATGGCAGTGACACACCCAATTTTCTAAAATAAAGAAGATCAATGGATATACAACTATTAGTATTTACGCTAATACATCTATTATACGGCTGAATGCAGTCGTCTGTCAGCAAGCAGAGCGCACACTATCAAGTGTGAAGAAAGTACATGGAGAGAGCGAAGCATGCCTGTAGTAATGGCTATAGAAGTATGTAGAAGCATTCCTGCATTTATGTGCAGAAGGATATGTAGCTCGATATCCAACACCAAGCCACCGTCCCGTAAATCAGCGATATTCCATATTTACATATTGCACGACAGGGATACGAAAAGAGCATATTCAAAATCTCAGGCCATTCCGATCCCTCCGACTCCACTGATGAATCTCAGGCCCCTTCGTCACATCCCTCGTCTTCTGCCTATACAACATCCGTGTCAGTTGCTTATACAGGAAAACAGAGCTACCGTGATACGTAATAGAATGGTCAGAATCCGTAAACCACTGCGACTCCATCTTCTGAGGTGGCACTCCACCGCCCATCAACATATCGGTCAGGGCAGCAGAATGCTGGAAGTGCACGTTATCGTCTCCCGTGCCGTGCTGCAGTAGGAAACTGCCCGCGATATTAGAAAAGCCCGCGGGCTTGCGCACTGCGCTGGTGTTATATCCCGCCTCGTTCAGTTCGAAGGTTTTCATGTAGCGTTCGGTGTACATGCTATCGTACAGGCGCCAGTCAGTGACGGGTGCAGTGATCATACCGAAGGAGAAGACGCCGCTGTCAGTCTCGAGCACCTTGGACGAGAGATAACCGCCATAGCTCCAGCCCCATATGCCGATACGGTCCTTGTCGACGAAGCAATTCTTACCTATGGCCTTCGCAGCTGCGATTTGGTCTTGCGCTTCGAGTAGGTCGAGTTGCTTGGCGACGGCTGCGCGGAATTTGCGGCCCCTGAAGCCTGTGCCACGGTTGTCAACGGTCCAGGTGATGTATTCTAACTCTGGGTCGGATGCGATGTAGGCTTTCCAGTCCAGCGCTTTCCAGGCTTTGCTAGCCTCTTGAGCTCCTGGTCCACCATACGGGGTGAAGAGGACCGGGTATTTCTTCCTTTGGTCAAAGTTTGCTGGAAGGCGCTGCATGACAGTGAGGTTGAAGCCGGATTCAATGGAGAGGTCAAAAAATGAGATTTTGGGTAGTTTGAATTCTTTGAGCGCGTCTACTATGTCCTCGTTGCTGGTGATCACTCGGAGCGGCTTAGGGGAATCAACAGAGAAGAGTTCCTGGTAAGGAACGTCTGGGCCACCGTAGGTGAGCAAATAATATCCACCCTTGGAGGAGAAGGACGCAGACCAGTAACCTGCGACTGTGTCATCGACGAGAGGTTTGCTTTTCAAGGTGCGGAATGACACCGAATACAGATGCCGTTCTGTAGGGTGATGTTTGGTTGAAAGGTAATAGATCAATTCGCGCTCCCTGTCGATGCTAACAATGGACGTGACCTCCCATTCTCCAGAAGTCAATGAGATCGGCTCACCTCCCTCCACGGGGAACAAATAAATATGTGCCCATCCAGACACATCAGAGATATCTGCATAGTAGGTGTTGTGATGGCCTTGGGTTTTTTCGTTTTGAACCTTGCCGACATAATTGATGGACAATAGATTGTCCAACCAACCATCGGTGCCATCTCTTTCACGAACTACCGAAGATTTTCCAGAGGAAGCATACACCAGAATAACTTTTTCTTGATCTTGGACTCTATTGAAAGCGCGGAACACGACTGCTTCGTGCTTCTCAGTGACCCACGCAACTTCACCAATGATTAGGTCATCCGCGGGAAATGCTTCGGAAGACACCTTTTTGCTTTTGAGGGAGTTCACGTCTAAGATATGGAATTCGACTCGGGGATTGGTTTGAGACACCTTTGGATAACGGATATCCAATTCCTTTGGGTAGGACGGAGGCACTTCTTGATTGCCCATATAGTACGGAACTGTATATGTTGGTACCCCAGTTTCATCAAAGCGTAGGAAAGCAAGATATTGCCCGTCAGGGGAGAACCAAAGCGCATACCGATCGCCAAAGATTTCTTCCTCATAGACCCAATCGGGGACACCATTAAAGGTGTCAACACCTCCGTCCGAAGTAATTTGCGTAGTGGTACCGTCCTTCCAGATAAACAAATTGTTTCCACGGACGTATGCAATTGCATTTCCAACAGGGCTCCAAGCAGCATACTGCAGATCGCCGGCTTGGTCTTTGGCCAAGGGAGTCAATTCTCCAGACTCAACGTCTTGAATGAAGTAGTTTGCGAAATAGGAATGGCGATACTGCTTGGTGTAGTTGGTAGCCCACATAACTGCTGATAGGTCTGGCTTGAGGAAATATTCATGGGCATCATCCGGCACCCGGTCAGAATCGATCAAGACCCTCTGGGTTTCAGTGGCGATATGCTGCAAAACAAGAGTCGAATCCGATTTCTGATATACATATTGACCGTCCTTATCAGTGGAAACCCAGTCCACTGAGATGGTTTCGGGAGCAAAGGGCTTTTGGAGAACGGTCTCATTATAGCTCAGAAGTCTATTTCCGCTTCCAGTAGGCGGATGAGGCTGGCGCGGCGGCTTGATAGCCTGGCAGATACCAGCAAAAAAAAGAAGAGGAAATGCCTACAAATTTGACTGCTCAGTTAATATGTCACATTTTCAGAGACAATTTGAACTTGTTATGAATTTGTTTGCTTTGCCAGACTTGCCTTCATGTTGAATTTTTCCAATGGAAGCGAAATCACCAACACCGCCCTTTTCAGCGCTGGAGCAGCGCGCGAAATGAAGAACCGGAAACAAAGGTGCGGAAACAGCACCGTTTTCTAGGGGAATTCGAATCTAAAGCTTCTCCGTAAAGGAATTTCTTTCGGTTCCTCCAGCATCCGCAGAGGACTCATGCTGAGGGGAACAATGGTGATAGATAAGATACGAGTGGTCTCGGTTGAACAAGGTTATAAACATCTGGATATGCATGATGTCCCCAGCCAAGGACCCAATGTTTGCAGATCGCTCATGCTATGTCAATGGCACCTTCTCCTTTCCTGCAAATCGGCGGCTGTTTAACCATATCTTCCCTAGTTCCTCTCTTGGCCGTCATCAAACAGGACAGAGAATGTTACATCGACAATTCAACCAGTTGCAAAAATTGTTCTTGATCTCCCTGCTTCGAGCAGATATACAGCGCTGCAATTGGCCGAAGGATTCTCAACATGATTATGCATGGAGAACAGTTGCAGCTGGTGCCTTTGGATGCCAGAGTGCTGAGTGAGAGATGCGGAGAAGTAGTGGCTCAGATAAGCATCATCGTAGTGCAGAGTCTAGTCAAGGCTAACCAGTATTAGTTCAGGGGCTTGATCGACTTCCGCAGCTAACCACGGTGTTGATATCTGCTCTGATATGCCTTCGTCTTCCAAATTCCAACTTGGTTTCTGCCCCTCGAACAAGTTTGTAATGGCGATTCACCACATCAGAGCCGACATCACAATTCCTGTCTACATGTTAAAATATTCAAGAATGAATGGTGTTCATACCCTTGTTTTTGTGCACCAATCTTTAGTCCCCATCAACTATTTTCACTGGCCTCGACTGACATACCCTTGTGTACTGCGAGCCCTGCAGTATTTATCTTATTCCGGATGGATAATGCTATTCAGTCAGGGATGGTCTGTCCAACAACCCTGCCTTGAGCCTGGCATTGGTACATCACAACGTGGATACGCATAAGGTTGCGCAGTTTCTCCTCCCTTGGCCAGCGCACGCCCTGGGCTGTTTGTCAACTTCTGATCAGTTTGCCTAAGTTGCATTCTAGTAACAATGGGGCCCTCTTCATGTAGGAAACCTTCGAACATAACGAAACGAGGCCAAATCTCTCGGAATGCAGAGATAGATCTGCTGACACACGGTGTGCTGGTGGTCAATGCAATTTCTGGCTGCATTGCCAATCACTCAGGCTATATTCTTTTAACATTCACAGGTGCACCTTCTCGGGCCTTATTGGGCGCGAGATTCCAGACCCGTTCTGTTGATACAAGAAAACAACTATCAGGGCTTTGTTTTTTGTTTTTGTTTTTTTTTTTTTTTTCCCCTCGCAGCCTTCCATCGCGCGGAGCTAGAAGACGGAATCACCCTGCGTGGAGATTTTATATGAAACAAGCAGCCAGAGCAACAAGACCATCCACAAAACCAGAGGCAATTTCCACTACATCACAAACTACATCTTCGTTTAACCACCATTCGCTGACACCGTGTACACTTTCCGCAAATTCAATTAAAGTAGTCAAGCCAAATTCGTTGCCACCCATGCATCGAAAAAAAAAATGTCACCACTGTCCACAAAACGGTGGCTGTAAGGATCGTTCCTTCGTCGCGGAAATGCCATTAGAAAACGCAGCATAATGCTTCCAAGCTCCACCCGTCAAATTACCATATCTCCAGTCCTATGAGACACTGGAACTACTGATTTCCAACACTACTGCACACTCCAGGTTTTACAAATCTTCGTGTCAACTCCATGCATCTCCTTTGGGAAATGGCAATTTGGTCGGTGGCAAGGATTGTTCGGACACCTATGGCCAGAATAACAATTTTCGTCCTCGCATTCCAAACCAGAAGGACACGGCGCAAGTCGCGCTACGTAGCGCAAAGCCTCCATCATTTTATCGTTCAACCTTTCGCCATGCTCATGCTTACAGGCAAGAAAGTGACAGGTGCCCAGAAGATGGTATGGGTTGCAAAGCTTTCGCGATTTAAGGCTTTGAACAATGCTTGATGAGGGTTTAATTGGAGAGTCGACTCTCTGCCCATGTTTATTTTTCAGAACCGCCACCCCGCACACGGTACCGTTACCATTGAACCAAGCTGGTCCGTTGGCGCCGCTCGGTGACCCCGGCGTTTTCTCAACTGGTGCCGGAGTGGATGGGCGAGACCCGTTATACGCCGGGGGCGAACTGCTAAAGGATGCAGCAGAGGCATAGCTTGGTGGCGATTTTGTCGGATTCGGTTCATATATTGGCGTGGCGGAAAATGAAACTCGCCGAATTGGAGGTAGTTTCGTGTCACGGAAAACCGTCGGGAATGAGGTAGTACGGTATTTGTCCTTCAACTGTGCGAGCTCTTTCTCGAACGGCGGTCCTTCGAGCATCGTCACACGCTTGCAGAAGTCTGTAGTACTGCTGTAGGGCCCGAGTAGCCGGGCATACCCGTTATCTGTGGAGCCGGCAAACACGATGTGTTTGCAATGGACATTGCCGGCGTGCAACTTGAAAGTTTCTATATTGAAAGTGATCAACTGGGAAATTCTCTCTTTCATAGGATGGCGGCGGGGCATTCATGAAAGGCAGATTGCCTAAGAATAGGAACTGACCTCGAATCTTCTCGTCCGAGCATTCCTTGCCAGCACCAGCGTCCACAAAATCGCATAGGGGGTGGCCCATGTTGAACCCACGAACAAACAGCTCAAACTCATTTTCATCGTCCAGTATATGAGCCTCCTGGTATGTCCTCCTCAATCCCTTCAAATTTGCGTAGACACGGACAACCACAGGGAGGTCAGGGCGAAGATCAGCCAATTCATTCTGTACGTACTCCGAAACGTGTTGGATTAGGCGTCGAGCGGCATCTTGACCCCCTAATTCACCATTTTCTACAAACTCGTCCAAAAACTGCAATCCAGGATAGTATCAGCATTGACGAGATCCAATGACCCTTAAAGGTTTTTAAAATCCACAAGGGAGAACGCGGTAAAGTCCCATACATTCATCGAGTCTCCATCAACCAAAACGGACACAAATGCATTACGTTCCTAGATATCAGACACCCATACAGTTAGCCAAACTCTTCAAAAGTTTGTAAAGTATATCCAGCGAGTGTGAAAGACGTCTTACCATATTCTGCTGAAGCTTGGTCAACTCTGTCTTTGCTTCTCTGGAGCGTTGATGATACATATTTGCCATATCCTCCTGTTTTTCTAGGCGTACTTTCTTCTCGTCAATATCTAATTCGAGGTCTTTGATCTTTTGGAGCAATCCCTTTCCCCCCACATCCGTCAGTTTTCAAATGCTTTCTCCAGCGGGTCAAGGAGAATTGGATCTGGGATTAAACAAGCAAATTAAGGAAAAATCACCTCGACGAAACCGTAAAAGGCTTCATTGGCTTCTCTAAGCTTCATAAAGTGCTCATGATCAGGACTGGCCATCCCGACGCCCGTCTCTGACATATCTGGAATTTCTGATATTGAAATCTTCGTTGCTTGCTCATTCGAAGTGAGAAAAGTAATAATAAACGGCCTGCTGCTTTGGGATTATGGGACACAACACCAGCTGCTCCATTTTTGCATGTACACATATATATATATATATATACATATACATATATATGAGTAACTAAAGCTTATATCGACACTGAACGGTACACTTCACGCCCCTCCAAACGGCCACTTGTCGGGCGCCATTAGGCAAGGCCTTGCATGGGATTGAGAACAACAAATGTACGAAGCCGTAGCCTGAGAATATACAGTTTACCAATGAAGAAAAGGCACATCAGGGTTTATTTGACTTAGGGGCAAACTGAGTAATGAGCATCGACATCATTTTCTGCAGTTTTCAATTAAATATTACGACTGTGCCCCCCAGCTCCAGCTCAGAGGCCTTGTTTTCGTGTGCTTTTGCTTGCTGTTCTTGAAGCAATGCATACTGTATGTACTGTACAGTCAATGTATATGTGAACGAGGGGTTTGCGGGTTTGACCCGATTCCCCAGTGCTGCAGCAGGCCAAGGCTGAACAACAACTGCTGGCCCAATGCCTGCCGTCGCCGCCTCACCCCAGCATCGTCTGGCAACTGTGGATTCAACGTATCAACTCTCTTGTTGTTATGTTTTTGCCCGTGGTGGGTAAATCTACCGAGATTTAGTTAGGATGGAGTTATGTGTGTTTTACCTTTCATTCCTATCGGCCTATCATTGCCTTGGAATGCAAATATGCCGACGGACATCGATTCCAGCCATTGATTTATCCGGGAAAGATAGGTCCTGCTTGAAACCCCTCCCCTCCCCCTCTTCCACCCAGTCACAGTTTCTTCCTTCGTCCGTCTACATGTAAGGAGGTAAATCCATTTACGGGTCGCTTCACGCTCAATGGATGAGGAATCCAGGATGCTAAGTGACCCACGCGAGCACCTAGAACATGACGAAGAACTAGCTTCCCCCTTCCACCGAAACTTGTCATTTCATCGCTGTCATCGCATGAGCTCTAAGGGGTAAAACCAGAAATTGAACAGCGAATATCTATTTATATCGTTGAAAGAATCGATTCCCAAGGCTCCTTGCCGGGGTAGCCATAGACTGAGTCATTCAAGTTAACCAATGGGCATGTTTCAAATGGAATAGCTAATCCATATTCCTTAATGCTACTAAAGTCTTCACATCTTACGCTGTACTCCTTTTTCTCTCAAACCAAAGCGATCGTTAGGCACTATATTTCGGTGCGATTATTCTGCCTCCAAGCGAATCCCGACAACGCCTGCTGGTGTTTAACCCTTTCTAATTAACAACGCCCCAGTCGACACTAGTGCGCGATCCATGGGTTGGTAGCTGTGATATCGGAAGGGTATAACCGACCAACCATCCATCGCAGTAAAGGCACTCTCAGCAGACGTTCAGGTTCCTGTGCAACATAGTTACCTTGTCCAATGAGCTCATCGATTGTCACCTAACGGAGAGACGAGGGAGGATATATTACTCATCAATGTCCCCAAAATCCTTGGATATGATCAAGGACAAAGGATATTAATCGACTCTTACGCTGTTGCTATCTTTATCTATTTTTTCTTTCTTCGATGCCTGGCTGGGGTTGAATAAAATTGATGTTGGCCGAACACACACAAAGTATGTTCAATTGAAGGCACCTTTTCACACATAGATAATAAAAAGGGATTCCGAATGTAGATTCCTTCGCTGTTTGAATGCCTTTCATCAAGTCAGTGTGTTTACCGAAAGAAGGGCGACTTAGATATTTCGCTTGCATCAGTTATCGGTCAATTCTCAGAGAATATCGTGAGGATTTCAGACTTTGATTCACGTTCTCTCTTAGTCTTTAAGGAGAGAAGTGTCTGTAACGCGGCACATTTAGTTAGCATTGGTTCAACGCGATTATGGGAAGTAGAGTTCCATCAGATCCACAGAGTTTGAGGATAGCCCATAAGTCTTGCCGAGAAAGTCCTCAACCACCTGTATGATCGTAGTCAACGGAGTTCCACCTCAGAGATAGACTGGCGGATGATGTGTAAAGAGATCAACAGGTGTTTCCCAGGGGACTCTTCTTGATACATTCGCTTGATATGTGTGGAACACGTCACACATATATCAGGCGTAGGAAGGCTAGCTCTCGGTACTCTTTTTCTTAGGTATTCGCTGCACTATTCAGACAGCAGAGGGGACAATGAAAGTCTTTTAAGTAGCTCAAGGTCAAGAAGTGACATCAGCTGAAACGTGTTCGTTAATGAGTGTCATGTACTCGTAAATTGGACCCTCAATTACGTCTCGCAACATGTCAATCAATGCGGGGGACTTGCGAAGCCAAGGTGTGGTCTTTTGGGTCTCGAAAGACACCTCGCTTGCATTACCTTACAGTCCAGACCATGGCCAATCATCGCCAAGTTAGGCATTGCATTTGACCCATAGTTACTCGTATTCCCAGGAATAATCAGGGCAAGTACAGGATCCGGATCTGGAGATCAAAAGCTCCACCCAATCCACCACCAAAAATGCAGTTCATTTAAAGAGTGAGATATTATTGTACAACCAATCAACGACAGAGATTATCAAATATGTTCATCAAAATTTCGAGTTGCATGTGCTGGTAACCTAACTTCTCGTAGCAATAATTCTTTGGGGGGGTCGTTTGATAACTTCCTCACAGTCACATGCCATTTCAGCCCTAATTAAATTAGTGTAACGCACATACCAACTGGGCCTCCTTGAAACAAAATCGCGATTTCCAAATGTTCACCGTTGCAAGGAGAGAGGTTGAAAGATGGCTTTATCTGAAAATGCAAGTGTAGTTAGGCCAGGGATAAACGCCTGTTCTCGTTCATCATCCAAAAGCTAATTAATGGATATTACTCACGATCAATGCTAACTAACTAACTAACCAAGTTAGTATGAACTTGTGACGTAACTTATACTGGCAGCATAACGTTATCCTTGACCATTGACAACGGCGCGCATTGGATACCACCGCCAAGATGAATATATCCATAACATCATGCGACGGCTATATAATGCGTGCCTTGAGTTGTGAGCTGAGGTCCTGATTTCGATATTCAGCTACAATCGTCACCACGCTTCATTCTTTCAAAGATTTCAATTGCTCCTTCTCTGTAAAGCGGGAAACACCCTAACCCCCCAAAATTATTCACAACTACATTAAAAAAAGATGCAATCTCCAAACAACTGGTCCCTCCACTCAATCGCCGGAGCTTATATGCTCGGCCTAGTCCCTCACGGATACTACGTCCTTAAACTGGCTTCAATGAGACAGATATCCAACGTCTCGTAAGTAATCCCTGAGGGAAATATCAAGGATCATTCTATCATCCTTACATATATACCGCGAAATGAATCGCTAACAAAGTGGGTTTGTTTCTCCGCCACAGGCCTCGAGACCACTTCACCTCACTCAAGGCTCGCCTACCCGCAGATACGTGGAATAAACTCTCTCGCGCGCGCAGTGCGCATCTAAATGCTTTAGAGTCACTTCCTTTGTTTGCCGCGGCAATGGTATGTGCACCTTTCAATGAAGCGTTGAACCCCCGGGGTTCCAGGCCATTCGACATAAAACTACTTGAAGAGGGGATAAAGGCTGACATGACTTTGCATTTCGAAAATACTGTAGATCGCAGGAAATGTTGCGAAGCTCCCTGCTGGCGATCTGAACACGATTGCTGCTGAATATATTGGTGCCCGGATGTTATACACTGTGCTGTATATGGGTGTCAAGTCGGAAGGTCTCAGCTATCTGCGAACCGGAGTGTGGGCATGGAGCATCGGGTTGCCACTATATGGCCTGGTCAAGGCTGGGAGAGCATTGGCGATAGTGGAGTGAGGTGTTCCTTCAATCCTTCCATCACGGCAGTGATTCTCGTTGGTGCTAAACTTTTTCTTATTCGTACGGCTGTATATATATTAGGACGAGTCTATTTTAGAAATAATGGTTAATTTTTGTTCTGGGAAATAAATAAATATGGGTCTTTTTGTCTTACAATTCACCCACCTCAGTCTTCAGACCTGGAGCTTGGTAATATCGTGTTTGGATACGTCAATTAAAATTGCGTGACGCCCGCTCTTTAAAAGATTTCACCAACAAATAAAACCCCCTTTTCAGATTCCTGCGATGGGATTCCTTTTCATTTGGCTGGGCGATTGGAATTGGATTGGTATTCTCCGCTGGAAACGGACAATCAGATTCGACTGATGGCACCTCGGTCCAAGCTCTGTGTTCACGAATAAGGTCTTTAACCACTTCCATAACGGGCTCGTGGTCCTTAGACGACAACTCAGTATATTTGCACCCAAGTCTTCGCGCCAACTCATGACCCTCGGCTGTGGTGACGGCCCGTGGCTGGGTTATGGTTACCCGTGCCAAATCAGCGACCACAGTCATTGGCTTGAGTGGCATGAACGTATTTTCCTTCCAGAAGATTTTAGACCCTTCTTCGTGGAAGAATTTACACACTTTCAAAATGTTCAAGTTTATCCCCCGGATATGGGCCACGTTGAGCGGGACAGGATCAGGGCATCTCAGGGCTGCGCGAAGGATGGCGAGTTGCAATTCCGGCGGCAGTTTTGGGAAGCAGGTAAATGTTAGTGGTGTCTGCAAACTCGTCTTTTGGCAAATTTCTTCCGATGCGTCCTTATCGATCAGTCCTACAGGGATCGAACAGGTCCGTGGAGTAGATTCACGACGCATAAATTCAAGGAATATTGCATAATTTTGCATGATCAAATCAAGCTCCTCCCGCGCGGTGACATCGAACGCTAAGATGATGGCGTCGCTGTCTTGGAAAATTTGGTCCAACAACGCGAGATACACTCTCGCATCGTCGTATTTGAATTCCAGCATTTCCACGAGAGCGACCTTGTCGTCCACCACCATCTGCTTTCGGTAACTATCGCAAAGGTGGTCGTATGTTTCCACCCAGGAGTTGTAAAAGAACTTGAAATCGGCGAAAGTTCAGTTTGCGTGGTATATAGCACCATGAGGGAATTATCAAGCAGTCAAGGAGAAGGACGTAGTTACCTGACCATAAAATCCTCTGCCATAGCAGTTGGCGCCAACCAAAAACCGCGCCACTTTAGGTTGAAAAGGAGGAGCCATATCTGTGGTTTGAAGTAAACTATCACTGAGAACAGGGAGGTTTCTTTACTAGAATATTGGTGGTGGTTGAAAGAATTAGCCTGGTATGCGACTTAGCCAAGTTGATTGACGATATCAGTTGCCCCAGGATCTGATATTTGCGTGATGAAACTACTCACGGTGATATCATAACTAGCTGTGGTCAAGGAGAGCGAAGAAATCTCAGGTAAACTACTCGTGTCAGCTCTTTGCCAAGCAAAAACGGCCTTGGAAATCATTAGTTTGCATAACTACAACTGCTAACTACAAGAAAAACACATAAACAGACATAACTTCAAGAATCTTTAGTTATCCCGACTTGCTTTTGTCATCCGTGGGTGCTGTACTTCTACAGCTTCTTTTCCTGGACAAACCGAACAGAACAGCAGGCAATCAGAAAAGCAAATTTCCACCTACCAAGAAAAGAAACCCGAAGAGAAGAAACAGTGCTTGAGAAATAATCGCCATTACAAGAAAGAACGAAATATTAATTGTTCCTCCGCAACAAATTGATCAAGCCAACTCCTGTTTTCGAAAGCCACCTTGTAACTTGCCCGGTTCTGTCAGTCCCGATTGTCTAATGCAACAGCTACACACCCTCCTAGACTTCATTTCTCGATATCTTTTGGGTCCCTCTCCTGCGACTGGCGCCACAGGAAGATCATGCATGTCGCTGACAATGCAAACAATATGCTGTCGAGTGGAGTTAGTTGAAGCTGGCACATGTAAAACAGTTTCAATGCGTGACTGCCACCTCCACTGCACACAGAGAGGGGAACTGCAAACTCACCAAAGAGCTATGCTAAGGCCCCAAATAGATTTCATCTCAAGGCAATATCCCTTGGAAGCTCCGACCCAGTGGCTGTAACCCAGTTTACCACCGTCCTTGTCAAGATTTTTCAGCAAGGCCGTGGTGAAGGCAAAACCGGAGGATTCAGTAACTTTGCCAATCAATTCGCAGTTGAGATAGGAGAGTGGCTTCCCAACAACAACCGCGATCACGATTACCGCAATCAAGTGAAGGGCGTCCATCCCTGCAGAGGCAATGAGAGGGAGGATCCCGTCCAGATAGAGGATGAAGGTAACTGCACAGTACAGAGTAGCAATGCATGTCTAGAATTTTACATGTATGTCATTAGCCGCCATGAACGTGAACATTCCCCCAACGGGATCTTGCGAATTTTCGAGAACCTACCACGCTTAGTGTGCCGACGAGCACTTGGGGTGGAGTAATGCTGGACTTGACCATGTCCGAAATGAAGTTGGCTGTCATGCCGATGATCGAGATCAAGCAGACCGCTTGAAGGACGCGGACAACCTTGAACGTGATTCCAAGGGCGCCATCGTGAGATGAACCCATCTTGTGTATGCTCAGGAGTGCCGGTATGTAAACAGAATATGGCAAGGGAAATGTCAGGAAAAATAAGGATCGCGAGAGCTATCAAAGCTATTCGTCTTGAAACCAATGTGATAGATGCAAGTATTCGGAGATAGGCACAAGTTCTTTTTTTTTTGTATGGAGAGATGATGCCAGACGAATGATAAAAAATATCAATGAGTAGCAATGGATGGTAGGACTATGGCTTTCCAGAGCCTATAGATATGGAATTTTGACAAGCGAGGGTAGGATCGGAATGAAATAGAAAAATTATTAAGGCTGGTTCAAAAAATTAGAGGAGGGAGACAAAAGAAGTTTGAAATGAAACTTGAAAGGCAACAGAATAGGAAACTCGTGAAAGAGAGAGAAAGGAGGAAAAGAGAAAACTTTTTCAGTTTGTTGATTGACCGCTGTGAACGATAGAAAACGAGATGGAGCGTGGTTTCCATGCCTCTTTTATATCCAAAGATCCGGTTGATTGATTGCCTTGTCGAACGACGTGAGGTCGATCATATCGTCTAGACAGTTCCTTTTGACTTTCCTTGGAGATCTGTCCCATAATCGACAGTCATCTAGAATCACGGTATCGAGGAGCTACAGAGCTTTTGATCCATCACCAGGGTACTGCAACTCGTTTGAGGTCTGAAGATGCGCCGCCATAGCCAATCAGATGCCTGAAGGGTTTGGTACCAGGGCCCAGGCACCAAGCCCCGGTCCCTATGTTGTGGTTGGGGACGGGAGGAGCTCTTAAAAATAGTAAAAGTACGGCTTGAAGCGCCCGAACGCAAACCCGAAGTTTGGAGTCAGAGGCAGTAACCAAAGTCCCGGCGAGGCGCCGCCTGCTGAGGACATCCTGATCATTGCCATAGCTCGGTCCTATGAACCCCACCACAGCGCGTAGTGACACTCTTAGCAGTGGAATCCTTGTACCGACCACAAATCAAAAGCCAAACAACCACATTCAACTAGGGGGTTCTGAAGCACCGAAACTATCATCATGATATATTCTTCGACGTTTCCAATACACACTCTCTCTCTTCGTTTAGAGGTGAGATATTTTTATCCGAGGGCATTCAATACGCCCTACTGTCCTTATTGTTGACCGACAAAAAAATGAAATAGAACTGAGTCAGAGATCTTTGAAAAAGTGGGCCGAGTTTGGAATTTAGCTGAAACTGCCTCCTCAAGAATGATCCCCCCCCAGCATTTCTTTGCTGGGTCCTCAGGTTTCAGTTTTTCTTTCATATTAGTTGTTTGTTTGGATTTTCGAAACGGTCTAGCCTCGGAGAAGCTCTCAGTTAGTTGAAGCTTGGAGCGATATGATGTGGACTCACCAACAAAGAGTGGTGTTGCACCTCGAACAAAATTTGATAATTTCATGCTCAGAATCAAAGTTCGCAGATTGCAATTACACTCCTCAACAGGTCTTTTCGTGGAAATTGTACTTACCAGAAACGATGAGAACAAAGTAGATAAATCTTGATTAACTATAAGGCCACCCGTGGAGCTTGCTGGTCAAGCGTTGTGCGCAATTAGTATCCATCCCATATGCATTCGCTCCATTTTTGGGGCGGTGGAATCTGTTGTAGTTATCTGGTAGAATTTATGTGAAGGTGTATTGCCGAATAATATATTTGCATCTAGAGCAAAAACAACTTTGATGCAGCGATTTTATCGCAATGAAGTGAGAGAATGCCACGACAGAAGTAGATTCGTGGGCTGTGGTAAAACAGAGCCAGGTCGAGTGTATCAAATCAACCCCCTTATCGAGCATTTGGAGAAGAGTGGAATGATACTTTGTCAAACACAATTACAATGACCCAACTCACCTGATAACTGTTATATTTCATTTATGGATAAAACTTCTTGCCCGCGGGCAGCTCTTCTTACCTCTTTGTCAATCAAACCCTACGATCTCATCTGTAGCTAAGAAGAGAACCATTAAAGTCAATGAACAGAGGATTTTGGTTTGAAAAAATCTGGCTGCTTCGTCATGATGATATTTCTAGAATATAAATCTAGCAGCAAAATATCTTTTTTTATACATGTGGCTTTCAAAGACGATCATTCATTCCACGATCTCTTGGTGTGAGCCACGAGTTGTGAGAAAAACCTTCTGAATTGACTTGTTGTATGGTCCACTCTGGCACATGTTCCATCAGAATATGGTGAACAATCTGCAGTTTATCAGAGCTCTTAAGAGAAATGTCCGAAGAGTATATATAACTCATGGAATTGGGGTTCTTATTTCGCGGGACCCTTGATAGAGCATCATATAACAGGTTTCATGGGTATGCGGCTTTTCCACGCATAGAGGTGGATGAAAATATCCTTTTCCATCAAAATAAAGAGTTTTGTATATTTTGTTGATCACCAGTGTTCTATTTGATTGAAAGCAATGAGGATGATTAGCTTCAGTTTCAAAGATCCCTAGGATGAACACCATATCCAACCATCAATATATCAATGATCCCCAGGTCGACAGTACATGATTCCATGTTCCCGATATGGAAGATGTTTCAAGCATCGCTCAGCTGGATGGAACTGCTTCCTTTCCATCTTACCAGTTTGAGAGTTGTGGCAAAAGTCCGGGGTCACTCGTGGAAACGCTGGACTTGCTCGATGTCGCTTAGGTTGTTCACCATCCACAGACGCCAAGCTAGTCACCAGCATTTCCGGCTAGCGTTGCCGCGGGAAATAAAGTTAATCCGACCCAATAAAAAACGCTCGATCTCGATCTTCGAGAAAGCGAACGCAGCGCTGCACCAAGAGGTTGCCAGTCTGTTGTCCAGCACCGCTCTCTCCTCGGTGTCTTCTTGATGATGCTATCTTCTCCAGCACGGCTGAGAAGTTCTCTATCTGCCTCTAGAAATGGACAAAAATTGCAGACTCATGTCTGCCTCTGGGCATTGCACAAGCCAGCGCTACGGTCAAGTGCGCTACAAATAACCTCGTTTTCAAATGCCAGTGCTCAGAAACCATATAATCTACGATATACTCCCCGGTCGTACCGTCGAGGTTTCCACCACTCTGAATATGTATGTAGTGTTGCGCTCATCTAGTAAGAGCAAGGCTGCTAATTTCTATGTAAGGTTTCTTCCTACTCTTCGAACGCCCTCCGGGAATCGTTGCTCAAAACCGAGATATCGCAAGCCGAATTACAAGGAGATGGTGATATATACGACTACCTTCGCAAATGGCAGCAAAGGAACCAGCACTTGATCAATGAAATGGATCCGATCCAGGTACCTGGCGATGGAAACAACAGAACAGCCCTTAAAGGTGATATGTTGAAAGACGGAGTGGGGAGCCAGGCGGACAATATTGATTTATTTGACATGGATGAATACCGCCACTCTCTCGATGAGGATGCGGGCTCGCGCTTTCTCCAACCTGGAGACTTGGTTATACTCAAATCGTGAGTCTCTGCCGTGTTATCTAAAAGATTGTTCAATAGCTCACACAAACTAGGGAATCAAGTTTTTCAGATGGTCAGCTGGCAATATACGTACGGTCATTGGAAATGCAGCATCAGTTTTATACAATGAGAGGGAAATGGCGCTCTACAAGCCTCACCAAAACGGAATTTATCGCTAGCAAGGTGGCGACACTAGATATGTTGAAACTGCTTTTGCCCTACTTTCCATCACGAAGAGTCGAAAAGGCCGCTCTGTCCCAGTTAGGAGAAGAGGGCGGTGTTCCACGCCCTATCGGTGCTCACCTCATTGAGTTAATGATGGGCTTCAGTGCTGAAGCAGAAGAATTCCATCGCACTCATGCAATCGCTTTGAACGACTTGTACAATAAACTTGTTGCTGATGAGCGTATTCCCATAATGACCCTAGACGAAATTGCAGAAAAGGCTCTTGGACTTGATCCTTCCCAATTGGCAATCCCACAGAGATGGGCTGTTCAAAGAGCAATAGGTCGCCTATCATTTTTCATCACTCCCAATAAGATTGGTCCATTCACTGAATCATATACCATTCGGCCGAAAGATGAAGCCAAGAAGGTCGCCACAGTCATTCGCTGGACTCGAGAATACCAGAATCGGATGAAGAAGCTCTCCTTAGGGGAAACCATACTTGACAATGGTAAACATCCGATAGAGATGTTTATCCTGAAGGCCCGACGAATCATTCACAAAAGCCGGCAGTCTAGATCGCCAACAATGGTTTTCTCAGTAGGGCCAAGTGCGAAAAAAAAGTTAGCTTCTGTTGACGAAAACGGAAGTTCTTATTCCAAAGATGAAATCGAAACATTTTCTGAAACGGACAAAATTATTCTTGATTACTTTCGCATGTGGATGCTTCCTCCCTGTCTCATGACGGCTGGGACTTTGAGCACATCGGGTTCTACTATCCTTCGCGCCATCGGCCTCTACAACGACTTGCGTTTGACGCCGCCCACAGGGTATTTGTTTTTGCAAGAAATTGGTGTCCTTACTCCGTGGGAAAATCTCCACGTCCTTTACGAACAACTGGCACTTCCTGGCCATGGAATTTCCCGAACTGCAGACATGATAGAGGAGGAATCCAACAAATTCTGCGAAAATCTTGGACCAGACAACCTTTCAGATACGATGAAGGCTCTAAGGAAGGACTGGGGTGATCTTCCTGTCTTCTGTGTCGATGATGTTCACGCGGCAGAAATCGATGATGGGTTTTCCGTCGAGCCTATTCCCGGTTCTGATGATACGTACTGGGTTCATGTTCATGTTGCCAACCCGTCTGCGTTTGTCCCTCCCGATCATATAATTGCTAAAAGAGCCGCCGAATTCAAGAGATCGTTTTACTCCCCCGAACGAGTCTATTCCATGCTACCTCCAGCTCTCGTCCACAAATATTTTAGTTTGGCTCCTGGCCGCCCAGCTTTAACTTTCAGTGCGAAGATTAACATGCTGGGGGATATACTTGAAACCAACATAACTAACGGATATGTCAAGAATATAATATACGTCACGCCAAATAAAGTCCGAAAACTTTTTGGTATTAATAGAGAGGAAGCCCCTTCCCTGACTATATCCTTCGACGGCAGATTGCATGAGCAACATCCCGAAGAAGCTCAAAATGATATCCGTGACGAGCACAAATCAACTTTCTATACATTAGAAAAACTAATGGCAGCTCGCCGTGAGAAACGAGTGGATAAAGGTGCTCTAGAATTTCTATCCCGCCGAAAGTCCCAACCAAGAATATATGGCGGAAGGGAACGAAATTCAATGCATTCTGTCGATAGAACCATTGCATATCATTATACTGGAGATCCAGCGGTTCACTTCAACAATATAGTAACTGACCCATTTGAGATGATGGAATCAACAAAGGAGGATCTTGTCAACCACGTCATGGTACTGGCTGGCGAGGTTGCTGGCCAATGGCTAAAGGACCGGCAAGTCCCAGTAGTTTTTGCTGGTACGTGGTATCACCCAGAATACTCGCCGTTCGTGAGGGATAGCACATCAGCAGAAATATCCAACTCGTTCCATCTCGGGCTTCCAAGATCCTTTTCGTCGTCGACTCCAACACCTCATGTGTCACTTGGGGTTGATCAATACGTGAGGTGCACAAGCCCACTCAGACGATATACCGATCTCATTGCCCATTGGCAAATAGAAGCAATTCTTCGCCAGCAGGCAAATGAACCATCATCAGTCTCCATGCCTGAAATTCCCATTGAAAGCCTCCCGTTCAAAAAAGCAGATATTGATCAATATATAGCTCGCTCTGATTGGCAGAATTGTCTAAAGACTCAAGCACAAAACCGTTCCCGTGACTTCTGGATCTGCCAGGCTCTTTTCCGGTCGTTTTATTTCAAGGCGGCAAAGCTACCGCAGACTTTTCAGTGTATCATCCAGGGCGAGAACTTTGATACGCCGTACGAATTTGGTGCTGATTGGGACGAATACTACGGTAGACTACAACCATTCGATCTACAGTGTGTAGTCACCCATAGCAAGACAGCTTCACCCATGCAAATAGGTGATCTGGTGGATGTGGAACTTGTGTCAATTGATATGTACTCTCTTCGAGTGACTGTTAAGTTTTCTCGTCATGTCAAACGTCCGGAGAACGGTGCGCTTGCATCGAGAGGAATAATTCTTTAACTCAGCTTTACGAACCGGTCTAAACGGCGGTGCAACATCGGTACACCAGGATTTGTATGCGGGCAAGTAATGAACATATCTGAACAGGATTGCCCGGGCTTGTTCAGTTCGGCTCCTACTCTGACGAGGCCGAATATCGCAATGTGTATAATAATACCAAATATATCGGATGCTCGGGATTTGGTTGCAACAGGCACGGGAGTTTGGATTTATACATGGGAGTTTCGGGTTTTTGAGCCATTTAGAAGGTAGTTCTTGTATCAATAGATGGACTGTGTACGATATTAATTACTCATAGAATCAATGTGATGATGGTTGGTTGCCATTGTCAGCCAGCCTTCCAACAACTTACATACCTCAGGAGTGACAACTGAAACTCTGCTGTTCCATTCGCAAGAAATTCGAGCCATTATAGCGTAACCGTCATTGGATTTAGTGTGGTGGGGGGCAGCATGAGTAGAGGATTCCTGGTAACTAAATGTAAATAGAGTGAGTCGTATGGGTTCAAGTTATTGTATGTACATGTACATACATTAAACAGACTGGAGATTGATTTTGATTTTGATTTTAGTCCTTTTTCCCCTTAGGAAAGAGTTAGAAGTTATTAGTGATAAAAGTATTCTCTTGTATTAGCATTGGACACGTATAGTTATTTCTAACATCGCGGAATGAAGTCACATTTTTGATATGCCGTTGGAATAGTTGGTTAGTATCGAAGCATTGGCTTAACTACTACTCAAGAATGACATCATCCGATTTGGGAGACAGAAAGCCATTTCTCTCATCTCTTCTACAGTCCTCCGTATGCTCACCCGTAAATAAAACCAGGTCATTTACATTTACTCTCTTCGACAGCTTTTCTGTCATCTCATCCCACAAGCATGACTGCAGTCTTCCGTCCATATGCAACCGCTCTGATTACAGGCGGGGGCAGCGGGATAGGATTCGCTGTAGCCCAGCTCTGCCGCTCGCATGACATGAACCTCATTCTAGTAGATATCCACGCCGAAAACTTAGCCTATGCCCATACGATCCTGGGTGACACCCCCACAGCCAAGACACTCACGCATGTCATGGACGTCGGTGACCTGGCTTCCTGGGAGTACCTGTCTCGGAAAGTCGGGGAGACGTTTCCTAACGGGGTGGATTTGTTGATGCTCAATGCGGGCGCAAGCTTTAAGCCGAGATCCCCTGAGATGCCGTGGGGAGATCCGGAATATTTCCAGAAGGTCTGTTTTCATATCCTTCCTCAGTAGCTTTCTATATTAGCGGGTTCCATTGTGGAGGCCCTTCTGTTAATTCGATATACATGTGCATACACATACCCTAGACATTTTCAACCAACATCATGGGCGTCGTGAACGGGCTCTCTGTATTCATCCCGGTAGTTACTGCCTCAGCCGACGAGCCGCGAGCCATCATCATCACTGGCTCAAAGCAAGGTATTACAAACCCGCCGGGCAAAAATCCAGCATACAACGCTAGTAAGTCCGCCGTGAAATCCCTTGCAGAGCATCTCAGTCACGATCTTCTCCCGAACAAGAATGTCTCTACACACCTCCTGGTTCCTGGCTGGACATACACTTCCATGACCGGAAATACCGGTGTGGAGCCCGATGCCAAAAGACCAAAGGGTGCATGGCTGCCCGAGCAGGTTGCAGGGTATTTGTATGACAAGATGGGCAAGGGTGAATTTTACATCATTTGTCCTGACGACGAGGTCTCCGAGTCGCTTGACCGGGCAAGAATAGCATGGGCAATGGGGGATATTATCGAGCGCCGCCCGGCTTTGTCTAGGTGGAATAGCATGTGGAAGGATGTCTCGGCGAAGTGGATTGAGAGGGATGCTGAGGTGAAGAGAAAGTCGTAGACGGGCGTGGTCCAACTTTTGCAATTGAAACAGAATCAATCTTGTTATGTTCTGCCAGGTTATTGCGGCCATGTTAAATGGAACTCCGTAGTCGGAAAGCAGATATGAATGAGGGATTTGGAATATTCGTGGGTGTAACAATGTGAAAACACGGTTGTATAATGTATATAGATATCAAACAAATACTCCATTCTGCGCCATAAAATTCACTTTGAAAACCTGGCGTCAAGGATTTACACTGGAGATATGCCGAGCTGTTTTCGCTTCTCTTGCCAATACAGGATCCGAGGTTGATGTCTTCCTCTTGCCGCTCATACCGCTGTAGCGCTCCTGAACCAGGGGCTGAGCAGTATGCAATGGCCCCCCAAGCAGTAATTATTATTATTTTTTTGTTCAAAGGGGTAATAGCATAGTAGGAAAGAAAAACAAGATGAGAATTCTAAGTCTCAGGGGAAAATCCAGCCGCTCAACATAGGTCGTATATATTTTATCGTACAATGCAATCCAACAATGAAAAGGTGGCTTTCTTCAGGAAATCCATCCATGGCCAACCGCTCAGTCGGTTTCCATGCGCGTGCATTTACAAATGTTTCGTCATGGGGCAGAAGGTCTGTTGACGGGTGACATATTTGTTCGCACGGTTTGGGAGAGTTTGTGAAAGCGGGCGAAAACGTGGTTCGATTACAATCTGGAGTGAGGAGATGTTAGAAAGAACCGTACATAGCAAAAGACGCATTTTTCGGCAGAGGGATATGATGCCGATATTGGCTTTCTCAGAAATTTCGACCCTTCACCGATGGTTCGAGCATTTGTCCCCCTTTGTCTCTATGCAATGCAAACATGAATTGGGAAAAGGTATAAAATAGCAGCACCATGAATTCAACCACCGAGACCCGAAATTCCCGCGGATAGACTTACTGAGGAATAAGCAGCTCACTCAGACTGCTATGCAAGATTGCGACGGCGGCCTAAAGCGATGATTTATTTGTTAGCCAAAGCTCAATTTCATGAAATGTCCAAAGGTGCTCTGCGTCTTATCCCGCTGAAGTAAAGCTTACCCCGAATACCAGCACGCTTCTCACAATGGATGCATTATCAGGAGATGTGATGGTATGGTAGATTTGAGAAAGACCTGATTCCGGCTGCCGCTTCTTCACTGGGCCAGATTGTACGACGACGCGTTGCTTGGGAGCCATGTTGTGTGATGTATCGATTATGGGGATGGAGGAGGAAATTTCTTTGGTTGGGAGCGTTGTTAATATCGTAAAATAGTGGAGAGCAACCAGTCATGAGGAAGTAGTTGGTGATGGAACGGAAAAAATCTTTGAAAGCTCTTGTCCGCAACTGCACGGGTGGCGTGTGTCGGGTGACGTAGTTTCAAAGCTACAGAGTTTCAACTTGCTCGGTGCAGGATAAACAATATAGGAGATGCACAGCCAATGCCCTGCATTTTGTTGACGTTTTACTTACCAGTGCTGTTTCATGCGACTTAACTTCTCTCGCATATTGTGATACATCTTTGAAGTTTGGCTCCTCAGTTCATCTCCATGCTTTTCAGCTGTCTCCAGCTCTTCAATATTTGCTATGGCCAACATAGATGATCTATTCAAGGTATTTGATTCCTTTGAAGAACTCAAAAACAGTCTGCTAAAAATTGAATAGAAACCATTATTGCCGTCTAAACGCAAATCTGAACCGTTACGAGATGCCAGTATGTACCCCTCAATCGTCTTTTCGCCCCAATCTTATGAACAGTCGAATAGGGCTGAGTTTCAAACCATTGAAAATGTTTTTTTCTCAGGCACACTTTATAAAAGCGCGAAAGTGGATGCCAACGGAGATGTGAGCAGTAATCGGGCGACTGCCGTGGAGGACGATTTTGACGAGCAAGATGAAGCTGGTCCTGAACTCCCACCAGACTTCAACCCAGACGAGGATATCCCGGATGACGAGGAAGGGCGATTTTTCGGTGGTGGCATATCGCGGGACACGGCTGGTGCATTGGACTTCGTTGAAAAACTAGACCAAGGAGATCCTGGGGTGAGCATAACAGAATCTGACTTTTTGTCGCTGCTTGTTGGAATGCGCTCAGAGATAGCAAGCTAATATGCACACTCCGGCCTGAATTATAGCCGGAGAAAATCGACTCCGCTTGGTTACGACGATTGGCAGTTAACTTTGAGAAGAGGATATCTAAGAATGCAGAACTTCGCGCTAAGTTTGAGAATGAACCCCAAAAGTAGGTGTACTTCGTATGCCGCTTCCATTCCGTCACGTTGCAGGCCAATATGCTAATGAAACATCGGCTAGATTTATGGCGTCCGAAGCAGACCTCGATGCAGATATCAAATCACTTTCGATCCTGTCGGAGCACCCAGATCTTTATGAAGAATTTGCAAGTTTGGGTTGCGTTGGTTCTCTGGTTTCATTATTGTCGCACGAAAATACGGATATAGCTATTGACGCGATCGAGATTCTTGGGGAATTGACTGATGAAGACGTTGAAGCTGAGCAGGAAGAGTGGGATTTTTTGGTCACTGCTATGGTAAGGCACAATTGACGATTTCGCATATGCCGCTGTTTACTAATAAATATATATCTATTTTAAGGTGGACGGGGATGTTATTGCCCTCCTGAGTCAAAATCTTGCGCGACTTGATGAGGACAACGATGCGGACAGAGCCGGAGTTTATCATGTCATGAGTAGGTTTTTAACAACCCTAAAACAAGAGCTCTTCCAAAAGTTAACCCTTGTCCCACAGGCGTTCTTGAGAACCTCGCATCCCAATTGCCCATTGCCGAGAAAATCGGACAAGATACCGACATGATAGCCTGGCTGAAAAATCGAATCCAGAAGAAGGAAAAACCAGTGACCCAGAATAAGCAGTTCGCGGCCGAGATTCTAGCAATCTTGGTTCAATCATCCGCCGAAAACCGGCAACGCCTCATAGAAAAAGATATGGTAGATGTCTTGTTGCAGTTGCTGAGTGTATACCGAAAGGTGGACCCTGAAAAGGACTCCGACGAGGAAGAATATGTTGAGAATCTTTTTAATTGCCTTACGTGTTTGGTGGATGAAGATGAGGGGAAATCAAAGTTTATAGATGCGGAAGGTGTGGAGCTAGCGCAGATTATGTTAAGGGAAGGCAAAATGAGCAAGTCAAGGGCGTTGCGAGTTCTTAATCATGCCGTTTGCGGGAAAGGTGGAGCCCCTGTTTGTGAAAGGCTTGTGAATGCTGCTGTGCTAAGCACTATATTTGGGATGTTCATGAAAAAGGTATGCATCCGATTTATGGAATTTTCCTTTCGAAACTAATAAAGCTAATGCCTATTCAGCAAGATCACCGATCAATAGAGCACCTGTTGGGAATATTTTCTTCGCTTCTACGACTACTTCCTGGGGACTCTTCTAGTCGGATACGGACGCTTGCAAAATTCATGGAGAAAGACTATGAGAAGATCAAGAAGCTGATTAAACTGCGACGGGAATATGCGTCGAAAGTTTCAGCAGTTGATCAAGTAATTGATCAAGAACGGAAACCTATGAGCTCGGATGAGCAAGAGCTCATGGCGAGTGAATTTCTCTCTCGACGCCTGGATGCTGGGCTCTTCTGCTTGCAGGTACGCAAACGCTACTCTCAAGCCCCTTGCTCAGAGGTTTTGCTAACGCAAAGTAGAACATTGATGTCATATTAACATGGCTGGTGGCAGAAGATGACGGAGCGAAGGCAAAGATTAAATCTCTGCTCTTGGAGCAAGATGAGGATTTAGGCGTTATCAAGGCCACATTGCAGGGTATGTAAAACAAAGCGCCATTCTCCCGAACGGTTACACCAATATCTAACTTCTGATTTTAGAGCAAATAAACGACCTTGACGAAACATCGGCTGATGAACTGGACACAAGGGAAATGCTTGGGACATTGCTGCAATTCCTATGACAACATTTTATATATATCTAGATAGATTATTAATGAATGTAATATTAGTTAACTATATGATATGCTGCTTCGCACCTTTGATTTGTTTGTTATCAGTAAATTATCACGTGATATAATGGAGATAAAATACACTAGTATATATTCAGTTAGTGCAAGTGGTGGATCTGATCTTGAAGTTCGCGGTCGGGAGCTGGTGAATTTTATCAACTTCACCGTTCGCAGTCTCTGTTCATTCTCTTTGCTAAGCTATACTCTAGTGTTCCGCGTCAACCACTACCCTGGAATTGTTACTGCGATATCCAATTTGCAAGCAGATGGAATAAAACTTTTCCCGCCCAGTGAGAGCTTCAGACTACCCACTCCAACTCCTCACGTCCTGCGCTTCTCCGCAAGCAACCACCCTCCCGAGATCTCGTCCAGCATGGAGGATTACGAGGAAGAATATGGAGAAGATGCCTACTATGATCAAGATGAAGGGATTACTTCAGAAGACTGCTGGACGGTGATTTCATCCTTCTTCGAGTCGAAAGGTCTGGTGTCGCAGCAGCTTGATTCTTTTGATGAGTTTATCTCGACGACCATGCAGGAGCTAGTGGAGGAGCAGGGGCAGGTAACTCTTGATCAAACACTGGCTCCTGCTGAAGATGAGATAGATCCTGTCGTTTTGCGACGCTACGAGTTAAAATTCGGTACTGTCATGCTTGCGCGACCGTCTGTGACTGAGGGCGATGGTGCGACCAGCATTATGTTGCCCCAGGAGGCGCGACTTCGAAATCTCACATATGCCAGTCCCCTCTACCTTGGGATTACGAAGAGAGTCACGGAAGGACGAGAGCGTCTCATTGCCGAGCGCGATGATGCTGAGCAAGGCGAAGAGGATAACGATGAGGAGAGACGGAGTAGAGGAACATATTTGCACTGGGAACCGAAAGCTCTGAACGAGGATGAGCCAGAAGAAGAGAATGTTTTCATCGGGAGAATGCCGATCATGTTGAAGTCGAAATACTGCATCCTCAAGGATTTAAATGAACAATCGCTATACAACTGGAACGAGTGTCCTTACGATTCCGGTGGATATTTCATTATAAACGGCAGTGAAAAGGTTCTTATCGCGCAGGAGCGAAGTGCAGGCAATATTGTTCAAGTTTTTAAGAAAGCTCCTCCAAGCCCAACACCGTACGTCGCGGAAATCCGAAGTGCTGTTGAGAAAGGGTCCAGGATATTGTCTCAGCTGTCAATAAAGCTTTTCGGTAAGGGTGACACCTCCAAGGGCGGGTTTGGCCCAACGATCCGATCTACCCTCCCTTACATCAAAACCGACATCCCGATCGTTGTTGTGTTCCGAGCGCTTGGTGTGGTGTCCGACGAAGATATCCTCAATCATATTTGCTATGACCGGAACGATACACCAATGCTGGAAATGCTCAAGCCATGTATCGAGGAAGGGTTCGTTATCCAGGATCGCGAAGTAGCTCTTGACTTCATAAGTAAGCGAGGCTCTTCGCCTACGAGCATGAACCACGAAAAGCGGGTTAGATACGCGAGGGATATTATCCAGAAGGAATTCCTTCCTCATATCTCACAGAGTGAAGGTAGCGAGACGCGGAAAGCATTTTTCTTGGGATACATGGTGCATAGACTTCTTCAATGCGCTCTTGGTCGTCGAGATGTCGATGATCGTGATCATTTTGGAAAGAAGAGACTTGACTTGGCCGGTCCACTACTCGCCAACCTTTTCAGAATTCTGTTCATGAGAGTCACGAAGGATCTTTACAAATACGTCCAAAGATGCGTGGAAACTAATCGGCAATTATATCTGAACATTGGTGTGAAGGCTAGTACCCTATCCGGTGGTCTTAAGTATGCTCTTGCTACAGGTAACTGGGGCGAGCAGAAAAAGGCGGCTAGCTCCAAGGCTGGTGTTTCGCAAGTGCTTAATCGTTACACATATGCCTCTACACTTTCACATCTTCGCCGAACCAACACGCCAATTGGTCGTGATGGCAAAATTGCTAAGCCTCGACAACTTCATAACACTCATTGGGGTCTTGTCTGTCCAGCTGAAACGCCGGAAGGTCAAGCTTGTGGTCTTGTTAAGAATTTGGCTCTGATGTGTTGCATCACTGTTGGTACACCGAGCGAGCCGATTATTGATTTCATGATTCAACGCAATATGGAAGTCCTAGAGGAGTTTGAGCCTCAAGTGTCGCCGAATGCTACCAAGGTTTTTGTCAACGGCGTGTGGGTGGGAGTCCATAGAGACCCTTCTCACCTTGTAAGTACAGTCCAATCGTTGAGACGACGGAACATGATTTCGCATGAAGTCAGTTTGGTACGAGACATTCGAGACCGGGAATTCAAGATCTTCACCGATGCTGGACGAGTCTGTCGCCCCCTTTTCGTGGTTGAGAATGACCCGAAGAGTGAAAATTGCGGCTCCCTGGTACTATCTAAAGAGCACATCCACAAACTTGAAGCGGACAAAGAGCTTCCACCAGACTTGGATCCTGAGGAGCGCAGAGAGCGGTATTTTGGCTGGGACGGTCTTGTTAAATCCGGTGTCGTTGAGTATGTGGATGCAGAGGAGGAAGAAACCATTATGATTGTCATGACACCGGAGGACCTTGAAACGTCGAAACAATTACAAGCAGGCTTTAGTCTTCCTGAAGAAGATAACAACGACCCTAACCGACGTGTCCGATCCACCCTTAGTCAAAAAACACATACTTGGACTCACTGTGAGATTCACCCCAGTATGATTCTAGGCATCTGTGCTAGCATCATTCCGTTCCCCGACCACAACCAATCCCCTCGTAATACATACCAATCTGCTATGGGTAAGCAAGCCATGGGTGTCTTCCTTACAAATTTCGACCAACGGATGGAAACGATGGCAAACATTTTGTACTATCCGCAAAAGCCACTTGCTACGACACGATCTATGGAGTTCCTGAAATTCCGTGAACTTCCTGCTGGGCAAAATGCTATCGTGGCGATTGCTTGCTATTCCGGATACAACCAGGAGGACTCTGTTATCATGAACCAGAGCAGTATCGATCGCGGTCTTTTCCGGAGTCTGTTCTACCGAACGTACACCGACTCCGAGAAGATGGTTGGCATGACTGTTGTTGAAAGATTTGAGAAACCCATGAGATCGGATACCCTTCGCATGAAACATGGAACTTATGATAAGGTTGATGACGACGGTATTGTTGCCCCCGGTGTTCGTGTGTCGGGTGAGGATATCATTATCGGGAAAACAGCTCCCTTGGCACCCGAGGCAGAAGAGCTAGGTCAGCGGACGAAGCAACATACCAAAATTGATGTCTCTACTCCTCTGCGGAGTACTGAGAGCGGTATCGTCGACCAGGTCTTGGTCTCCACGAGCAACGATGATCTGAAATTCGTCAAGGTTCGGATGAGAACGACGAAGATTCCTCAAATCGGGGATAAATTCGCATCTCGGCACGGCCAAAAAGGTACCATTGGCATTACGTATCGGCAGGAGGATATGCCCTTCACCCGCGAGGGCATTGTTCCGGACCTGATTATCAATCCCCACGCTATTCCTTCTCGAATGACCATTGCTCATTTGATCGAGTGCCAGCTCAGCAAAGTTTCTTCACTACGTGGGTTTGAAGGTGATGCGACGCCGTTTACAGACGTGACGGTGGATTCCATCTCCAGCTTGCTCCGTGAACACGGATATCAGTCCCGCGGCTTCGAGGTGATGTACAATGGCTACACAGGTCGAAAGCTGGTTGCCCAGGTTTTCCTGGGTCCAACTTACTACCAACGTCTACGACACATGGTCGATGATAAGATCCACGCACGCGCACGTGGCCCAACCCAGATTCTCACACGCCAGCCCGTCGAAGGTCGGGCGAGAGATGGTGGTCTTCGATTCGGAGAGATGGAACGCGATTGTATGATTGCTCACGGTGCAAGTGCATTCCTCAAGGAAAGATTATTTGACGTATCTGATCCATTCCGTGTCCACATCTGCGATATATGTGGGCTGATGACACCCATTGCGTAAGTTTCCATTTTTCATTGAAACAAAATTGATTTCATATTTTCCTTTATATCTGCTTCTGCTTCTGCTTCTCCCTCGAATGTATAAAAACTAACCCGAGCATCAAAATAGGAAACTAAAGAAGGGCGACTTTGAATGTCGGGCTTGCAAAAACAAGAACAAGATCTCGCAGGTCCACATTCCTTACGCCGCCAAGCTTCTTTTCCAGGAGTTGATGTCGATGAATATCGCGGCACGGATGTTTACGAAGAGGTCTGGGGTGTCATTACGGTAGTGCTGGGCCCCAAGCGAATGTTTATGCGTTCTATTTTCCGAGGGGGGGTTGGCCATCCAATCTTTGGCCCCGCACGCACCGCACCACCACCACCACCACCAGTAGTTGCGAACTACCAATGTAATGCACGCTTGAAAGGGACAAGGGTTTCCCCCAAGACAAGGTTGTATTTTTAATTGACAGGTTCTCTTTCACCTTGTTGCCTTTCCCTTTACCTTCTCTCTTCCTGCCTTTCTGGCTCCCATGGCATTTGGCGAGACTGTATCCTTCCTTATGCGAAGATAGGATAGGAAAGAAAAATGAAAAAAGAAAAAAAAAGAATAAGAAAGAAAAAAAAAACGAGGTACTTAACTCAACAACACAAGAGGCAAACCCCATACACATATCTTCCTTTGGCATTGTTCGTGGCGTTATTCAGCACCTGCACCCTTTCTCTTTTTTTTTTTTTTTTTTTTTTTTTTTTTTTTTTTGTTTCCTATTCTATTGCTGTTTTGAAAAAGCGAAGGCCATGGGAAATTTGGAATGCAAGCAAAATGATGGAAGGGAAATACCTAATTAGATACAAACCTAGTAGTTCAGACAGTTTTTTCTCAGTTTCCTACAAAATCGGGGGGTTTTGTTTCTCGTGTTTCTCGTGTTTCCTCGTGCAAGCAAACGCTTTGGTCCTATTTTTGTCAAACAATGGTTTACGATACATCCAAAAAAAAAGGGCGAAAATACAAATCAGGTCATAGTAATTTGTTGAATTCCCCGTTAAATTCATGTCGCTTCTGCAACCTCCATATCTGTCACTAATGTGCATGAACAACAAGGAAACAGCTCCAAATGACCTCTTACGTAGCGAGAGCGGGGGAAAGGGGGAGCTAGACGAGAACCCAAAGCCCCTAACGAGTTACCTGTCAACTCGAACAAGACTGCAAGCCAACGAGCATTCTCACCTCGCTGATTTGTTCAGGGACTTTTGGGGGGGGGGGGGGGGTTTGGCTGTGCCGTGTCTCGTTCCTCCGTTTGAACCATGGGGCATGGTGATTTGGGGACTATGAACTAATGTATTGAATGTTACTACTGTACGGAGTAGGCATCGTATAACTATACCACTCACAGTGGATGGAGGTATTGGAGAAGAGTAGAGGTCGATACCAGTGCGAGATGGAGAAATATCCCCCCGTGGCAATGAGCAGGGAGAATTCTCATGGGCTTTTCTTTCATGCACTCACGAGCTTCGAATCGGAGAGGTTATTGAGACGGGGGATGCTGCGTACGTGTAACCGCCCGTTGAGGGACAGCGGGGGAGGTTGATGGGGGGATAGATGACGGCAGTAGCGCAGGAATGCAGGAATGCAATAATGCAATAATGCAGCAATGCTCTCCCTCAAGCAAGAAGGGACGAATCCATCCGGACAGCAGCCTCGTTCCCGGGTTGATTGGGTGATTGGTGCAGCAACCTTGGTGTGCACTGCTATTCAACCCCGAATCAGGACTAGCGAGCTGTGACTGCAAGTGCGTGCGATGCCTTTTCCCTTCTTTCCTCCAAGGTTGACCTCCTCGATTCGACGATTCGAGCATCCACGATTCCACGATTACACGATTCCAGGCGCTGGTTGGCCCGAGGGTTCTGCCAGGATCCCATTGGCCGATGCTGGGCTGGCTCGGGGCCCCGCTCGCCCCACAGGCCCCACCTGCCGTCACGGGCCAATGGCAGGACCCGACTACCCGCCCGGTTGGATTATGTCAGCGGAGTCGACAAAACAAGGTTGGGCCCGCCAGCCCGATGCAGCCTAGCGGATGTGATGGCTGTTCTATTTTTGGCCAACCCCCGCCCGCCTTCATTCACTGTTGATCGCTGTTGATCCACACTGGCCCACACAGTGTATGTATATATATCACAGACACTCGGCTGCTGCTCGTTCTCTCCTCTTCTCCTTTTCTCTCTCTCTTCCTTCCTCAGCAGGTCTTGTTTGTCTTGTGAAGCGCTATTCCGTTAATTTCGAGGTGCCTTTGTTTCCCGTTACGTTTTGTTCTATTTCTAGTACTTCCAGTCTTGAAAAGAAGCTGTGCTTCTTCTTTCCTCGCGCTTACGGTACCTCCTAATTAATTCAACCTTCCCGACTCAATCGCACTGTTCGTCGCCGGTTCGACGTCCTTGTTTGTTAATAGCTCTTCACTTCAACGCTCCTACTTGCAAGACCCGACCGCTCTATTTTATCGATCCAAAGATTTTCCGAAAAAGCGACTCTGGTAGTCCTTTGCCTGGCTTTCGATAGAACACATATATATATATATATATTCGATTCTTTTAACTATAATTTCCACCATTATTATTCTTGTCGTTTTTTAACTGCAATCCCCAGTCATTAATATATTTTTGCAATCCCCGTACCTTCATTATAACTACTACTATTACTTACCACTTTTGACCCCCTTTAATATACTTAATATATTCGGAATTTATCAAAAGAAAAAATGGCCGCCGTTCAACTTAGCTTCTCCATCCGCACCTCTCCCAATGTCAAGACCATCCATCTCCTCGGCTCGTGGGATAACTACACCGGGCAGCTCCCGCTCTCTCAGGATGCTTCCGCCAAACCGGGCTCGTGGAAGGGAACTTTCCGTTTCCAGGGGAATTCTCTCCAGCTGGGACAGCGATACTGGTACTACGTAAGTACAAAAACAAAATACAGAAACATCGTCCCTTTGTTGGCGGTAGTAGGCGTGGATTCCATACTTACTTTTTCTCACTAGTACATCATGGACGGCTACCATGTCTCCCATGACCCAACTGCGGAATACACTGTCGAGCCCACCACTGGCCGCAAGCTCAACATCCTGGATGTTCCCAGCGGAGCCCGCAGCAGCACGAACTCTTCTCACAAACAGTCACATAGTGGGCCAATCAAGGGCCGCGCTCTCTCGCCCTCCAAGATCCTCTCCCCGAAGCCCTCCAAGCCTTACGCTTCCCGCCAAATTCGGGATCCCCACTACTCTCCTCCCGCTACCGTCAGCGAACTTGCCAGACGCTTTGCCAGTGTCGATATGTCCGATTCCGAGTCGGATCTCTCCTCCAGCCCGCCCTCCTCAACTGGCTCTTCGATCTCTTCTCGCTCAGACAGCTCGTCGCCATCTTCTCTCTCCTCCTTGAGTGACAACAGCTCCGTCTGCAGCTGTGAACGATACGGAATCACCCGCAAGGGAGATCGCGTCAAGATCGATTGTGGAGGCAGCCGCTGCGGAAGCAAATCCCCGGCCTCCGACTCCGATATCTGCTCCAGCGACTCGGAGGAAGAATATCGCGAAGCCCGCCCCATTGCCCGCCGCCCCCACTACGTCTCCCATAGATGATCGCCTTGCGCTTCAAGTGTATGAATTCCTTGTCAACTTCGTTCTGCGCATCCCCCAACACGCCCTGTTCTCCACTTGACGGATTCCGGAAACCTTTGACCCGTCTGTCCGCATGCAAACTCCGTCCTCGCTCCCTTTGCCATTTTTATCCATGACCCCAGTGAAAGTACCGTCTGCCAGGAGTTGATTTTTGTCTTAAATGTCTACAAGTTCAAAATTGGATAACAAGATTGAAAAAATTCTATGCATCAGAGCTGAATATCAAAATTGCCATTCCCACCTTGTCCCTTTCTTTCGACTGGGAACAACCATCTTTCATGGTGAACTTTTACCACCTATTTCGCCACTCAACACGTTATTTGATATTTTTTCCCCCTCTGCCTTGTCCATTCTTTTGACTAGTTTTCTCCTCCAACTCTTGCATCGAATAATAACGATGTTACTTTCCATCGATGCATCCTTGCATTCAAACCAACAGACACGCTGCCACAATAAAACAGCTCAGCGTCAATGTACTACTGCCTTTCCACACGCGGGAAAAAGAATGCCACTCTAACGCGAATCGCCCAATTCTTCTTGTCGCCAAAAACCGGATACTTAAGTATCATTCGATTCTTGTTTGCCCACAATATATCAATGTTTCAAATCACCATCGCCAATCACAACAAACTCGATGATTCATTATTATTGTTATTTTTCCCCCCAAACAACCCTTTCCAAACAAACCCACCATTGGAAAAAAAAAAAAAAAACAAAAAAAAGTCATTCAGAAAAAGAAAACCAGAACAAGTGTTTTTTGTTTCATTGCACACACGCACGCAAACCATTTGCATCACTCCTGAAAACAAACCCCCCCCCCCCCCACCCCACCAACATGCCAATCCTTCGGGGGGGACCCCCAATTTTTGATTTCTGCATTTTTGCCCTTCTGCCTCATTAACGAAATTGCAAATGCTACAGTTTTTTGCCTGTCCCCGTTTTTTTTTTCGTGTACCTATCTTTTCTTTTTAATTTCTTGTGTGAAGTCGCTCCCAGACTTGGTGCAACTCTTCCCATCCCCTTGGCACATCCATATATATATGTATATGTATTTACAGAGGTCTCTCCCTCCAAGATTCAACCCTCTGTGCCCTGCAAGTCGGGATGAGATGACTGGGAGTTTTTTGACGTATTTGAGGGAGAACGCAGGAGGTGGGGTGGCGTGGGGGTGGTTGGGGATGAAGACGGTGAGAAAGAAATCGGCTCGTTTTCGTGAAAGTTGTTTTTAAGTGTATTTAGTGTTTTTGTTTTTTTCCCCATATCCTTTCCTTGTGATGAGAATCAAGGAAGGGAAAGGGAGGAAGGGGGAAGGCGGAGGAGGAAATAAATAATACATGAAATATGAAATATGGGGACGAAAGAAAATGGATTGAATGAAACCCCCATGAAGCCAGCTTGTGCTTATCACTGCGTCAATTGCCATCATCTCAGTTTAACTTGTGGATGCTCTCAGATGAAACGCACATGCAGTACTAGCATGTAGTTATGTATGTAGCTGACGTCAAAACGCGATGCGATCCATCGGCGGTAGCTAGGATGGTAATTCCAACAGGTTACGCTCGACAAAAGATAGCCAACAACAACATATTGTATGTCCTGTCCTGTGCTGTGCATACATACTTTCCCTTCCTCTCCCCCTTCTCCCTCTCCGTTCCGGCTCTGCCCCGTTTTGGGATCTTGGGTATCTATCTATCTATCTATCTATCTATATATGGGATATCTTTGTCGGTGGGAGAGTCTCTGTCACCACACCTAACCATGTACTGTAGATTCTCATGTTTGTGGGGGAAGTTACCTTGGAGTACGTAGTGTATGTACAGTGCATGCAACAGGGGAGAGAAGAAAGAAAATCAAGTCGATTTTATATGTATGGATGCACCGCACCTCACGGATCGGCGTATTTTCTCTTTCCTTCTTTCTTTCTTTATTTTTGAAAAAAAAAAAAAAAAAAAAAAAAAAACAAAGCCCCGGTTTAAAATTTCAATTTTACTATATTATTATTCTCCTTACTACTGCTTGCCAGATTGTGTCGTTGATTCGCCCGCTCTAATAAAAACCTATCAATCATCCCCCTTTTTCCAAGTTTCCTTCGCTCAATCTCGGCCATTTCGGTATGCAGCAAAAGGCGAGAAAAAAAAAGGGGGGGGAGGTTGCGCGATTGGGAGGTTCAGTTTGCGTTGATGGGACAATTGGACGGCTTAGATCCTTCAACGCATTTGCCGATTCAGTTCTTCAGGGGGGAAGGCTCCATGGAAAAGAAAATAATACATGGTTTTGACAGAAACTAACTAGGCTTTGATCAATTAATGTGAGAGCTAAGATTTTCGAAAAGTGGGCGCGCCCTCTCGCCCCAACGCAATTTTACACCAATGTCAACCTCAGGAATTGGAATCGCTGTGGCGATAAGACGTATTCATTTAGATATATGGGTAACACCCGCTTGCTTGGGTTTTCTCAGCTTTTCATCAGAGTTTTCTGATGGAGAGAGAGGCGGCTGAGGCGGATCTGGTAATGTTCCAGTATCCCCACCATATTATTTCGCATTGAAAGAGTCCTGGACATAAGGACGCCAATGTCCACCAGGATAAACACCATTACCTGCCCAACTAGAGCCTCTCTCAAAGTTCAGACTGAAAACTGGAACGCTCGAATGCTTTGAGACATGGGTTGGTTAGGTGGGGGAAATTCTGCAGGGCGATTCATCCATTGGGTGATTCGGTAAATCAATAAACAATCGATCCCCTTTTTTGTCCAATTATATTATCTTACTCTTGCGAAGCTTGTCTGCACTTTCATTATGAAGTTAGAGAGAGCTCATTATTTTTAAGATATTTTTCTCTGCATTGTTCCTGTTTGCGTATTTATGCTGCTTCCAACACATATATATGCAGCGTCTCTCCTTCCTGACTGATGTCGGTACCAGTCCCCCGTTCCTGGTAAGCTTCAAATCTGGTGACATCAATTCGATACCGGCACTCGACAGCCATTTTTATTTGGGAACTGGGAATAAGTATCGAGACATGGTTTCTTGATTTGAGGGTTGGGTTTTCAACACTTTTGAGGAAGGCCTGGGGGGATGGAAACAGACTCCTCAGTTGGTGTACCAGTAATTTGTGTCAAAAAAGAAGAAGAGTGACAAAAATAAAAAGTCCAGAAATACTCCCAAGACTAATCATACTAATAACAACAGCATGAAGTGTAGGTGTAAAGAGAAGATCACAAGGAGAAGAGACAAACGTTCTGGGTATTTCTTGATCCAGCTTCATTAAATCTCCCTGCAATCATGAAATTTTTTGGGGGAATTTTTTTTTCTTGTTTCTTCATTTGTTTGTCAGATAAGAAACAGCAAACAAAGGGGGAAAGGAGAGAAACACGAAACACTACCTATAGCCATGAGCTGAAGAGGGGGTGAAAGCGAGAGACCCACAAGCGAAACAACGAAACGAAAGGGATGTCAAATCTTGTCAATCCATCCAAACGGTAATTTTTAGAGATGTTGTCCCCTTTATCCCTTGCCATTAATGCAAAAGAATAGAGGGGCCGTGGCAGTGCTAGTGGTGCTTAAACCTCCTCCGGCACATAATTAAAAACCTTTGAACGTCTTCCTGGAATACCGGTTATCGCAAGATCACCCGGCCTCCCCGACGTGGTGATGCTTGGGAGCCCGCGCATACGCCTCCATCGATCCGTCTGGCGCATCATATCAGGACTCACCAGGAAGCCCCACTTGAGCCAGAAATTATCACCTATCTCCCAATTCTTTGGGTCACAAAAGTGGCCCCCGCCCCGGAACTTACCACCAGCGTCACAGAAATCCATGATTAACTCCATCTCATCGAGCAGGTGAGGCGCATGGTAAAGTGCGATGATGATGGCTTCGCGAAGTTGAGGTATGGGGACCGTGTCGATCCAATATGGATGTGGGTAGTTCAACTGCGCAGGTGTTGGAAGCAGGGTAGCTAGAGGCCCTTCGAACCGGGAAAGGATTTCTGGAGATAAAGTTCTGGTGCCAGGGATGAAGAAATCAGCATTCCACCATTTTGGGGCAGGTGGGTGTTTGGGATTGGAGCGTGAAGGGAGGTAAAAAAATGGAGACATCTGTTCGCCGTTTAAACCGAAAAATTCGCATCCCTTTGGGATTGCGAAGAGCTTTTGGATTTCGCCCCCGAGATATAGTGTTGAGTGAGCGTTGGAAGACACAATGCCGAAAGTCTTGTCGAGGGGTAATTTTATTAGCCACGTGTCGTAGCTAATGTTTAGTTCCGAGTTATCTGATTGTAGGGAGTTTGTTGTTGCTGAAGAGTACGGCGAATCGGCGAATCCCCCAAAGTCATATACTGTCTCGGACAAGTCATCCCATGATTTATCAAACCTTGACGGCATAAAACTCCAGTAATCACTTCCTGCCCTTTTCAAGGGCCGCCGTAAGTACGGCTGAGCTGGCTGTGGTTCGGGAGAGATGCTGGGTTCGCCTACGGTAGGGGATTGATGCACATCCTGTTGAGGAAATCTCGACTCATCGGGCTCAGGTTGCTGAAATGCGATACGCTCAGTTGCATTTGTACTTCTTTGGGCTGTGCCTGAATGCTGGCTATGGTAGTCATCATGGCTTTGGACCGAGGAGGAGCAGGATCTCGGGAGGGGAGCTAGTCGATTAGCTGAGATTTTCTCCCATTTACTTTCGTTTGAGGGGGTCGTAGTATCGGACTGTGTGACTATTACGCTGGCCTGATTAATGGAGCTATTGGATGCAGAGACAGGCGACAACTGGGGTGAGGGTGACAATGACAGCCCGTAAAGCTGGTCTGGCCTTTGTAGTTTACCTGTATATTATGGTGTTAGCAAACAGGCATTCTCTATCCAAAAGCAAGGAGGACACAACTCTACAAGCCATACCAAATATGCGCACGGAATCAATGCGACAAGTATAGGATGAGAATCTATCATCATAAAACGCGGGACATATTTTCGTTTGATATTCCTCAAGCGAACGGGACGGCGGGATTTTCTGTTATGGCCGTGTTAGCGAGTTAAATAGGAAAACTCATAAGGACGGCAAGTTTGGGAGAAGCTCCATACTCCTGTCACATATTCCAGGTCATCACATGGTAACAACACGTCTGAAGGTATCGAGTGCAAAGTGAAATGAGCTCTAAGCCGGAGAGAAACCAAATAACCGTCAAAAATATAGAGCTCCCACCATGTTCTCCTCCAGCTCTCCTCGTAGACAGAAGACACATCTCCCGTGTTGAACTGGCGGTTGTTCATCCCCAGCTCGACAGCAAGCTCAATGGCTTGCGACAGGGTCGAGCTGGCGAGGGTTGATTCCTTCCCAAAGTGCAGAGCAATGGCAAACAAAAGTAACGCTTGAACCATATACACATTGGGAGTTAAACTTCTATTTAACAATGCCGAGTTTGCAGCGTCTCTGAAATGGCCCGTTTGCATTGCAGGATCGTGAAAGGATGCGATATACTCAATCGCTGCTTGTAAATGTCCCAAGTCACCCCGCTCGAATTCCTCGACAAGGTATTTGCGGGGCAAAATAAACGGATGGGAAAAGAATACACGAGAGTAGAATATATCAAGTAAATGTGCGGAATGAACGATTTTAGCCGGTTTTATAGCTGGAAATCCATCTAGGACCTCCTCTACATCCGACGTACTCGAAAAATCGACCGAATCGAAGCGATCCGGCACATCAGTCATCCATCGGCGGAGCTGAGAGTCTAGAGAGTGTGGTTTGAGTTAAAGGGTTATTCAATACAAGGGGTTGAGACACGCAAAATCTCAATGACGCATGCCAAATATCGGCATAGCGCGTGAGGGAGGGAGGGAGGGAGAGAGAGAGAAAACTCACTCGAACGAGATGAAGATTGATTGCTTCCCTCAGGGATCGTCAACTCGGAGGCCGTCTCGACATTCTCTCCTTCTGACCTGGTGCTGCTACGCAAGTCTGAGAGTCGCGCAGCCTTATTGATGGCACCGTGCTTAATGCTGGGTCGTCGACCTCGTCTTGACAAGACAAACACACACTGTCTATCATCCGCACGACAACGCGAGCATACAGGCCCGCCATCGCATTTCAAATGCCGTTCACGGCAGTTGGTGCAGGTGGTGGAGACATTTTTCTTCGGCTCCTCAAGTTTTCTCTGCTTCGACCGATTCATTACGATTGCGAAATGGCATGGACTTGATTCATACGGTAAAACCGACGATGGGGCAACAGTGGAGGAGGATCGTTTCCCGCCCTATGGAACCTTTATGGGCTCTTTCGCGATGGCGAACAGTGAGATTTTCATATGGTGGTGGTCGTCGTACATCAACACCAACAGTATCCCATTTCTCTTGATGAAATCTCGAGACGAGGGGGGAGATGGAGATGGACAGCGTTTGCGAAGGTAAAAAGTGTTCTGTAATCGTCGCCTCAAAGCGAAGCCGCTGGCGCCATCGTCCGTGTTCTCTGAGTTTGGTGGGGGTTCAGGCCCAGCGGCCAATGGACACGAGCTTGCTCGGCGCACTAGATGATGCGGATCGTAGAGCTGGGATTGGGCTGGCCGTCGTGGCGGGCGCCCGCAAACATTCCCAAGCAAGCTTTGGCTGGCATGTTCCAGCCTTTCAAGGCCAATCAGACATACGTAACGCAGGCCATATTGTTGGATCGATAAAATCTGTGCTTTCGTCAGACGCCATCCCAGTAATCTTCTTTTCATGCGATAGGTTTAAGAGTAAGTCCCTGGTAAGTTATTTGCCCTGAAGAGCTACTAACCAGCCATCGCTGTGAGCCATTCGCCGCGGCCGAGCCCTCCCTGCCGCCTCGAGGAAGCCATTGGCCTCTCAGGAACCAGGATGCATCGTGGGCGTTCACTGCAGAGCGTGGTCCGCGCCAGCTGCAGAGATTTCAACGGGAGATAATCTTGGAGGTAAAGGGGTCGTGTGAAAAGTTAGCAAACGCCGTTTCCACTTGACTCCCACACTTCATCAATTTTATCTTTTGTGGAGTTACCACCTCTTGGGCGATCAACAGGGTCCCGTGAAGCATCACATACTGCATATTAGGCATCACGCAGCACTAGCCCGCCCTAGCATCGTCCTGCATGGCATGTCAACAACTGCAGGTTCCGTTTGCTGAACATTTAGGGGTTACTGGAATAAGGTCTCAACTTACAATCTTGCTCGAGTTGCCCCTCCACCTCCGACTCGTATTCTCAGGTCATATGGTTTTCGATTCACCATTGAAAGGACATGAAAAATCATGCATGATATACAGTCCAGCCCGTACATATCCCAAGATGGGAGATCTTTCCATAAAAGTTGATTCTTTCGGCGTAATGGCTAACCCCCTGGCTTCCCCACACGGGAGGGCCTGCAACGTTCAATTTCCCCATATCCTATCAGTGTATTGATGGCGAAGAGCAGTTTCAAATGCATCTCCTCGCGACATTGAGATTCTACATCCCGTGGCCAGTTTTCAGCCCGATATCCTCTTAAAATCGGTACCTGGCCATCAAGGCTGCGTGGTGGTCTCAACAATTCGAAAAATCAATTCGGCCTTCAGGACCCAAACGGATCTCACGGGTTCTATGTGACGATTCCAACTCATAGCAGTGTGACTGATGCATATTTTGTTATTGCTCAACATATGAAACTGGCAGATATCCACGCTTTAAGCCCTCATGGAACTTTGTTGAAGCATGGACCTCCACCTTGCAAGTCGCTCCTCTTCATCTGTCATCTGGCTTTGACCACTTCACCATTAACCATACACCATAACCATCATGTCATAATCATAAAACACGTTCATGACATAGTGCAAATGCCATCATAGGACATCATATCATGATATATGGGAAAACACAGGATTAAGTATGTCTATCCCAACGCCCTAGTAAGATACCTAGGTATATATAGCATGTACAGTACAAACAGGCCTCCTTTTCCTACCAGCACATGTGTACAAGTCTTCAACTCAATCATGAGAGGGAAAAAAAAATTCATTCCTTCAAGTCTTTAGGTGGATGTGGCTCCCTGACTATTGTTGACATCTCTACCACCTCTACCACCCCTTGTGCGGAACCACAACCATCTCTACCCCAGCCACTTCCACCACGTTCTAAAGTCGAAGGGGGAGGAACATTGTTGTACAACTGAGGTCGGAAATTCAGACTGTGCTGGATAACTCCTTCAAGTGGGTCCGTTCTCTCAATTTCACCAAAAGTTCAATAAGTTGTATATGGAGAACACAACTAAAATTTATTGAAAACAGCATGGTATTGATGACCACATCCTGGAGAGATTTATAATGGAAAGGCAGGGAACACCCCGAGACTTTAGGCTCCCTAGGGTTATATAGCTCATGTTGAAAAGTCCCATGTTCTTGAAACCCTGCTATATAAATCCGGGGTATTATCTCTCCTGACGGCGGAGCCGCTAGAATCATCAACAGCATTGAGCAGGGCGGAGCAGAGAAATTTCTCTATTTCCAAAATTACACTGAGTGCGAAGAGGCACACTTTCTCACATGTTTTCTGACTAAATCAAAAGAGTTAACCGGATATTTCCCATCTCCACAGCTGGAAAGCTCACGGATGCAGCCGTCCTCAGAATGTCCGAATCTGTTAGCCAAGTGGTTCTTTGTCTCGGCTTGCTCAGTTACAAGCAACGGCCAATCTCTATTTAACCATATTTTCGGGGATCTCTCTAACTCGAGAATCCCCGATTAGCCACCGCCTCCTTCACCCACCCGCAGCCCGAAAGCAAGCATTGCGCGAAGTATGGACAGGGCTCAGAAACATGGCATCTTTTAGTCAACTCTTCGCAAGGAATAGAAAGGACCAACTGAATTTTGGGATATTAGATTGAAATATGTGCCCTTGCATATTGTATGGTGTTCTGAGCAGTATGCAAAGTGACAATATTTTCCCTAGTCAAGATGGGCGCCAGAAATGATTTTAATGTTGCTTATTTTATTTCGTTTTATTTTTTTATAAAATACCATCCAACCTATTGAAAAATTACAGCACAAGGGTATTGCCACTAGTAGTATTCTTTGAGGGTCACATCAATGAATCCCGTTCCAGACGGCGAGGGTGTAAATATTTGCTCATTTTGTATAAATCCACTCGCCACCCGATAATAATTTACGTTTAATACGGGCCAAAATTCGAATATATTCTAAATACGGAGTAGTGTAGTAAGCAAATAACATTGTTGGTCTATAATTATACTCGACCGTTGTTACTAGTGCGGAAACTAAATAGCTATCGCAGGAAAAAATAATATCACAGGCGTGTCTATATTTAAATCAATGCGCCGGTCTCTGATCAACAACTAACCCACCTAGCCCATCATAGCAACAAAACGGTGGAAGAAGGGAAATATCATTGGCTCCATAGCTATCTCACACCCAGCGCGAGAAACGACACAAGAGATCCAAGCCACACATTACCTCCCGAAATCTGATCGAATCCACCGATAATGCCGAATCCCCTTCAAGGGTTAAACACAAACATACACCAGTAAAAGAAAAGGCGGATCAATTACGGGACCCTTCTCCCCGTCTTCCAACGCCCGAAATAATTTTCTTGCCTTTGCGTGCTTAGCCTTTCAAATCCTGTCTCGGGCCGGTGGTCTAAGCCAGCAGAAATCGGGCGCAAACATGGGGCACGGGGGCTTTGACCGTAACCTGCCCACATGCAGATTATGAAGTAGAAGTGCACTGCACCCCGTCCAACCGGGTTATCATGATAGCCAATGAGGCAAGATTGAAATTTCCAGCGAGCCTGCGCTGGAGTAAGAGGTTCAGTTGGAGGAGTAAACCGAGATGACGGTCTCAGACATAAAATCGGAAAAAAAAAAGGGGAAAGAGAAAGAGAAAAAAAACAATTGTAAAATTATAGATTAAATTAGAAGGCACGGAAGAAACAAAATGAAAAGCGCCCAAGACAGGAGATTTTTATATTAAGTAAAAGAGAGCAAACTCGTAGCAAAAAAGAGCTTGTCACCTGCTCCTTTCCCTTCATACATTTCAAACGTTCCACATGTCATGTTGTCATTATGATTTTGCTGGCTCGTTGCGACATCCCATCCATTGATGGTGGAGTAGGCGAAATGGCAGGTAGACAGGAGGGAGTTGTTATATGCTCCTCGGCCAGCAAGGAGAAACTGTATGTGATGTGCAACCAAGCTCCTTCTCTCATCCACCCGCCATTGCCTGGGTATTTCTATATGCTTTCTAATGTATAAAACCGCAAATAAACAGAAAAAATGAAAAACATTCAATCCAACTAAATGATGCGAGATGGATGATGAATGACAGAAAACAAACTAGTCTGAAAACACGTAAAACAAGAGCAAGATAGCGGCGGCTCTCCAGGAGCACGATATGCTTTGAGAGTTAAGACAGCAAACCGGAAAACAAGAAAGAGAAAAAGGAAACCTGAGAGCGAAATAGCGAGACAATGCGGAAATAAGATGCATATGAGTAAGCATCCCCTGGCCGCTTTTATCCTCAGGAGTGAGGAGTAGCGGTCGAACCAGTCGACGGAACAGTGACCAGAATCGTTGGGCATGGTCCATGTCGGCCCACTTATAGAGCATACAGGGAAGGTATTATTGGAAATTGAGATACGACGGGCGAAGTAGGCAGCGTATCTAGAGAAGGAACAGCCTGCATTCCTGGAAAAACCCGGATCGAAAAATCAATAGGGATCGAAAAATAACCGCTATTCAAGATCGCAGAACACATTAAGTCGATAGTAGGATTTGTCGGGAACTGTTCAAAGCGATAACGCACAGCGCAAATCACTCAAGCAAACTCTAGCAAGATTTCGAGCCGGTGATGATCCTGGATGCTGGATATCCAACAGGTAACGTAGTGGCTATCTCGAGGCATTTTCCGACTCAGGGATGCCATCCTAACTCCGCGTTGCTTCCAACCTCCAGCTCTCTCGAACATGTTGCAATCCAGAGAAGCAAGACTCTAACGAAATGGCCCCTTTCCGCTGGAGTAACCGGAATCAGGCCAGTTCATTCCAGGTTTTGTGTGGGAGTTGGAATCCGTTCTCTGCGCCGAATGGACTGAGCATGCGTAGCCAACAAGGACTGTTTTCTCCTGCACTATATGGCCTCGTTGACCATAGGCCTCGCACGGGTCTACCGCATGGCGGTGATAGAGACAGCGGCAGACCGAGTACCTTTCAACAACTTGGTAACACATTATTTTTTATTTTTATTTTTGGTAAAATCTGTCCGTGTTCTCCTGATACTTGGCAATCTGTTATGCCCAGAACGATCGTCGGTATCTAGCAATGCGCAAGGAGGAATGAATAAAAGTCGCAACGATTGAAATATTGCGACGTCGCGGAAACAGTTCGACGTTCAAGCCCTCGACGGCTAAGAGATGCAAATGCGGCAGAGGATTGGATATTATTTGGAAAATGGCGTAGTTGCAGGTATAAATGCCTCCAACGCGATGAAAACAGCACCAAATATGCAGAACAAGGAGAATAGCTAGGAAATGATAAAAGATATTAAAGTCTAGAACGATACTCTACTTCAAAGAATGAATGGTATGAATGAGATGGATGACATGAGAAAAACTGATGCGTTGGAGGTGACAAACAGTGTCATATATAGTCAACTGGAAGCAAATACCAAAGGCATGGAGTCGCGAGGCAGAAGCCTGGATAAGCGGAGATAAGTCGCAATCAAGCCTAGAACTGAAAGGGGACGAAACTACCCAGGCAATTCCAAGGCTTGGAATTCGCGGACCGATTCTGCATCATGCTCCGCCTGAGGGTGAAAAATTACGGTTCAAAAGTGGACAAGAAACGGCCAACTTGGCCTCCAGCAACTGACCGTTCCCCCGGAGGTGGGTAAAGAGCAATATCCTGCTAGTCATGACCTACATAGCCAAATGGAAGTGACTGCGGACATACCCGAAAATAGTGCTCGAGCCAGCCAGGCCAGTTCATGTTGAAATTGGTTGAATCTTGTTACCATGAGGGGTCAGAGTGCCTGCGAAAGGAGGGATGAGAATGTCACACTTCCAGCGAAATCCGTCAGGCAGCCCCTCTCGGCTGGTGCTTTTGTTAGTATCATTAACTGGTTAACCTGTGGCTGTTCCCTGTTCATCCACCACTAGCTCCCTAAACGTGGTGTCATTGCCAAGGAGCTACTCACGACAAATGGTAAGTGCCCAAGCGCACATAATCCTCATACGATAACTACGGCTCTGCCAAAGACGTCCCGCAGAATATCGGGCACTTCGGTATTGTGTATGGTAAGACTGAGGCTGGAGAGGTCCATTGAGCCAAAGCGCACAATTTGGTCACGACAGACGCTTGCTAGGGCATCCTTGGCTCTCAGCCCGACTAGTGTGATCGACGGTGTCATCCGCTGCCCTGGAAATAGCAACGGCGGTACGTTCCACCGACTCCAGCGGCCTGTCGCAAGTCAGCATCTGACCGTTTAATTGAGGCTGGTGTAAGACCAAGGTCCCGACGCAAGAATAGTTACATGGTATGCAGTTTTGCGGTATTGACACCGTGAGGTAGTCGGCTGTGCGCCCGGTACTTGAACATGGTAGTAAGCGGTAATATTTACTATACCCCCGTTAACCTAGAAGCAGCGGTGGCGGGACCTGCATGCACTTCGAAGCGGATGGCTGGCTGCATGAGATCGCTTCTCTATCTTTTCTTTCGTGCCTATTAAAACAAATTTTTAGCTTTCTTGTATGACGGGAAGGAAACACCATTGGCCCGTGGAGGCATCAAAAATTTCGACAGTACTGCTACATTTCAACCCTGATCCTGTTTGTTCTAGCTGAGTCAACGAGTAGCCGGGGTATATGTCAAACAAAGGCATTCTCTGTTCTGTTTTAGAAGAGTTGTTTGTTATCCCTAGAGGGTACCAGCTCAGCATTTCTATCAATATCATCATATTCCAATTGAAGTAGAATTTGGATATTTGTTGTTGTTTTGCAATCTACATTTCAATCAGAAAACAAAATATTATGAACTAGTGTGATGACAGCTTGACCAGCCGGGCACTAGTTGAATCCGTCCCCTTCCGTTCAACGAACCTCAATTCAGTAGAAATAAATGAAAATGGTACGATGTCTGGGAACTGCACGTCACCAAAGCCTCAATATTCACATCAAAAAACGGATGTAACCTCGAAGCTTGGAGCGATGACAGAACACATGAAATCCCTGGCAATTCAGATTATCGCGAAATCCTGAGAACATGCACCGGCTGAATTCGAGCAACCCTTATCTGGTTTATAATGGTATTGGTACTAGTATTGTCCAACCCCATTTTGTCATGACCTTCTCGCAAGGAGAACTAGACTACGTGCGAGAACATCTGCGCAGGAGCATCGTCGCTGTGTACTATGTATGACCTTATTCAGTTTGCCACTTCAAGATCATGCAAGGAAGAGCATGCATAAGACCTCAACCGATCATCCCGAAGAGCCAAAAAGGGAACTAGCGTGTTAGGGACACAAAGAAGCATTGCGGCATTCAATAGAGAAAATATTCCCCGAGAAGGAGGGTGCTTCAGCCCTACGGGTTCCGTCGCACCAGATGCATCCAGGGCTGTTCCTCATTCCGAAGTTGTCTGTCAGCCCTGCGCGGAGGTCGGATTCTGCAGTCGCAATGTGGTTCTGCTGATTGGCTGGTTTGGCGAGCCGAAGTTTTGCTCCATGGTTGGGTCAGCCCTACGCCTTGGCATATAGGCGCCTAGCCTAATATACACTAGTGTATCGTGGCCTGAGAGCAGCCACATCAATCGCCACAGATCTAGCCCCGACTCAGCCACCCCTGCTTTCAAACTTCTAAGGGGCAATATAGTATCGTAAAGGACGGCGGCGGGCTTTATTTCGAAATGCGGAAGGAGTTGCTTATTTTTGTCTCCTCTCCTAGAGTAACGCCAAGGGTTTGTTTATCTTCACATGAATACTAGTGCCTGGCTCAATGAAGGGTTCAAGCTTGTCCTTGCTTGCTCCTAGCATTCGCTACACAATAACGGCCAATAGAAATCAAACTATCCACTGCGATAGAACGCAAGGACTTCCTAAAATGGAAGCGTGTTATGTTTAGATGTTTTTGGGACACGCTTATGGCTCTGGAGAGTGCAGTGCAATTATGAACAGCCTCAATTGTGCTGGAACGGGGTTCCTCTAACCATTCAATCTTCAGTACTAGTATACTAGTAGCTTGCAGATTAGGTGCATAATATCACTTTGGGGGATCGCTGACCGCTCTATCGCGGGCAGCATCTACCGTCACTTATCCCAATCCAGTCCTGAAATAGCGGTCTTGGTCAGCCGTTTCTACCGTTTACTCATCAAGCACCCCACAAAAGCCGATTGGATACCCTGTATGATTCGGCCAGATTCAAATTTATATCTTCGGACCGTATATTTCGGACAATCCGAATTGTGTTACAGGTATATCCCAGAACCCATATGTGTGTGTGTGTGTGCTTGTGTGCACACGCTAACACTAGCAACCTTGAAGGGGTTTGTCCCATCAATCAATGCTGCTTGCCCCAGGCCTGAAATCTGCCTTGCAGAGGCTCCAGAGTGGCAAAGGATTTCATTGACATAGATATCCTGAAAATGACATGCGCGGGGCAGGCCCCACCCCTCGAAATGGCAATTGTGACAAAAACATTTGATGACTAGTAATCTCTCCGCCGTAACTACAGGAAATAATGTCTATTGATGAGGTGGAGCTGCGCAATTTTGAGATTTCCCCATTAGGAGGGGATTAAATACCGAAAGTATTCACGGAAGATTCTCGTCGAGGCAATGCTTGGGATGCCCTCAGTAGATGCCTTCAGATTACTGTTATTCTGCGGAACTGGTGTTGGGAGATTTGGAAAAAGAATGCGAAAATGGCGAATTTTATCGTCAATCCAACGATATTGTTGATAAGAGGGGTTTAGCTTGCCTATCCGCTTCCATGTTTCCATCACCGTTAAAGGAGAGTACTTCTGCGACTATGATATATTTGGCAGACAACTTGAAATGTAAAACAAGTCTAAAAACGCAATGCCCATTTTCCCTGCGCTGATCAAACCACATCCCATCGAATCACAGAGAATATGCACTGCCTGTGCATTCATTCATCAAGCCAAGCCAGCTGAATCAGGCTGGCCTAAGCACGGTTGCCGGCATACGACACCTAGCAAACTTTATCCGGATTCTTTTTCTTTTTCTAGGTCCCATGATCTAGTTGAAGCCTGGGTGTTTGCCAATTCCATGGTTTGTTTGGGTTGTGTATCCGTTCTATTTTATTCTTGTCCGGGTCTTCTTATTGTGTGCTGCGTGGTTGGGTTCTTTAGTTGCTCCCCGTTCAGGGAGGGCCCAACTTGGTACTGTAATCCTTGCCCTGTGGAAATCAGCCTCGGAGCATATGAATCCTTGCGACGAATTAAGGTTGGAGCTGGGACCAAGCCTGTCCCTTTCGGCAATTTGTCATGCTCACAAGTCTCCTCGTCCTTATTGTTACTACTCAACGAACCTGTCAAATGTATCCGTCCATTTACTTTTTCTTTCCGAGTGAGCCAATGTGTGCGACGCAGCCCTGCATTCTATTATTAATCCGATATTCAAGTGGAATCCCATTCTTAGACGGATACCACGACCGTGAAGAACCTCTGTAGAGTGCAGATGCTGTTTGCATCTGATGGATCTGATGTATAACCAGGAAAATAGAATGTAAAAGGAACGGGATCAAATGATGTAGCCCACAAAACAAAATTCATAGCCATACAACAGCAATGTTTCGAATGTGTTCACCTGCTCATAGTGTATTGGAAAACAGGAAAGAATTGTTAAAATGCAACAAGGAAATGCAATATACATGTTGATGACTTGTCTTGCATCACACTATTGTTTTATTTTTGAAGAAGGAATAAAGTGAAGAGGAAGATGTGGCTGTTATGCATCGAAAAGCAAAAGTAGAAAAAGCAGAAAAATGAAAAAAAATAGATATAGAAAGGTAAATAACCAACCGAGAAAAAGAGACACATTTATATCGTTCGTAAGGAAATGAACGGGATGGCAAATAGAGCAGGCTCCCCTCAAGACGCCAGAGCTCCAAAGCTCAATCCCTTAGCGATCTGAAGCCTCAAGATCCTCAGGATATCCTCCCCTTTGACATCTCTGTTAATTCTCGTTCTCCAATCCCAACCTCTCTTTACTTTAGCTACACCTTGCTTCGAATTTGGGCGGGGAATAAGTACACCCGAATTCTCAACGGATGTTCGCCCGCCGTCCTGTTGACGACTTTGGGATTCGAGCATTTCACTGCCGATGAGAGAAAAGCCGCTGACTGCAGTCAGCGATGAAACTGATTTTTTAAGTAGATTGCGTGGTGGACTGGCAAAGGACGATACCGGAGATCGGACCGATTCGTCACCAAATGATGTGTTCGCTATGTCGTCGTAGTTGAAATGGTGGTAGAGGGTAGATTGTAGACATATCTCGCACTGGTCATAAACGCGCGATGTAACCGATTGGAGATCTTCCACAGCGGCGAGGACGGTTAATAAGTGGTCGGTTGTGAGGAATCGATTGGGTTCTGGAAATTGCATCATTAGAATATTCACAAATGGATGGAGAACAAGGGCGATAAAATAACATACCATCTAAGAACACAAGAGCTTCCCCTAACAGTACCAACAACCCATCAACTTGAACTGATGTCTTCCTTTCCCCATCGTATAATCCACCGTAGATGCTGTCGGCTGCACTGCGGATGACCGCAACAAGAGTTTCAGCTGCGGCTCGTTTTCTGGCCAGAGGGCGATATTTTGGTTGTCCCCCTTTTTGGCAATGAACCTCTTCGTCACGAATGTCATAGAAGCGCCTCACAGCGGCATATCCGCAGAAATAGAACTGGAGCATGCCAGCCGCCTCTTGGTCAACAGCTGCAATTGCGGATAACGCGGCTCCTGGGTTGTGAAGAAGAGATCGAAGTTGATCATCAAGCTCAGATGCCGGAGGATATGCGGTGGATCGGACAAGGCAAAAAGATGTGAGAAGGTCGACGACGTTCTTTACCTTTTTGTAACTATGGGCTCTTGCATAACATATAAGGGCTGTTCCGTATTCTTCGGATGACTCTGCTATCTTGTCTCCATATCGCTAATGCCACAAAAAAAACAAGTTAAGACAGGTAAAAGAAAAAACAATTGCTCTTGATTGGAACTCACCTCAGAAACCTTGCGGCCTTCGTCATTGAATCCAAGTTCTGCACAAAGCAGAACAACCTTATCCATATGCTCAGATGTTTCAAGAGGAACACGGTCAAGCAGCTCTGTAACTCTAGTCTTCATGATCTCTTGGTCATCAAGACGACTCAGAACCTCGAGCGCAACTTCCCACCCATCCCTCGCACCTGTAGGACATTCAAGTGGTTTTCGATCAAAGAGTCCCATTGCATAATTAATCAGAATATCATCTTTTCGGAGCGGCTTCTCGTTTTTGCCGTAACTCAAAACCATGAGGTCATTTTGATTGAAACCAGGCATTGGTTTGGAGCCAACGGATGTCTCTAGCCATCCGCCAAAGCTTGCAACTTCAGCAACAGCAGACGCGATAGGCACTGACCAAGTTTGTAGCATTTCCAGTACTCCCTCGATGTTACCTTCAAAAACTGAAGCCAAGCCCACCTCCATGAAGTTCATCGAATTAACCTGAAATCCTTTGTCACCTAAATTTTCGGTTACGTTGGCAAATGAATAGTCCAACCGACGCAAGTATGCTTCCTCTGTATTTGAATCTACTGAACGAGGAGCTTGCGACTGAGAACGCTTCATCACGCTTCGGTTGAGATTTGTTTCTCCAGAAGAAATATCACTATCGTCCGCGCCGTCCCACCAGGCAGTAAGACCAACCGTAGCCTCTATCCAGTCCTGTGATTTGCTTAAGATCGAGGAGACATCTCCAAGCATGATGTTATACATGGTCTTTAAATTCTGATAAATTGTCCAAGGAACTTGGCTCTCAGCCATTCGGGTGGACTGAGAGAAAGAAGATGCGTTTCGTTGGTTAAATATGCCAAAATTTGGTGCTTGGAACTGGTCCCGTGCCTCAGGACCGCGGTTCTGACCTTCAGCTAGATTCTCGAGTTCGGTAATTGCCGCAGTGATCTGCCTTCGGTACATCGCCCAGTCAAGGCTCTTAATGTCCCAATCATTATTTTGGACGCCTGGGGAGGCGCTAAGCAATTGAATCGCGCTATTGACACATTTTTGGATGTTTTGGAGCTGGCCCCCTCGGTAGCCAGGTTGCTCATGGCCATCTTCCATAGCCGACCTAGCATAATTGAAGTCTGAATCGCTGAGAAGTTGGATGGCTGAAGATAAATTCCCACGTAATATTGAAGTTTGAACGACACCCCAGAATGTTGGGGATGCGGTGGGATTTGGTTGAAAGCCCCGAACGGCATCGGGGTCAGATAGTTGTGTGTTATGGTGGCGGCTTAACCAGTTAAACAGGACCTTGGGAATCGGGGTTTTAGCTTTCAGCTTGTTAGGCGTAAAGGCGCGGACAGCACCAAGACGGGCAGGTGAGCTTCCTTCATGGGTTCTATTTTGTTGAAGTTGGGGGTGATGGAGTGGAAGGAGAAGAGATCCAAGGAAATTGGCTTTCACAATATTTGGAGCAGATTCCCCCGGACCTATGCTAGACGTCCTGCAGTGTTTCTGTGCCGAAGGTGAGGTTGTTGTATGTCGTTCCCACAAATCTAAAAGATCCTTGGAAATTTCACACAGAGCCTGTTGAAGACCGTCGTCATCGTACTCAAATTCCCGGACCTGATCGTACATTCGGCCAACTATATCCTCACTCTCGATAATAAATTCATGAGGTTCGCTAACCATTGCAATCTGGGACCTAGAGGCCAGATCACGGGCGATTGATGGAAACACGGAGGCATTCTTCCTTTGCGTTATTTTGGGTTTGCTTGTTGGTGGTTGAACCCATGTTTCATCCAGCTTCGCTCGCTTCGCTTGGCCTGGGTTGGAGTAAATGAAGGGTTTGTGAGCAGGAGCGTGCACTGGAGAGTTGACAGATGCACTAAACCGCGAATCTAGGAACCCCGTACGACTATCCTCCATGTCATCATCCTGATCAATGTCATCAGTGTAAGAGTCAAAATCACGACTTGACCCTGCAGTATGCCCGTTGGTATTTGAGTCCCGAAAAGATTTATTGCCCGGAGAGTCGAACGTATTACGGGAGGCAAATCGAGGGCCATTGACTTGTGGTACGGGGAAGTTGGACGAGGTGGTTGATAAACCTAGGTCCTCTGAAACTTGCGAGTCCATAGACCGGTCAAATGAAGTGACCCCAAAGTTCAATTTGGTCCTGGTGCTTCCCAACTTCGAATTCCCAAATAAACTGGATGGAGGGGCCCCTAACGGAGTAGTTGAAGGAGGGGGCCCAGCCGGGGTCGTGGACGCGTTCCTCGAGAACCTCGAATATTTATCTGGAGTTGAAGGAGGCAGACTCGAGCTGAATGGCGCAGAGAACGCCATGTTGGTGAAGTCACGGCGGTGACCAGGGCGCTGTTGATGTGGTTGGAGATCGCAGAACTCACAACAAACACAGGGTGAGGTCCGCAATGTCTGCTCCTCCACTCTAGGTCCAACTCAATATTAGTATGTTAGGCTCTGGAATAGCAAAGTGAATCTATGAAAACCGTTGTCGGAGACAATTTAGAGTTGGTTCAATATGGGTGAAACGTAGGTCCACTCGCGACCTCTTCAGCGAAGCTAAGAAATGTTGACTTGCAGCAGGCCGGAAAAACTAAAATTCCGCATTAGTTGGGTACGTGGTCATGTGATCCACAACAGAGCAAGTTTTTCCGACCGAAAATTTAAACTACACCCAGCTTTTTTGACAGTCAACGTCCATACCCGGCAATCTATAACGGTTAATTAGAGCAGTTTGGCATGCCCCAAAGTTCAAGTTACTGGGAGTACGCTGATGAAATAAAAACCAAGGACACTTCAAATGCCATCGCTTTTTATCTATGAATTCGGAAATAAAAGCGCACAATCACGGCACATAAGTTATGGATTGCCCGGTCCAACTCCACCTTTCACCAAGAACGAAAAATCATTATTCCCCCACATAAAAGAGGTACAGCAGCAGCACTGGACAATGTATCAGGTAATTTAATGAGAACCATGCAAGATCTCACCAATGGCTTGCATACCCGCCATATGACTTCCATACGTTTGGGTTGATATTTACTATAGTGTCAGCAGCTGAGCCTATTCTCGCTTTTGGCACGTTACTGGAGATATGTACACAAAACATTCTTGGGGGAGCGGGGAATGGCAATACAGCATTAAATACAAAATATTGGTGTGGCTGTAATGGCCTTTGTCACAGAGCATCGATGGTTATCCTAAATTCCTAAACCCGTTACGCCAGCTGACCTGACTTCTATCTTGCCCCATGGATCTCACGCCTTAAATTTGGAAGCGCATGTGGGAGATATTTTTATGTCACTGGGGTTTTCTAGAAAACAATTCGACTGAGAGTGTGGGGTTGTCGTGAGTTAATAACTGCTTGTTAGTTCGTAGGTGCTTGTATCCCGCACCAAAGTCCAGTTCATGGGGGCTTTGGAAAACATTATGTTTCTTGCGCAAGAACCCTGCTCTGTTTACAACTCCTAAGGCAGGTGGATCGGACACCGGGATGTACCATCGTCGTCAATCAGGACACGGCTCTAGAAATCACATCATACGCATAAGTGATCAACCCTCTTAGGACAACCTCTGCCCTTAATAGGTAGATTGGAAGTGATTGTGGGACGGTTCCACTGCGGAACCTTAAACTTAAAAGTTTAATGCAAAATCCTACATAGATACCTCAGCCTTTGAAGGGGACAAAATCACAATCCCATTTCATCTGTTCACTGTTGTTAAAACTGGTCCTATGAAACTGGAACATCTCCCAGTTAACGCCAGAGCACGAACACCTGCTAAAAGATTTTCCACAGAGAATTAATTGAAGCCGCCATTTCCGAATCGCCACCACCATTGGAGTTCATCCCTTCCCCGTAAATAAAACTTATCAAGGTTCTGGTTCCGGTTTCCCTAATGAGGTGAACGATTTTTAGAACAATAGATATGCAGCGTTGAAACCCCTGGTATCACAGTGGCTCCAGGACGATGGCCACTCATCAGTAATCCAATCTGTGTTTACAAGTTTCTAACCGAACGACTACGATCTATCTACGTAGAGTATAGAGCATAATGGGCTATACACTAAATAGAAGTCACATAAAGAACAATATTCAAAAGAATTGACCGTTCGGGAGTAGATCATTTTTGAGTCCTCCCTTTTATTCCCCCGACTCAGGTAAAAGATGGAGACCAAAGTACATTTATTATTTTCCAGGCTTAAATTAACATTAGAAATCTATATTTCCAGTGCCAAGGTTATTTAGCTAATTATGAGAAGAAAGCAGATCCAGCTGATTATGCCGTGTTGTGCTACAAAACGTCCATGCCGTAATTTTCTTCAGACGGCACATTTCGAGAAGTGCAAGCAATGATGGATGCCACGACAAACATCAAACGGGAACATGCGGGGAATTTGAGTGAAACTTTCCAAATTGACCTTTAACTTACCTAGCTTGTTTGGCATTGTTCGCATGGCTCTTCATGCTGCTAACCTTGAAAAATGGAGATGTACCGTCATTGTTCCTCATAGAAGTCGTTGAGATCACGGATCAAATCTTGCGGGAAATGCTCTGCGATATTCATAGCTCACAATTGCGGTGCTCGTACAATGAAACCAATTTAAACCAGCGTCTTCTGAAGCGGGCGTCGGTCCAGTATTAATTGTCGGCCGCACGGTTATTTAAATAGCTCAACCTGGACGATTATTTATAGGCCGAACTAGGTGAAATTCGCTTCAATCTGGAACAGAAAATAGTATTTGTACCCCTGAAATTACCAAATTTTGGAAATCTTCAGTATTATTTTCAATGTTATGTTAGTCGATAAGTAAATGTAATGTACAAGACCAAACTCTAGCTTTCCTTAAGTGTTCGATATAGGTATTTGTGAGAAGTGACGAGTTTTCTCTGACCCATCTCAGCGAACGAAACAGAATTGAATGACTGAAGTCGTCATGGATGCTTTCAATCTTTCCTTCAGAAGCATGACGACATTGTGAATGCGATTAACCCACCCACAGAACTCGGTGATGTCCATCACCACGAGGTAACTTCCGAGAGCTTCCATTTATACACAAGAGAAAAATATTGCTTTGAAAGTGAAAGAAAATGATTCGGCTATTGAGTAATGTCGAATGAGATCTCTCCCTTTAAATTTAGACACCAGCGCGGAGTAGATCTTCCAACTCTTGGGGCGTTAATGTACTTTTTCGACGTGTTGTCTTCGCATTTGATCGTATTGACGAATTACTTCTCTTTCTTCTTTCGCTCTTCTTGCGTTCTGCTTCTGCTTCTTTGGCTTCTGATTCAACATTGGCGAGTTTTTCAGTAGTCGACATCCGTGATCTTGATTTTATTTTGTGCTATCTCCAAGTCAGCTTCTTCGCTAACCAGCTACAATCATATTTGATTTCTACTAACCTTAGGAATTTTCGATTCAACAACCCCCTGGGTTTTCTTCTGGGTATACTGCGCCGCTTTCGATTTAGTCGACAGAGCAAGCTCATCATCGCTATATTCCGAACCGTCTTTCGAACTTCTCCTGGAACGCCGAGCGGATATTTTTCGGGATGCATTTCCAGTTCCTTCGCCAAGAATACGACGATGGTCCATGGTCTTTGCTGGACTCGCCATGGGCACATCGGTAGGGTTTGTGTTTCCTTGGACGTTAGAGTTGCCTTTCCCCATTCCCTCAGTGTCGTTTTCGTTATATATTGACAGGCCAAAGCTTCCTTGTGGCTCAGGTCTACCACGTTTGGGTTTATCAATCCCTAGCCCAAGTCCCATTCCTTGCTTGAGTTCATCAATATTAACCGACAGTCCTCCCTGAGCCATTCGTTTGTGCCATGAATCCATCATTGAAACGGCCTCCTTCCATCGTTCTTCCATCTTTTCCCAGCCGTCTCTCAACCTATATATTTCATTGTCTCGTACTTCAACTTCCTCTAAAGGTACAAACGAGGGATTAGTGAGCAGCGACCTAAGTTGCTCGAGCACCAAGTCCATTTCCGCGGAGAGTTTTTCGTATTGAGGAGTGAGTTCCACAGCTGAGGTCTCGAAGCTGCTACCTTCACAAGCTCTGGAACCAAGCATATCTTGTTCATGGAAGTCCTTTTCCGGTAAATCCGACAGACCCTGCAAGCTCCGTAGTGTTTGAAGTGTATTTTTCACAATGCCAATCATTGCGTCATTCTCGTCACTGAGTTCTTGACATAGATTGGTTAGGAATTCAGTCGTCTCTTGCTTGAGACTATATCCAGCGCTTTCCAGGCCTTCTCCACCTTCTAATGCCTTCCGGCCCGTACTGGCTTTCGGCATGGGCGTTATTGTTATTGTTGTTACCCCAAGTCCCTCTCGCTTGCCTCTTTGCCGGTCAGTAAGATGCAATTTAAGTCTTTGGAGCTCAACATCTCGTTTCCGAATATCCGTCGTACACTGGCTTCTAATATGCTGAATAGAGGTCTTCATGCGCTGTACCTGTTCTTTCAGCCCTCTGTTTGTAGTTTCTGCGCTCTGGATAGTCGCTTTGAGCGCGCGCTCCTGACCTTCTGCAAGGGCCAACAATCGAGACAAATCCGTTGTTTTGGCTTGAAGTCGTTCCTAAAGCAAACCAATGGCCTTGTTAGTATCGGATTTTGAACCTGCAGATGAAGGCTATAACGTACAATTTCAAGTGTTTGCTTCGCTTCTGTCTGTCGTAATGCTTTGATGGTTGTTGCCAGGTTCTCCTTTTGTTCTGCCTCGCGCTAAATAATTATCAGCTTCCATCGTTGCATCACATCATTCAAATAAATAGCGAATACGAACATCTCTCCTCAAAACAAGATCATGAACAAGGTTTATGACTCTTGACATGGTGTCGTGAGTGCCCCCAGGTGCGCTCTCCGGCTGCGCAAAATCGATCGGTTTCCCATTGCGAAGTAACCCTCGAGCAAGTAATAAATTATTAATGTAATCAGAAGCGGTATATAGGTTCTGAGTCTCCATTATGCTGGTTTTTTTGAATACTTGGAACCCAAATACTGGTCCCAAGAGCGTTGTATGTCAAGCCAACACTGTTGAGAAGCAAGCATTCCCGATTAGGAAGAACGTAAACATCAGTCCGGTTGCCGGCTAAAGCTAACAGTGCCAAACAGACTAAATGTTATCCGACCATTAGACGCGTCTTGGCGCCATTAACTAAGCGATGTCAGGCGCGACCAGAACGTTCAACTCATCTGAAACTACTTAGAAATTCCATATCCGAAGTTGCGGTGAATTATCCGATCTGGAATATGTTTAACTGTTTCGAACATGCAGCAATCAGACGCAAGTTCTCTTCAAGCTTACGGACAAGCTCAATATCGTCGCGCCAACTTTCACAGAGCGCTTGCTGCCTTCACCAAGGCAAGTTTACTTCTACATTCACAGATTGGATAAAACCGAACTAAATTCTTAAGTAAATCAGGCGTTGCAACTTGGGGGAGGAGACATTGTTGGCATTCTAGACAATAGAGCCGCAACCCATTGCAAATTACAAGTCCTAAAGTCTGGCCTCCAAGATGGGAAACGGATGATCGAGGAGAATAAAATGGACTCTCGGGTATTCTACAAATTTAAAATACAACTTGTGATATTCAAGATATTCGTGGCTAATATGTACTCCAGGGATATTTGCGTACTGCCAAAATTCTCCAGTTGATGGATAGATCTGACAAAGCCATTCAGACATACCAATATGCGCTTCGCGTATTGCCACTAGATGACCCTGGTCGTCAGGTTCGTTTCCTTCGCGCTACAGTGCCCTACACATAGAGAAGAGTGGAAATCTAATTTTGCATAGCAAATTAACGAATTAGCAGCAAAGTTAAACAAACGATTTAAGCAGGCCATGGACCATTTTGCTCTCTTACCCCTGGAGCTGGTATACATGATACTAGAGTATTTGGATCTAAAGTCGCTCCTGTAAGTTTTTGTCTTGTCTTGTTTTATATTTTCTAATTTTTTTTAAAAAAAAAAAAAAAAAAAAAAAAAACAAAGAAACAACAAACGAGGGAAAAATGACCTCGAACTAAACTAATATGATGGGGGAAAGTTCGGCACTCCGGGTTTCTAAACATTGGAATATGATGTTAAACTCACTCCCAAAGCTATGGATCCATCTTGACCTTTCAAAAGCCAACAAACCCAACGTCTCTCTCAAATCAATTCAAGCATTCCTGCGCAGATCCCACTGGAGATTGACTCGCGCTTCACTAGTCAATCTTCAGCCAGTCGATTTTCCTAGGCTTATGGCCGGGTTACGGCAAATCCCTTCATTAGAACATCTTGAACTTCTAGGAAGCTTTAGCTCGAAATTCGATGTAGCTCCAGTTTACACTCTAACCGGCCTAAGAACCTTGGTCTGTTCAGCGTCATCCGAGATAACACTCGCACACTTTCGGAAAGTTCTATTGGATTGTCCGTTGCTTGAGCGGGTCGAGGTATATATCAAGCCTGCGCCGTTTAGTGACGTCGAAACATTTCCTGCTAAACTGCCAAATCTGCGGTCCTTAATCATCCTTGGATTCGATTATCCTAGATACTCGAACGTTCATTCCCCCCTAAACCTACCGTTTCCGACAAATGTATTTCACCCCAGAGTTTTCGTTCCACCCCAAGTACTAATTTTAAGTGTAGGCTACTCTATTTGATATAATCCCGAACCTGGAAGAGTTTTACCTCATCTACAACTCCGTTATGATAAGAAATGTACCGGAAGTTTCGAACCTGCCGAAACTCAAGCGCTTCGGGCTCCTAGGCATAAAACTCAGTAAATACCCTGAACTGCCCGAATCCCTTGAACACCTCTCGTTATCCATGAGCGAGTATAACCTACCCCCCGGCGTACCAAGTAATGACATATCAGCGATGGCACCTAATTTAAAGACTTTAATTCTCCATCGCTTCCAAGATGATGAATTGGGTCCATTTCTCATTTCTTTCACACAATCGAAATCGTCTCTCACCCACCTCGATCTCGAAGGATGCCACTTACACGTAGAAGACTTATTAATAACGATGATGCGAGGCAACCTGGAAGGTCTCACGTACCTAAACATCAGCGGCCTGGCAGAAATCGACGACAAGGTTATCTCAAACATAATCGATATGGTCCCCAATATCAAGGAACTCAACATTTCCCGAACACAGGTGAAAGAGCACAGCGTGAAGAAGCTACTTGATTCAGATAAGTCGAATCTTAAGAAGCTTGTCGTTCACAAGATGGAGACGCCGTTTAGCAGGGATTTTCTTGACTATGCCAGGAGCAAGGGGGTTGAGATCCCCCCACCTATAAATCTCGAAGGCACGAAACGGGCTCCTGTCACACCGACACCCCGTAGATAAACAGGGGATTTTAGCACAGGTATTGATTTCTTTATGGTATATTTGATGAACGACGCGCGATTGGACTCGTGTTGGCTCTGATGCAGAAATTCTAATAATAGAGATCCAGATTGCTACGAGATGATTCAGATCGTCCTTTTCTGTTCTCGCTCTCAAACTGTTTTTTACCTATTACTGTTGGATTGGCAACGTGTGGTTGTTATGCGTTATCATATACGCGATCAACTGTGTTGCGAGGCGTGAATGCTTGATATTAATTTCCCCCACGCGTGGTGTGATTCATCTTGAGGACTTTATCGAACCAGCTTCTCTTGGAAGGTGGAGAGATTTTGGTTGATGGCAGTTATGCAAGCAGACGAGGCAGCTAGCTAAAAAGAAGTTGAGTGACGACGTGTTTCTAGCAACAAAAGAGTATGAAAGATATTGGTGCATTTATCCTCTTTTAGGACATTTTTTCTCGTTCATATCATTATCCGCCAGCCAAAGAGTGCAAAAATACGATGAAAGGTCAAGTCCAATTGCATTGCATGTGTTGGATATTCAAAATTAACTTAAAGGGAGACGAGAAACTAGTTAATTGAAAATTCAAATATTTGATCAAACAGCAATCTCATCCGATATAACCCAGTCAAAACATGTCTAGATCGAAATATGATCGCAAAAATGGCGGTCCGAGAAATAAGATTCAACCGAAATACAATTCATACTCCGCGCTCTTGACACCATCTGGCAACCTCCCTGTCTAGCTTATCCTTCTGGTCACGCACAAGCGCCATCATCTCATCTGTCTGAGCACGATAGTAGTAGAAAGACTCCATCTTCTGAGCCTTCTTCTGCTCAGAGGACGACGCGCCGTTCTGAGACCCGTTCGTATCAACGGCCGTGGGGAGATCCTTGCTAGTGAATGGGGCCACATACTTATCGTGAATGGAGATCATAAGCTCCAACACAGCGAAAAGTTGATTGGGAAGCCACTACAATGACCATGTTAGTTCTCACTGCAATTTAAGTCGTAACCGGAAAACTGAGTCATGGCGACAGGAATGACAAGTTGGAGACGCGTTGCTAAGGAATTAGAGAGAGTTTTTTTCACTCACCGTGATAATCGGGCTGCCGCCAGTGGCGGTGGGATATGGCGTTCGTTTAATGATGTACTCCCTTGTCAACAGCCAATGTCTCCATCTGAAACTTCGAACATGATCTAGGGCTTTCAAGTACAATAGTACTGTTTCCGCATCTTGGACCGCAAATTCTTGAACGCCAACCTCCTCTGCCTTGGACGCCACATGTGCCAAGAATTGTCGGTGTGGAAGTGGGCGATAGGCACGGAACTCATGTAGAATTTTTGTCAATGGTGTAGATGGCATTGGAATTTGGAGAAGGTGGTCGAGTAGCGGGATCTGTACGAAGATAACTTAGCAACGGTACGCTATACAATGCCACAAGCGATTAGCTGATAATAGATACTTACGATGCTGTCATTAGCGCCACTCTCTCCGCGGAAATTTAGCGGCTTGTTATCTAAGACGCCTTCATAGACAACGCCATTTGGAAACATTGACTGAGATGTGATACCGAAGATAAATACGCGGAACGAGAGATAATCACTAGGTTTGGAGTTCTTCCACATATCTAATGAGAAGATTAATAAATGAAGGTTTTGATTCGTGGAGTTGGACAAATATATTTATATATATATAAAATCAACTCACCTTCCATGCAAGTTTCAACTTTCTCCATCCCCTTTAGGATTTCCCTAAAGGCATCGTTTACTTCTTCACGAGACGAGGGCTCCTTACTTTCTTCCAGCTTGTTGAGTATGCGGACGGCACCACTGACTAAGGCAGCTGATTCCTTCACCATATCAACATGGGTTAGAATGAATCCCGCCTCGGAGCTTTTGGGGTCAAGTCCACGCTCAAAAGCCCGAATAAGCCTAAGATTAGAATACTCTAGCCCTCGTGCGGGATCAGCAACTGTATAGTTGAACAACGCATAGGAAGCTGCATACGACATGAAAGGAGGTATGTCGAGTCTTGTAAAGGGATATCATTAGCAACAATAACTAAATTGGAAAGTGACCACAACGTACATCTCGGCACATCGGTAGAGTGGACGTGCGATACACTTCGGCAATGTTTCCCGGCCAATACCGTAACCACCAGCTGGATCCTTCGACCATCTCTCATAGCATGGCTCAAGTAAGTAAGAAGAGCAAACGAACGTGTAATCCCTAAATACAGCTGTGATCATGAAGCGATCTGGCTTGCCATCTTCTGTGAGGAGCTTATCCACCTCATCGGTCAGATCAGGGAGCTCGGCAAGCACAGCTGGTCCAAGCTCAAAAGTGGCAAGTAAGCCCGGGGACCCGTCTGCCTTGACAACGGGCAGCCGAGAAGTCAACGAGTCCAATGACTTGAAAGCATCAGGCAAGGCTACAGGAGGAAGCTCGAAAGGCAAGAACCCCGATGCGGTGGTGATGGTAAAGGGGTCGATGTCTCTCGAAAGCTTGTCCGGTGAATCAAGGAGATGGGGAAAGAGCTCCAAGGTAGAACCAGTTGCTTCAGACTTCTTCATGGTTACTTTGATAATGGTTGTTGGGCAATAGATGAAGATGGGAGGCGAAAAGGGGCAATATATGGAACCAAAGTACTTGACGTTGAGTTACCAAGTACAGTAGACGGAAGCTAACTGAAAAAGGAAATTCAATGGATCAAACAACAGAAAACGGGCCGAGGAAAGGGCCGATAAAACAGATAGGTGCTTTTCTTGAAGAACAGAAAGGCAGCCAAATCTGCGGGAGACGGTGGCGGATTATATATTCATTGAGGCCGGAATTGATACCGGCCTCTTGCACCGCTATTACGAAACGGATAATGAAGACAACGGAGATCTAGCAACAGGCTCACATCAGGTGATGCAACCTTGTTCCGAACGGGCTATACACCTAATGTCAAGCAACAACATCATAATTCAAGCCTCCCAAGGGCATACCGGCGGCGGCAGTGCTTTATCGACATGGAAGAGGTGTGTTTCTTGGCCTGGAGATTGGAAAGGAGGTTAGAAAAGGGTCAACACACTATTCCCGTTATGGCTAGGCTGCCTCCCCAGATAGTGCTCAACTGCAAATGGTTTATACCGGCTTTGGTTCTCATCTTTCAGCGAAAGCTTCGATTCCCTTTCCCCTCTGCAGCGTTCTGAACTTGCATGACCCGGTAACCAGTGAATAGATGCAAGGAGGTAAAATACATATTTTGCATGTATGTACTAGTCCAGTACAGTGCGTCTGGCAACATTCCACCAACTCCATCCAATCAAACATTTAACGCGGGGATGCAGTTTTGAGAGTGATTCGTTGAGTTTGACATTCTCAATCGAGACCACGAACAATTACTTGGGAGCATCGAATGCCCTTATATGCCAATATTCCTTTGATCTAAGCTCCTTTCCCCCGAAAAACATTCGGTATGTTTCTAGAGCAGTTGGTCACCGATTACCGGGAAGCCGAAACAGAAAATCAGGGATTCAAGATTTTGCCCCCAAATTTTCCGTTAGGAGGCTAAAAGCAATGCAGAGAAGGCATCGGTCAGCCAAAGTCGTTTCTTGACTTCAAAATATTGACTCGGGGTCCGTATTGTCAGTCCAGCACCCCATGGAGAAAGGCATTCAGCGCCCATCTTATATTGTCTCTAGCACCCCTTACTCAAACTCCTATTACCCGAGAGCTGGCAGTGCCGTGCATCACAAAAAACAGAGCAACCCCTGGACCTTTCTGGAGAATCCCATCGAACGCATCAAATATACCATCTCATCCACCACAAGCAAATCTTGTAATCCACTGTTTTAACCTAAATTTAAGCACAAACGGTTGCCAAGGTTTGGTATCCTCCCGCATAAGCCGGACTTGGGGTTGGAGTGGGGGTGGGCGGCGAAAATTCCGGCCTCCGTGGATATCCGCCCCAAACGCAATTTCGGCCATTCTCCCAACGAAACAATCACTCTCCACGCCAATGAGCTTGCACCCCTCCCACGGGCGGCTGGGTTTTCGGGCCGGGAAGCAATCCGGGGGGGAGAATTGTATTACAAAGTGATACGGACCAAAACGACCACAAATACAAAGATTTTAAAGTGCCATTGCAACTATAGAGAATTATCCAAGCACCGGGCCACCATAGTTTATTCAATTTGATAGGATACAGCTCGCATCGCCCTTATTCAACAGTAACTATTATCTACCATACTACACACCAAACTTCAGCAAGTTTATCACCAGCTTAATATCTCACACTGCTGAGACAACAATGGCAAAGGCTACGCATAACAACGAAAGAATCCAAAGCTGCAACGGGACCACCGCTGATCCTGACGATGAGGGGTCTACCACGCCGCTTTCAACACTCGTATCAAGGCATATCGTTACATTCGATGGGCCTCCCGCCTTCTTGCACCGCTCGTTGAATACTTTGTCCAGCCCTTGATCACTCGCGGATGTATTATGGTAAATCGCGATCAACTTGATGGTCAAAAATACATCGGTCGTACTTGGTGCACCACTCCACGCCCCTCCATCTGCCCAAACGTTCAAGTATGCGTGGCCAGGAGCATCTGGGATCTGAAAAGCATTTGCATGCACTAGTGTTGAGTTCTGGTAGAATCTCAACTCCTCCTTGGTCCAATCAAACCGATGCCGTTGGAACAAGTTCAGCAGATTGTCGCCACGAAATGGAATCACTGTCGTGGCATTGGCAATGACCTGTCCGTTCTTGTCAAGGGCAGGGTGTGTTGTGTAATGGACTGGAAACCAATCTGGTTTGAATTCCCTCGAGAGAATTTCAATGTCAACTTCGTTCTTGTCATCCTATCCCCCCAAAACAATTCGACCCAAAAAGCTTAGCTTATGTTTACTCCCACTTCGCAAATCTCATTCTCACCAAAACGTCAAGATAACAGGATTGAGAGGTAGCTACTAACGTGATACCAAAAGAATGCGCCACAACTTCCACCGTTTGCATTTTCCATTTTAAGCTCGACCCGAAAACTTCCATGGATAATGTCGCCCCTCTGGCTAGCAATGGAAGCCACGCTCACTTTACTTTTCTTCAAAGCTTGCGCTTTTGAATACCCCTGTTGTCGCAGTACGAGATTGCCGTTACGCAAGAAGACATTGTCTTCCGCGTTATCGATCCCCAAAGGCTTTACCCAGCCTTTCGGAGGAATACCCCAGTCCTGAACCGCCCAGTCATTTGTAAAAGCTGGATTCGTACTGAGTTTCTTTGACGGTGCTAATGCGCTGAAGTTGTTGTATATAACATGTGTGAAGTAGTCTTTCGTGTCGTTCATATAAAATCCGCACTCGCAAGATGCGTTGACCAAGCTGTCTGCTAAAAGAAGGAATAAGGCAAGAAGGACCATATCTTCGAACTGGAATAATCGTTGCTTCATCGCTGGAGGTGATATCATTGATATAGCCAAATTGTTTGAAACACCCTCGGAATCTTCAACCTACTCGCAAATACCAACTTACGGGTCGCTATACCCAAGACCACAAACGAAAGGATATCCTGCGAAGCGCACGAGGGCTAAACTTCTCCGCTATGTATTTCCGCATGAAAAAGTGAAAGAACTCTTCACTGGTCGCAAGACTTCAGGCGCTTCCGCAGGGCCGCGTTATCGAGTTCCGATTGGGGAAATCAGTATCTCAAGCAAACAAACAAGCAAAAAAGATCGGCGAAGGAGTTTAGCAGATAAAATGCTATCTGCAGGATGGGTATAATTTTTCAATCTGAGAATTCATATTTGATGGTCTTTACCTCCTCTTCTCTTCTTTCATGTTTTTTCTCATCTTCTCATCAACTCCGGCCATGACTCCAAAATCCTTGTTGAAACAAAGAAGGAACCGCCGACCAACCCAACTAGGATGGGACCTTCCTTCAATCGACCGAAGAATCACCAGGATAGGCTTTTTGATTAGGAGCAGCTCGTCATGATCGCTACTTCCCAAATGATGAATGCCCCTAACAGCAGGTAAATCGGCGTGGATCCAGCTCGGCTATGTTCAGCACGCTCCTTCGGAATATCTTGGATATCCGGCTTAAGTCGACAGCCAAACAGGCGCGACTTCCAACCTATCAGGGATGGCGAATCAAGCAAATCTATCCAGCCGCATGCAACCGGCTGGATTAATTTGGGGTGGTTGGCATCGGTTGGTGTTGGTGTTGGCGTTGGCATTGGTGCTGGAGTTGAATCCCTTCGAGAGACGTGCAGTTTGACAGCGCAACGGGACCACATCATTCATTCACGAATGCTTTTTCGCCATGCGAATTCATTTTTCTGACTGAAACATGACAAGAGCCTGGAATTAAACGTCGTTTCGCGATTGAAGTAGCGTAGGGTCATTTCAATGGGAAGTGACGATATTTGTCCAAACTCCATATCCTAGGCTTCCGTCTTCCAGTGGCCAGCGAGAGAGAGGGCTGAGCAGCGAGGACTGAGCAGGCCCTACACAAAATTTGGCGATATGGCGATTGAGTCAGTGCATGGTTTACAAGCCGCTGTGGTGGAGGAAATTGTTCCTGTGATGTCTCTGACGGGCTATGAAACCACTTGCAGCTCCTTCACTTCACTTCCGCCGTTGAGGTCCATCTCTCTTTTGAGTATATCCCCTCAGCCATACCAGCTGCTGACACAGCGCTTGCACCGCATATAACCCCGAGCGCGGGCGTCATCACACGCCATCCTGAACCACCACCAGCATGCCCTCCCCAGAGCGGACCAACAATCAGACTGAGAGTGCACGTCAAACTTCCCTAATTCAAACGCTTGCGCATACGCTCACTGTGCTCGATCATGCGCGAGATTTTCTTGTACTCTCTCCTCAACAGGTAGAACGATTTCGATCTGTACTGGGGCTTATAAGAGTGTTGCAAAACAGCCAGAGAAAGAAGGAAGGGTGCAGAAAATGACCTTATCATGCAACGTATTCTATGTCTCGATGCTGAATAGAACTACTAGGACCATGCCTATCAGCCAGCCAGCCTATTACAGGAGATATATATGTGGGCATCAGAACTGCAAGAAAAACGAGACCGACAGAGCCGCAGCGAAATGTGGCATGAAACGAATAACAGGACAATGGCCACGAAAGCTCCGAATAATATGGGCAAAACTTCACAGCCCCAGAGAGCAACAAGGACGCGAATTGAGCTCAGTAATGTGATGAAAGACGGCAGACGGTAGACAAAACGAGAAACCCTGTTGCACTAACACTGATACCGACTGGGAACTCTTTCTCTTGGTTTTGAAGATAGCCCTTCAGACCCCTCCGGGCTTTGGTAGAGAAATCCTCCCAGGCCATCTGCAGACCAATTGACGGATCCTGAGCTTCAATCCTTACTAGTCAAAAAATATTGCCCTAAGGAAACAAATGCAGTTATGTACACCATGTCATACCCTATTTTCGCATATCAATAACCACCTATGAGTGGCGCGCTGACTGTCGCAATCCTTCAAGTCGCAACGATCGTTCCTAGTTGTGCTCCGATTGCTGTGACCCAACTCTGTCCACCAACATTGCTGGGGCGATGGCCCACCCAACTTCACCTGATATGCCTTGCCCGTAGCATTCGGGGGATGATTAACATAACCAAAGTCGTTGCGAGTGCGAACATGAGGCTTGCTTCCCGCCAGCAGTAAAGGTCAAACATGAAAGGTACATTGCGACTTGTCCGCCCACCAGCCGCATATTGCTAGGCGTCTGAGCATGGAACGGGTAATAACTTTGATATGTTCTCTACGAAATAGGAATGAAATCAAATATACTAACGCCATCCAACGACTAAACCAGTACCTTCCACGGTAAGGAGAATTGACGTCCATTTTGGGGCTCTGGTTCACCTTCCTCCCTCTCGCACCGACCGGGAATGCTAGCCCGTACCACGCCTTGCCATCAGTTAAACAGCGCAGACGGTACAGCGGCTGGGTATGTCAGGGCCTGGTATCCTTTCACTTCACCAGGCTGGTCATCCACCGGGTGTTATCTATCAATCCATCATCCGTCGAAACAACGGTGTACATATAGCAGCCATAGTGCACCTACTTAATATGAAGGATAATAGGAAATGCTCACCTAGGATCAAGCCCAACCCGATCAGCAAGCGCGAATGGTATCACGACATCCCACCCTTCAGCGTGTGTTCTTACTTCACCTCCATCAAATTCTATCCGATCATACTGGATCCAAAATTAAGCGGATCAGAACGAGCCAGCAGCGTACCAATGCATATTGGAAGAATACCATAATTACCAACAAGCCATCAAATCAATCGAGCAGGTTAGTTCATCTCTATCGAGAGGTTTTTCCACCTGTAACAATGCCATTATCTAGAACACAAAATGTTGTGTTGATGAACACATTGTATACAATGACTTCACCGAAGGTTCCCCGTTGGAATTTAGCAGCCTCCAAAGTTGTTTAGTTCCCCCTTTACTGCAAGGTTCAGCCGAAAGTGCTTGAAGGTGTGGAGCCGAAGCCTGCAGCTGTCCGTTGAACTGTATATCAACTGGCCAGGCCATAATCCGTGTCCATTCTTTTCCATTGGGATTAACTCAACAGCTATCGGACGCAGTGGACAGCCCAGTCATGAACCGGCAACATATGGCCACTTATGTTGTAATGGACCGTTGATTCAGCGGGGCAAGGGATGCCATATAACAAATCAACTTTGCTCTCGATGTCCTCAGCCGCCACGCTGGCGGTTCGAAGGGGCATATTGGGGAGAAGAAACCTATGGCAAAAGGCGTCAATGGTCATCTACAAGTAACAAAAAATTCCATGGATTTTGATATCATAGGACAAACTTAACTAGGGGAGTCTCGACTCTCGATGCGAGAGCTTGTTCGTATTCGTGTTCGCGTTTGCTGTTGGGAGCCACGGGATTGCGAGAGATCCGCCATCAGAGCAACCACGATGTCGTTTAACCCTGATTTTGAAAAGGGGTTCGTGTGAAGTAAGCCTGTTTGATACAAAATCTTTGGTTGCTTGAATTGAGAGGACCATCGTCACCGTTGGTTATGATATATGATGTGTGTGTAATGACATGGGTAAATAAATAGAATATTTTCTGATTCTTTATATTAATTAATATTATTTGCTGGTTATTAATTTTGCCTCCCCTATTGAAACAGCCATTTATTTTATATTTTTTGAATAACTTCTTCTTTCATATCTATTCATCATCAAGAAAAAAATATTGATTAGGTAGTTGCGTTCATGGCAATATTGCAATCTACAATAGTTCCATCTCCTAATAATTTAATTTATCTGATGGAACTGAAGTGAAAAAAAATAAAATAAAATAAAATAAAATAAAGCACCCTTATTTGAAAAGATGTATATATATATATATAAATATGGAAATGCAAAAACCGAAAAGAGCGGTAGAAGAAAAAAAAAAAAAACCCCTCCAAAAGAATCACAAGGAAGGTGTGCATTTAATAATCCCTCCTCGTCTTGCCCTGCCTATCTCCCACATTTTTTTTTTTTTAATTCTAACTATTTATCAATTGCTGTATGCACATTGCAGATGCAGGCCTCTCTCTCTCTCTCTCTCTTGTTTAGTTATATCAGCTTGATATCCCCAGCAAAAGGGAGGGTATATATATGAGATATATGATATATATCTCATTAGAAATAAAAATAAACGCTGTCAACAACCGCCCCCCTCCCTCGGCCCTCCTTTTTCTCTTTCTTTTTCTCATTCATACCTACGGAACACTTAAAAATACGAAAATGAAAACGAACACGGGCATGGACTCTTGAGTAACTAAGATCACGAGATTTTTCAAGAGATACATATGAGATAAATGGTGGGGAGTAAAGGAGAGGAGGAGAGGGGAGGGGGGGGGGGAGGGAAAGATAAGAAATAACAAGAAAAAAGGAGAAGAGACGGAACGAGAAGAGAGGGGAGGAGAGAAAGAAAAGAGAGAGAGAGAGAAACTGTTAAGCGGAATATAATAATAATAATGAGTATATGGATATGAAACTATGACAACTTTAATAGAAGGAAATGACAGAACTGCGCTAGTGGAGGGGAAGAGATGACACTGGGATGAAATCATATGAAAGGGATAATAATAACTCAAGAGAAAAAAGAAAAATAAATAAAACACGCACACACACACACACACATAGACAGACACATCACAGACGCAAGGATGGACGGACGCTTGCGCACACACACGTGTTCTGCCAGGGTTGAGCAAGATCTGAGTGTGTAGGAACGACAAATATGCGCATGTATGGCTGATCGTCCGCCGTCCGCTAGATTAAACTATATCACAAAATCATTCCGCACGTTAATAAACGCCCCCGCGCCGCCATCCTCGCTGATCTCATTCACCAGAACCTCAGTCTGTTGATATAGTTTCTCAAGAGCGGCAGAGGAGGATTTGCCGAGGGATACTATTACGTGTTACGTATTTGTTTTCGTTTTTCGATCAAATCAGCATATCACCCTAGACAGATCAAAGGGGTGTGGTTGGTTCTTGTTTTTGTGTGGGGCGGAGTTGCAGATGTGTATTAAGGGAAAAAGAGAGAAGAAGGCCAGTAAACTCACCCAAAATCGCCGAATTCAACTCCTCCGCTACCGGAACGCGTCCGCTCGGCTCCAGCAAATGCCCGTGCACACTCGACTTGGGATCCGGGTATGCGACTAGTGAAAAGATATCGTCCAGCGCCCGCTTATACTCCCGCCGCTGGTCACCGGGGTAGTCGGCTTGCAGTTCTTGGCCGTACAGGATCGCTTCGTGGAGGAGGTCGTGGTAGCTTGCTGCATTTGTTGTCGATACTGAGGTGTTATAGTCGGCGGATTCTTCGACATCCATGCCGTTTTCTTCGTCGTCGTCATCGTCATCGAGGTCTGGGTCTTGGTCATCATAATGGTCGTGATCTCTCCCATCGGATTCCGAAGAATCATGACCATCATCCAGGACATCATTCATATGCTCGTCTAGCTCCATATCATGCACGAAGACGTCGTCGCTGGTATCGTGTACAGATACAGCAGTAGCACCATTGGATGAGCGGGCTGCCTGCTTGGACGTCGATGGGGAAATAGGCTGTGGTTCAGTGCAGCGACGCATCATCTCGATGAACTTCCGACAGCGGAGACGAAAGTATATTTGTGGATTGTCCCGAAGGACGTTAGCGTATGAGGCATTTGTGAATTTCAAAGCTTTGTCGATATCGCCGTCCAAAATGGCAGTGCGGATTTCTGAGGAAAAAAAAAAAAAGTAGAAAGTTAGCACAGACGTGGTTAAGATAGGGGGTGGGTGGCAAGCGAGATTACTCTGGCGGTTAATAGCATCAACATCCTCCTCTGCCTGGCAATATCTCAACGGCGTTTCCTGCCCATTCTGCAAAGCCCGCGACTCCTCCCTGACCTCTTCAGCAAAGGCGCGTGCGGTCTCCACATATCCGCCATGCGCCAAAAATTGAGCCACAAGCTCCTGGATAAACGTGCTCTCATCGGGGGAGGAATGTAAATTGGAAATATTAGTAGCCCTTATCTCCGCTTGAACGTTGAGTTTCTCTCTCTGAAACGAAGGCAAAAGCTTTCGTTAGCATAGGTGTGGAAAGTCAAATGACCATTCGAGTAGTGAATATTTGTTTCCAAAAATAAGTAATAGCCTTACCTCCATCAACCCGTCAATATCATATACAAAAGGAAACTGGCCAAAATTCGCCTTTAGATGCGTCGTGGGTTGCTTCTTCACACCAACCGCAGGGTATAGTTTCACATTCCGCAATTCCCGGAACGCATTACCTGATTCAAAGACACAATCTGTTAGCAATTGCCGCGTAGCTAAAACATACCAATATTTGTTTGCATAAAAAGTATAAGTAAAGTGAGAGAGATCCATACCAAGAAAAACCCCATTCCTTGTAAAAAAAGAGGTATTCGTCGAGAAATTCACCCCACAGCCAATGGTGTCATTCACAGAATACTTGGGGCCATACAATTTGCCCTGGCCCTGCGTCTCGCCGAAGAAAGTCCTGCCATCGTCGCCGTGGTAAGCCCAGGATTCCTGCTCCCAGCCCGGCAATCGTTCGAGAGATGCTTTATTGCTTGTGAAGCCCACGCATATCATCCTGCCATGAAAAAGAGGAATATGTCAGCTAACCCATGTGCTCCCCGCAACAAAATATGGATATATTATAACATATATATATATATATATATGTGTGTGTGTGTGTGTGTGTGTGTGTGTGTGTGTGTGTGTGTAATCAGAAATACTTACCCATCCTTCGGTTTCGACAAAATCGTAACCTCAAAGTAATATATGCCACACTGTGGGGGCATGGGATGGTCTGCCCGGCACGCCGCAGCTTCATGATCAAGCTTAAGCGGGTTACCCAAGTAGCGTACCTCCAATCCATCATTCAGCAGGTCCAGGCCCGCATTCTTATGCTGGTCACTCCAGCGGGAGGGCAGGGGCATGACGAGAAGGTTGTCATCGTCCGATGATGACGGGGGATGCTCGATGATCTCGTGAGTCATGCCACGGTGGGACGGGGCGAGGCGGTGGAGGTTTACATTACTGGAGCTAGCGGAGAGAGAGGGTCCGCCTGGTGTTATGGTAGTGGCACTGGAGGTGTTAGCATT